CTAGCAAGTCATAGAAATGCAAATTAAAACCACAAGATTATACTATTACACACCTATGAGATAGACAAAATTTAGAAAGCTTCATCTCAAGTGGTAGCCAAATTAGGAGCACACACGGCTGATGGGAATGTAAGTTGGTACCAATACTGGAAAACAGGTAGCCTGATTTATTAAAGTTGAAGATGAGCATACTCCTTGACTCGTAATTTCTACTCCTACTTATATACTCCCATCATTTAATTGTTTATGACCACCAGAATCCATGTGCAAAAATGTTCATCTCATTCTTAAATGACAAAAGCTGGAAATACACAATTCTGCCTCAACAGAAGACTGGATAAATCGAAGTATAGCCATACAATGGAATATTCTACAATAATAACAATCAACAAACATGATATTAAGTGAAAATTGAAGTTATAAAAATTGCACATAGCATGAATCTATTACATAAAACTTAAAAACAGACAAAACTAAACTATATTGTTTAGGAATGCATTCAGGTGTGGTAAAACTAAAAATAAAAGCAAGGAAATATTACCATCAAGGTCAGGATAGAAATGACCTTTCTGTACCTGAGTGGTAGTCATATGGATGTTTAATTTACCATCATTTGCTAAACTGTACACATAAGATTTATATAGTTTTCTGTTTATTATAGCTCATAAATAAAGTAAAAAATAAAAATAAAAACCAAGAAAGTAAAAAGAAAACAAGAAAAAACACAAAAGATTCTGGAAACAGACATGCATACTAGTTCAATATGTGCTAAAAGTGGCATTTCAAATTCCAAATTCAATTAAGCAGTGTCAAAACTGGAAAGAAGGGATTGCCAAATTTGACAGCAAATAAATGTAAAACATCTCTATGGCCACAGACACCACAAACAACTTGGAGAAAATATTCACAACATCTACAAGACACTAATGGCTAATATCCCTAATATTAAGAATGCCTATAAATCAATGTATAAGGGGAGATATGGGCAGGCAATACACAGAATGAAAGCTACAAAGGATCAATAAACGTGAAAAAATAATAAATTTTATTAGAATTTGGTAAAGTACAAAATAGAAAAAATAATATATAATATTCAGGGTAATTTAAAATAATCATTTGTAAAATTATATACTAAAATTACTAAGCTATAAAATAATTACAAAATATAAGAACTAAGGAAGTCATTAAAGGCTAAGTCTCCTTCTAGCTTTACCATTCTTAATGTACGACTTACCCTCATAGTCTCAAGATGGTTGCTCTGTCCCCAGACATTACATCTGTGTTCAAGGCATAGAGAAGGGAAGAATGTCAAAAGCAAAACAGTACATGCCAGCTGAATCTGACCCTGCACATCAGTAAAATTATACCTTTCCCAGAAGGCTTATTCCCTAGAATTACACTTAAATCTTACCGGCAAAACTGTGACATGGTTTACCCCTAACTCTTAGGGATTTGAGGAGAAGCATATTTTTTAAATGAAGATATTTTTGTGCCAAACTAAATTGGGGTTTTGTTAATAAGCAAGAAGTGGAGCATATATATTGCTTAGTCAACTAGTGGTGCTGTGGGAAGGAAGAACCTAGAACAGTGCTTGGTACATTGTACATAATAAACATTAGTTAAAGAAATGGGATTTTTTATATTATAAAATCCACAATCCCCCGAATGACAGGGAAGGGGGATCAAGATGAGAGCCGAGCACCAGCTACAGAGGAAACCAGGGCAGATGGAAGAGAGATCTAGGATGAAGTGGATATAATGATCGAATGCTACTTGAGGTCATTGAAAATCCCGAGAGCAGAGTTAGACATAAAGCTTGAAGTAGTTAGGGCTCCATCTCTAGAATTGCGCTCTTCAACGCCACAGCCACCAGCTACATGTGGCTACTTAAGTTTAAATTAAATAAAAAGTGTAACAACTCAGTCCTGCAGACACATGAGTCACATTTTAAAAGCTCCATAGCCACTTGTGGCCAGTGGCCTCCATAGTGGAGAGTGCTGGTACGGAACATTCCCATCACTGCAGAAAGTTCTATTGAATACTGCTTGTCTAGAAGAATTAAGCCAAGGGAAAAAAGAGAGAGAGAGAGATACCAATTTCCAGAAAAACAAACTCTTGTGCAGGAAAAGAAAAAGAATCATAATATATGGGGTTCCTCTGTGAATAGCCTTTGCTAATCATAATGTAAACACCTAATTTTGAATTACCTAGGTAGAACTTTATTGGGAGGATGCTGGCCTGAGACAAGGCTTGTGTCTGGTAAGAGTGGGGGTTCATATGGAAGAGTGCTAAAGCCTCACGTTCCAAGGTGGGAACCTAACAGATAATGCCTGTGACCAAAAAAAGCATAAAAGAGCAATAGAGACATTTTGTTAAATGTATACAGACAAATAAAAAAGATTCAGCTAAAAGAGTTAAACTGATTGTCTCAACGGAGGGAAAAAAGAGAGGAATGGTGGGAACAGGGAGCACCAATTTAGGAATAAGCCTTGCAAAACTATTTGATTCTTAAATGATGTGCAGATATGATTTGATTAAAATAATAAATAAAATAGAATAAGCTGCAAAAACAGGGGCACCTGTTGCAAAAACAGGTGACTCAGTCAGGTAAACATCCGACTCTTGATTTCGGCTCAGGTCCTGATTTCAGGGTAGCGAGTTGGAGCCCCACAGCGGCTCCATGCTCAGCACGGAGTCTGCAAGAGAGTCTCTCTCCCTCTGCCCCTCCCGCTCATGCTCTCTCTCTCTCTCTCATTCTCTCTAAAATAAATAAATAAATATTTAAAAAAATAAAAAGAATAAACTACAAAAACAAAAGCTCTGTTACCATGTCATCTTCTCCATCAAGTCTATTCTGGTCCACAGACATGATACTTCTATACTTTGATATTTAGGAACGCATCGTCTGAAACTCTGCTCTTGACACCCATCTGCATCCTGCTTTGCTCTGTAGTTAGTTGTATAGGTTTATAGTCAAACTCCGATTGGTTCATAAATTCTTTGACTACTGTCTGATTTCAGAAGCGTCACAATATTGCAGTCTAATACAGAGTAAAGCATGAAGACGCCAGTAAAATGTTTAAACATGGTAATAATAAGGCGTTCCTGGGTGGCTCAGTCGGTTAAGCATCTGCCTTCAGTTCAGGTTATGATCTCAGGATCCTGGGATTGAGCCCCCCTTGACCTCCGTGCTCGGGGGGTTGGGGGTAATCTGCTTGTCCCTCTGCCTCTGCCCCTCTCCCTCCTCGCCCTGTCTCTGTCTCTTTCTCAAATGAATAAATAAAATCTTTTAAAATGGTAATAATAATTTAAAAATAATAATAGTCAATGTTTATGGTGCCCTTACTATGTACAATGCATGTGATAAGAGCCTACCGATAAATCAGGGGGTCATTTATTCTTCCACAGAGATGGCCATAGATAGGGCAGGAAAATTGAGTGGTTCTTTCATACCTAAGGGGACATAGTTCCAGGTTAGCATCAGAATGCTTATGCTTTTTTTTTTTTACTTTATACGATTTTATATTACGTGTTTTTAAAAATGGGCCTGAATTATTTTTCAATTCAACACCATCTTTTTAAAAAATTTTTATTATTTTTTCATTTTTTAAAAGATTTTATTTATTTATTTGACAGACAGAGACTCAGAGAGAGAGGGAACATAAGCAGGGGGAGTGGGAGAGAGAGAAGCAGGCTTCCCGCCGAGCAGGGAACCTGATGTGGGGCTCGATCCCAGGACCCTGGGATCATGACCTGAGCCGAAGGCAGAAGACGCTTAACGACTGAGCCACCCAGGTGTCCCAATTCAACACCATCTTTTAAAACATAATGAAGAGTAAGTCAATTCTAGTTTACATCTGCCAACGGAATGATCTCATATTATATGTATATCTCTTAGTCATAAAACCTGTGAGAACATAGAAAATGAACAAGGTTTAATTAGTGAAGATGATAAAATGATGCTCAATTTTATTTACCACCATATGAATCATGGAAGGGGGAGAGGTACATATGTCTGAAATGTGACAACACTTCCTAACATTTAGCTAAAAAAGAACTATTACAATAGGTTTAATCTCAAATCCATGCCAAGATACGGGTGACCCACAGGGTTTTTGCCTTAGTACAGAGGTTTAGAGAGAGATTAAATCAGTGAAAATTGTCTTTAGATAGAAAATTGCTAGGTAATTTTTACAAACTCAGTGTCGTACACTCTGACTTACCTAATAGAGCATTATCTTCTCCTGGTAATTTACTGATTTCAATTTTATCTGTTATTGCTGTTTGGAAATTGAACCCTTTTGTGCTTGCATTCACACTTTGCCTCTAGAAGCCTCCTGACTAAATCGAAAATCAGAAACCCAGGTACACATGAAAGAGGCTCTGTATTCCTAGCAGTGCGGGCCTTACCTAAGGAGGGAGAAGATAATGAATATGGTCTCCGTATCCACCTGCCCCGGTTTAGTAATAGAAAAAGGATGGGGCCTATTCTCTCTAATTACACCCTGTGGCTATCTTAGCTAGGGTCACATCAAATATTTTCACCTGTCATTTCATCTTTTCACAATTTTAAACCTTGTTTTTGCCAACTTGAGGTTTCATGGATTTTATCCCTCTATGTATTTCACATCAAGGTCTGGAACTTACCTGTAGCTCACCTGGTGAGCTGGGGAAAGGGGAGTATGTTTACCTCCATGAAAGGGGGACAAATGGCCTGAAGAAAGCAGCTACAGAAGGGTCACAGCCCCTCAAAGACACACTTGTTTTATCCTAAATTCTTTTGCACAAGTATGGTATTAAACAGGGTTGCAGGAGATGAGAGGCTAAACCTAAATTGGAACCCCATATGCTAGAAGTTAAGTAAAATTCCTTTACATTTGAATAGCTCTAAGCAAGTAATTTGTTACCCTTTATACTTTAGTGGAATTGACGAACAGGTGGTTTTCGGAAGATCACTCAGTATATTTAGCTTCTGAAATTCGAGCGACTCCGGATCTCATTGGCGGCTGGCGCCACGTGGTAACTCCGAGCGCAGGCACCACCCTGGCTCTTGCCTGGGGTTCTCAGGAGGGAAGAGTTGGGAGAGGCTTTGCTGCTGAGGAAGTTGACTTGATAGACTAAAGGTAAGGCCGGTTTATGGCTTTTTCTGTGATGTTCTTGCTGGAGATGTTCTGCAGCTTCCCTTGAAGTATTTTCCAAAGTTTGGGGTCATAACTGGGGAAATCAGGGACGGAAATGTGACTAGGAAAGTTTGTAACCCTTTTGCCCTCCTCAGGCCCTACTTACATCTGCCATGTGTTGTGTGATTAGACTCCAGTCCTATACTAACCAACCTACTGCCCGACTGAGTTGGCTCCCTCGTCTAAGAGACAAAACTTTAAGAAGTTTTTGCCTTTGACTTCTTTTTTTCAAAATATATTAGTATGTAAAAGGATCTATGTTCTGCATTCCTATATTTATCCTGTTCTACTGGGCGTCATTTGCCTCCGAAGGAGTGGCAGTTTTGCCAGCTTAACAAAACCAGCCATGGCGGGGGTATTGGTTTACATGGCAAATATCTCTGGCTGAAGGGACAGCTGTTCCAGGTCATCATCCACTTTTATCAAGAGAGTCCCACTCTCTGGCGTCAAACTAAGAAGGCCTTGGGAGATCCTTCCATTAGTTCCTGAATTAGAAGCTTAGACCAAAGACCCACAATCTCATATGTACTTCAGTCAATGCTTTGCACATTTCTTGTTTTTCAGGTTTGGAGAAGAGCTACAGAAGCAGAAGAGAAAAATCCATACAAGCCAATGGTGTTCGGGGAAAAAATAACCCCATTGCCTTGAGGTTTCTATTTTTTCTTGTAAAGCTATTGACAGATTTGTTTTTCTGTGTTCTAATTTCAAGCATAGGATAGCCTGCTACTGTGTATTAGAGCAGTGGAGAGACCTAAAGCAGCCCTCTTAGAATTTTGGTGCTGGCAAAAAAATTCTAACTTCTGGAAGCTTAACTGACCTCCCTTTCACTACTACTTTCGCTTGAAAATGCTTTTCTGCAAGTATTTAGAAATTTAAATGCCCTGTTTCTTTGAACCCAAATCCTCTCACTTTCTTACCTCTGCTTCCTTTTACAACTTTAACTAAATTGACCCTGTAACTCGAAGGAGCAATACCTGACATGTCACTGAGGGAATCAAGAGAAGGTATTTGGAAGTCTGTGGTTTTTAGACCGGTATTTAAATAGCTCCTCTCATGTAGCCCGCAACAGTCTATGGGTGTGTGGGGTGGATAAGTCTCAAATTCTGTTTTTACAATGTTATGATTTCAGCCCTAGGCACAGATTCTAATGTATTTTCATTTTTCTGGAATATGAAAAGTTTGTAGGTGCCGCTACTACTCTGGGAAAATGGCGGATGACGAAGACTATGAGGAGGTGGTGGAGGTAAGATGAGAAAGCTGATGCTGACAGCCAAGTATTTTATGTGGTGACAATCAAAGCCATGTAGGTGAATTAATCATTTGAAAAATACATCGTCTATTATAACCTCACAAAGAGTCATTATTAAAGCATGAGAAAGGAATATTTTATGTTCAGTTTCACTATAATTATGGGGGATTTAGAATTGAAAAGAAATAGCACTGTTTCCCACTTTTGCTTCTCTTTAAACTCTCAGAAAAACGTGGTGTAGGGTAAAGGCAGGTTTTAATTTGTCTTCTAAAACTATCTTCTTCCCCACCTGCCAACCCTCCTGATCAAAAGGCCAGAGGAGATGAAGGGACAGTTCCGAAAACTGAACTCTTCGTTTCCGTATAGCAATAGGGAAAAAAGGGCTACTCGCTCTTTGCTTCAATGAGCTGATTACCTAGAGGGTGATATGGATTCAATGTTCAGAATGATATACTGCGGAGATTTTATATGAGATTTTGTATATATGTAAATGGGCACAAGGTGCCTGTAAATATAAACTCTTCATGCTCACAAGTGACATTTGCGGCCACACTTTCTCACCAACTCCCATTCCGTTTCCCTAAGGGAACAAGACTAGCTTTTGCTTTTAAATTTTGGTGGTGGTGGGGGGGGGAAGACCAAAGTGAACATCTTGCAAAATTTCCTCTGGGTTATTTGTGGACATCTGGCATGTTTTACAAAGCTGTTAATTGTTTGTTTTATAAAATTTTGTTTTTTATCGTGTCTAGGTTTTCCTTCACCAGCCTTTGCCTTCAGCTTCACGTTCTAGAATCTCAAGGCTTGGAAGGCTATAATCCCTATAGATACATTGCCTTTGCATCTGAAAATGCTTAATAATTTACAATTAATGATGATCTAAACATAGGAAAATCTCCAGGTGCCTAAGATACTTGGAGGCAGTTTTGAAAACCAGTGTTTTTTCATCAGAATGAAATTAAGAGCTACCCAGAACCAAATTCCAAATGACGGTGCCAGAATTTGTCTTTGGAAGATTATTTTAGTGACCAGTCTATATTTAGATAAAGAAAAATTTGTTCCACAAGTAAAATTAATTTTATCACTGAAGGATTTAGGAAGAAAACACAGAATGAATCTCCTGCAGTATAACAATGAACCTCTCTGGCTTAAATGCCAAAGCCTACATTCTCAATGTTCAGTATTACTAGTGTGCATTTTACAAATGTCCCCATGAGTTAGAATAATCACTATTAAACAATGACATAGTTGTAAATTAAATTGCCTTCCCTGCGGTAGTAATACCAGTAATAATTTTCAGCCTCCAAGTTAAAAATCCCTTCTTTTTTCTTAAAATAACTCCGTTCATTGGTCACTGGAAGTTGTCCTCGGCACTAGACCTGATTGATTTAACTAGATGTCATAAAAATGGAGGGGGGTATTTTTAGGCATCTCATCCTTGCCATTTTGTTTCTATTACTGCTTCTGGGTCTGACCAGCAGTTGCTAAACTGATAGACTTCCTGCCAGGGGGTGTTCAACCAAGGTGTCTCCGATCTCAAAAAAGATGCCATGAAGAATGGAATGGTGGCAAATTTGAGAAAATGGTCAGGGAAGAGTTCAAAGCCAGGAACTAACTAGGAACTGGCTCTAAAAAGATCTTCTAGGGGCCTTGGACAGCTAAATAAAATTGTACTATCACTCTTTCCTCAAACTTAAACTTGGATAGTGCATCCTCACTTCTTTTTCTTTCTATCTAATTAGTGGCACAGCTCTAAAAAAAAAAAGTGGGATTTGGCATATAATTTAATGCCAACCATTTGGGTAATGTTGCTTTTTTTATAAGCTTATTTCTAAGATACGTTTACCAATGGTGAGAGCCCAGCAAAGGTAAAACTGGATGGCTACCAAAGAGCTGCTTTTCCTTGGGTGCTAAGAAAATCCAAAATAGTTGTGAATCATTCATTTTAGTTTAGTGTTTCTTCTCAAGTCGCTGACATTTTATGTGGCCAGAGACCTGGTTCTCTGTGGATCATCATCGAACAGTATTCCCTAAAGGGTCCAAATGATATTTCCCATGTGATTGATGAAGGCACAAGCCTATACAAGAGAAATTCTCTATCCTGTGGGAGCTGGGGGTTTCTCTCGCTATGCGGAAGGACATACAGATGGACATTAGATTTTAAACTAAAGAAGCCGTGCAGGAGCAAAGAAAGTGCCAGAGTGAGGGGCATTAGGCAATGTTAGATTATACTAATCTTCCTGCAGATGAAATAGAGCCAGTGGCCTATCGGCAATGGTTAAATAACTTGATAAGAGTTCACTGAACTGAGGGCGGAAGAAAGGAGGCCACCTGAGGGAAATTTTGTAGGCAGAGTTTTTCCCTTTGAGTGTATATTTTGGTGGCAGAGAAAAGAAAAATGAAGCATACAGTGATATACATTTTGTAGACCAAGAAAATGAGCCAATGTTTCATTTTTGTCCCTTTCCTTGTGTGCCTTGGCCTGAGTCTTTGCTTCTGTTCACCCAGCTTTGGCGGGTGAGGCTGGGGGCAGGATCCCACTCCCCTTACGCAGCTGAAACAAAATGTCAGCCAGCTCCCATCAGCATCTATTTATTGCTGGTGACGTCAGAAGTAGAACACTGTGTCAATTGGCCATTTAAGTTTAATAGTAAAAGACTGGCTAATGATAACCATGCACTGTAAAACCTTCAGAAGGAAAGGAGAATGTTTTGTGGACCATTTGTGTGTGTGTGGGGGGGGGAGTTTTAAGTTATTAGTTTTTAAAATCAGTACTTTTTAATGGAAACAACCTGACCAAAAATCTGTCACAGAAAATTTTTGAGACCCATTAAAACAAAAGTTTAACGAGGAAAAAAAAAAAAAAAGTAGAACAGAAGTAGGTTTGATTTCAGATCCAGCCTGCAAGCACCTCCAGGCCATCAGTTGCAAAATGCAGCCTAACTTTCCCACATATTGTGCTTGGAAGGTCTTTGCATTTTTTTCCTTCTCCCCTTGGCGTTTGCAGATTTTCATCTTCGCATCCTTTCAGGACCATCGCGCTATATAGGGATGCACCCCTCACTCTGGAAGAGACTCTCCTTTCTTAGTAATCAGGGTGGTACAGGGGTAATTGAGATGTGTATATGCTTTTGGATCTAGTCTTTCTAGATTTGTTTTGATTTATTGTTAGTCACAAACGGTGGTTTATATCAAGTTCCTTTCTGCCCAACCCACATACTCAGCATATTGTTCTCCTATTTTCTCTGCAAATTATGCCCTGGGTATCAGAAGAAAAGGTTTTACTTGTCGTAAGTAAAATAACTTCCCCTGGCAGATAATCAGCCTCAGACACCTTTCTCCTCACCCTGCATCTCCTTGCCTAGTCTGATGGCATTCACGTTAGCTTCCCTGAAGTTTCGCCAAGCTAAAATGGGTTCCTTCGTGTACTTCCTTCCCACACAGAATGCACGCCGCCTGGGCTAGGGAAATAACCCAGTGGTTCAGCTGAGGCAGAGGAGAGGTGACTTGTGCTTTGTTCTCATGATTCCTTTGTGCTCTATTTGTAGTATTACACAGAGGAGACAGTCTATGAAGAGGTGCCAGGAGAGGTAAGACCCAACCCATGTCTGCACGAACTGCATGCTGATGAAAGCAAGCAGAGCCTTCCCTTCCCACAGACTCCCAGGACTACAGAGCTGGCAAAGGGAGAGTCTGAGAGAGAATCTCTCACTTGCATGTGCCCAGCAGCTGATGGTCCAAGAATGAATGCTACCTGTTTGGCAGGTTATGTCACTATTTTTGCTATTCAGCTCATCCAAGTGGCTGGGGATGGTTTCCCCCGTTGTTCGTGTGGTATTATTGGTGTAGGTGGTACTAATAATAATATCAGTGGCTACAGGCACTCTCTGACTGTAGCGATCACATGGCCTTGGACAGGTGATTTGCATGGGGACCCACAGTTTTATTGTTTTGAGTTGTAACTTGTGGGGCACCACCTCTGCCAACAGGGATGGCACCTCCAAGCCTTTGTCCCTGATGATGCAATGAAATGGTACTTAGATTGTAGCACAAAGCCTTTCCCATGAATATTCCAAGGTGGAATTTTTTTTAGGGTGAAATACCTCACTCATGCTTCATTTTCTGAGTAGAGCTGTTTCTCTTGAGCATGACAAACGATGATGGCTATCCCTGGAGCCTGCTCAAAGAGCTTGTGACTGCATGAACCCTAACAGTAGTAGATGCTGTAAATTGGTTAGTTTCTCACCATCAAGCGTACATCAGTAATGGCAGAAAGCAACCTATTAGCAATGATCTAACAACACGAGGGGAAGTTGTCATAGATGTCCAATGTCCTTGTTGCTTTGGTTTCTCTTTTCATAATTGATGCTAGGACTCTTCCTTCAGTACAGCGGATATTAGCTGTGAAGGAAATCATGCTGTCGGATGGATTGAAGACATGGCTGCTTATCTTCTTTTCTTTCATACAGTATTTTTAACCTTGGACTAGACCTAAATTTGGGGCCTTAGTTTCTTCTACTATACAGCCTTTTGTAAGAAACCGTAATTTCCCGCCTACTGCATGCATAGGATAATTACACCCTTATGTTGTCATCATTACCCTTATCCACCCAAGCATTTATTAGTGTCCATGGCACTCCAGTTCACATTCATTAACTAAGCCAAAAGAACGGTAATCACTTGCAAAACTGATGTGATTCGTTCTTTTAACAGTCATTATTCTTTGTGTAGGACTGCAGGGACCTGTGGGACAAGCAACCAATTTTTTCTTAGACTCATTTAAAAGTGAATATGAAGTCAAGAAGTCAAAGCTTTATTTGATCATCTTAATCATTTGTTCTCTGATCCCAAGTTTGCTTTAACTCTACCCAAATGATTTAAGAAGATTTTAAATGTTTAAGAATATTGTAAATTTCTGATTTTTATCCATCCTGAAAGCGTTTGGTTCCTTTCTACAAATGGAATTATAAGGCACTGTAACAAATTAAGAAGGAGTAGTAACCTTTTGACTCCACGCCCTCCTGAACAATCAACATTCAGATTTATGTAACATGATGTACCTTCCTATGGACAGAGCGTATGATGCCTTGCTTTGGCCTGTTTTAGACATGCAGAAGTAACACTAGGGATTGAAGTCTGACTTGCGATCAGAATAATGCCTCTATGCCAAGTTCATGCGATCACAGTTTTTACTTCCATAACAATGTTGAACTGCATGTCCCATTTTCAGACAATAACCAAAATCTATGAAACTACGACAAGCACATCTGACTATGAGCAATCAGAGCCTTCCAAACCCACACTGGTACAGCCAGTCCCAGCAAAGCCAGTGGAGAGGAAGAAGGTTATCCGGAAGAAACTGGATTCTTCGAAGTTCATGACCCCCTACATTGTACACAGTCAGAAAATGCAGGAACTCTTTAGCCCAGTAAGTTTCAAACAACTTCTGCTAATCTGGTTTTATTATTGAGAAAGTTCTGACTCTGTTTTGGGTGCTGGCTGGATTTTGTTTCTCAATCTTGGGTGAGACAAAGACTTACCTGCAGAAATAGAAGCTCTTGTGATGCTTGATTTTTCCTCTCATGTAATTCATTGTCACCGCCACAGTATCAGAGAAGGCATCCTTACTGAACTTATTCCCACAAAATAAGCAGGAGGCCAATTACAAAGCATTTATTGGTATTTAATCACAATTTGTTAGCCAATCTAGAATCATGAAGTCATAAATATAGATTCAGTTGAAATCCATTCACGGAAGTTAAATAACATCTATTTAAACTGAGCAGAATGCCCCTTAAGTAGACTAGTTAACAATATGTAAAAAGATCTTTAAGAGTTGTATGGTAAAGAAGTGTAGTTTAGAAAACCAGGATCAGACTAAGAGCTCATCTGAAATGAGGATCAGAATGTTCAACTGTACCCTAGAGCAGTGTTGGGTTGTTTTTTTTGTTTTTTGGGTTTTTTTTTTCAAGATTTACTTATTTGAGAGTGAGAGAGAGGGAGAGAGAGCGAAAGAAAGCATGAGCAGGGGGTGGGTAGAGGGAGAAGCAGGCTCTCCGCTGAGCAGGGAGCCTGCCAGGGGCCCGATCCCAGGACCCTGGGATCATGACCTGAGCCGAAGGCAGCCGCTTAACCAACTGAGCCACCCAGGCGCCCCAGCACCGTGGTTTTTAACTGTGGCTGCACATCAGAATCCTCTGGGAGCTTTAAAGCTACTGATACCCAGGCTGTTCTGGTTTAATCAGTCTGAGGTTGAGACCTGTACATAAAGATTTTTAAAAGCTGCCCGGCTTTTAAAATGTGCAGCTCAGGTTGAGAATCACTGCTGTTGAAGGTCCCTGGTCCTTAACTTTCCATGTACAGTTACACTGTATAGCAAGTTATACTGTCAGCAGAATGATACCCATTGGAATGGATCTCATTTGTTGATTGTCCATGTGGGCTGAGGTCTCACTAGGTGGCCTGATTGCACATCCTCTGGCAGCTTGGAAAAAAATGAAAAGCAGCTCAGGGGAACATTGGATTATATAGGACTAAGGGCTTAAGTCAAAAGCATCCCGTTGTGATTGGTCAATAAATGGCCATGTTTGGTTTAGTGTTAACTCCTGGGGACAATTTGGCAAATTTCTAGTTCAGATTCTTGAATGATCTAAAATCTAGTTTTCTAAGGCTTCGATCCTTCCTCCTTTATCATTACAGTATTCAGCAAAAAGAGAAAAATTTTTTTGTCCGTTTATTGCCATAAGATCTCATAAATTCTGACAATAATATCCTAGAATTTCTGATAGCCTGAAGAAAATGTTGGCAAAGGTTTATAGTATTTTTAAAGTGGTTAGTGATAAAATTGAGTATAATTTAGATTGTTGACTACATTCAGGAGTACCATTGAAGCATTAATAATGATAAATTATGCACATTGTTATTAAAGCAAGATCTCATTGTATATTTAGCGGAAATAATAAAATTGCATTCCTTTTCAAAATACTCCATAATTCAGACTTTCCATTAATTCAGCTGGTGTCTCAGCTATCCAAACCATCGAGCTTTAGCTGCAACTTCTGAATTGAAAATTTTTGCATTGTATTAGCAATCAAATCTTTTCAGACAATTTCTATATTTTCTAAAATTATTGAGGTTCAGGCTTTTCATGTGTGCACTCAGACAATAAAAACATTGAGAGAATCATTTTAGGGCATTTTCAAGACGATAGTCTGTAATAAAATTTCTACTGTCTCAAGTATCCCACCATGTTTAGGAAGAACAATTAACAAATCTATTTTAGTTTTTGCTGAGAACCGGTTAAGGGACAAAAAGAAAGCTGTTACAACTGATACTGTTAGAACTTGCAAGGTTTTTTGTTTTTTTTTTTAAATCAGAAGGGGATGAATGCATTGCCTGAAATTCCTGCTGCTGTCTTGTCAGGTTTTAGGCTAACATCTGATATTCTTTTCAGAATAAATACAAGGAGAACTATGAGAAAGCAAAAGGACAGCCATCCACAATCACAACTGATACCCCAGAACTTCGCAGGATCAAGAAAGTACAAGATCAACTCAGTGAGGTGGGCTGCATTGCTAAAATAAAGGAGAGAGACATGTCAAAAACATGCCCATCACTGGGAGTCGAGGGCTTTAATGGGTATAGAGAAAATGAAGAGTCAAATTACTGTGAGCCAGTCCCGAAATCTAGAGGAAGCACTGACTGTAGATTATGTGGCTCTAATGTGAACCCCAAGAGATTTCTAAAAGCTTGGCTTAGCAAGTTAGCTAGGAGATGATAGGAGATGGGAAGTTGGAATTCACTGTGGTCCTCCACGGAGGAGTGCAGGGAGGCTGAAATTCAGCCAGAAAAGCAGATATGCAGTGAATGTAGGGGCTCTGCAGATCTTTGGAGATCACGGTTTTCTACCTAAAATGTATAAACTTTGCTTTGTGGTGCAGACATTGAGTCATTGGGTTAATGCTCTTTGGTTATAGATCTCCTTTAATATACTCACATGGGCATGCCTATCACAAACTCTGCATTATTTCTGCAGGTTAAGTATCGAATGGATGGCGATGTTGCTAAAACTATCTGTCATGTAGACGAAAAAGCAAAGGACATTGAACATGCGAAGAAAGTGTCGCAGCAAGTCAGTAAGGTGAGGTCATGATGTGGATGGCTGGGATGCTAAAGCGCATGTAGGTGACCTCTACCTGGCCTTAGGGGAGAAGGCTGGACGGGCCTGATCCTGCTCGCCAGTCTCCCTTGAATCCAGGGGCACTGTGAGCTCACAATGGGGGGGGTGGGGGAGAGGGAGAAGCAGGCTGCACACGTGTCTGCGAGGCCATGCAGATGACTGAAGTGGGCCGTAGGGCTGGTGGTGGCCTGGAAAGTCTCTGCCCTGCAGCTCAGCTCCAGGCAGTTGCTGCCCAGAAGGCAGGCCCAGTATTGCCAGAGTCTCTTACTTATCTTCAAACAAGTCAGGGAGCTTAATTTTTTATGAGAAATCCTCAAATTTCAAATGTAAGCTACTAATTAAAAACCTTTTTAAAAAATACCACATAAGTCAAAAGAAACATGTCCACTATCCCGATTCAGCCAATGGCCAAGAAGGTTGCAGCCTTTGAAAGGAATCTATAGGAGAATCCTAATCACAATTTAGTTTAAAAAATCAGATGTTTCACAAATAATACATTATATGTTTTTAAAAAAAAGCTAGGAGGAGAAAATGAAGGGGGGGAATTGGAGGGGGAGACGAACCATGAGAGACTATGGACTCTGAGAAACAAACTGAGGGTTCTAGAGGGGAGGGGGGTTGGGGGGGATGGGTTAGCCTGGTGATGGGTATTAAAGAGGGCACGTATTGAATGGAGCACTGGGTGTTATATGCAAACAATGAATCATGGAACACTACATCAAAAACTAATGATGTATGGTGATTAACATAACATAATAAAATAAAAAAATAGAAAAAATCAGACGTTTCAAGTAAAAGCTTACCAGTGCAGGAAAAGTATTATGGGATGTGGACATAGTCAGCGTTTTCCCAATCGATGCTAGTAATGCATGGGCACAAGGGCAGCCTCGGTGTGAGGACACTTTGAATGTGAAAGACTTCACAGCACTCTGTTCTCTACAGCCTCATGCCCTTGGGGGAGACATCAGCCACAGGTCCTCCGCTCTTTCTGTCTAGGTTTTATACAAGCAGAACTGGGAAGACACCAAGGAAAAGTACCTGCTTCCCCCTGATGCCCCTGAACTTGTCCAGGCAGTTAAGAACACAGCCATGTTCAGTAAGGTAAGGGCTTCTGCTCTGTCGCTACTTCTGTCCTTCCCCCATGTAATTCAGAGCAATAACCAGTCCTCTTGATAATCTGGAATGCAGTTTCCCAATCTCTTTGTGAGTATCCTTGAGCCACGTGGGGTGCAGGGGTGGGGGTGGGCATGGAGGAACTGAGAGGAAAGCTCTTGAGTAGTGGAAGAGAGGGTCTTGGTGGGAAGCCGAGCAATGTGGGGGGAAGAAAAAGTGGGGAGAAGGAAGATGCACCTGGGAACTGGCTCTCAGAGCCCCTGGGCTACACTGTGGGTATTTCTGGCTATCACTCTTATTAAATGTTTGTTTCGTGACAGAGACTAAGCAGAATGCCTCCGGGCTCCTTACACTCGCATTAGTCCTTGTTGTAGGAAGTAGGTAAAGTCCCAGAGAGGAGATGAAACAAAATCAGACGCATCTACCCTTCTGAAAATAAGATTTGTCAGAAGAAGCAGGACAAGCTATTAATAAATATGACTTGGACTGAGTGGAAAGGGGGAGGTTCTCTGCAGATTCCATTTCCCTTTACTCTTACCTTGCCCTCGGTTCTTGCTACTGATGGATGAATTCAAAATTGTGTATTTCGTGTAAGTGGGAGCTCACTTTCTCATAACTTTTCACCCTTTTCTGATTTAGAAACTGTACACTGAGGACTGGGAAGCTGACAAAAGCTTGTTTTACCCGTACAACGATAGCCCAGAGCTGAGAAGGGTGGCCCAAGCCCAGAAAGCCCTCAGTGATGTAAGTCAAGTGCAGTCAACATCATTTGGGAGTGCGGTATCGGGACACCTCAAGTTATGTCTTCTGGCCAGACGTTCATTGCAATTCTTCTTTCAAAAAGACTGAATGTCATTATAGCAGATGAATACATCTAGAATCATTACGATGTCTACTTAGATTTTATAATTAATTAATCCCAATCTTGGGGTTTTTTTTTTTTTTTTTATTAGGTGAAGAACCTGAGTCTGAGACCACATAGGTCATTAGTGGCAAAGCCCAGATTAGAAACCTGGTCTTGTGATCCCAAGACCAGAGTTCTTTCCACTGTAGCATGGGCCCTCTGTCCCCTTGTCTGGAGTTGAAGTTTTTTTCTGTGACAGTAGAGTGACATTTAAAAAAAAATCTTTTTGGGATCATAGACACGTTCCCAAATATATTAAGTGAAAAATGTCATTGAAGGCTTTTGATTTGCTATCCTAATTCTGAAGTCTGAATTGTGGTGTGTCCCCCCTTTTCTCCATGGACTGACACGCTTGTCCAAACATGTTTGTGTAGTTATCTCACAAAAAGCTCTTGCCGTCAGGTGTACATAGAGGATATTTCAGAGTTGGCAAAATATCCGCAGTCCCCACTGGCCAGAATTTTAGTGTCTTCCACCTTGAAAGCAGTTTATTAGAGGGACTTAGCAGACCTAACAGAGTCCTTAGGTGGAAAGCACCAGCAGTAGCAGAGAGCTCCCCTTCATTCTAGCACTTCCCCTTGTTTTGAGGAGCTTTATTTCTTGACCCCTGGATTTGCTAGAGGCTGTATTGACAATCCAAAGACTACTGCTCTCGTCTTCAGGAGAGCCCTGTTGTATAAAATAACAAGTTGTTTTTCATTCAGTTGTCAACGAGACCCCTCGAACCTCTCACATTCACTATGGACTTAACAAGTCAGTTGGCATCTTGAAAATTACTGGGATTTACTTCTAATGGATCTTAGGATCCTATCTTGTTCTGTACTGGAATTATGCATACTCCTTTGATGGTGTCTCCAACTTTTGAGGTCTTAATCTTTTATTGCCTCTCACTTGATATCATTTGCAAATTTAGGGGACATATTTCTATCCCAGTTTTCATATAATTGATTAAAATATAGCATAAGTGCTGTGAATTGTGTAAGACTGATGAATCACAGACCCGTACCCTTGGCACAAATAATACATTATATGTTAGTTAAAAAACAAAGAATTTTGCCCAGGACCAATGGTGCATTCATAGGCTTCAGTTTGATGAGGTAAATACTTAATAAATTCTTTTTTCATAATAAAAAATGATATAATAAAATATAGCATAGGTATACTTCTGTCTTTCCATAGAGTAAGTTAGGAACTAAAAAAGCCATTACAAAAATTTAAAGCCATCTAGTACACGGTACCAGTTTTAATGTGTAGGGACCTCTTGCTTCTCTTTTAAGTTAGTCTTTTGGTTCTGTATGTCATGAATAGATAATATTGTGTAACCTTTATCAAGCAATCAGTAGTTACTTATTTAAAGTCCATTATGCATGCATAGCTGGTGGGCTAGAAAAGTATGACAAGTTTTCATCCTTTCTCTCAAGACTTTATAATCAGGCTGGTAAGATGAAATTTTTATATATTAAACAATAAAAATTTTTTTCAAAAATTTTAGGAAGCAAATTCTATAGTCTAATCCTTGCTGAAAGACAGGACACATACAAGTAATTAGAGAAAGCCATGTGGAAGTGGAAATCCCAAGGGAAGGAGGACAATGAACAGGAAAGTCATTTCAAGTAGAGTACCCTTGAACAAAGGGACAGAGGTGAAATGAGTCTGGAGGGGACAAAAGAAAGTGAATGCTGTGGGTGCCCAGTTAAGAGGGCACTTTTAAGAAACTGGTAGCAGGACCTTGAAAATCAGACAAAATAGCTCTGACGCGATATGGTAGTCCATAAGAGAGAACATACGATTTTTGGAGGGGAAAATAATGTGGTAAAAGTAGGATATGGAAAAATTCTGAAGGACAATATAGTAGATTGGGACTAGGAAAAACTGTGATCATTCGAAGAAGACTGTTTTATTTATACAGAGGGACCAAAGGGATGACAGGGACAAAGGAGAGGAAGAAAGGAATCTGAAGGTAGTAAGTATTTTAAAAGTGTTAAGGATATTGGATATTGGAGATGGAGTGAAAGGAGCCACAGAGCAGTTTATGACGAAGTCCGCTAGTCTGGGTGTATAGGGTTACAACAGGTGAACAGAGAAATGGAGTTGAGATGATGGAACATTCTGACCAAGGTATTTTATGGATAAATTAGAAACTTCGTCCTATCGCATAGGTGTGAGAACAGGATGAGAGATGAGTGTTTGAGAGTCCTCAGAATCAAAGGGACAGCTGAAGACCTGAAACTGTATGAGGGAGGCAGAACAGTGTATGGCCAAGGGCAGGGTTTTGGATGACACCCATTCTTAGGACACGTGGAAAGGAGCCAGCAAAAGAATGAGGGAACAAACAGAGAAGTTGAAGGAGAACCAGGAAATGCCATGTCATGTAAGCCTAGGAAGAGGTTGCCAAGAAGACACTTAATCTCCACGTTTCCCTTTATCCATAAAATGGAGAGATGGAGGGATATCTCCATGCCACTCTAGTGCTATGGACTTTGAACAGTGAAAGTTTACCCCATTTTTTGAGATAGCTCAGTAGAATACATAATGGAGAATATATAATAATGAAGGAAAATCTTCCCATCCTTCCTCAGAAAAACTTGACCGTTAAGATAGGGCTTTTAATTTTATTGCAGGTTATGCACCAAGTATCAGATTACCAACATGCCTATTAATACTGTTGTCCGTACCATGAACTTCTGCAATTATTGGGCACAGAGCCCCAAGCAAGCTGTTGTTCACAGAACATACCGCTGGGTAGGCATGTAGATTTCAAACTAAGCGCTTGGGTTTGGAAGCTTTCTCTCCCTCTCCTGCACCTTGTTCCTTTTTCTCTGAAACCTACTTACCATGTTTTTCCTGCTATCTGAGCAAAGACAAAATACTTTGCAAATACCAAGAGAGTCTTTAAGTTGATCCAATGTGCAGAATTCTAACTAGACAGAATTCTAAACAAGGTTCCTGAGAAATTAGGACTTCTAAATCTGATTTCTCTGAAGGTATTTGACAGGATGTCATACTTAGTAAGCATTTCTCCTTCTCTTTAGATAGGATGTTGCTTATTCTCTGAGGACTTAGCCAGCCATGGAAAATACCAATCGCCCTATGCCTAAAATAAAGTCTTCACTACTTAAAAATTGAGCAGTGGAATTCATATAAATGCATTTTAAAATTGGTCTTTTGCATCCCCCATTGATTTAATGTTCATAAAAGCTTTTGTTATAGGCAGTAGGTAGATATTATTGGGTTAAGACATAGTTAGACTTGGTTAGCGCATGAAGATGATGACTGGGACCCTGGAACTATCCAGACTCTTTACAATGTAAATAAGAATACCTCCACGTGGAAGGATAATATAATTTGTATATGTCTCACAAGTGAGTAGTAGAAGAGTTGGGATGATAAAACTCCTCTGGAGATTTCCCCCAATGGCCCCAGTGTATAAAACACACATTCAGAAATCAAGTCATTGAACCTTTGCTCTGGTCAGGTTCTGTGCACGCCACAAGGGCTCCCAGATGAGAGGTTATGTTTTCTGTCCTCCCAGAGCTCCACAGTCCAAGGAGGGACAGATAAGTAAACAATGAATCATAGTGTCCAAGAATTCCTTTAAAGGAGATAAGGGCCAAGGTGAGTGAGATCCCAGGAGAAAGTTCCTCAGGTCAGCGAGAGCTCAGGAGGGGAAACTGTTGCTTGTCCTGAGCCGTGGGGAATGAGCAGCAGTTTGCAAGCAGATGGGGAGAGCTTGGAGCTGGGGCATGCCAGGGAAAAGGGAACAGCAGGTACAAGGTCCAGAAGCTTAAGAGGATTTCTTGTGTCTGGGGATCTACAAATAGTTCTGCATTTTTGGAGGCAGGGGTCAAGGCTGGTGGTAGAAAAGTCCCTAGTAGTCAGTGAAGGAAAAAAAAAAGAGGGTGAGAGCGAAGGGGTTGCATGATTAATGGACATGATATTTTCAGACAAGAGAGGCCTTTAATAGGCAAAGGAAAGGAGTTAATGAAGAGGGAGCGGTTGAAGCTGTCAAGAAAGAGAAGAGGTGACGGATGGAGCTGGGTGCAGAGGGCTGCTGGAGGAAACAGCAGTGTGAGTGCAGGGGTCCTGCCCTGCAAGGGCTGCTTCTCTGAGCCATGTAGCAGGTGGGAGGGGCAGGGATGAGTACAGGGAAAGAGAAGTATGTGTATATAGCCTTTCTTTATGAAAGAGGGAGCTGAGAGTTGACTGGGGGTCTAAGGACAGTCTTGGGGTTTTATGCTAGCCACTGAATAGAGACTGACCAGAGATGCATAATGGGATGTTCAAGCTTCCTTGGAGGCAAAGTGGCAATTCTTACCATAAATTCCGAGTAGTGGGCACAGAGCCCCACGCAAGCTCTTGTTCACAGAACGTATCACTGGATAGGCACCCAGACTTCAAGCTAAGGGTTTAGGTTCAAGAGACTCCCTTTCCCACCTCTGTACCCTTTCCCAGTGGCCCTTTTAATTGTGCTTATTGCATTGTCCTTATCCAATCAGTAGAACTGTGTGATTTTTTTCAGCAGCACTCAGCATCCTGGATAAAAGCAAAGGAAGTGTGCTGTTGAGTTGATTCAGAGCTAGGGGTTTGGTAGCTGGTGTGATATAAAGACAAGAGGTTGTAGGACACCTGGGTGGCTCAGTCGGTTAAGCATCTGCCTTCAGCTCAGGTCATGATCCCAGGGTCCTAGGATTGAGTCCCACATTGGGCTCCCTGCTCAGCAGGGAGTCTGCTTCTCCCTCTCCTTCTGCCTGCCGCTCTCCCTGCTTGTGTTCTCTCTCTGTCAAATAAATAAAATCTTAAAAAAAAAAATAAAGACAAGAGGCTGGGAGTTGAGGATGCCAGTTAACAGAGTAATTTCAATTATAAATCATGGCATAAAGACAAATGGAAGGAACCAGACCTAGGGTTAATAATCTTGGAGAAGAGGGAAGACTTAATGAGATAGAAATCCCTAGTAATACTGAGACCAAGGGTGTGTCATATCTGCAAGGATACATTACTGTTATGTGATACACTAACGTTCAAAACTTCAGATACAGATGAAAACATAGTTTTTTTAAAAAAAAATCCAACAAACAGAATCTGGGATGTAGAATAATTTTCTATGGTTCATGAGCATCCCCATCTTTTATTTTGTCAGATTGCCTACAAAAAAGGTCATGTTGAACAGCAATCTCAATTCACAACGCTGCCGGATCCTCCAGATATAGAATTTGCTAAGAAAGTGACCAATCAAGTGAGCAAGGTAAGTAAATAGGGCTGGAACACTGTCTCCCTTGAAACCTCTGGCTTAATCATCTCAAACACCAGAGAAAGTAAGTAAGGGGAACCCGAAGACCCAACACCAACACTGAGAGTATTTTTGCAATATGACCCTAAAAAGTACAGCAAAAACAATACATCCGTTAACACTGTGGGGCCATGTTAATAAATGTTCGTGATCGGTAAATGTGAAAGCTGCATTTTAAAAAACAGAACCTGTGTCCTGATGTCATTTGACATCGTGACTTCAGAAAGTGCTACTAACCAGAACTGAGTCACCACACATTTTCTTGGAGGATCTGATTGTCTTAATTCAGTGTGAAGAACCTCGTACGGTTTTATGCTCTCTGTCAGACATGGAGAAAATAAGAATGCATGAGTGATCTCTCAGACATGGCTCAGTTTGACAGCCGTGGGCAGTGCACCTCATAACTTTTAAGCTTTGTCTATATTTAGGCTGGTAAGCTAGCTCTGTGGAATGCAGACCTCACAGAGAATGCCGAGAGACAGATGTTCAACTGATGACCAGACCCATGCTAAAGTCCTATTTTAAATTGGTTCAAATCAGGCCACTTTCTCCTGGGATACTGCTGCTTTTAAATACTCTTCTTTGCTCTCTGTGGAGTTCAGTCCCAATTTGGTCTTCTGCTTCAATTTTGGGGGAACCTCAAGGTTTCTATCTTGTTTAGGTATTTTGGGGGAAAGGCTGTCTCCAGGAAAGGAGAAGGAGAAAAATGATCAATGATGAAGTCTATTCAGTGATGTTTTTAGTGTCTGATATCACAGACTTCTAACTATAACCAAGGGCTATTTGGATAATAGATCTGATAAGTACAGTAAATTTTCACTAATAGGAATACCATGAACCTGAAATTTGCCCAGGGCAAAGCAGAAATGAACTTTAGAACTGTCCATAAAGAGCTGGCCTGCTGAAAATATTGATACTTAAATAAAATTAGGGAACAAGGATAATTGATCCTTTTTGAAGAAAAAGAACAACCTGATTTCAAATGGTCATTTAGAAAGAAAAAAATCTATTTTTAATTTTTATTTGAAGCATATTTTAAAAGATATCTTACTAATGCAACACACTTTTACCTTATTTGAGTGTGCAGTGTGGGCACTTGAACATGATAAAAAAAATAAATCCCTTTCCAACTGCTCTATAATCAGTCTCCACTAATTTAGACGTGCCAGTTAGTCTAGAATTGCACTCTTCGATGTAGTGGCCATCAGCCACGTGTGACCATTGAGCATTTGAAATGCGATTGTATAAACTGAGGGTCCTATATGCATGAAATGGACACTGGGTCTTGAACACTTAGGACAAAAAGAAATGTGAAATAGCTCATTGTTTTCATATTGATTACATGTTGAAGTCATATTTTTGGACCTATTGGGTTAAGTAAAATATATTATTAAAATTAATTTCACACCTGTTTCTTCTTGCATTTTAAAAATTGGCTACTAGAAAATTTAAAATTACAGTGGTGGCTTGCATTATATGCCTGTTGGACTGCACCACCACACCCAGATATGGTGGCATCATTGAACATTTTGAAAACCTCACCAGTGCTGGTTTTGCCCTTATGGAATAACAATATGAGTCAAGGGAGGATGGCTGTGGATGGAAGTCACCAGATCTGGCTGTTCATCCCAGTCTTACCCAAATTCCAAGTTTTTAAAAGCTGCTGTGCATCCAAAATAATACTCACTTTGGGAAGAAATGCTTGTGATTGGTAGCAGTCCATCCATCAACAGACCATCCCATGAGAGAGGACTAGGGCCGTGGTGGAGGAGAGAGAGGTGATTGAGCTGTGGGACTTGCCTCTGTTCTCTTGAAATGTTCCCCACAGTCATGGGCTTTGACTCATATTTCAGTATTATCATTTCCTTGCTTTCCAACATGAATAAAATCTCCTTTATCTACTCACTCTTAGGTATTTAAATTCAGTGTTTCCCAGATCCATCCCTGAGTCTTACAGCCTTCGGTTCATATGTTAATATAATGATTGTGTATCTGCAATGATTATAGGGCTTATATATTATACTATTTATCAGCTTTCCTTACTGTATCTGTCAGAATCCGTTCTCTCACCTTTGTCTTTGGCCGAAGCCACCAGCTCCATGCCAGCACTCGTCCTGACTCCGCTGTATTTTGTAGCTCAAACACAGATGGATAGGCAGGCAGGGTGGTTCATGTAAGCAAGCATTCCCGTGAGGTCACTGTGCACTCTACAACCAGCCGAAAGTGGGATTCTGAATGCAACATTGGGCAGTCCCTTTAGTTTCTCTGTCCTTGCCTCTCTGCTTCCTTCTAGATTCATAATGTGAGGAAAAATGTGAGATTTCAGGCTAGAATTTCCAGTGATACCTAACTGGGATCTAGAGTTGAAAGGAAGAGCTCTGTTTCCTTTACTCTCCGTGCACACTCCTGCCACTTTCACCACACCAACCAATTCTCTGACACTGACTCAGTGTCCTATAATTCAGTTCAATTCCGACATTATCTACCTGGTGTTCGCCTCAGATCTCACAAGTTAAGGGCTCAGACCCACAAGACAGGCCCTACTTCAGACTACTAGTCGTAAATCTGGACCTCCCATACTTCTGACAGACTGGCTTAAATCCAGGGTTCCCATGACCCACTCCTCAGGTTTAATAATTTGCTAATAATTGGCTCACAGAACTCAGGGAAACACTCTCTTATGTTTATTATATAACAGAGGATACAGATGAACAACCAGGATAAAGAGGTACCTGGGGTGAGGTCCTGAAGGGTCCCAAGCACAGGACCTTCCGTCCCTGTGGACCTGGGGTGTGCTACTCTCCCAGCATGTGGATGTGTTCACCAACCTGGAAGCTCTCTGAATTGTGCACTTCAGGGACTTTTATGGTGGTTTCATCACATAGGCCTGACTGATTATTAACTTCATCTCCGGCCCCTCTCCCCTCCTCAGAGGATGAAGGGAGGGGTGGAAAGTTCCAAGTTTCTAAGCATTGCTTGGTTTTTGTGGTGACTAGCCCCCATCATATTGCTATCCAGGAATTGTCTCAGAACAAAAGAAAACCCAGGGCATCTGGGTGGCTCAGTCGGTTAAGCCTCTAACTCTCGATTTCGGCTCAGGTCCTGATCTCAGTCAGGGGATTGAGCCCCGTGTCGGGCTCTGTGCTCGGTGCGGAGTCTGCTTGTCCCTCTTTCCGCGCGCTCTCCTCCCCGTTGTCAAATAAATCTTTAAGAGAAAGACAATCCTATCACTCAGGAGATTACAAGTGTTTAGGAGCTCTCCATTAGGAACTGGGGGCAGAGACCAGTATATATGTATTTTAGTATTTCACTAGAATATTTTTAAAAGCATCTTTCAGTAAATATTGCTGCACAGCACAAAGATGCCAAGCTCTGATCTTCTAAAACCATGGAAACCCCTCTATCACAAAGAATTAGGGAGAGATTTCCATAGATTGCACTAGAAGAGATTTGATTGAGTTAGGAAAGCAGCCCTGGGCCCACTATGGGTTTTATGAAAATATCACTTGGGACCCCCTCCACCTGTCTGAGAGGATAGCATTTCTATGAATGAAGCTGTCAGAAGTCCCAGTGTTTAGCAACTCACAGAAAAACTGAAGTGTGATTAACTAACAGGCTTTGTATTCCTTCCATTTGATAACCACATCAAAACCACAGATGCAGATGTGGAAAGTAGAAAATAGAGCCATGTGTTTAAGTAGGACATTAGGGTGTCTAATTTGTGCCCAATGCAAGCCTTTCAGCTCATTTCTGAGGAAGCAATTTTACTACATCTATCGACATGCAGTTACTCTCTTGCCCACAGAAGGTGTTCCAGAGCTTGTAATTGACCCAATGTACTGTCCTCTGTTAAATGAACACAGAATCCTAGAGAAAGTTAAATCAATTCTTGCTGCCAGGTTTCCATTGATTGACTTCAAACATGACAGAAGGGCTAGAGTGGAATTGGAGGGAAAGTTGGGTGTTGGACCCCTGGTATGGCTAACCCATCTGTGTGTACCATGTAAACACTCAGGCCTTGCTGCCAGACATGTAGAGTGAGACCATTTGGTTGACAGAGGAGGTCCCACGTGGACACACACCTCTGTCTTCCCCTCATTCCTCAAGCTACAGGCCTTTATTCTTTCAACTCCTCTCCTACCTGCAGATGAAGGGGAAGGCAACTGTTGTTCCTCAACAGTTAACAAGCTGCAGCCTCAGTCCCTTGTAGTGAGAATCTTCCCAGACTTGGGAGTACTCAGGGCTGAATTGTGAGAGATCTACTTCCAAGGTGACCCATTTTAGATACTGGTTCATGAAGAGAAAGAAGTGGGGATGGACTTGGGGTGAGAGTGCTGGGTGGTCTTATACTCTTGTATCTTGTTTTATTTTAGTTTTTAGTTTTTGTTTTTTTTTTGGAGAGAGAATGTATGAGTGGGGGTTGGGGGGGTCAGGAAGGAGCAGAAGGCAAGAGAGACACACCCAGGGTGGAGCCCAACACAGGGCTCAGTCTCATGACCCTGAGATCATCACCTGAGCTGAATCCAAGAGTCAGATGCTTAGCTAACTGACCCACTGGGCGCCCCTGCATCTTGTTTAAATATCTTTTAAAACATCAGATATCTATGTCTTAATGTGAGAATTAATTTTTACTTAATTTTCTTTAACAAATCTACATATGTGATTCTTATTTCTCCATAATGGCCCAAATTTTGGACCTCATTAAGAATGTCTGCTCCGTCGGTTAAGCCTCTGCCTTTGGCTCAGGTTGTGATCCTAGGGTCCTTGGATCGAGCCCCACATCAGCCTTCTTGCTCAGCGGGGAGCCTGCTTCTCCCTCTGCCTGCAGCTTCCTCTGCTTGTGCTCTCTCTCTGACAAATAAGTAAAAATCTTAAAAAAAAAAAAAATGCCGCCTTCTCAATTTTAAATTATATTACAAAGTTTTGGGGATACATCAGGCCCTGTTGCCCCTACCCCCTAATCTTGGAGGTTTCTTCCTTTGACAGCAAGCAGAGGAAGGGCAATATCCCCCACCCAGAATGTAGATTGGAGATCTTAACCTGTGCATGTACATCAAAAATCCTCTGAAGTTGTGTTTATGGGCATTTTATAGCTTTCTCAGATTTCTGAAGAGGTCTATTCCCCGAAAAGATTAGAAATACTTCTATAGGCAATCAGCCAATCAAAAAATCCATTTTGACCAATTGAATTCGGTCTGTTTTGATTGACTGAAGAGTTGACTTCAATTTTTTTAAAGCTTCAAAAGAGGAGAGTAGATTAATTGGTGCTTTAATGTAAATATTATCTCAACAAAGATTTCTATCGAAGAATACACACACAGTTTTCTCCAGTTTCTTATTCTGTTATGCTAGCAATGTTATCATTATTATTACAGTTATTGTAGCCTACATTTATTTAACACAGTAGAGTTTGCAAAGGACTTTACAGGGTATGAACTTATTTAATCTTTCCAACAATCCTCTATGGAAGGTATTATTATTATTGTTGGTGCTGTGGCTGAGAACCCTGAAACTTGGAGAGGCTAAGTCACACCGTTGGTAATAATGGAGTGCAGTCTTGGGCCCAGAGCTTCTGGACTCAGGCCCAGGGCTCTAAAATTTATAGTTATGAAAACCACTTGGCTATTTATTGGCATATTAAGCTCTTGAGAAGAAAGGGTATAGGCATTTGAGAAAGGGTTGAACATCCTTTAACTCAAACTCACTGGCTCTGCACATCGCTCCTTCTTGGCACTGGTTCTGTTAAAGGTATACCAGAAAACCACTTTCTTTTCTCTTAAAGAGTATAGTGGGGGTATATGTGTGCAGATACCTTGAGACTCATTGGTTGTGTCTGTTAACACATTTCCCAAGAAGGGGAAATTGCTGTAACTCAGCTATGGATCTGGTTCATATGCCCAGATTTGGGGTTGACTAGTTTAATTTTATTCTAAGAACAGTATAGGCCAAGGTAGTTTGAAGCTACATATCATGGACTCAGCTCAATTTAGTGTATTTGAGCATGCATTTATGAGGTCATTTTTGTGTGCTGCATTTTTTGGGGGTGGTGTTTGGGAGTAAGATGAGGCAATTTTTGAATTACTTGCCAGTTCCCATTAAAATTTCTTTAAGTCTCAACTGGAAAGTCTTATTAATTAGTCTGCAAGCCAAATTTTATATTGCTTTCTGGGTAACTAGAAGTTTTGGTAAAGCTCAGAAATAAGTTCACCTGGCATGGAAATCTGGGGTTGAGTGGTTTTATTATAACTCTGAAATACAAGTGGAGGATGCTTCTGAGTCTCCTCCCTCAAACATCAGAGAATATCCATAAGTTCTGAATGAACTAAGTCTCCAGATTCAACAATAAGAGGGTCAATTATTACCTCTACTGCCTCGCTCAACTTTCTTGTTGACACTATACTAGAAGATTTGAAAACACCTATTAAGAACTTAAGGGCCATAGTCAAGATATTTTTTTATTTAAAAAAATTTTTTTTAGAGATTTTATTTATTTGTTTGACACAGAGAGACACAGCGAGAGAGGGAACACAAGCAGGGGGAGTGGGAGAGGGAGAAGCAGACTCCCTGTGGAGCAGGGAGCCTGTTGTGGGGCTCAATCCCAGGACCCTGACCTGAGCCAAAGGCAGACGCTTAATGATCCAGGCGCCCCTATTTAAAAAAGTTTTTAAAGATATTTTTAAAAGCTGCCCATTACCACTTTTCTGTCTTACTTGTCAATTTCTGTATTTTCTATATTTTGTCTTCCCTTCTTTTTTTCTCCTAGCAAAAATACAAGGCAGACTATGAAAATAAAATCAAAGGCAAATGGAGTGAGACACCTTGCTTTGAAATTGCAACCGCCAGAATGAATGCCAATAACATCAGCACGGTAAGTAGCAAGGAATGGCTGGATGCTCTTGGGTTGCAGGATGACCCTTTCCTTTATGACCCCCAGCCACACCTGAAGTAATACCAGAACATTAGAGTCCAGGTACCTCTTCTTGGGGGCAAGACCTGTGTAGAGTTCCTAACCAGAGAGAAATCTCCCAGTCTTTCCTCCCTTTTGCGAAATACTGTTTTGATCAGATTCCATTATTCTTGCCTCAATTTTCAAATGAGCAACAAGGTTTCAAGGTTTATACAGGTTAAAGGGGCCCTTTTAAATTCATTCTTTGCCTGGGAAACCCAAACTAAGAAATCTCCTAGTCTTTCCTCCCTTTTGCGAAATACTGTTTTGATCAGATTCCATTATTCTTGCCTCAATTTTCATATGAACAACAGGGTTTCAGGTTTATACAGGTTAAAGGGGCCCTTTAAAATTCATTCTTTGCCTGGGAAACCCAAACTACATTTATGAAACTGACTGGTTTCTTCCCATATTGTCTTCACTGAAAAACACTCTTTTTCTTTTCTCTGAAGTTCTCTGACCCTGGCCTTTGGAGCTCCTTCTTAGAGGCTGGTTTTCAACCTCTTATAATTGTTCCAAATCTCTGTTAAGTTGCTAATTGTTCTTGTGATGGCACTACCATCTCTCCTCGTAACCTGACTGTGTAAACCAAGAGGAGTGGGGCTGTGTGTAAGCTCTCCAAGCAGCCCCTGTCCCGCCGTGTGAACCCTTGCATGGTCTGTGCTCACAGCAGTTCTCCAGCTTGTTTAATGTCTTACAGAGGAAATACCAGGAAGACTTCGAGAGTATGAAGGACCAGATCTACTTCATGCAGACCGAAACGCCGGAGTACAAAGTGAATAAACAAGCTGGGGTGGCAGCTAGCAAGGTATGAGGAAATGCTCTCATTTGTCATGATGGTCTTATTGGGGGTGGATTTCTTATAACTCTTGTTTTTGTATTTAATGAAAATAAAGAGGATTCTTGGGCAACAACAAAACAAGTACTTTGGGGTTGTAATAAGGCTACCAAATTTTTGAAAAATTTTGCAGGTATGAGCATTAACAATACTCAAGTACCATCTTCAATATTTCATAAGGGACCTTTTGATACATGCAAGTAGAAAGGCTGTGCTCTCCAAAAGAAGGACCCCTCAAGAAAAGACAACTGGCAAACATCTGAATATGGACATTCCCACACTCGCCATCACCATTATTTTTTTTTATTTTCCTACTAATGGTGAAAATCTAGTCACAGACAAGTTACACAGATCCATGGATATGCTCATATACTCTATAGAGTAACTTTGGTAAACAGAGTCCTTGGCATTCTAGAGCACTAGAAAGCCTATAAACTTCACAAACAGACTTGATTCAAACCTTGGCCTTGGTTCTGCTGAAGGAGTGAAAGCAAGAAAATCTCATCACCTAGGAAGCTATTTCAGTCTCCAGGTGCAACATAGTGATGTTTTGGATCAGGAGGCAAGCAGGGCAGGTGATGAAATTTGAAGGTAGAGCTGATCTTGTTTGCTGTTGGGTTGGATGTGGGATATGAGAAGAAAGTTTGGGTCTAAGCAACTACATGGATGGGATTTCCCTTTACAAGAGAAAGAAGAGTGTGGAAGGAGTGGATAATTATTTTTGGAGGGGAGACATAGGCTCAGCTTCCAATATGTAAGATCTGAGATGCCTTTTAGACGTCTGAGTGGAAACATTAAGTGGGCAGTTGATTGTATGAGTCTGAAGTTTCAGGGGAGATATCTGGAAGGGTTGTATAAATTTGGGGGAATTGGGGCGCCTGGGTGGCTCAGTTGGTTAAGCGACTGCCTTCGGCTCAGGTCATGATCCTGGAGTCCCAGGATCGAGTTCCGCATTGGGCTCCCTGCTCAGCAGGGAGTCTGCTTCTCCCTCTGACCCTCCCCCCTCTCATGCTCTCTCTCTCTCTCATTCACTCTCTCAAATAAAAAAAAAATTGAGGGGAATCATCAGTATATGGATAGTATTTAACATCATAAGACTGGAGGCCATCAAGGGAGCAAGTGTAGACGGAAATCTCTAAGGACTAAAGTCTGGAGTATCTCCATGTGAACACATCAGTGAGATGAGGTAGGAGTAGAGTTGGGAGAGAGTGGGAAGCGAGTGAAGGGAGAAGGGAGTGATCAGCTATGTCAAATGTTTCTGACATGAATTTACCAATGTCTGGTCTCTGATGAACTCAACAAGAGCAACTTAGTTGAGTCTGCTTAGAGAGGGCTCATGATTGGGTGAGAACAGAGAAATAGAAGAACGTAAGCATACTCAACTTTTTCAAAGTATTTGCCTGAAAGGAAAAGAAGAAAATGAGGTAGTGGCTGAGGGATAGGTGGGTGAAGAGGGGATTCTTTTAAGATAACAAAGACACCATGTTTCTATGCTGTTGGGAAAAATCCAGTGTGGAGGGAAAATATGATATCTGAGGCGGGAAGAGTGGCTGGAGTGATATCCTTGAGTAGGTGAAAGAGGAAGGGTTCTGGTGCTTAACAGGAGGGGTAACTTTGCCACAAGTCCTGACAGTTCATCCATAAACAGGAGAAGAGGCCACATATTCCAGATACAGTTAGGGAGATAGGAGGGTGTGTGGAATTCCTTTTCTGGTTGGTTCCATTTTTCAATGAAACACATAATTCTGTAAGATAGAAAGGTTGTGTCTTTCATTCCTATAGATTATCCTCTGTGAGTCTTCTGTGTGTGCTGTAGGGGGTGGTACATCTCTCTTTCAGCTGTGTATCTCCTGCCTTTGGAGACCAAACTGATGATATTTGGTTTTTGAGGTTCTCAGATGTTGGTAGACTATCCAGGATTCTGTATCTAGGTCCTGTATTCTACAGTTATGTTGCCGGAATAAATGGCTGACACTGGGGATCATGGTCAGAACTAGATCAGTTTCTTGTTCTCCCTTTTGGCATGTTCCTGACACAGGGTGCTCATTTTAAGCTTCTGCTAAAGCTAGAATCAAAGGTGCAAAGTGGGAAGGGCAGAAAGAAAAGGGAGGTTGTCATCCTTCATCCAACCTCCAGCCCCTCCCTCTCTCTTCTGCATGTACATTAAATACACACATGCTCACACACAGTCCCAGATGAAGCATAAGAGGGTAGATTGATGATGCTTCTGGCTTGCTTTCTTTAAAGATGTGTTGGCACATTAGGCAGCTGGAAGCTAAGAGCTAAATGAGGGTTGTGGGGCAGCAAGTGTCTGGGACTTGATGCACTGTCATTTGTGTGTATCTTTTTCTCTTTGAGGGCGGGCACCAGGGGCTATTCTTTCTTGGACCTGTCCCAGAGCCAGCGCATAATCGATACCCTATGGACATTTTTGAATAAACAAATGAATGGGAAGAAAAGTTATCCTGGAAATGTATACAGTTGCACTGCTGCTGTTATGAGTTACTCTGAGTATTTTGTTTGTAAAATGTCAAGCTGCCACTTTTCTAGAGAGAAAACTGATTTGTGGAACTATGTCATAATATCGTCTCGTAATAGAGACGAGAGCAAAAATAACCCAGAGCATTACTTTCTCATTTTATTTCACTCCTACAGGTAAAATACAAAGAAGACTATGAAAAGAATAAAGGAAAAGCAGATTATAATGTACTTCCTGCTTCAGAGAACCCACTGCTCAAGCAGCTGAAGGCGGCAGGAGATGTCCTGAGTGATGTAAGTACATTCTTGTTAAAGAGTGTTTTTTAACCTTAGCTGCCAGAGAGATGAAATTTTTCTCCTATAATGACTAAATGCATATATAACTTTGAAAATACTTTAAGATTCTAGTGTAGCAGTTCCCCTGAACTGTTTACCCACAGGAAGACATGAAGGCCTCTGAGTATGATGTGTGTCAGTTTTGAGGGGCCTGTGGATTTAGCTCAGTAGGCAGAGAAATCCTCATTTGCTTATGGGCTCTGGTGCCTGAGCTTCCATATGGGCAAAGAGTATGCTATAGGAGATACATGTGATCTTGATACAGGCAGAAGGAGACTTTGAGAGGGGAGGAGAGTGGGAGATGAAGTTGTGCATGCACGCTGCCCTTGTGTTCTTCAGGCGGGGTGAGGACAAACTGCCTGTGTTTCACAGCTTCTTCTCCTCACCTCCACCATTCTCTGTGCAGATCTTTCTCTAGAAACCATCATTTGCCGACAGTGTGACTTAAAAGATGGCTCCCTGAGTCTTCACAGGAGTTTCTACGTGTGGAATTAGTCTGACCAATCCATTAGATGTAAAATAGATTGGATAAGTGAGAAAGGGCATTAAGAGACTAACAGCCCGAGACCACTTTGACTATATAAATAAAGAGACTGAACATGTGATCAGTTGAGTTTTTCCCTTATAATTACACTGTATTAAGCTTTCCCAATATATGAGGATTATACATGGTTCTCTCTGTGGGTTAGTTATCTTTTCTTTGTCCCTCGAATTAAGTCAGCACCGTAGAAATGTGTACATGTGGTTCAGGAAGGGGGTGAGTGGAGTTGGAGTGGCAGGTGAGAGAGTCCATGCATCTGTCCAAATAGCTCTGTTGGGAAATCAGTACAAAGCAGGTCTCCTGTTTCCTAGATGAAGGTCATCTTTACCAAACGTCTAAAAGCCCAGGTTCAAATGTCTTTTGCTGATAGAGAACAATATAAAAATTTAAAAACCAAATAGCACCATTTACAATCTCAAAACCCAACATGAGAAAGTGACCAGACCTGCTTTCTCAGTTGCGCCTTTAAAATCCAGTAGTTGTTTATTGTTGTCATTAGAGCTAAATTTAAATCCTAGCAGAGAATAAGAGTGAGTAGCCTTATCATCTGAGCTCTTGTATATACCGTAATTTTAAGATACTGTCTGTTTGCCTAAGGGGTTTTCCCGTGGTGGAAGGAGGAAGGGAGAGTGCGTGTATTTCTCAATGTATACTAAACTTTCTCGTGAAGGTTTATTTAAAAAAAAAAAATTCACTCTTGTTCAGAATATTCCTGTTTGTTGTGGCACCGTCAGTGAGGGATGAGTCTGTGAGCTGGGGGAGGGAAGATGGAGCAGTGCTGAAATACACACAACTCCCCACAACTAAGGGCTTGGTCCGAGGCAGCAGACTGGTTTCTAGATTTTTTGGTGACTGTTAAAAACCTAAGCTTTGCGGTCATTGCTAATGGAAGAAACTTACCATTCACCACACCCCAATGTTTGGTTGTCAGTTTTTTGGTTTTTTTTTTTAAAGATTTTATTTATTTATTTGAGAGAGAGAGAATGAGAGACAGAGAGCATGAGAGGGAGGAGGGTCAGAGGGAGAAGCAGACTCCCTGCCGAGCAGGGAGCCCGATGCGGGACTCGATCCTGGGACTCCAGGATCATGACCTGAGCCGAAGGCAGTCGCTTAACCAACTGAGCCACCCAGGCGCCCCTGGTTGTCAGTTTTTAAGACAGTTGACAGGCGATATCTTTTTTTCTTCTTCGTTTGTTGAGTGTTGGGCCATACAAGTGTTATAATCAGTGTGGGAGTGACAGGAATCTACTTTAACTGATCTTTTTTTTTTTCTTTGACAGAAACTATACAAGGAAAACTATGAAAAGACAAAGGCAAAGAGCATAAATTACTGCGAAACCCCCAAATTTCAACTTGATACAGTTATGCACAACTTCACTAGTGATGTAAGTAGTCCTGTGTTTACTTCTTCTGTTAAGAAAAGATCCGTTATTTCCCCCAATAAATATGTGAAATATGTCTTTTCAGGCTAAATACAAAGATTCCTACTTAAAGAATATTTTGGGACATTACGTAGGCAGCTTTGAGGATCCATATCATACGCACTGCATGAAAGTCGCAGCTCAAAACAGTGACGTAAGTTCTAAGACAATTGTCTAGCTTTCCAACTAACACGTCTTTAGGGCATGAATAAATGGTTGCATCCTTATATCTGATTTCTTTTCTTCATAGAAAAACTATAAAGCAGAATATGAAGAAGACAGAGGCAAAGGCTTCTTCCCCCAGACTATAACTCAAGAGTATGAAACAATCAGGAAACTGGATCAGTGTAAAGATGTAAGTCTACGGTATGAACTTTGCCTGTCCTGCCCTCCGTAGCCTCTAGGGGTCAAGAGATACTTACAATGGTAACACTTTTCAAATAAATGCAAGCAAGGAAATGGCAAGAAACAAAATTTATTTTGTAGTAGATGACCTGATTTCTCCTATTGTCATCCATATATTTCAAGGGGTAGTTCTAGTTCATTTCCCCAAAGAAGGGTTATCGGAAATCTGAAGAATGAGAAAGTCTCTTGTACAGATGTGAAAGCACCTCTCAAAAACACGGCAGTCTGATTAGAAAAGAGCCCCATGTTTGATTAACTATAAGTTTCTTTTCTTTTGGGGAATGGCTTCTGCTTGCTTGGCCTATAGGCCAACTTGGATTTGACCGCTAAAACAATTCCTTTTTTCCTCCACAGCATACCTACAAAGTCCCTCCAGATAAGACAAAATTCACTCAAGTCACCGACTCTCCTGTTCAGGTGCAAGCCCAAGTCAATTCCAAACAACTGAGTGATGTAAGTTCCTTTAAATATGCAGGAAATCCAGTTAGGAGGGTTAACCTATCGTAAGTCCATATATAAAATCCAGGGACTTGTCACATTTACCAAAAAAGGCTAAGTAAGTTTTAGCACATTTAACTTGTCTATATTTGTAATCACCTAAAATATCTCCTTATTTAGTTGCCTTACATCTTCTCAGATGGATAACAATGATAGCAAAAATGGTTCTAGAAGGGGAATGATGTAGCTTACTGCCCTGGAAAGAACATGAGTTCTTGAGTCAGACAAGACTGGGTGAAATTCCAGCTGTCTTTACAACCTGGCAGCATAGGCAAATTGTTGAACCTCTCTATGCCTCCTCTTTCCCTTCCGTAATTTGTGGTTGCTTTGAAGAGTAAATGAAAGGAGATACTAGTGTAGTAAATACCCTGGCCCAGAGCAGATACTCAACACACGCGATATCTCTGTCTCAAATAAGTTTCTGAAAAATGGAGTTTTTGAGACCAGTTTTATCCTGTGAGTTTTAAGTATGAACTTCCAAGCTTGTGTTGAACCAAACAAAACAATAAAAATAACCTCAGTCGATTTATGGCCAGAAATGAAGTCTTCACATAAGAGTCTTAACAAACCATAATGTGTGTGAGGGGATGTAACCAGGTTTGTTAGAACATGTTCTCCAGAAAGAGAGCATTGGCAACGGAAAGAGAGAAAGGGCTGTGAGTCTCAGAGTCCCCTGATTCTGAGGGCCGATCGTGATAATGCATGCAAGAGGGAGGAGCATATGTGAGAGAGCCACCTCCTTCCAGGACAGTCCTACAGGTTGTCAGTAACGCAGGGTGGCCCACCCTAGCTCTGGACCTCTGTCTCGATCTTAACAACATTGTCAGTTGTTATTTAAATAAAATGTATTTTACATTTTATTTTATGAAATGTACCACATGAGATTTTTGTATTTTGGGACAATTCTTCAGAACTAATTGTCGCCTTTACTGTCTCCCTCTATTTCTGTCTCTCTCACTCTCTGTCTCAGCTGAACTACAAAGCAAAGCATGAAAGTGAGAAGTTCAAGTGCCACTTACCTCCAGATACTCCTGCCCTCCTCCAACACAAAGTCAATGCCTATAACCTGAGTGATGTAAGTTCCCATATACTATGCCATGGGCTATCCTGTTGACCTGTGCTTTTATTTCTGGATTGTGTCTTTGAGTAAACACGTCTATGTTCAAGATGGGAAGAACATTTAACCTGTGTATCACGTCCCTATGCCTCTGCCCACATATCTTTGAATTCACCTTATAAATGTAGGTAGCAATGTTATAAGTAGCTTCATACAATCAGACAGTGTGTTCTAACCAACCCTCAAAATGCCACCAGTCATCTAGATTTAACTATAAATCATGTTAGCTATTTTAGCCATATATTCATTTGTGCTATACTAAAATTAATTTTCCCCCAGGACCTGGGTTTTTTAGATACAATTTCATTTTATTTATTCCTCAGATGTATAATGTCCCTTATTTCACACAAATGGTGCTTATTTCTACATGTAAGAGAGCTTACACTAAGATATATAGGGTATTCAAAAGGAATTAAGGCCAAGGTTCCATTGCTACCTTTCATTCTAAAAACTTAATTTTGTAGAAAAGTCAAATTCTCCTTGGAGGGGAGATCTCAATTTCTTCAACAATTCTATAAATAAGTACTTAGATTATCCAGCATCAGTGAGTATTGTAATGATTCAGGAAATAATCTTTTCAGAGGACTTTGAGATCAAATTAAAGTGATAACTTTAGACCACAAAAAGTAAATTAACTCTAGAATATTTGTGCCACTCTGTGAAGTACTCAGTGTTAGGAATCAGATATTAGTATGGTCACTAAAATTAGGTAAATTTGATGAAAGATTCTAATGGGGAGTAGAGAACCTTGATCTTGGAAAATCAGAAGCTCCAGCTTGAAGCAAACTAACTAAAATATGCATGATTTTCTGGACAATGAAAATGGCCCATTTATTTCATAGTAAGCCAGAGTATTGAGATACTCATTAGTCTTTAAAGTGTGGTAAACGTGCATATCATTTTTGCCAATTCCTTTGTTAAAACGTTTCTGTCCAGAGTATCTATAAGCACGACTGGGAGAAGAGCAAAGCGAAGAAGTTTGACATTAAAGTGGACGCCATTCCCCTACTGGCAGCCAAGGCCAACAGCAGGATCGCCAGCGATGTGAGTGTGGCCTGGGCACCCGGGCAGGGGGCCCGCAGTGACGGTTCTCGGGGGGTGCCATCTGACCCATGTGACATCTTCACAGGTGATGTACAAGAAAGACTATGAGAAAAGTAAAGGGAAAATGATTGGAGCCCTGAGCATTAATGATGATCCCAAGATGCTGCACTCTTTGAAGACGGCCAAAAACCAGAGTGATGTGAGTGTCTTTGTAAATCTGTCTTGTTTTCAGATGTGGCTGCACTTATTGTTTACTGTAACTTCGGATGGGACATAGCCTAAATGAAATCTCTGACTCAGGATGACAAGTCAAACACGAAAGCCCACGGGGAAAAGATGATTAAGTTCCTCATTCTTACGACATCTCTGTACTTTGAGACACCAGTGAATACTATAAATGTTTCCTTAATCTTTTTAATGCAATCCATTTTATTAGGGAGAAAATACACTAGCAATAGCGTTTTCTTTATTGTTTTTCCCAGAAATGGGCTTAATATTTCAGTATGTATAAACACATATTCATTCCATGTCATGATCTGACTTCAGGTACTTTGCAAAAATATGTACAGAAAAATAAAAGACAAGAAGTGAAAAAATCAGGGGTGCCTGGATGGCTCAGTCATCAAGCGTCTGCCTTCAGCTCAGGTCATGATCCCAGGGTCCTGGGATCGAGCCCCGCATTGGGCTCCCTGCTCGGCAGGAAGCCTGCTTCTCCCTTTCCCACTCCCCCTGCTTGTGTTCCCTCTCTCACTGTGTCTCTCTCTGTCAAATAAATAAAATCTTAAAAAAAAAAAAAAAAATCAAGCCAAAGATCAATAAAGTAGGAAAACTAAATGAAGCATAACCTCAAGAACAAAGTATTTTAAGTTTATAAAATACTGATCTCAGTTTTAAAGACTAAAACATTAAAAATAAAATAAAACTCTTTATAAAAATTGCTTCTCTAAATCATGGCAGAAAAATACTCCCTATTCTGTATTATTTATAAGTATGCTTGTCTTTACAGTATATATTTGGATTTCTATATGGGAGAATTAAGAAGAATGTGTAGAAATACATGATACCTATAACAAAATGGAAAAACCATCTTTTCGTGTATTATTACTATAAAGAAAAATATTAGATCTCAGTGAAAAAAGCCAGCTTCCAAAGGTGTTGTAAAATGTGTTTTCATCAAGGGCTGAGCTGAATACTTTTCTAAGACAATGCCTGAGTATCTGAGGTCCACCTTATACCTTTTACCTAATTTTGCACTTTTTAAAAAATTCATTTTCCTTCAAACACATTCAGGTGGACAGAATTATTTTAAAACAGAAATTTGCTTAGACACCAGCATTGGTATACTGTGGTATATTCTAGCTGAGAAATGTTAGGATAAATAACACAAGCCCATATATGGTTATTAGCTGACTAGATTCTCCAAGACATGAACCTCTACCATATTCATTCTGCCTTTTCTGCCTTGTGGAAAGTAAATGCTGAAAAAAATACAAAATTTGCCTTTTTGGTTAAGTATAGCAATCATGGGAATGGCTTTTATACCATGAAATATAATTTTCTTCTCTGATTTTTTTTTCCTTCAACAGAGATTATACAAGGAAAACTATGAGAAGACAAAAGCAAAGAGCATGAACTACTGTGAGACCCCTAAATATCAACTTGACACCCTGATGAAGAACTTCAGTGAGGTTCGAAAGGCCAAGGGTGCCCTGGGGTGTGAGGGCTTTTCTACTGTTTGACAAATAACATCTACAATTGACATATCTGTCCGTATGCTTTCTTTTTCAGGCTAAATACAAAGATTCATATGTACAGAATGTTTTGGGACATTATGTAGGCAGCTTTGAGGACCCCTATCAAATTCACTGCATGAAAGTTTCAGCTCAAAACAGTGATGTAAGTTGAAGACCATTGTTCCTCTCAGTGACATTATTTGGGGGCAATAACAATCCTGATCTCTTTTTGTTCTTTCTCATTATAGAAAAATTACAAAGCAGAGTATGAAGAAGATAAAGGGAAATGCTATTTCCCTCAGACAATAACACAAGAATATGAAGCAATCAAGAAGCTAGACCAGTGTAAAGATGTGAGTCAGGGGCCCTGAGTTCTTGAAATGGGGTTTGGGATTCTTGGGCCATCTAGTGGTAGTTTTAGCAGGCATTTAAATGCTGACATCGAGTGGTTAGTTGATGTTAAATTTTAAATTTTGGGTGGAATTGGGGAGCACAAAAATTACTGTGAAGAAACCTATTTGTTACAAAATAGTTTGTGGTTTTATAAATCTTTACGTCCGGTAGTTTATATACACATGGCTTGGGATGGGGGTAGGCAAGATAGGGAAATTTCTGAGAGATAGGTGTTCATTTATTTAACGAATTTATATGAGGAGCTAGCTTGTGTCAGACACTGTCTTTGATGCTGGGAAAGAAGAGGGAACAAGGTGGGCTGCCTCTTGGGGAGCATGCATTTGAGACAGAGAGACAGACAATAAACACAGAAAGAAGGGGGGTGCCTGGGTGGCTCAGTCGTTAAGGGTCTGCCTTCGGCTCAGGTCATGATCCCAGGGTCCTGGGATCAAGCCCCGCATTGGGCTCCCTGCTCCGCAGGAAGCCTGCTTCTCCCTCTCCCACTTCCCCTGCTTGTGTTCCCTTTCTCACTGTGTCTCTCTCTATCAAATAAATAAATAAAATCCTTAAAAAAAAAAAACAAAGAAGAGAGAGACAATAAGACAATACATGTAGAGGGGCGCCTGGGTGGCTCAGTCATTAAGCGTCTGCCTTCGGCTCAGGTCATGACCCCAGGGTCCTGGGATCGAGCCCTGCATCGGGCTCCCTGCTCGGCAGGAAGCCTGCTTCTCCCTTTCCCACTCCCCCTGCTTGTGTTCCTGCTCTTGCTGTGTCTCTGTCAAATAAATAAATAAAATCTTAAAAAAAAAAAAAAGACAATACATGTAGAATGATGCTATAGAATTAGATTGATGTGGGGGAGAGAGAGAGAGAGACTGGATGGGCACCATAGACTGGGTGCTCAAGGAGGGCTGAGGGCAGGAATGTGCAGCCATGCCAAGATCAAGGTGAGAGCAACTGGAAGAACAGCCTAAGGAGAGAACAAACTTGGCACTTAAGGAATTGAAAGGATGAGGGAGCTAAAGGGTACCGGAGAGGGGGACAGTATTTAAGAGGTGAAATGGTAGGAGATGAAGGGAGGAGGGAGATGCTGTAGGGTAGGGCTCATCAGCCAAGGCACAGTTTAGGTTGAATACAAGTCCAGGGGAGAGCCTTTGTCAGGCTTCAGCAGGAAGAAGATTAATCTGGGTGCTGCATTGCAGCAGGGAGACCAGCTTGGAGGCAGCCGTCAGGTGATGGAAATTGAGAGAGAGAGAGAGGAGGGGAGAACATGTCAACCAAGTGTTCAGGAAAGAAACTCTATTTTTAACTGGAAACTTTTTATAGGTTAGTGTGTATGTGAACAAGAATATAAAGATACATTATGAAATTTCATGAAAGAATATCTTTTCTAGCATACATACAAAGTTCATCCGGATAAGACCAAGTTCACGGCCGTCACTGACACTCCTGTGTTGTTGCAAGCCCAGCTCAACACGAAACAGCTTAGCGAAGTAAGTGCCTTGATTTGTGCAAGTGTGGATGACCTAGAGTGCTGTGTTTATTTGAAATAGAAGCATTTTCACGCTTAATCTTCAAGGACTCATCTATCTACCCGACAATGTCATTTTTCAGGATTTGTTTAATAAAACGCAAAGGAAGCTGCTAGATCGAATTGCAGCCTCAGGGAAAATGGTGTTAGACAATAATAAAGATAATTAATATTTCTTCAATAAGATACCAATTTTTAGTGGGGAATTTGCCCATTAGGGTCTGTCACATATCCAAAATAATGCATACTAAAACTTCATGGCACCTTAAAGACAACAAAAGGATCTGTTTGCGTAGGTAACAAGGGAAGCATTTCCCATTCTTTAGTTTGCTCACGAAGACTTTACAAAAAGACAAAGAGTGCAGAAACAAGAAGGACATCAGGCAGTAAGAAGAAAACTAATACAGGGTGGTGATAGAGAATTCAAACAGAATGATGTGAGAGACAGTGAGTGGGTGGACACTTCAAGGAAGTTTTAAAGCAGAATGGCCAGCCATGTGAAGATCAGGGGAAGAACAGCCGTGCTTCTTGAACATTCACGTTCATGCGGGTCACCCAGTGACCCTGTTAAAATACAGATTCTGGTTCAGTAGGTCTGGAGGGATATGCTGACCCTCTGACAAGTTCCTCGGTGACCCCGATGTGCTGTTGGTGGACCACACTTTGAGTAGCAAGGTGCTAACGTAGCTAAGAGTAGCACAGCCCTCTTGGGAAGGAAAATACATTCTATCCTACTCTAAAACATGCTTGAGTATCACAGTGAGCTCATTTGCAATTGGTAAAGAAGGAAATGGCATCAGTGTAATTCAGGAGTCCTATCAGTTCATTATGCAACTTTTCCTAGCATGCTAATAGTTTATGCCACAAGAAAGGACAGCTAAACCCTAATATCACTGACCCAGCTGAACTTGGCAAGCGGCAGAGGAACAGGGTGCTGTGTGCAGTGTCTGGTCACCACATGCTCTTCTCGTTGGCCTGGAAAGGCCACGGGCTCTGTTTTGGAGGTGCTTATTACACAAGACTCAATCTTGTGCATTTGCCTTTAGCTCCAGAATTCAACAGCCTCATTCTCTCTTTCTACTCCCTCCCTTCCACCTATGTCAACTTTTTAAAAATTTAAATAAAGTGCTATATTTTACATTTTTATTCATAAGAATGTATCTTTTTAACTGTGCTAGCATTTTAATTATTTAGAATTATAGCTATTTTTGTGATTTCTCTGATCATAGAATTTAATATAAAACTTTGTTCCTGTCCTGAAGGGACAGCCTAAAAGTTTAGGTCCAACAAGTTTCCCCACACATACAGTGTGATAGATAGCATTTACAAAATGACAGCCCAAACTGGATTACGCTGTGATCCTGAAAGAGGGAGTGACGGTCAAAGCCCTGTAATGGACTTTGACTGGATAGACTGCCTCTTTGAGGCATGTTTCCAAAAAGGGTGGAAATAACTTAGCCATTGATACACACTTGAGAAAATTCTGACCCCAAACCGTTTGGATATCTTCTATTGTTTTCCAGCTGAATTACAAAGCAAAACATGAAAGTGAGAAGTTCAAGTGCAGTGTACCAGCAGATGCTCCACAGTTTATCCAACACAGAGTCAATGCCTATAACTTGAGTGATGTAAGTATCAAAGCCACAGAAATCTATCATGATGTGCACATGTGAAGAGGAAATGTTATGGGTGTTTAAAAAGACTAGATTAGGAGCTATGCAACTAAACAACTATGGCAATTGGTTTCAGAGTGTAAGTGGAGGTTTTAAGGCCTAAATGCTGGAAAGGCTCTTACTTAGCCATCCTATTCCATTTTCCACAGTCTCTGTTACCATCAGAAACCCTCAGATAATCTCTAGAGTTTTGCAAGATCTCTCCTATAAATGTCACATTTCACCTCCTCCAAGTGGTTGTCTTTTTACACTGTCCTTTATACATCAGCATAGCAGAATCTTTAGAAAGCTCACGGGGTATTAAAAGAAGTGTTTAGTATTTTATTTTGGTAGGTAGGAAGCTGGATGACAGATTAATGAATAATTATACTATCATTTGGTAAACACAGTATTTGTAGGTGAAGTAAGTCTACATATACAAATTTTCAGTCTGTTTCTTATTTTTACTGGATGAAGCTATGTTAGATGTTCTTACAATTCTTCTGATGAAATTTTCTGTCCAGAATATCTATAAGCACGACTGGGAGAAGAGCAAAGCAAAGAAGTTTGACATTAAAGTGGACGCCATTCCCCTGCTGGCAGCCAAGGCCAACAGCAGGATCGCCAGCGATGTGAGTGTGGCCTGGGCACCCGGGCAGGGGGCCCGCAGTGACGGTTCTCGGGGGGTGCCATCTGACCCGTGTGACATCTTCACAGGTGATGTACAAGAAAGACTATGAGAAAAGTAAAGGGAAAATGATTGGAGCCCTGAGCATTAATGATGATCCCAAGATGCTACACTCTTTGAAGACGGCCAAAAACCAGAGTGATGTGAGTGTCTTTGTAAATCTGTCTTGTTTTCAAGATGGCATCCCTGTTAACATGCCCAAGGATATAGCAAGTAAAAGGATTCCATACCCATGGGCTCTGTCCTGTTCCCAACTAACTGCTGGGGGTAAACTTTAGAAGTAGAATGATTTCCCAGATTCTTGTACCTTTCAGTGTTTGAGGAGAGAAATTACCGATTTATACTTGACGTCCATTTCACTTTGAAAAATGTTTTAATATTTAATAGAATATTGATTTTAATTCTCAGGGCTTTTTGGAAAACATCACTGGATATTTTCATATATTCTTCTGATTGAAAAATAACCTTTAAAATATAGTTTTAAAATTATCTTTATATTGGAAGAAAATCAAGAGTCATAGATAAAAATCTTATTGTTTACTATCATTGTTCTTTATTGACTTTAGCAATAGTATCAGCATAGGTTCAAGGAAAACACTCCATTGATTATAGGCCCCTCTGAGAGTCTGATGAAAGACTTGGATCATTCATCTAGAAAAATGAACTTTTTCTTCATGCCTTTTGTCTGAATTTCAGAGAATTTATAGATCCCTAAGGCTCGTCTATGGGCCAGCTCTCATCTTTTGGTTAAAATTCTTACTATAGGGGCGCCTGTCTGGCTCAGCCGTTAAGGGTCTGCCTTCGGCTCAGGTCATGATCCCAGGGTCCTGGGATTGAGCCCCGCATCGGGCGGCCTGCTCGGTGGGAGGCCTGCTTCTCCCTCTCCCACTCCCCCTGCTTGTGTTCCCTCTCTCGCTGTGTTTCTCTCTGTCAAATCAATAAAATCTCTAAAAAAAAAATTCTTACTATAGAGGAGAAAACATCTATTGCAAATTGCAGCATATACTGTGTTTAAAAAATGTTTAGAGAATTCCTTAAGAGTGGTAAGAATATTCAACATAGCCTGCAAATATTTTTTTCATATTAAATAGAAGAATGTTTGTATCATTTACCTTCATTTCAACCATGTTTTCATATAATGATCTATATATATCTTTAATTCATTTTTGCATGCTCTATATACTCATATGGCAGTTTAAAACATCCTGTATTCAGTAATTTTCTCTAATAACTTCACACTGAATCATGTCAGGATACAGTGCTCACATACATCATATTATGTTGTTCACTAGTTCCTTATCCCTTCTCAATTCAAAAGGTTATAGCTGTCTCTTGACAGCACATGTATCTCTATCTTTTGTTCTTTATCCCATCACAGTACCCATTAAAACACTAAGCACATAGTAGTGTTCAGTAAATATACTTGTTAATTGTTTGATACCGGCAACCAAAAGAGCTAGTCAATGATGAATCATTTTCACATACTATCCAGGCTAAATGCTAAGCTGCAGATACAGAACATGCATAGCTTTTAAAGAGAATCTTTTAAAGCCATTTGGACCTTTGACAACATTTTATATATGTAGATATGTGTGAACTGGCATGAACATGAACAAAAGAGTAAAACAATTTAGACAAAAACACTTCCACACATCAATGTTGTTGCAACATTGTTTTGTCAGTTTATTTTTTAAAGGTAATTTATTTTAGAGGAGAGAGAGAGCATGAGTGGAAGGGGCAGAGGGAGAGGGAGAGAGAATCTCAAGCAGACTCCACACTGAGCGTGGAGCCCAACGTGGGGCTCAATCCCACAACCCTGAGGTCATGACCTAAGCCAAAACCAAGAGTTGGACACTCAACTGACTGCACCACCTAGGCACCCCTATCAGTTTCCTTTTTTTTTTTTTTTTTTAAGATTTTATTTACTTATTAGAGCAAGAGTGTGAGCAAGAGAGCACAAGGAGGGAGAGCTACAGAGGGAGAGGGAGAAGCAGGCTCCCTGCTGAGCAGGGAGCTCGACGACGTGGGGCTCAATCCTAGGACCCTGGGATCATAACCTGAGCTGAAGGCAGACGCTTAACCTACTGAGCCACCCAGGCGCCCCCAGTTTATTTCTAATAAAGACAAACTATTTTTTTCAATGTTCTTGCACACTGTCAGAAAGTTTCCATATTTTATTTTCATAAACCAGAGTCCAGAATTTACAATTAAGTGATCAATTTATTCAGTGAAAGTGACTGCCCACAAAATATTTAGAAGGAAGATCACACTCCCTAAGAAAGCTAAAAGATCAGATTATTTGCAAAAGGAATTTCTACAGAAGATTTACAAGGCACATGTATGCTGGCTACTTTTGGTCAGTCTTTAATGCTTCTGTGATTATGGGGGGGGGGATATAATGGGTTTGGAATTTTCCTACAAGCACTGGGGCAGAATTTTTCTCTCTGTTAAGGTAACTGGTGAGTGGACATGATGAAGCTGGGACCTTGACCTAATTATCACCCTGTCTAACATTCCAGAAAACCAGCCAATAAAAGTGCCTTCTGAGGCCCAGTCAAGACATTTGGTTTATGAGAACACTATAATAAGTGCCAAAGTTACTTTAATGGCTCAGTTTCACAACTTTTCTCCTTTGAGGTCTTATTACTGCTGCAATCTGAAGCTTCTTTTAAATTGTTACCAAAATTAAACTTGGTATGAAAAAACCTTTGGGATTCTCAGTGGAGCTTATCTACTGTCAAAAGTAGAATAGTCAGGTTGAAAAAAGATCAGTAACCATTTAAAGATGACGTTAGAAAAGCCAAGTAGTCAGGTGGACAGCTTTATTCACAAAGTAGTCATTTTTATAAAATCAGAAGTATGAAATGATTGTCGTATAATTTTCATCAGTTAAAAAAATACTTCCTTTCTTTTTCAAAGATTTTATTTATCCACTTGTCAGAGAGAGAGCACACGCACAAGCAGGGGAGAGCGGCAGACAGAGACGGAGAGGGAGAAGCAGGCTCCCCGCTGAGCAAGGAGCCCGATGTGGGACTCAATCCCTGGACCCCGGGATCATGACCTGAGCTAAAGGCAGCTGCTTAACCGACTGAGCCACCCAGGCATCCCCAAAAAATACTTCCTTATTGGAAAACAATTCAAAGATTAGATGACCTTTGTAAAAATAATGCTTGTTAATGGTCCTTGAAAAACCCTGTGTTAAAAGATGTGGCTGAAGCAGGAGCTTTGGCCCACTCCTGATGTCTGACAATTGCTCTTTGATCTAAAAAGAGATTTGATCAGATATGTCCACGTTCAACTTTTTTGGAGGGAAAGGGTTCAATAATGTGTAACATATGAACAAATTTTAGGAAAAAATAACTACTCAGATGTTGGAATGTGCTTCTGTAACTCGAGTTTGTTGTTTATGAGAGATTTCTGTGCTTGTCTGGAAATCCATTGAGGATTTGCGGTAATAAATGGAAATTTCCTATTCACAGCGTGAATACCGTAAAGACTATGAAAACTCAAAGACTGTCTACACGGCACCTCTTGATATGCTCCAAGTCACTCAAGCTAAGAAATCTCAGGAAATTGCTAGCGATGTGGACTATAAGCACATCTTACACAATTACAGCTACCCACCCGATAGCATCCATGTGGATCTCGCCAAGAAGGCTTATGCCCTGCAGAGTGATGTGAGTAATCGGATTGTCTCTATTCCCTCTTTCTAAGGCGGAACCTGAAATAATCTTTAAGTGGAGTGATGTTTTTGACAGCTCTCAGAAGTGTTGGCATTGTCTTCTGTATGTAGCAAGTATGTGATGGGAAAATGACCCTTGTGGCTCAATGAGAGTGTAACCTTCAGAGTTAGAGAGACCTAGGTCTAGCATGAACTCATCACTATACCCCTTTTGGAAAGCTATTAACCTTGCTGAGGCTAGAGTCTTCCTTGTAAAATTGGAAATAAAGTAAAAGAATTGTTTGGAGAATTTAAATGCATGCAGAATACTTCGCTTAGTGTCAGGCCCTAGTGAATTCTCAGTAAACATTCAGAGTTATTATCTTCATTATTATCACAGTGACTGCATTCACTGTTATCAATAACTTTTTACCTAGATAGCTATCTTGTCTGAAAATAAAATGTCTTCTATATTTACAGCATCAATTTTCATAATCACTGAGGTTTTTTTTCTGCAAATGAAAACTTGTCTAGGCATATTAACTTGAACTGCACAATTGAACATTTCATCCTAACAATTCTATGTTTTTAGCATACACATAACATAAAACTTGCCATCTTCCTCCTTTTTAAGTGTACAGTTCAGCAGCAGTTAATTATAATCACGTTGTTGTGCAGCCAGTCTCCATCCAAAGCCTTTTCATCTTATAACACTGAAGCTCTATAGCAGTTAAACAAGTCAGTGTTTTTCCCCTCCCCCCAGCTCCTGGCATCCACCCTTCTACTTTCTGTTACTATGAACTGGGCTACTCTATAGACCGCATATATGTAGAGTCATTCAGTCTTTGTGTTTTGTTTTGTTTTGTTTTGTTTTTACTGGCTTGTTTCACTTAACAAAATGTCCTCAAAGTTCATTCATGTTGTAGCATGTGTCAGAATTCCCTTCCTTCCTGAGGCTGAATAATAGTCCATTGTATGTGCATACCACATTTTGCTTATCCCTTCATCTGTCAGTGGACACTTGGGTTGCTTCCATCTTTTGGCTATTGTGAATACTTCTATGAATGTAGGTGACCAATATTCCTTTGAGATCCTGCCCTCAATCCTTTTGAGTATACACTCAGAAGTGGAGTTGCTAGATCACATGGTAATTCTATTTTTAATTTTTTGAGGAACCACCCTCCTCTTTTGTACAGCAACTCTACAATTTTAAATTCCCATCACTAACAATCCTATTTTATGCATTATTATTTATTTATTTAATTCTGCTATGTTTCTTTCTCCCAAGTAGATTGTAAGCCTCTCAAAGGCAGGAACCCAATAGTTTCTTGATTTTTCATTCCAATTAAAAGGCCCACACTAAAGAACAGTAATTTGAATTTTGTATCTGGAATATAAGTTTTAGGTACCACCTATAGCCAGACAATGAGTAGCCTGTTATTTTATTGAGAGTGAGAGTGGGGATGGGGGAGTGGGCCAGAGGAAGAGGGAGAGAGGGACACCTATGCGGGCTGCACACCCAGCACAAAGCCTGATACGGGGCTCGATCCCACAACCATGAGATCATGACCTGAGCCTAACCCAAGAGTCTTAACCAACTGAGTCACCCAGGCACACCGAGAGTAGCCTATTATTTTAACGGCATCAGGTATGCCCCCCAAATAGGAAAAATTCCAAATGATAATGGCCTTCCATAAGCAAATTAATGAGCGCAACCATTTTAAAGTGCACTGTTAGCCAACCCTCCTAAGCTAACCATTACACGTGGAGGCCAGTGTATGCAAGCACATAGTGCAAGGAACTACTGTCAAATCTGATCTGATCGGAAAATGAGCAAAATCATCTATCTTTAATGTGGCCATCAGTCCTAATTTGACCAAAGAAACAAACATCTCACTTTATTTAAATATAACAATTTTATTTATTCTTTGAAGTATAGCTTTTTTTTTTTTTTTAAAGATTATATCTAATTATTTGATAGAGAGACAACAAGAGAGGGAATACAAGCAGGGGGAGTGGGAGAGGGAGAAGCAGGCTTCCCGCAGAGCAGGGAGCCCGATGCGGGGCTCCATCCCAGGACCCTGGGATCATTACTGAGCCGAAGGAAGATGCTTAACGACAGAGCCACCCAGGCGCCCCGGAAGTATAGCTTTAAATGTAGCATTTATCCAGATTGGAATTAGAGTTCCACATACTTCCCTTCAGTTGGAAATAAGGATGAGATGGAATATATAACAGCTAGAAGAACAGTAATAACCTAAGGGCTGTTAAAATCTCTCACCAAGGAAATACTTAAAATAACCTTAATATGGGGCACCCCCTGGATGGCTCAGTCAGTTACATGTCTGACTCTTGGTTTTGGCTCAGGTCATGATCTCAGGTTCTGAGAGAGAGCCCCACATTGGGCTCTGTGCTCAGCCAGGAGTCTGCTTGGGATTCTTTTTTCTCCCCCCCTCTCTCTGTCCCCCTCCCCCCCCCCCCCGCTTGCACTCTGTCTCTTTCAAATAAATAAGTAAAATCTAAAAAAATAATAATAATAACCTTAATGTATGAAGTAAGGAAGCTGGTCAGAAATCTTAACATCATTTTGGGTAAAATGTTGATGATTTTGTGAATAAGGATGATGCTGAGCAAAGAACTGTAACCTTTTTCATGGTGTTTTAGGTCGAATACAAAGCTGACTACAACAGCTGGATGAAAGGTTGTGGCTGGGTGCCATTTGGATCCTTAGAGATGGAAAAGGCAAAGAGAGCTTCAGACATCCTGAATGAGGTAAAGCCATCCCGTGTGCCACAGAGAGAGTTGGGAATGTGATGTATTAAAGCCCCCAAACCACAGAAGCATGTTCTTTTCCCGCTTCATTCTCTAGTAATTGTTGCTGAGAAAAAAGCACTTATCCAGGTAGATAAGCTTTACATCACCAAAATCATTTATGTTAACCATTCATGATAAAAAATATTTTAAACAACTTTATCAAGGTATAATTTGCATACCATAAAATTCGCCTATTTTAGGTGTACACATTGACAAGTTGCAGTAAGTTCGTATAGTTGTATGGTCATCACCATAATTGAATTTAAAAATGCTATTACACTAAAGTTTTTTTGAAAAATTCCTGCTCCCATCTTCAATGCCGGGCAAATGGAGATCTGCTTTCCGTCTCCATAGTTGTACTTTTCTAGAAATTTCTTTTGTATCAGACTTCCTTCACTTAGCACCATGTTTTTGAGGCTCATCTATGTATCTGCATGTGTCTGCAATTCATTCCTTATTATTACCGAGTAGTATTCCTTTGTAGCTGTATTGCATTTTGGTTGTTGGTGGACATGTGGACTCTTTCCACTTTCTGGCAATTATGAATAATGCATATAATGAATATTGTAGAAAATTTCCTTAAAGTATTATACCCTATGTCCTATTTCTTGATGACTTTGAAGTAGTCTGTAAGTTATTATTCAGTCTGAGGAAAAGGAGTGATGACCTTGCACTCTTCAGGTAGGCAGGTTGTATGTCCCTTCTCCTCCAACAGTGGAACATTCCCACTGCTCTCAAGTGAATTCATCATCAGGGAGGTTAACCTATGTAAAGAAGGGACAGAGGTGCTGAGTGCAGGTTGTCTTCACACTCAAGTTTCTGTTGTTCTGTGCTTTTGCTTGCTTTTGGTGAGCAACATTTTATCTGTGTACTAACCACACGGAGGCTGCAGAACAAAAGTCCTCCCTTTCTTATAGGAAGCCCTAGCTGTTGCCCTAATTCGTCAGTCCCTCCTCCCTCAACCAGAGAGCTTCTTTATTTCAGTTCGAGTGACACTCCAAATTTCCTCGCATGCTTTTCTGTTAATCCTTTAGAAAACTTGTGGTGTTTCTGGGTTCTGTTTAGTGGAAAGTACCCTCTTTTACTTCATAAACAAGAAATCGTCTGGTTCCTGCAAGTTGTATTGGTCTGTACTGCCCCAGACCATCAAAAATTAAGCCAGTCTTTAAAACACCGGCTTTAGTATTGTATTCCTCTTTTTCCCCAAGCCAACCAAGAATCAAGTATTTTTATATTCTAAAATCCAGAAAAATCCTTGTCCCTCCAAAATAAATTTTAAGGATTTTTGTATGTTAGCTTTCAGTGAAAGTAATATTCTTGTTTCTCTTGCCATAATTCACTAAACAGAAAAAATACCGCCAACATCCTGACACTCTCAAGTTTACCTCGATTGAAGATGCTCCGATTATAGTACAGTCTAAAATCAACCAGGCCCAGAGAAGTGATGTAAGTGTTCATTCTATCTATACTTTAATAAGTGTTTACTCATACAAATACGTTTGTATTCTAAACGTGCTGATTACCTGGAGTTATTATGCAGTCTGAAGAGACTCCGTTACGTGAGCAACTGTATACCTCTCCCAGCTTTTCATTAGTAAAGCACACCTCCTTCATATCTTTAGAGTATTATCTATGGTGGGCTGACTGTCCTTTCAGCCATTTAACATTGCTTCCCAAGGAGAAGCTCAGGGTCTTCTCCTGATGACAAGAAACACTACAAGCCTATTTCTGGGAAAGACTGGGAAAATGAATATAGGCAACACACCTTACAGAGGAGTTACACTGTAAGTCAGAGCTAAGACACAAATCATATAGAGTAAAAACCACCCCTAGGGTGCCTGGGTGGCTCAGTCGTTAAGCGTCTGCCTTCAGCTCAGGTCATGATCCCAGGGTCCTAGGATCGAGTCCCACATCGGGCTCCCTGCTCGGCGGGAGGCCTGCTTCTCCCTCTCCCCCTCCCCCTGCTTGTGTTCCTGCTCTCGCTATCTCTCTCTGTCAAATAAATAAATAAAACCTTTAAAAAAAAAAAAAAAACCACCCCTAAGCCCCATCAGTCACCCACAAAGTGTAATATAGATGGTTTGCATATCCCACTGGATTAGCCTTTTCTGTGCTCAGGAAAGTGTCTGCAGGTTAACATTTTCATCAGGTCATCTCCCTTGGCGGACTTCTGTGAGGTGCCCTTACCGAAGTTCAGAGGTTCCTAGAGCATACCGAGGGACCTTGGCCAAGGTTGAACTGGCACTGGGATAGGACCCCACGTGTTGCATATGAGCAATGTGGGGATGACCCAGAGAATGTCTTTCATGAAAAGCACCGCTGTGCCATGTGATCTGTTCTGAGATTATTTCCCTGTGTCCTTAAACCCTTTTCCCTACTTTATTTGTTGGTTCATGCATTTCTTTTCTTCTTTCAGGTTGCCTACAAAGCCAAAGGAGAAGAAATTCTTCACAGATACAACCTGCCAGCGGACTTGCCCCAGTTCATCCAGGCTAAAGTTAATGCCTACAATATCAGTGAGGTATGCCCGTGAGCTTAGCTGCTGATTTCATGGGAAGCCTTTTCTAAACGGGCCTCGGTTACATTCAAATGACTTTTGTCTTTCAGAATATGTACAAAACAGACTTGAAAGATTTGAGCAAGAAGGGGTATGATCTGAGAACGGACGCGATTCCCATCAGAGCTGCCAAAGCTGCCAGGCAGGCGGCAAGTGACGTAAGTCCAGCTAGTAGTCGCTGGTGTGAAACTAGAATGTGTGGGTGGAGGTGGACCTGTTGTCCAGAGGTCACCATATCTTTTGTCCCCAGCTGGAAGCGAGTCCTGCTGAAACCTATTTAGAAAGGAAAATTCCCTAACCAGGTCTGAATTTTCCTGGGGGTAAGGATTTGTAGAACCTTTACTGACCCTGTTCTAATGAAGCACCTGAAGTTTAAGGTCTCCTCCGTATTTCTGCACAAATTCACATTATTCCCCTTGTGGAAATAAGTCACTCACTATTTTAAGTCCTAATAGCCTCCTGGTGGTAAGATTTAGTCTTGAAACTTGCTTAATTTATATGAATTCCCTTTTTCCTTTATTTCCTTTATTTCTTTTCCTTTTATTTCTTTTACTTCATTGCTCTGGAGCCCTAAGGTTCATAGCAGTCCTTAGGTTCCATGAAAGTTAGAAATTTTGTCTTTGTTTCTTTTCCTTATCTTACTTTAACCCAGCTTCGAACTAGTTACTTTCCTCTTTGAGATTCAAATCAAATTGACTCAAGCCCTCACCTGTTGACCTCTAGGAAGTGGGATACCCTCCCCCCTCCTCCCCCGCTTGTTGCAGATATTCTGAGGTTTATTGTCTTTCTGTCACTTCCAGCTACTGGTTTGCCCACAGTGGTTTTGCTCTGGCTCACCAGGACTCTCCTGCCCTGGTCTCCCTTCTGTTTCTGGCTTGCATGATCCAGAGATGCCACACAGCCCTGTCTTTTGGTTCCCCCCAAATCCCAATCACAACTTCATTGATAGTTTGAACTGAAGTTGACATTGCACTGATGTAAATAAATTACAACTGAATTACAAATATCTATATTGTAAAAGCCCTACCATCAAAAATTCCTTACCCATTCCCTTTCTCTGTGGGTGCTCTCCTCCAGCTACTCCCCACCCTGACACACACACAAGCCTTCTTTCACATCTCTGCTTCTCATTTTCCCACGCTTCTTCCCAGATCTCCCCAAGCAAGTTCAGTTCTTCTCACTTTATTATTCAGAACCAATTCATGTGTACGTAAAACTGGCTCTGGGTCTCCCTTTGAATATCCAAAGACTCATTAAAATTCTACTACCACTCACATAGGCAGCTATTTGGGGTCTCCTGTAACAGCACAATATAATTGGTAAAGATTGCAAAATGTTTATCTTTTCATTTGTCTCTACCAGCATCTAAGTGGAAAGGAACTTAACTTTACCTTGTCACAGACATGAATTATGGCAATGCTCCCACCCCAACCTCTCAGGTGGCCGAAGCAGCGACAGACAATCAAATGGGCTCTAAGTAACATTTTAATTTTCCCAGGCTACCTTTCAAACTGTATACAAATGAACATCTAATTGTTTGGTTATTGAAGTGATTTCTGGGACGCTCAATTGTTTTAAGTCATGGCCTCATTGTTCAGTAAAATCTTCATAACTACATTTTAACATTTGCCCACTTTTGTTTCCAATAGGTTCAGTACAAAAAAGATTATGAAAAAGCCAAAGGGAAAATGGTCGGCTTCCAGAGTCTCCAAGATGATCCTAAACTGGTTCACTGTATGAATGTGGCCAAGCTACAATCAGACCGGCAGTATAAAAAAGACTATGAGAAGACAAAAACCAAATACAACACACCCCATGATATGTTCAACGTTGTGGCAGCCAAGAAAGCTCAGGATGTTGTCAGCAATGTTAACTATAAGCATCCACTCCATCATTACACCTACCTGCCTGATGCCATGGACCTGGAGTTGTCTAAAAACATGATGCACATACAGAGCGATGTAAGTGACACTTACTCCCCAAGACAACCCCACCCCTCAGGTCAGAACCTGTGTGAGAACCCACTGCTGGGGGCATTACTCCTCTTGTTTCTCTTTGCTGTAGAATGCCTATAAGGAAGACTACAACAGCTGGATGAAAGGCATAGGCTGGATACCTATTGGCAGTCTGGAGGTAGAAAAAGTTAAGAAAGCAGGTGATGCACTGAATGAAAAGAAGTACAGGCAACATCCAGACACCCTCAAATTTACCAGCATCGTGGATTCCCCAGTGATGGTCCAGGCAAAACAGAACACGAAGCAAGTCAGTGATGTAAGTACAACAAGAGAGGGGGCAAAGAATGGAGGGAGGCTTTAAAGAAATAAATAGCAGCTCAAAATTTTTATTCTTCTGAGCCATTAATTTTCCTTTTACTTTATTTAATTTAAAATAATAATTACAATTATTTTTATTTTGGGGGTGCCTGGGTGGCTCAGTTGGTTAAGCGTCCGACTCTTGATCTCAGCTCAGGTCTTAATCTCGAGTTGTGAGTTCAAGCCCTGCTTTGGGCTCCATGCTGGGCGTGGAGCTTACTTCAAAACAAAACAATAAACAGACCACAACAATTATTTTCAGTTTGGGCACTAACATTTTCTTTTTCTTTTATCTTGTTATTTATTTTCCTTTTTAAAACAGCTTCCTTTTTAGCTGCCTTTGAAATACTCTGTTATTGGATAAACTTGTCATGATGAAAAAGTTCTAGTCTAATACTACACATGTGTGCACACACAAACAAAATTTAGACTTAAATTCCAAAGTAGCAAATTCATCACACTCAATTCTATATTAAGTTGCTTATATTTACTTTTCATATATAAAATATACTAATACAGGGAAATAATTCACACGAGGATATGGTTTTGCTTCTCAAAATTCATCATACACAAATATTATAGAGGCTTTTAAAAACTTATGTCTTGGAGATTAGTATGTTTTTTGCCTGCCTGTCCATGAACAATGTATATGACCTGGCTAAAGTCAGATCTAAAGGAAAGTTTAGTGTATAGAAGACTTAAAGGGACATCAAAAGCATTCATTTATTAATTCATTGAATGAATGTTTTTGGACTCCTTCCCTGTGCCAGGCATTGTATAATATGCTGATGGTATAAGGATGACGTAAACGAGGAGTAGTGAGATATAGGATATAACAGAGATATAAGAGTATAAGACAAAGGGCCTGGATGGAACCAGAGCATTGCCATACCAAGAGGCGAACGCTACAGGAGAGGCATGTGCCAAGTAGGTACAAGGCAAGAGGGTAACTGCCCACCAACGCTTCCCTGGCAAATAAGGAAGGGTGCATTCTTAGCATGAGAAAAAATGATTGACAAGAGGTAATGAATGGCAGGACAGTGAAGGGTTTGGGATTGTTACCTAATCATTGAGGGTCTTGTGTGCTAACTTATACTCTGGACATTGTGGGATAGGTAATGGGAGGTATTGAAGATTTTAATCCAGAAAGCTGCATTATCAGGTATGTGTTCTAAAAGATAGCTCTGACAAAGAGTGCTGAGACTGAGGAGAGAGATTGGAGGTAAGAAGATAGATTAAAAACTGTTATGGAAACCCAGCAGAAGCCTCATTTGGACTTCAACTGAATCAGTACAGTGGCAAAAGGGATGTGTAGAAGGTAGAATGGGTGAGATTCTGTGAATGCTTAGCTCGGGTTTCTAAAGGCAGTGAGGAAGTAAAGATAGCTCTTGGATGCCTACAAGAAATTTTTTGGTATTTGAGGATTCAAATAGATATCAGCCACTTTAGACTTTGTTTGTGATAGATACACAGCAGTTTACATGTGATATCCCACATAGACATGCCTGAGGGCTTACATGATAAATGGCAGTCAAGAGATTGGAAATCTACTTGTGATTCCAGTTGTATTGTAGATTTTAGAAATTGAGCAATTTCTTTCTTTTCTGTTACCAAGAGGAGGATACAATACAAGTTCAACATTAGGAATCTAGATGTCTTTCTGACATCTGTAAAAGGATAAAATATGGTAACTATGAAATGGTAAACCTTTTAAGTACACTGGGTTTATGTATAAGGTTCTTCATATTATGAGGAAATTATTATATGGTTTTACTGCTACAATTATAATTGGAAATTCTTTAGCAGAAGTGAAAGACTCGTTCTAAATGCTATTTTCTAGGAATCAAAAACCAAAGAACAAGACTTTTAGAACTGTTCGCTCCACTAGCAAAGACTGGGCTTTGCTAGCTTTGGTGAATTCTGTTTATTCAAGTTAGGGTTTCACATTTGAACTTACTTTCCATGCATCTCTAGCAGCCAAAGATCTCTGATCTCTGTTTTCTATTTTTCTATTTTAGCACACAGAGTTTTTAGGTCTTTCTAAAAATAACAAAATGCTTGAGGTTTTTAAAAATAGGAAAATACCTCTGATGATTTTTTTTAAGGATTTGATTATTTGCCAGAGAGGAAACAAGCAGGCGAGAGCACGTGTGAGCACAAGCAGGGGGAGTGGCAGAGGGAGAGCAGACTGCCTACTGAGTAGGGAGCCTGACTCGGGGCGGGGCTCAATCCCAGGACCCGGGGATCATGACCTGAGCCCCCCTTTGATGATTTTTAACAATAGAAATAGTGAGGGACTGTGCTAGGGAATATAACTCCTTTAAGCACGCAAAGCATTTTCCTTTTTTGTGCTATCTGTAATGCATTTTAATTTTGTGATTTTGTGTTGCAGATCTTATACAAAGCTGAAGGAGAAGATATGAAACATAAATACACTATAAGTCCTGATCTTCCTCAGTTTCTCCAGGCCAAGTGCAATGCTTACAATATAAGTGACGTGAGTAGGGCTCTGATGGGGTGTGAAATCCAGACATGATGGAATTTTAGAGTAGGCTGGGGCCTTGGTAATTGTTTAGGTCCGTTTCCTACACACCCTGTATGAAGTCTATCCCATGATGCTCTCTGCCTCTTAAGCCAGCCTTTTCAAGGGTGTAACATTTTCCCTTATGTGGAGCCCAACATCTATTCCTCTAAAACTTTGATTTAGTTTTCCTCGTTTTGCAAGTGGAGGAAGATATTATCCTGAGCAAAATAAGAGATAATGAAATCCTTTTATTACAACAAACCTGCAATTTCTAAAGCCAACCACCAGGTCTTCCCTTGACCTTCCTTTCATAAGAGTGGACAACTTCATTTTCTCTAGTTGGTCCTCACACACCATGGTTTCCAGAACCTTTATTCCTCTCCTCTAGATCCACTCTGGTTTCTTCGTATCCCACTGCACTGTGTGCCCAAACCAGGTTTGGGTGAATAATTGGTGCAGTGTCCTATAATTTCATGCTACACAAAGTGTGACATTTTGCTAATGTGACTTCCTAAAGCAGAATTTGTTCTAGGAGATTCCTTTAGCTTAATATCTGGACAAGAACAAAACAATCCCTGCAATTGAGGAATCGCTTTAGCTGATTCATACGCAGCATGCTGACATCCTTTTTCCTTGTACATCACAGGTCTGTTATAAACAGGACTGGCATGATTTAATAGCCAAGGGCAACAATGTGCTGGGTGACGCCATTCCCATCACTGCGGCCAAAGCATCCAGAAACATTGCCAGTGATGTGAGTAAAAATTTTAGGTGAAATGTGGGTGATTACCTGCTTAAAAAGTAATCAAATGTGTGCTTGTCTAAATGATACTACATTGAAAACAATATGTGGAATTAATGACACTGAAATTCTCCACAAAATATTGTTTTGAAAACCTGTCACTTTTTTAACATTCTGTGATTCTTTTCAGTTGACCCCACTTGGTAGAGCTGTCATAAATCTGACAGCCGCTTTCTCCCCTGATTCATAGGCCAAATTACCTTTACTGACACATTTCCCTGACAGCCCACATTTATTTTCAGAACACCCTACCTGACACTAACACATTAAATTCAAATGACTGCCCGCATTATAATTGTATTAAGAAGATTGAAAAGATGTTAGATAAAATCTAAAGATTTTATAAACCAAATGGGAAAAGGCCCATTTTTCTCGAATATAATTTTGGTTTATGTAAATCGATGACCATTTCATCTGTAAGAGGAAAAGTATACCCTTACGCTTCTTCCCATCATTGAAGATCAAAAATTTCAAAAAGCACGCATGCCTGGTAACCTTCACTGTCACATGCTACTCTGGGGGCTACAATCACGGGTGGAGAAAAGAGAAGAAAGAAACCACCCATGTGTGCAGACCACATGGGAGCTAAGGGTGTAAGAAATCTTTCTACAGCTTTCCTTGTCGGGATGCCACTGAAAATGTGTTCCTCAAAGATTTGCACACCACTGTGAAATAAATTTCTAGTTTAAGGACAAAGTGAAAGTCTAAAATATGACATTATCTTTTTTTTTTTTTTCTTTTTAGAGCTTGAGCAGAGCTTTTTCTAACATGCCTAGAAAATGTCTTGATAATTCTTTTGCCTGCTAAATTCTTGTTTATAAATCAGTGCATAAATGACAGGAGCAGAGTATCTGCAGACTTTAAGTGGATTTGAGTTCTCTTGCATAAAAATTGAGGTTTTGACCTGTCACCTACAGTATAACTCAATCTACACCCCATCGCCAGTTCCAGCAGTGAGAGACCTTGGGCTGCAGTTTCTACTGCCAGGGGAGCTCCCAGCCATTCCTGCCCTTACTGCAGTTCTTGAATTCATCTGCAGCTGCTTCAGCAGCGAGCTTGGAAAGTAGCTGCTGAGAAATGGATGGGGAGGGCCCAGCTACCTGCCTATGCAGCATCTAAATTGATGCCACCCAGAAAGAAGAGGGGTTTTGTTTTAACCTTATTCCATCAGCCCAAGACAACACAGTAACGTTTTCCATCCCCCACCCCAAGAAAAACTGAGTGAAATTGCATGTAGAGTCCTTTAGAGTTTCTTCTACATCTGTTGCATACGTATCACCCGGCCAATGGGAACAGCAAATGGAAGATTTTCTCAATAATTTCTAATGTTCTATGATGTATGATAACATTCTGTGGTGGTAATAACATATTGGATTGGGAAAATTCACATCCCAGGAAACCAAGAGATACTGGCCTTATATTTGGAATGTGTCTTGTTCACATTAAGCATGAAAATTCAGATGGCTTTAAGTAAAGTTCTACATGCAAATGCATTTGTAGGATTTATAGCAAAGAAAGAAACTGGTCCTGAATTTATCATTATACCCATTTGTAGTGGTGGAAGTGTTGGAAATAAATGTTTTCACTCTGAACTGTCTGGGGCACATGGGAGTGGGTGGGTATGGTTTGCATTTCTTGTACAAACTTCCAGAAAGTCACAATGTTCTAAGTTGCCTTTGTGTGTGAACATACTTGCTACACCCAATGTTATCAATGCCTAGGACTTTGCTAACCAAATTTTGCCTTTGCAGTATAAATACAAGGAAGCTTATGAGAAGTCAAAGGGGAAGCATGTGGGTTTCAGAAGCCTCCAGGATGATCCCAAGCTGGTCCATTACATGAATGTAGCAAAGATGCAGTCAGATCGTGAATACAAGAAGAACTATGAGAACACCAAAACCAGCTACCATACCCCAGGGGACATGGTTAGCATTACTGCTGCAAAGTTGGCCCAGGATGTCGTCACCAACGTCAACTACAAACAGCCCATACATCATTACACATACCTACCCGATACCATGAGTCTCCAGCATACCAGGAACGTGAATCAAATTCAGAGTGATGTGAGTATGTATAACGTAACAGACCCAGAAATGTTGGTACTTAAGGGATAATCATTTCTTCCTGTTTTAAGTAGACTTCACAATACAGTAAGATATTTGAAAAATGCACTTTAAAATAAACAGTTATTATTGAAAGACTAACAAAGGCATGGTAGTCGAGCTGTATTTTTGCTGGCTTTCTGTGCTCCTATTGTAATCATTGATACTGTCTCTATTAACTTATGGATCAAAGATAAAACCATATTCCACTAAGTATATAAACCACCTTGATTCTCAACAAGAGGAAGTGATTGCTCTTGGCAGGCCTGCTTCAATGGTGATATGGATAATGCAAAATAGTATTCTCTATTCTTTCTGAATTCAAGAAAGTTTTTTTTTCCTTTTTTAACTAAAAATCACACTCTAATGCATATTAATCTATGTGATGAGTCATCTGGAATGAACCAGGAAGACTTTGTGATTGCAGCATGATTCGTGGAGAGCTGCATGGGGAGGCTGTTTAATATTCAGGGCATTTCCTTCTGCAGGAACCAGATTTCTGTAAGAATCATCCTCTGTAAGAGAATATATGGTGTTCATTTATTGTCGCTCAACGAAGATGTCTCTCCCCAGCTGAGATCAGGAATAGCCTAGGTGGACAGGATGGGTGAAATTCAAATTTGTGGGGTTTTCAGTGAAATAAAAAAGAAAGCCCAATTGTCAAAAGAGACACAATTTTTTTTTTTAGCATTAGCCACAGAAATATGTGCCCTAGATTTCCTCTGTGTCATATAATACACTCTAACAACAGAACTGCTTTTTCTTATTACCAAATTCTGGGTAAGAAGCTCAGTGGCATACATAGTGAAAAGCTGCTTCCCAGACAGGAGCATGCTGGAAGCGTTGCTATTTATTTCATCTGGGTAGAATTGCAAATTTCAGAGACATCCTTTGAGTATTCTGTAGGATAACTCCTCACATGAGGTTATTCTCTTACAGAATGTGTATAAAGACGAGTATAACAACTTCTTCAAGGGCATTGGATGGATCCCTATTGGTTCTCTGGAGGTTGAGAAGGTCAAGAAAGCAGGTGATGCTTTAAATGAGAGGAGGTATCGACAGCACCCAGATACCATCAAGTTCACAAGTGTGCCCGATTCCATGGGCATGGTTTTGGCTCAGCAGAACACGAAGCAGCTAAGTGATGTGAGTGGTTTCCCTTCAAAGGGGTTTATCCAGGGGCGCCTGGGATTATCTGGGGATTTTATTTCTCTATTGTCACATTATCACAGATATCCGGGGGCGCCTGGGCGGCTCGGTCTGTTAGGCAGCCGGCTCTTGATTTTGGCTCAGGTCATGATCTCAGGGTCCTAGGATTGAGCCCTGTGTTGGGCTCTGCACTCAGCAAGGAGATGGCTTGAGGATTCTCTCTCTTCTTTCCCTCTGCCCCTCCCCCCCACTCATGCTCACATGCTCTCTCGTGCGCTCTCTCAAATAGATAAATAAATCTAAGGGAGGTTTAATCCATGAATAACCCCCATTCCACCATCCTTAATTCAACATGTGAAGGTACATCTCTGTTAGTGTTTCAACTGCTTTCAGTTGATGAAACAACTTGGAACTTGAACATAAAGAGAATAGGGAGGAGAGAAGGAGGATTTTCCAAATTTGTTTTATTTTCCAAATGTAGAGAATCTGTGCTATTTATAAGCAGACCCCTATCATTATACACATGAAATGAAATGAAATTATTACTGTTATTATCAGTGATTCCATCTGAATTCTAAACCAAGCTATTTATTCCTCTGAGTTGCAACAGTCCTACCTAGCTACACGGGGAGAAGGCATAATGTCCTAATCCTCTTGCATAAGAGCTAGATGTTCTGAAAGGCAAGCCAGAGAGAGGCCTCTGGGGAGGAGGTAAGCTGTTTACTTTCAGAGTCAGCTGAACCTCATTTCCAAGCCCCTGTCTATCTGGACCCTTATTCTTAGAGCCTAATTACAATGCTCAGCGCTTCCCCTCAGCAGTGGGTAAAAACAAAGAAAAGAAGAGGTGGTGTGTTTTTAGCCCCATATATTGGAAGGTGGGGAAGGCTTTGCTTGGCTTGGATTTGAGAATTATCCGTGGATTTTCTTTCTCAGGCCAGTCTCTGTTGATATTTTGAGATTAGTTCTATTGTAGTAGTGTAAATGCGGAGCTTCTTCTGATTTCTTTTGTTCTTGCTGTGGTTTTCCAGTTAGCTAGGAGAACTGGACACTCACGCATTGTATTCTCCATCCCAATAAATGCCATCGACATCTACCTGATGTTACCACCAATGCCTCCCTGCGTGATCCCGGCATCAGTGCATCTCGGTCTCTCCCAGCGTCCCCTGGGGCACTTGTCTGTTGTTCAGCTGCCCGCAGTTAGTTAGGGCTTCCATACCTCTCATGGGGACAACTGCAGTAAGTTGGTATCTGGCCTCCCAGCCTGGGGTCACACATGACAACCAGAAGAACGGGCTTAAAATGTAAATCATAGCCCTCTTATACTTAAAAGCTCTTAGTAATTTCTCCTTGAACCCAAAAGCTAAACTTGTTACCTTGGCCAAAAAGGCCCTCAGCTCTGTGCCCCTGTTCCCCATCCTAATTCTGTGGGGCCCCCTCAGCACATTCCAGCCCTGTGACGCATGCTGTCTTCAGTCCCTCACGCTGGCCCTGCCCTTTCCAGACTCAGGGCCCCAAATGCTCTGCTTTGGCCTAGACCCCTCCCTTTTCTTCAAATCTAGGCATAAATGTTATCTCCTTAGCCTTTGCTGACTACCCTTGTTTCTTTCCTAAAGTTATTCTATTTACAACACATCACACATTCTAGCTCTATCTCATAGTTTACATTTTTATTTTCTGTCTCCTCTACTGCACTCTAACCTTCAAGAGGACATGTCTGTCTTTGTCAACACTTTACATGCAGAAACCTATCACCCTACCTGGCCCATAGTGCTGTCCAATAAATACTGGTGGACTAAGCAAATACCTATTCTACCACACCCTGCCGTATGGTAGTATAGGTATTTGGCTTGTGTATGGAAAAACACAAATGATAACCTTCCTTTTTAAAGGGGTGTGTACTTGATGAAACGGACGTTATGTCAGCTAATGACATTTGCATTCTGCCTCCTTTGTTTTTAGTTGAACTACAAGGTGGAGGGGGAGAAACTGAAGCATAAATACACTATGGACCCCGAATTACCTCAGTTTATTCAGGCCAAGGTCAACGCCCTCAACATGAGTGATGTGAGTATTTGGGCTGGAACCAGTCTAATATTGCTAACATGGGCCTCTTCAGTTCTGTATAACTCTAGCAGTGAGAATTTTAAGGGCAGCAAACCAAGTGTGGATCTTTTGAGTCTCTGTTTGAAGAGGTCGTTGAGAAGACATGACCGCTGGTTAACTCGTGAACTAGACCCGGGCAGAGGCTCCCCACCCCTACCCCTGTCCTTGGAATGTACACCGTTTCTACAGTGGGAGCCATTTTAGAGGAGGCAGCCTTGATAGAGCAATATGTTGAGACCATCTGAATGGTATCCGTGACTAAACCCAGTTTAAGGCTCTGTATAAACTTTTAAGATTGTGGTGGGCAGGTGAGGAGAGCTACTTGTCTTGTGGTTGCCCAAGACAAGCCTTGTATGTAAGTTCCCTCGTTTATTAAACCTGCCACCTACCAATCTGTAGTGGGCTCCCTCTTTGTTCGGTGTTGCCTTGCCCTCCATGTCCGGGGGCCAATTTTTGAATCAGTAGTCTAAAGATTGGCCCATTATCATAGAATATGAGACTAGAAGCTACCATAAAGTTTCACTTGATTCAGGCTTTTCCAAACTGTGGACTCTGACTCATTAGTGGGTTATAAAATCAGTCTAGTAGGTTGTATTGTACTTTTTAGAAAGTGGAACAAAATGAGATATACAAGATTGGAAAGTGCAGTCATGAATAGTCTGTAATAAGGACAAATATTGCTTTATATAACTTTTGTTTCAATTATTAAAACTTGTATAAAAGTTTATTGTAATTTTCTTGAGAAACTTTTTTTGCACATAAGCCTCTTGGGTAGTCTAGATACATAATTGGTAGTGATCTTTAAATTCACCATTATGAATTGTTTCTTTTGCTTAAAAAAAAAAAGTTGGTAAATTCTAATTTAAAAAATAACCAAACCTAGATAAGATCATTCATTTCTTAAAAGATGACTTAGTCATTTTTCCTAACATTTTAGGCTCTCTTTTATCTCCAAATAAACATTTTTTGATATTCATTTCTATGCCTTTGGTTTATTTAAAAATTTTCCCTGCTTTTATAAGTAATACTTAAACATTAAGAGTGATCAAATCTAGGTGGTACTACATCTGAATTTTTAATTTTAGTATTCATATCTTTCTTTACGTTTTAATTGTTTCATTACAAAAAATACAAGAAAATTAAAGTATTGCATGCTTATTATAGAAAAGTTTGGAAATATAGGAATATACTTAAGTAGAATAATAAAATACTCTTTCCTTTTTTCAAGTCTCATTATAAAGCAGACTGGAAGAAAACTCTTGCTAAGGGCTATGATTTGGGACCAGATGCCATTCCAATTGTAGCTGCAAAAAGTTCAAGGAATATTGCTAGTGATGTAAGTATAATTTGAAAGTAGAAAACTTCTCTATATTTTTAAAATCTTTACATGGTATGTGAGGCTATATGAGCTGTATTAGGAAATAAATTAAAAATTATAAAAATATTTCCTAATATCCTAAGTACCAATGATTTTTTTTATATTACTTTAAAATCTTTAGAAATTCAATACAGTTAGTACAAATAAGAAAATTCTTTGTTTTAAACTGTGAAATAGTTGGAATTGTCATTGGTGTCATTGTTATGAACTTGGAAACTGCTTTTTATTTGGATTTTTTCAAGAAAAAAAGCCTTGGCATACTAAAATGTCACTAAATCAAAAAAAGCCTCCAAGTTTTTAAAAGAATACAATTTTTCAATATAATTTTCACAAAGAAAAAATCCAGTAAAATAGGAAAACCAGGAAGAATTATAGATTAAATGACAGGATTTTAGTTACTTACCTACTTAATTACTTTTTATAAATTAAGTTATATTTTCATATGAATTGATATAATACCTTGATAGAGTAAGAACGCATTCATTTGGACTCCAGTAAACTAATTTGTATAAGAGCTTTGCTGAAATTTATTCAGGATTATGCAAGTACTTTACAAAGTAATACAAATTATTTGGAAATAGATCATAAATATACACTAAGTCCTTAATAAACTTTTCAGGAACTTTTGAGAATATTCAAAGAATCTATTTATGAATAATCTAGATGTAAACCACAAATTATCCCATTCTTAATTATCCCCAGAGCAGATCTCAAGACCCTCCATTAGAAATTTTTTACCAGTTGTTTATTTAAAAATACTAAAAAATTTAGATGTTACCTGGATTCAGACTGAATTTGGCTATTGCTTAATCTGTTATATAAATTCAATCTGACACTGAAGCATTTCCTATAATTGACCCTATCAAACTTCTGTCTGTCCTTCTTTTTCATATAGTTCAAGTATAAGGAGGCTTATGAGAAAGCCAAAGGCAGGCAGATTGGATTTCTCAGTCTTCAGGATGATCCTAAACTGGTCCATTACATGAATGTGGCCAAAATACAGTCCGATCGTGAGTACAAAAAGGGCTATGAAGCCAGCAAGACCAGGTATCACACACCCTTGGACATGTTCAGTGTGACAGCGGCCAAGAGATCTCAGGAGGTCGTTACCAACACCAACTACAAACAACCCTTCCACAGCTACACTCTGCTGCCTGATGCCTTGAATGTGGAGCATTCCAGGAATGCAATGCAGATCCAAAGTGATGTATGTAATGGCCAACAGATTACTGGCATAGAATTAGTTATGCATTTTTAGCTGGTAGGAGGGAAGAACAAGAAATTGGCAGTTTCATTTACTTCATCTTAAACCTGGCTGGACTCACTATAATTAGAGATCCTCTCCAGAATTTGGAGTTTTAGAATTTCACTCATTTGAACTATATATAGCTTTAATTTTTTTTTTTTTTGGTTAGTGTGTGTGTGTGTGTGTGTGTGTGTGTGTTAGACAGTACATGATGTATCCTGTGAAAAACCAAGAGGCTGAAATGAGTGCAATGTAATATCTTTTCCTGTGTAAAATTCTTTTACCTTTTCCTCCAAGAAAGTTAAGTTTTATAAAGGAATTATTGGGTCAGGTTTTCCTGTTCAAAACCACCATGAATGCAATCACTTTTATTTTTTTTTTTTTTAAGATTTTATGTTTAAGTAATCTCTGCACCCAATGTGAGGCTCAAACTCACAATCCTGAGATAGTCACATGACCTACCAACTGAGCCAGCCAGGAGCCCCTGAAAGCAATCACTTTTAAAATTCTTTTTTTCCCAAAAGATGGTAGGGCATAAAAAGCAGGCAATTCTCTTCTCCCTCCTTTTTTTTTTTTCTCTTTGATAATGAGTAAGTCATCTAGCCAAAGAAACCCAAGCTCTGACTCTCTCTGAAATGAAAATTTCCTTTTTCATTGTAAAGAATCTATACAAATCTGACTTCACCAACTGGATGAAAGGGATCGGCTGGATCCCCATAGAGTCACTGGAGGTGGAGAAAGCAAAGAAAGCCGGAGAGATCCTTAGTGAGAAGAAGTATCGCCAGCACCCTGAGAAGTTGAAGTTCACCTATGCCATGGACACAGTGGAACAAGCACTTAACAAAAGTAACAAACTGAATATGGATAAGGTAAGAACTCGCCTGCTGGTCTCAGCCCGTGAACCCTTGAACCCTGGAGGTGCCGCTATAATCGTCATCAGCATTTTTATCTTTATGACAGTCGTGGTGGTGGTGGTAGTCGTGGTGGGAGGGGGCATTCTATAATGTTCATCACGTCTAGAGAGCTCCCACATACACTGACCCTCAGACTGGCTGTCCACACCACGCTGAGGGTGTGACAGAACTGCAAAACTCCATGTAGTGTGAGGTTGGGGCAAGATAGCATGTGTTGTCTTTGTGGAAGAGGGTTCCCTAGTTGGATGGTTTTAGCCCTCATTGTGTGTTCAGTCTCATCAGCCTGTCTTCTTGCTATGCCATCCATTTGCCAATATCAGATTTCATCTCTTCTATCGTGGAGAAACCTCTTTCTGTTGATAGCACTATTGCATACTTGTCCTGCTGTACAGTCATGTGTCTGTCCTCCTTGTTGCAGAGGCTCTACACTGAAAAATGGAACAAAGACAAGACCACCATTCACGTCATGCCCGATACTCCAGACATTTTACTTTCCAGAATGAACCAAATCACCATGAGTGATGTAAGTAGATTAACAGCAATAAAGTGGGAGAGAAGGTTCGAGGAAACTAATATTTATGGAATGTCTCTTTTATATGCCAACCACGTCAAAATCAGGATTCCCATTCTAACCCAAATAACAAGTTGCTGGTGTTATTCTATTTCATTATTTAGAAACTATACAAAGCTGGCTGGGAAGAGGAAAAGAAGAAAGGATATGACCTGAGGCCTGATGCCATCCCAATAAAGGCTGCAAAAGCCTGTAGAGACATTGCCAGTGATGTAAGTGCTTCCACTGGGCCTTCTGTAGGCTGAGCGAATGAAAAGCAAATGAGCCAAGTTCGTGTGTGTGTGTGTGTGTGTGTGTGTGTGTGTGTATTCAAGGGCTGCAGTCAACCCTACCCAGTGTCAGTGGGACCCTCATCCGTGGAACACACAAGACATTTTTCTTCACCCAGTCCAAGGACCCTCTAATTGTTTGTTCATTATTTGATGTAAAAAGTGACTAGGTCTTATTAAAATAAGTTGCTTTTAGAGAGTCAAATCATTTATAGGCAATTCTGAGCAAATATCAGATGCAGTCTACACATTTTACCCAAGAGACCCTTGATTAGGCTCTTTCCTGAATTAAAGATGCACCATGAGGAATTGTGCCTGTAGCCTATTCTGATGAGACAGCTGAGTGGGAAAAGCTGCTTTCTAAAGCACCCTGAAACAACTTATTCATGCATCTCTTTCATTAACTCTGAGATCATTTTCTTTCCATGGACTCAAGTCTGGCAAGAAATCTGAAGTAAAAAGATTTTGCTCCCTGCCCCTGCAAGCTCTAAAACCATACACCTTTGACAAAGCTAATGGCATCTAATGAATTATATTTTGCTCTCTTTCCTTCACTAACTTCATCACCATCCTTCCTTTCCCATCCACAGTACAAATACAAGCAAGCCTATGAACAGGCCAAAGGGAAACACATTGGCTTCCGGAACCTAGAGGACGACCCCAAGTTGGTGCACTTCATGCAAGTGGCCAAGATGCAGTCAGACCGGGAATACAAGAAGGCATATGAGAAATCGAAGACCTCCTTCCACACCCCAGTGGACATGCTGAGCGTGGTGTCAGCCAAGAAGTCTCAGGAAGTGGCCACCAATGCCAACTACAGAAATGTGATCCATTCCTACAACATGCTTCCCGACGCCATGGGCTTTGAATTGGCCAAAAATATGATGCAGATTCAAAGTGATGTACGTGACAGCCACATCAGTTGCAGAACACTGACTGTAGTTAATAAGCAAATCATGAATGACCCTTAGTGAGGACATTTTGAAAATCCTGAAAGAAATTCCAGTGTAATTTCCCACCAAGTTATTTATTTTTTACCTTAGATGGAATTTCTTTCTTTTAACAAAAGGGGATACATTCTAGAAACCAAAGTCTTATTTTCTACCATTATTGCTGTGAGGATTGGTGGATACTGGATTCAGCTAGGGCAAATGAAAATTTGTTTCAGAGAACATGTTGAAGGAAACATGTCAAGCAAAGAGAGTCTGAAGCCAAAACGGCTCCTGGTAAATGAGTAAGAGGAAGGTCAGGAAGTCCAGTCACTTGCTATCTCCTGCCATCACTCCTAACCAGCTTCCACTTCTTCCAACTCTGCAATCGCCTGCATTACTTGCAGATGGAACATTGAGGAGGTGGAAGCTATTGGAAGAAATATGAGGAAGGCACAGAGTAGAGCCAAGAATTCAGCTATACAGGCCATTTATTTGGTGGCTGAGAGAAAGGAATTTAAATTACGAGCCAAAGGCAGGTAATGCCAAGCCTGTGTTTCTCTTTAGGAATGTAAGAGCTGAGCTCCTAATTGCTAGGCAGGTACATAGTGCCCATATAAAAGCCACTGAGTTAGAGTTGTAGAGGAAAATAGCAGAATTGAGGGAGGAAAAAGCAAAATTTGTACAGAGTACCAGTGAGGTTTCTGACATACCCAAGGGAATTGTAACAATGGTGGGTGATCAAAGCTTACAATGAAAGAAAGAACCAGAGTCCCGGTGAGTCATCTGTCAACCAAGAGAACTTGGGAATTTTTCTAAGAAAGTTAGGCCAACACCCAGTGCTCATCAGATCACGTGCAACTAATGAATCATTGAACACTACATTAAAAACTAATGATGTACTATATGTTGGCTAATTGAACTTAAATAACAAAACAAAACAATGTATATGGCCCAAATGCACAGGTTAAAAAAACAGAGATTGTCAGAATGGAAAAAAAATAAACCAGCATAGTCACCTTTCTTGAGATAATTGTCACATGATAGCTAATCTAGTTGGTATTTCTTAGCATTTTTTCCTTGTGAAGGCATTGAGGAAAACAAATCACAAAGATATTACTGCTTATTTTTAATTTCTCATGCAAAAAAAAATGTAAAAAAATATAATGTTTAGGGACAAAAATAGTTGGAGTTGGATATACTATTGGTTGAAAACCAAAGTGGAACTTAGGGACTGTTGAATACCCACTCATTCTTGGCAGCTTTGGTTTCTTCTGATCCCTGGACTTTTCCTCTTTTGCAGAATCAGTACAAAGCTGACTATGTTGACTTCATGAAGGGCATTGGATGGCTCCCTCTGGGCTCCCTGGAGGCTGAGAAAAACAAGAAAGCCATGGAGATAATCAGTGAAAAGAAGTACCGCCAACACCCAGACACTTTGAAGTATTCCACTTTGATGGACTCAATGAACATGGTTTTGGCCCAGAATAATGCAAAAATTATGAATGAAGTGAGTCTTTCAACAGTGTAATATTTCCTATGCACCAGGAAAAAGCCAGGCCTTCTTACATTTGATCTACAGGTTTTGCTAATAGTTTTAGGACATCACAATTAATATTTATTCAGTTTTGAAAAAGGGACTTGTGGTTAAAAAAAAGATAGAAATTAGTCCTAATTAGTGGCACCCTAAATGTTCAATGAATCACTCTGTCCAACAGACATAAGAAAATAAATATGAATCGTTCCTTTTCATACAAATTTTGGAAAGAAGTCTTGTTTGTCTAAAGTGAGGTTGAGTAGAAGTTCACGACGCTGAATCATCAGATTTTCTGCCTGACAGCTGAGTGTTGCAGCCCACCCTGCTTCCTAGCTGCTTTGATGGAATCGAAGGAGACTCCTAGATCCTGTGGCTATAGAAGCATTCCGAGCCAGGACCTTCTCTGGGCAAATCACGAGAGCAGTTGTTCTCTACAAGTAGTTCCTTGCATCATTAATTATTCCAGCCTTTAGAAAAGCCTTACTGTATTTTAAAATTTATTATCCATGATAGATACCAAGACCCAAAAGCACATCTACCTTGGACTTCTGTTTTTAAATTATAAATAATAAAATAATTGCAGCACCATTGGTTATATTGTATGGATCATAATTTGAAATGCCATTGATTAGCAAAAAAGAAAAAAATTGGACTTTAACATTAAGCAGTTGAAGAAAATGATGGTCCTACTTGCACTAGAGAGAGCTGTATTATGCTAAGTGTCCAAGTAAATCCCTCGGAGTCTTCTGAGAGAGACAACAGATTTGTCAAGATGACCGATATCTTGGACAGGGACTTGCCTAAAAGACAAGGCACAGATCTCAGTGTCCCTTTTAAGATTTAGTATTTAAACTATCACAAGCTCACATTTATTTTTTAGGTGTTAAACCTTTCATTTTTTTCAGTGTAATGATTTATTAATCATTTCAGAATAATGATGCCAAGATAAGAATCATCATCCTCTTATTGCAGAGTTCTGGAAATGATGGCCCAGACCTGCTGTGTATCTTTAGGCAAGGTGCATTGATTCTCTGGGCTATGATTTTCTCAACTCTGCTATAAGAGGATTCAACTGATGATCACCCAGACATCTCTCAGTGTAGCATTTGCTATTTCTATGATTCTCATCTTGGCATCATTTTACTTTCCATCTTCTATCCTCTCCACTGTCTTGTTTGAATTAGCGCCTTTTCAATTTAAATTTTAAAAATAAGATCTAGCTAATAAATATTGATATTTATGTACAATTATATATATAAATACACACAAAATGAGCATCTTTTAAGATCTTTAAATACTAACTTTCACTTTTTTTTTTTTTAAACTTCCCAGCATCTCTACAAACAAGCATGGGAGGCTGATAAGACCAAAGTCCACATTATGCCCGATATCCCCCAGATTGTCTTGGCAAAGGCAAATGCAATTAATATAAGTGATGTAAGTATAATTCCCCCTAGTTTATTTGAACCAGTATAAACTAATTAATGTCTCTCAATCATAAGAGTGAATGTTTTGAAAATAAGAGTAGGAATCCACAAATGAGAATCTTTCTCCTTCTAATCTTGCTTTGCTAAGAGTTGGAGCAGGCCTGTGGATGGGACTTGGGCCCCAGCAGTTAGGAATTTGAAGGGCAGTTGGATTTCATTTAGGGGCAGGTACTCCTTCTCAAACTGTGAGACTTGGCAGGAAGAGAAGGGCTTGGGGGCCCCAAAAGAGAAAAAGGAAGTGAGAATCCTAGGACCTGGTTCCTGAAGTCTCTCCACCAAGGCTTTGAGATGGTCCTAAAGAAGGGGTCTTGGGAAAAGTTAAGTGGGAAGGGAAGATGAACATTTGGAAGAATTTGGGGCAAGCTCCACAACAAGGAATGTTCAACACTTAGTTTTAGAAAATGCATAAATGCTTTATTTCACTTTCTTTCTCATCCTAATCATGGTTGCTGGGAAATCTCTAATCCTACCAGTGTTTTCTCTTTTCCTTGAATAACACAGGGATTTGTGATTAATAACTTATTTTTGGATTGTAGAATCCACACAATTACATAAATAAAAGTGTCGATTGCAAAATAGTGAAGTTTTCTTTTGATGTAAGAGTATGGTTGTAGTCTTCTCTTGACTTTTAATTGAGAAAAATGTATCAATGAGAATCTACTTGGCTTTCACATTTTTAAAAAGCATATTTACAACCTAATAGAAACCACTAAGTTTTACTTTTTCTGGTGGTTTCTTGAAGATATGTTGGTGGGTAATAGACTTTTTTCAAACACAGTTTTGTTATTTCTAAGAACATTTAGCCATCAAACCACCAATGAAGCATTCTCAAAAATAAAAATGATGCCACAGTGCTAGTTTACTCTTTTCAAATAAACCCAGGCTTTCTTGTTTAGAAGAACATTATTCCCTTGCCTTTCTTTACAGAAACTCTACAAACTTTCTTTGGAAGAATCTAAACAGAAAGGCTATGATCTCAGAACCGATGCGATTCCTATCAAAGCTGCCAAAGCCTCAAGAGATATTGCAAGTGATGTAAGTCTGAAGGAAAGCACTCACCTGACTGGGTTTTTTTCCCCCTAATTTACCAAAATAATAAGGGCTGAATTTTGGAAACGCTCAGTGGAAAAGATATAGGGGGAAAAGTGTGCCTGCTAAGAATGGCCTCTTTCTATTCTGTGCATGCTTTTTAGGTTTGCTCTTTTGTTTTCTCTGGTATTTCTTTAAAAACAAAACAAACAAAAAACCAGAATGCTAAACACATTATGACCACATACCTATGTGCTCCCTGGCTCATGAGATCTAGGTGAATTTTCTTTGAACTCCATCCCCAAGGCTATTGCCTGTAGAAATCCAAAGCCCTTCACCAAGCTTTCTTGGTGAAAGGCTTGGGTTGTTCTTGCTTCCTGCATCTTAGGAAGTCTCCTCGTAGCAGGATGTCTCATTAAATGGTGTGCTGGGGATGCTGATCTTTTGGACTGATGACAGCTGATTGTTAAATGATCAGGAATTTTGCAAGCCAGTAGTTAAATTCTTGGTAGCTTGACACCAGCCATGGTGGGAGTATTTACACCACAGAGATTGACAAACATGACCGATCAGGGCTTTTTCCCTCCAGAGAGCTGGTGTACCAGCTCCCCATTCCCGTAACCTATCGCCTGTATGAAACTCAGTTCTTTCATTTGGTTGTTTCTGCAAGAAATCTTTCACAGTGACTATGAGTGATTTGGGGGGTAATGGGAGGAACACATTTCAGCATACTCTTTCCTTAGCCCCCCCCCCAGGGACATTTTCTCTCTCATATTCTATGCCAGTTCATCTTTCCCACCTTCCATCCCTATGCCACTACTGCATTGTCCTGAAATCTCAAAATTCTTTTCCCTCTATTCTGTAGTAATTCAGCTCCCTGAGCCTCCTACCCCCTACCTTGCACACTCAAACTCACAGGAGATAGGCAGAATAAGCAGCTTTCCATGTATCAGGATCCTCCCTCTGTAGAAAGAAGTTGAGTGATAAATAGTAAAATTTCTTCCCCATTATACCAGTATAGAAAGTCTTAAAGGAAAAGGACTCCACAAATATAAAGCTACTCTACAATGATACTGTGTATGTCATAAACTAAGCCTGTTTTCTGCAGTAAAAGACTGCTTGGGTGATTTCTTAGGGCACCAGTAAACTTAGAACATTCTGCTTTTTTCCTCTCATTTGCTGTACTGTTACCACCTACTAAAGATCTCTAACCCTGACAGCAGAGTACAACAAGAGAGTACGTGTGGAAGTCAGTGTGGTATATCATCGTTAAGTTCTTGGTTCTAATCCTTAGTGACCTTAGCATGTCACTCACCTCTGGGTCCCAGCTTACTCATCTGTAAAATGGGGGGCAGTAATAATAACTTTGCTCTCTACCTCACAACATATAGTTGTGAGTATCAAGTTAAACAAATGTGAAAAACATGTTTTTTAAACTGTAGGATTCTACACAAGTATCGCTTTATCTGAAATACAGAATATTGATACTAGAATGTTTCTAGTCAAGGGAATTGCTCTAATAAACTAATTTTTTTCACAGTATAAATACAAATACAATTATGAAAAGGAGAGGGGGAAGATGGTTGGTTTCCGCAGCCTTGAGGATGATCCCAAATTAGTCCATTCCATGCAAGTGGCTAAGATGCAATCTGATCGGGAGTACAAGAAAAACTATGAGAATACGAAGACCAGCTACCATACCCCTGCTGACATGCTCAGTGTCACGGCTGCCAAGGATGCCCAAGCCAACATCACCAACACCAACTACAAGCATTTGATTCACAAGTACATCCTCCTTCCAGATGCCATGAGCATTGAGCTGAGCAGGAATATGAATCACATACAGAGTGATGTAAGTCTCTCTTCTTTCTTCTTTCTGGGTGATGGTTGGATTCCTAGCATGGGAATGGAGATCACAGTCTTCTATGCTACACTTTTGTGTCTGAACTGATAAAAGTAAAGTAATTGATAAGGTAAAGTAGAATTTGTTTCTTCTCTTTATAGAATGAATACAAACAGGACTACAATGAGTGGTACAAAGGGCTTGGCTGGAGTCCAGCTGGTTCCCTAGAAGTGGAGAAGGCCAAGAAAGCAACTGGATATGCCAGTGATCAGAAGTACCGCCAGCATCCTAGCAACTTCCAGTTTAAGAAGCTGAGTGACTCCATGGACATGGTTCTTGCCAAACAGAATGCACAAACCATGAACAAGGTAGACAGCCATCCTTCTCTATGGCTGTCCTTCCCTACAGCTCCCAGCAAGGCAGGGCTAGCAGCCTCTGGTTCTTGTTTGGGAAATTTGGTTTGGGTCCACCGCTTCTGGACAGTGACAGACTGTTCCAGAGCATGTCCCTACATCCTTTTCTTCTGCCTCCTATTTTTATTTCCCCTGACCTTCTAAGTTAGAAATCATTTGTTTTTAAAAATTCTTATATATTAAGGACTTCCAATTAATTCTAGAAGATAGAAAATATCCAAAATATTATTTTTTTTAAAAAACCTGAGTTTGTTTTTGGTGTCTTTTCTGAGTCATATACCACTTTAGTTACTAAATTTAATTCAAACTGAGTGCATTCAAATGCTCTGTTACTTTTTTTTTCTCTTCTGTTTGTCCTTCAAATATCAAATGTCTTTTTTCTCCTAACTTCCTAGCACTTATATACCGTTGACTGGAACAAAGATAAAACCAAGATTCATGTGACGCCAGACACTCCAGATATTTTACAAGCCAAGCAGAATCAAACTCTGTATAGTCAGGTAAAGTTATATAAAAATTTGGCTTGAAACTAGTTAAACTTTTTAAATGATGTAATGGTAAATAATTGATGTAAATGCTGAAGCAATAGAAATGAATGACTCAAACTGGCTAGCTAGAGATGCTGCAGAATATGGTGCTTAAAAAGCAAGAGCTTTAGCTGTGACTCTTACGCTCCATGGAGGCAAGCACTGTGCTTGTTTTGTTTATCTTGGTATTCATTGTACTTGGCACAGAGTAGGAAATCAATAGTTAATTGGTGAAAGAAAATATTGCATCAGACAGACCTGGTATGGGTTTTGGTTTTGCCATTTATGAGTTACATAACATCAGGTCTAAGCCTTAGTTTCCTCATCCCTAAAATTGGGACCGTGATAGTGCTTATGGCATTGAATTGTTGGGAGGACCAAATGAGAAATTTCCATGTAAGGCTTTCAACACAGTACCTGGCACATAGTAAGTTCTAGATTACTTTCAATTGTTTATATTTGGTTACCAATTATTTTAACATCTGTGAATAAATAGTGAGCCTAGACTGTACTTAACAGCAGGGAGGAAGGACCTGATACACTTGATGTGCCCAAATTGTGTCTGAACAGAAAAGCTACTCTAGAATTGTACTGTGTCTCTCATAACTGAGCCTATTCTCAGAGCCAGAAAATTGAAGCAAGATCCTGTAATGCTAAGTCAGTGCTCCCTAAAACAGCTTGATTTGGTTTTATCCATATCTTTAGAGATAAGGTAGATGATAGAATCTGGTGTCTACTCTCTGAGTAAACTTTTTTTCAGTATTCCATTGGGGTTTTAATATATACTGAATAATGCTAAATTATATATTTAATTTCCAGAAATTCTATAAACTTGGATGGGAAGAAGCTCTGAAGAAAGGCTATGATCTCCCACTTGATGCAATTTCTGTACAGTTGGCCAAAGCTTCAAGAGACATTGCTAGTGATGTAAGTTTGGCTTGTTTGGCTTTTATGATATATTTTATCTGAATCAGGTATCTTAATGCTGGTAACTATTTTTACAGATAGGCCTTGACTTTCAAAATGTAATGCCATTCCCTTCATCTTCTCCTACCTACCCTCTTCATTTACCGAAAATTCACTTTTCTTTCTTACTGATCCAATATCAAAATAAGAGCTTCCTGGATAGAGATTGTCAGAGGACCTATAAGATCCATTACACTAAGATGCTATGTTTCTAGATATTACGAAGAACAGAGATTTCAATTTTCCCCTGCTTGCCTGAAAATAATTTCCTGTTTTCTATTTGTCTATTTTACACAAATTCAAAGTGCCAGATAATAAATCAACCTCAACAACCTGATGCTGATAAATTTTTATATGCACATATTTCCAAAATTAGATGCCAGCTCTTTTTATTTAACCCATTCTTACATCTACATAATTATAATAAATTAGCTTGGGGATAAAAAAATGCAGGAAGTTTCAGGAATTTAGGTTTAAGGTCCAGAGAGCTTAACTTTCTGTTGGATATCTGGTCCCAAAGTTCATAAAACAGGGATATTTGTTCTCCAAGGCAACTTCTAGTTATGACTGGAAAGGATAGTCAATTTGGTGAATAAACTAGGTTCAATCCCTATTGATTAGCTAAATTTTTACAAATATTTGACTTTGATATTCTGCATATAGATCAACATGTCATTTTGTTAATTCTAAGAATTAACCTCAAAAAATTCAGAGGACTTTGGAATTTCAGAGGGAAGTACTACCTCTTAAAATTTTTAAAAATAAGACAAGGACTTGGGTTGGAGAAAAAGAGTGTCTAAAGACAGCATCTGACAATGAATTCTAAGAATATAAGGGAGGATTTTCTCTAAATAAATTAATTTGTGGCACTCCAGAAACGTGGGAAAATAAGATGATTTATTACTACTCACTCACTGGCTTATAGGTCAATTCCTTATTAAAATGAATCAGCATGCTGAAGAACTTACAGCAATAGTGATGCTTGAATGTTCCCGCAGGAACATTTAATGTTATGTAGTTTCCATGAGGTGGAGATGATTTAGAAATTGAAGAAATAGCATCAGTGATTTCCTAATTATACATTTGATAGTACCTAATTTCTTTCTATGTGAAACCATTAGTTAGAACCTTTTAAAATCTTACCCTAAAATTAACTTTACGTGAACTTTCCCACCATTGTAGAGATTATATCTCCTCTCAGTTTCAATTGGGTTTTTTTTAAGATTGATTTATTTTATTTTATTTTATTTTATTTTTTAAAGATTTTATTTATTTATTTGACAGAGACCGAGACAGCGAGAGCAGGAACACAAGCAGGGGGAGTGGGAGAGGGAGAAGCAGGCTTCCTGCTGAGCCGGGAGCCCGATGTGGGACTCGATCCCCGGACCCTGGGATCATGACCTGAGCCGAAGGCAGTCACTCAACCAACTGAGCCACTCAGGCGCCCAAGATTGATTTATTTTAGAGAGAGTGAATGGGGGAAGGGGCAGAGGGACAGGAAGAGAGAGAAAATCTCAAGCAGAATCCCCACTGAGTGCAGAGCCTGACACGGGGCTCAATCTCACGACCTTGAGATCATAACCTGAGCCAAAATCAAGAGTTGGACTCTTAACCGACTGAGCCACCTAGGCTCTCCTTGAATGGTTTTTATATTCTATAAAATTTAAGGAAATTAGAGATATTTTTGTGAGTACTTAATAAATTAGAATCATAGAATTTAGTTAGACAATGCAAAAGCTCTTTAATCCAGTCTCCCACTCAGTGTCCTGCCTTCTCTCCATCTCCAACAGGTGGTCATATGGTCTGTGAACACTTACATATAAAAGAATTTTTGTGCCTTTCAGGGCAGGTCATTTCCTTGTTGGATCATCTCTAATTGTCATTATATAGTTCCTTATTTTGAACTTGAGTATGTTGTTGATCAACTCTAGGTCTGTGTTCTAGAACATCACAAAGTAGCTTATTTTCTCTTCCACCTGATAGCTCTTCATATTACAAGTTTTTTACTTATTCTCCTTGGTTATTTATTCTCCTTAGTTTTATAAGTCCTTCAGTATTATGAATATTTACAATTCTTTAAAAGTCCTTCACTCTACTTGTGATTTATTCTATTTTTTTCATAACCCCTCTCAAAATAGTGCCCCCAAATTTACTGTTGTTTTCCTGTCACAGGAGGTCAGGACAGAGTAAATGAGCTTCTGACTTGTTTTTATCAGTGTCCCTGCAGAATCTTTAACACTACTTTTATAAGCAGTTTTGTCAGCTTGCCCGTATTCAGCTTATAGTCAACCTAAACTCCTGAGTGTTTATAATATACGTAAGTGTGAAGCTGGGTGTCGAGAGAGTAGAACCTAACTCCATGAAGTGTAATGTATGCTGGGCGTCTAGGGTCAAGTAAATGCTATTATTACTATCATTATTGTTAGTATTACGATTGTCATCCAGTACTAATGCAGTTTTTTCCCAGTTGAATCTAAATATTGGATTTCACTTTTCTTAAATTTATGTAGTTCATTTTGACTTGTTGTGGCAATATGTTGAGATCTTGTGGATTTCTCTTTCTTATCTAACATATTTAGCTATTTGTAGCTATATGTGCAAGAAGATATGGATCCTGAACAGAACAAGTTTATAGGACGTAACCATATGGCAAACCATTAAAAATCCTGCTGCTTAGTAAGTTAATCTATACTATAAGGCTTGTTGATCAAGTCCTGAATCTTTCTTATTCTTTGGCCATTCAGCCCATACTTTCCGATCACTCCCATAAGGCTATCACAAGAGATTTAGCAAATGTTACCCTAAGGTCAGCATATCCAATGTCTAGCACATCATGGTATATATTTTTGTCTCTAGTTAGAATTTTTTATCATAACCTCTCTTGATAACCAACTACATTACGTTTTGTTTTTGGAAGCCTCTATGTAAGTTCTTACATTTCTTACTAAATTAACATGGATATCCCTTTTCTCATTTCAGTTTTGGAAAACAAACATGCAAACAATGCAAATTGAGTTTTTAATTAAACTCAAATTGTTGAGCTTCACTTGATCTCTGTTTATGTTAATAAAAGAATTGATTCCTTTGATTTCAGTTTAAATACAAAGAAGGCTACCGCAAACAACTTGGCCACCATATTGGATTCCGGAGTCTGCAAGATGATCCAAAGCTTGTGCTGTCCATGAATGTAGCCAAAATGCAGAGTGAAAGAGAATACAAGAAGGACTTTGAGACGTGGAAGACCAAGTTCAGCAGCCCAGTGGACATGTTAGGAGTGGTGCTGGCCAAGAAATGCCAGGCCTTAGTCAGTGACATAGACTATAAGAACTGCCTGCACCAGTGGACGTGCCTGCCTGACCAGAATGATGTTATTCAAGCTAAAAAAGTTTATCAACTGCAGAGTGAGGTCAGTTTCTTATTATTACTCACTTATATATTACCGTTTGAGTAGCTGTTTAGTCACAGAGAGACAAAGTAAAAAGAGGAATTATTATTGAATATCTAAAATGCATCTGTTTGTAATGTGTAGAATCACTTGAGTCAAGGGTCCAAATGAGGATGGGGTTTTGATGGAGTGCTTTGTATTGTCACAGAATCTGTATAAGTCTGACCTTGAGTGGCTGAGAGGCATAGGATGGAGTCCCCTGGGTTCTATGGAGGCAGAAAAGAACAAGCGGGCTTCAGAAATCATCAGTGAGAAGAAATACCGTCAGCCTCCAGACAGAAACAAGTTCACCAGCATTCCTGATGCCATGGACATAGTTCTGGCAAAGACAAATGCCAAAAATAGGAGTGATGTGAGTAACTCTTCAGAAATAAATAGAAAAATTATAGTGCCTGATAACTGGGAGGTGCTCAATAGCATTTGCTTAATTAATTAGTAGAATAGCATAGCCTCATATCCTACGGCATAGCACAACACAGCATAGTGTTTAATATTGGTTGCTTCATTTGAATTATCAACTACTCTATACTGGATCATGTAAGATGGGTTAGTATCAGTTTTTATCACCTAAAGCTTTCTTACTTATTTACTTACTTATTTCTCTACCTATTTATCTATCTATCCATCCATCCTGTAAATGAGAAAGCTATTAAACATACTTTTTTTTCTTTGAAACTTGAATGTATTAAAGACCCAGACTTTGTGTTGTTGTTGTTGTTAGGGTAAAGTGTATGAGAGGGCAGGATTTTGAGTACTTTGCACAGGCAAAGTGGAAATGTTATAAAGAGTGTATTTTCTGCCAAGTGATTATAATGTGTTTAGCTTAGCCAAATCAAGACAAGTAGATGATACTATACATACATATGTGTGTGTATGTGGGTATATATATATCCCATCTTCAACTTATTTCCCTCTCTAGCACTGATCTGGCATGTAACGCTAAATATTTATTGAATAGAATGATTGAAAGATAGCAGTGTAGAGTAATTCTATGCAAAGAGAAAGAGTACTCATCATTACTCAGAAGCATAATCCTGAAAATTACAGAAAGTTGAATTATGTGCATTGAGACTCTGGAACTGTTAGGAAAGTTTGAATTGATATATAATAATAATTGTGTGGGTCTTAGAAGGATCTGAATACTTCTGCTATATATTTGACACCTATCATAGATATTAGTTTTACTATAAAGCTCATAACTAACTTAGCAAGCATTTGATAAATTGTAGCTCCTCTCTTCCCAATCAACCTCTCACAGACTTCTTGCAATTTTTATATCCAAAATCTATAATAAATGCTGACCTGTCGGCTTTATTATAAATATTCAAGCTTTCATTTCTTCTTTTTTTGTTGTTTTTATGATGGCAAGTTAAATCCAAGAGGCTGACTAATAAAGCAACAAATTTATGCAAAATAGCTCTGCCTTTTGGAATCCAGGTTTCTTTTCTCTCCATGAAACAGCGCTGTTTACAGAGCTCTGAAATAATAAGGTGGGCAAGAGAAAAACCTTCAATCATGAAATTTATCAACGTTAAAAATGCCTCAGGACAGACCTCTTCAACAGTATGCCCTGGTTTTAGGAATGCTGAGATACATACCCCCTCAGGCCTCAGAAGAAAGCCACTTGGATCCTTGAGCCTGCTGTTTCTCCTTTGAATAATAGACCAATACATCTATCTCGGGATGAACAAATATTAGTATTTTCTGTTTTTCGGGGAGGTGGGGTGAGGTTGTGGTGGAAATGACACATACCATTGAAGAAATGGTCCAACTTAGTGGTTTTCAACCAGGGACAATTTTGTCCCACTGGGGACATTTAGCAACACCTAGAGACCTTTTCAGTTATCACAACTTGAGGGTGGCATGCTACTGGCATCTAGTGGATAGAAGTCAGGGATGCTGCTAAACATTCCAGAAACATACAGGGCAGCATCCCTACAACCAAGGAGTCCTCCAGTATACAATACCAGTAGTGCTGAGGTTGAGAATCTCTGATCTTAATCAGAAAGATTAGTACAGAACCAGGATAAATGTATGTGGAAATTGACAAGCCTTGCTTTGTTTTGGTCCTGAAGATCTTAGCTTCTCTGGGTTATGTGGATTGTAGTAAGCATGTGCAGGAAGGAGAAAAGCACCAACCCCTTTACCCCACACTGAATACCTGAAGGGGAAATTGCCAAGTCCAAGGAACCAGTGAGACTTCTAAAATTTTTTATAATGAAATGATTTCAGGCATACAGAAAAGTTGCAAAATAGTACAAATAATTTAAATATATACAATAAATATATAAATATAATTATGTATGTATATCTATATCTTCATCCCAGTTCCCCAAGTGTTAACATTAGTCACATTTGCTTTTTTTCCCGTTTTTCTTTCATATATGTATGTAAGTTGCTGCATTGATGCCTCTCTATCCCTAAATACTTCAGTGTGCATTTCCTGAAAACAAAACATTTTCTTACAAAACCACAGTGCAATGATCAAAATCAGGAAATTAACATTGAAACAATACTAGTATATAGAATTTATTCAGTTTTATCACTAATGTCCTTTATACAAAATAAAAACTATTTTCTGATCCAGAATCCAATCCAAGATCAAACCCTGCGTTTGCTTGTCATGTCTGTAGTCTCCTTTAATCTGGACTGGTTCCTCACTCTTCCTTTGTCTTCCAAGTCCTTGACATTTGGGAAGAGTACAGGCCAGTTATTTTGCAGAATCTTCCTCAATTTGGGTCTGTTGTTTCCTCACGATTCGATTCAGGTTTTGTACTTTTAGCAGGACATCATATGTAGTACCCTCCTCCATATGTCCTATCAGGTGGTACATGATATCCATTCGTTCCATTACTGATCATTTTAATTTTGATCACTTGGTTAAAATGGTGTTGTGAGGTTTTTTCACTGTCAAACTACTATTTTATCTTTTGTAATTGCTAAGTATCTTGTGAGGAGATTCTCTGACAGTTCTCTATTTTTCATCAAACTTTCATCCCCTTGTTTTAGTAAACCAATGAGATTTTTGTTTGGGTTGTCTTGTCTTCTGTTAAAGACAGAGGATTGCTCTGGGACATATAAGAGATTTTTATAAATTCCATACAAAATTCTCTTGGGATCCTAATCCACCAAATTATTATAAGGTAGAGCTATAAGTAATAAAACACATAGGGAATGCATCTCCCTAATTTCTAGATATACCTCGAATATGTCATTTTTTGAGAAGGGAAGGGCTATCTCCCAGTTAAACACTGAGGGAGACGTTTATAAGCAAATTGGAGAACTGCTCTATTTGATGATCACGGCAAAGACTCTAATTACTTGGATTGATTTCTAATGGGCAGGGCTATTTGTAACCTTGAAAAGGTAATCCACACTTTATATTTTGAAAGGCAGTTATATCCCAGACAAGTAAAAAAAATACACTACCTATTTTCTGCTCAAGTTACCTGCTTATGCTATCAGTTAAAATGCTTAATTCAGATGAATTCAGTGATCCTGTTTGATGTTAATGGTGTCATTCACTAGTCTAACAAAACCACTGAAATCCTCTTATTTCTCATTTTAGAGGCTTTACAGAGAAGCTTGGGACAAGGACAAGACTCAAATCCACATCATGCCTGATACACCTGACATTATTCTGGCTAAAGCAAACTTAATCAACACAAGTGATGTAAGTTTCCAAATTCAGCATGTTTTTCAGAAAGCTTTTAATTGCTTCTAAGGCAATGAATTTATTTGGAAGTAAATTTGCATGTCTGGATGATTTTGATTAATAAACTACATGGCACTTAGATTCCTTATTTAGTGGTTTTTAGCTTGAATATCAAAATAATAGGTACTCCCTGTCTCAGGCAGAGTTGAGGGTCTGTGCTGTCTGTTCCTTGTAGTCCTTTATTACACCTATCATCCTAATATAATGGTTTATATTGCTCTCCGGTGTGTGGATGGGAGCTTCTCAGGGTCAGAGATAATTTGTATTGAGCCTGCAGTGCTTAGCTAGTAAAGTACCCAACACACATGAAATTCAATGAAATTTCGAATGAATGAGCATTAAAAAACCTATGCAGGAGAACTCCATTTTTATTTTTATTGTCAGAAGAATCTCCTGAAATCTGTAGATGTAAAAATTAAATATTTTAAAGACAAATTCTAAACTTTAATAGAGAGACTTCAACATTAAATAAGGTATTCGAATAATGCCACAAACGTCTAAAATATAAACACATTGCAAGATCAATAGGCATTTTAAACAATCTGGTTTCTGGACAAAGTGCATTAAATTGTATTCTCAAATATTTCATTATGTAACAAACCTGAAGAAAAAAATTATTTCTCTTAAGCTTTTAAATTTAACATTTAAAGTTTCCTCCGAAAAATCTTAGATTTAAAAAATTATGAAGGATTTTGTTTCTTACCTACAGATGCGGATCCTACTACGGACAGCCCTATATTGTAAAGTAGATTATTTTATAGTGTGTTAGCTACGTGGAAGAGACAGCCCATTAGGCGTAATTTTTCCCCATGAAAGGCATGGCTCTTTTCTAACAAAAACTTCTAATGAAACACTCATAGTTAATTGGAAAACAGCACCTAAATGATATTTTATTTCATTTCTCTATCAATTTACTTCTGCCTCATTCTCATAAGTATTTGGGAAGAGCTGAAATTTAATTTTGTTGATCTGCGTAATCGAAGAGCTTTAAAGTTTAAAATAGGATCATTAACAATCAATGGGCATAATTTCCAATTACATTTGAGTATTCTAGAGCAGATACTATTTTCAGGGACTCTTAAAATATTTAGCACATTGCATTCATTATGCTACAGTTTTTTATGGAAAACAGCTTTTCCCAAAGTGATCTTCATCTCTTAACAGAAACTCTACCGAATGGGTTATGAGGAATTGAAGAAAAAAGGTTACGATCTTCCCCTTGATGCCATACCAATCAAAGCTGCAAAAGCATCCCGAGAAATTGCCAGTGAAGTAAGACTTTTTCCACTGTTTATATTGATTTGATTGCAATTTATCACTTTAACAAAGTTTCAATTTAATCTTAAATTGAACAAAATCTTCCAAGGAGTAACAAATTAAAACAGAGTGGAATGATCCCAAAGATGTAGTGTGGGATGAGGATAAACTCAAGGTATTTGTAGCTGGAATTTGTATGAAATTTATTATGTATGAAATTTGTACCTGGAGTTAGCCTTTAATCTTTCCTATCAAAAGACTTAAATCTGTGGCTCTCTAGGCTTTGTGAAATATGTGGAGTTCATGTGCTTTGTAATTGTAAGTTAATCTTGAAAGGAACAAGACATATTTTTTTCCTTTAGTACAAGTACAAGGAAGGCTTTCGCAAGCAGCTTGGCCACCACATTGGAGCCCGGGACATCAAAGATGACCCCAAGATGATGTGGTCCATGCATGTGGCCAAGATCCAGAGTGACAGGGAGTATAAGAAGGACTTTGAGAAGTGGAAGACCAAGTTCAGCAGCCCAGTGGACATGTTGGGGGTGGTCCTGGCCAAGAAGTGCCAGACCTTAGTCAGTGACATAGACTATAAGAACTTCCTACACCAGTGGACATGCCTGCCTGACCAGAATGACGTCACCCATGCTCGACAGGCCTATGACCTCCAGAGTGATGTGAGTCTAAGATTTTCCTTTGGCCAACTAAATATCATGTCTGCTTTCCTGAGAACCAAATTTTCCCTAAAGTGAGCAGAGTTGAGTTTACACAACTGAGTTTTATGTCCCTAGATTAATGCCCATGCCCCATCCAGTCCCCCAAATATCTGGAGGCACCATTATCCCACAGAGAAAGAACCAACAAATATTCTCCTGCTTTGGTGAAAGCCTCTAGTATTCTGATCTAGAAGAGTTGGATCATTCTCTATGTGCTGCTATTTAAAATGCTTTCTAAAGTAAAATGTTTTCCAAAATATGCTTCTGATTTGAATAGTCCATAGATTCACAACACATTTGTAAATTTCCCAAGAATTCAAGCATTTAAATATATATAGTCTAGTAAAATATGTAATATATAATTTTATTTCTTTCGGGGCATATTATTATGCTTATGTTAAGTGGTTTATCACCTATAATTTCAGAATTTGTACAAGGCTGACCTTCAGTGGCTAAGAGGCATTGGCTGGTTACCTAGTGGCTCTCTTGAGGATGAAAAGAACAAGAGAGCTACCCAGATTTTGAGTGATCACATTTACCGTCAGCACCCAGATAAATTCAAGTTTTCCAGCCTTATGGACTCCATCCCAATGGTTTTGGCAAAAAACAATGCTATTACCATGAACCATGTAAGTCTTGTCTTTACTTGAAGGGGGTATTTGTGTGTGTGTGTGTGTGTGTGTGTAAACATAGACATCTGTTTCTATAAAAGAAAAATCATATTTAATTCTTTTGCTTGGTATTAAAGTGGTTTTTAAGTAAGTGCTGTGCTTTCTACTGATACGACACATCTAGACCTGAAGGTGTCACAAATACCAACTCACAGAGCAGACTATCTTTATTCTCATTAAGAACCAGATTATTAAAACAGATTATTTTTATGTATCTATTCATTACTAGTCTGTACTAATCACATCTTTTTTGTTTGCTTTAGCGCCTCTATACAGAAGCTTGGGATAAAGATAAAACCACTGTCCACATTGTGCCAGATACTCCTGAAGTTTTACTGGCTAAACAAAACCAAATAAATTACAGTGAGGTCAGCAATATATTCATGGTGTATGATAGATTGTATTTATACTGCACTTTATAAATCAAACTCATGATGATTTATGTCTATTTCAGAAACTATATAAACTTGGCCTAGAAGAAGCCAAGAGGAAAGGCTATGATATGCGGCTGGATGCCATTCCCATCAGGGCGGCCAAGGCCTCCAGAGACATTGCAAGTGAAGTAAGTGCACCTAAAAAGTTCTTTGCCTTAACTTTAGCTCAAAGGTTTTTCTGTCTCCTGGTTATATAGTAGGGTAAGTAAGCTATGAGGTTAAAGTTCTTGCCAACAGTCTTTTTTCTAAGTAAATAGTTTAAAATAATGGTAATAAAATTCTCAATACAAAGCTATGGTTGAGTCTGTAGCAACATGCATTTCAAAATATTTTCCATTTCCTGCTGAATGAAAGCACTGGAGGGTGGGAGGATGGGTTAGCCTGGTGATGGGTATTAAAGAGGGCACATTCTGCATGGAGCACTGAGTGTTATACACAAACAATGAATCATGGAACACTACATCAAAAACTAATGATGTAATGTATGGTGATTAACATAACAATAAAAATTAAGAACAACAACAACAAAAAACAAAAATTCATTACAAAAAAAACACTGGATACTTGACTAGGTTCAGACATCCTTTGGGCTTTTCCACATGATATATTCTTATATACAATTGAACTCATTGTAGGATTCCTTCAAAACTAACTCATGCTTTATGAACTAATGAACCTATAAGGGCTGAATAAATAGGACACATTATTCATAGTCCAGCCATCCACAGGTACCATATGTTTGCTTCTGCATCTGGTGATTGGTTGCCAGTATTTTTTTTTTTAAAGATTTTATTTATTTATTTGACAGAGAGACCACGAGAGAGGGAACACAAGCAGGGGGAGTGGCAGAGGGAGAAGCAGGCTTCCCGCTGAGCAGGGAGCCGGATGCGGGGCTCGATCCCAGGACTCTGGGATCACGATCCGAGCCAAAGGCAAACGCTTAACGACTGAGCCACCCAGTCGCCCCAATATTTACTTTCTTTAAGTGATTTCTTTGCTTACATTTCTAGGAACTTTTATCCTTCTATTTCATTAGTCCATGAAGTCAAGAATATATTTTTTCTTTATTTCCAAAATATGAGAAGTAACCATAATTTAAAAATAAATGGTCAACAATCACAGAAGGGTTAAAAGTATTAATATATACCAATATAATGTAATACTTGCTGCCACTAAAATTCATGTTTATAGAGAATATTTAATGACACAGAAGAAGGCTTGTATAATTAGAAAAAGGAGATCCTATTCTAATTTTATTGTCTCTCTCTCTCTCTCACACACACACACACACACTATAAAAAGCAGTTATACGATGGTAATCATTGAATGGTAGAATAATGTCTTTATTTTTTGTGTAGGTATATATTTATTTTCTAAATGGCTTAAGAAGTACATGTATTTATATACAGGAGGAAATCACTATATTTTCAATGAAAAGGAAAATTAGGGCCTAGTAATTGCTTTTAACTAAAAGCTAAAATAGTTGATAATAAGTGTTTTTCTTTTTCTAGTTCAAGTACAAAGAAGGCTATCGTCAGCAGCTTGGCCATCACATTGGTGCCCGAGCAATACATGATGACCCCAAGATGATGTGGTCCATGCATGTGGCCAAGGTCCAGAGTGACAGGGAGTACAAGAAGGACTTTGAGAAGTGGAAGACCAAGTTCAGTAGCCCAGTGGACATGTTGGGGGTGGTCCTGGCCAAGAAGTGCCAGGCCTTAGTCAGTGACATAGACTATAAGAACTTCCTGCATGAGTGGACGTGCCTGCCGGACCAGAATGACGTCATCCATGCTCGGCAGGCCTATGACCTCCAGAGCGATGTGAGTATGTGAGAATCACAGTGGCATGCAAACGTAGGAAATCAGTGAATTAACACCGCTTGGAGAAGGTAGCAATAGATGGCACCAAGGTTACCAGCCCCTGCAAGGCGGGAATGGGATTTCTGCTTTCCTTGTGAGTATTGTTTAACTTTCCAGATCAAAAAAGAATATTATCTGATACACTACCTGTCCATCAAAGTGTATTTTCAAGAGTGCTCTTTATTTCATATCCTTCAGATGAACATGTTTTCCCAATGCCGAGACAAATATTTACTGACTGTTTGTCTCAACAGAATATGTACAAGTCAGATCTGCAGTGGTTGAGAGGCATCGGCTGGGTTCCCATTGGCTCTTTGGATGTGGAAAAATGCAAAAGGGCAACTGAAATTTTGAGTGATAAAATCTATCGCCAGCCTCCAGACAAATTCAAATTTACCAGCGTGACCGATTCTTTGGAACAAGTGTTAGCCAAGAATAATGCCATCACCATGAACAAGGTGAGGCTGCAAAATTCAGAGAACAAAGGTAGGACTCCAAAAGCCAAATCAAACAAAGAGAAGCATAACCAAGAAAAGAAAGCAAGCAAGCGTTGAGCAAGAGAAGACATCTATCTATCCATCCATCCATATCTATCTGTGTGTCACTTATATTAAATATTTACTTCAGTAGTTGTTTCATAGTTCTGATAAAATGACATGTTTTTATGGAAAAGCATCTTTGCATGAAAGATACTCTCAATTTCCTTTTGTTAACATATATTTCAGACTATAAGGCACTAAATATCTGTTCTATACACTAATTACTTGAAGATGTGTCTGCCATACATAATGTGTATAAGATGTATATATAACCTTTTGTTATTTCTCTTTATAAAGTCATTATGGTCCTGAAATTCTTCTTAATCATATACTGAATTTTTTTCCTGATGACATTATATATTTCCTTTCATAGCGTTTATACACGGAAGCCTGGGACAAAGATAAGATGCAGGTCCACATCATGCCAGACACACCAGAAATTATGTTGGCAAGAATGAACAAAATCAACTACAGCGAGGTGGGAGCAGATGCTAATTCTATGAAGTTTGCATGTTGTTTCTTATTTCAGTTAATCTGTCCAAGGTGATAAAATACTATACAACAACTTTATAAAGAATCTTTTTTTTTTTTTTGCTCCATGTGAATAGCAACTCTTGCGTTTCTCAATCCTCATCCTAAACATCAAACTTCAAGTAAAAAAGGTTATCACTTATGAAGTGAAAGATATAAGAATTAATGATTTAAGCAATAACCATAAGATGAATCAGACCTTCTTCTTTTATTAATTTTTTAAGTTAGGAAATTAGCAATAGATTAAATATACATTTATCTTCCCCTTATGCCTTATTGCTGTGCTAGATATATTTTCCATATATGATTTATTTTTTCCAAATTGTGGCTTAAAGTCAAAATTTAAGACTTTTAATGTATAAAATTAAGTCAAGGCCTAAAATCACAGTATTATCAAATAACCCAGAGAAAGAGACAGAAACAGAGAGAGGACCCGCCAAGGTATATATCAGCGAGCCTATTTCTTTTCACTTTCTGTGAGCCTAGGGCCATATGCCCGCCTGTCAGAACTATGGATGTTTAGGCTGAGAGGTCAGCATCTCTTCTAGTACAAGAGTCCCCACCCAACAGGTTGTCCCCCTGTCCTTGCTTAAGTGTTCTCAGTGACAAGGAGTTTCTCATAAATCAGCCCATTTGTTCTGGAAAATTCCATAAGAAAATTCTTCTGATGTAGAGTCACGGAGTTCTCTCTGCAGACTTTCATAGTTGTCTGAGGCTGTGCAAAACCAGTCCCTGCCAACTCCGTGAAAATGAGGGTAACTACTGTGGTGCCTCCCCTGCCCCCCCCCCCAACAATCCCCAGTTCCTGGGCATTCCTCACATGACATCCCTGCTAAAATGCGACCCTCCCAACCAAACAAAATCCTACAAGTGTAGAATACAGTTGACATCTTCTTTCCTCTTCTGGACATTTGACCTCTAATTCTGCACCCAGGGCTCCGGCACACGGGCAGCTTTGTCACTTCTGGGGCACGTGGAACTTGGGATCGACTAAAACCCAAACACATCTTACATGGGCTTAAGCTAGGTTTCCTCTATCCTGCCTTTATACCTTTGGCAACTTAAATTCAGTTTAAAATCAGTTCAAAGATTGACACTGATCTCTCTGCAGTTCCTTCTTCCTAGATTAAGCCGACTGGTTTAAGCCTGTGGAGATTTTTGTGAATCTGATTTTTCTGTCAGCTGATGTATTAGTTATTTCTCCCAGCTTTGTGCTACCAGCAAAGAAAATACTGTTTTTTTGAAAGTGTAAGTCAACAATATATCACTCTTCTGCAGGATATAACTTAGAGAATTTAGCTAGATGAGCCACCATCTTAAGTCATTTTATTTTGGTGAGTGCGAACTATAATTTTATTGCTTATATAACTAACTCTTCATTGTCTCCAAAACCGAAAGACATCAAGTCCTACTTGCAAAGCAAAAAGGAGTGAATTTTTTAGCTAAGCCTATAATATGTGTCCTATATCATTACAGAAAAGCATGTATTGTATGTGCAGGACTTTCAGGAAACAAAGAGCCTCTATAACTGGCCACTCAGCATTTCTGGAATTCTGGACTCTGTCTTTGCTGCAAAAGCTCAGAGAGGCTGTAGTGTTGCTGTTGGTTCAAAGAGACCTAGGGATAATGCTCTGAACAGAGTGCCTAACCTGCCTGGTCTGCTTTCTCCATCTTTTCTCTCTCAGCTTAGTTCAATCCTTTAGTACTTTTTGTCACGCAAAGGATAGGAAGATAAAATGCAAGTTTGATTATGTCACTCTTCCTCAAAGATTATTGTTGGCTTCCTATTTCCTATGGAATTAAGCACCAATTTATATTAGCATTAAGCCTTCAGTCCAACTCCAGGTTCTTCTCGGTCCTTTGCTGCCACTTGTCCCTGGCACTGCTCCCCACTTACTTTGACACCCCTGCACTTTCACTCCCTTGTGCTTTGATTCATGCAACGCCCTCTGGCGTTGACTGCTGTCCCAGTCTCCTGAAACCATACTCATCACTCAAGGTCCAGTGCAAAGATCAGCCCCTCTGCAGGAAATTTCCTGATTCTCAATTCAGAATTAATTACTCTTTCCTGGAGCCCTTTGTCAATGATATGCTTAAATGACCTCTCGTGGTTTGACTTTTTGGTAGCTTAGTCTGTAGGCTACCAGTCTTTCCATCAGTTCCCCAGAAACCTTGACGATGGAAGAAGTCTCACTCCTCTTTGATTCCCAAGTACCTAGCCCAGTCAGAGCACACAGTGGGTGCAGAATCAATGTGGATTGCATTAACGTCCATGATCAACAGTTAATCAAGTCTTTCACTCTTACCCACATTTTGCCACCTTAGGTCCACAAGTTTCAGCTTAATTTTTTAGTTCTCTTCAAAACTGATTCATGGTTATAACTAAAAATTTTGAAACAGTGGATATATCTATATTTAGTTAATTCAACGTAAGTTTTAAAATAAAAAAGCTGCAATGTTCTAAAAATGTATCATTTTTAAGTCTTCAGCAGACAGTGCAAAGACTTACAACTCTCAGAGTGAGATTATTATAGGGGCCTACCTGTGTCGAACTTAGTGAATTATTTTAGTCCCCTGTCAGTTTTTGGATATGAATGTCAACATCTATGTGTATTTATATATTTTTTGCCCAAACTTAGACTCTGTATAAACTTGCTAATGAAGAAGCGAAGAAGAAAGGCTACGACCTGCGAAGTGATGCCATCCCAATCGTGGCGGCCAAGGCCTCCCGGGACATCGCCAGTGATGTGAGTAACAGTGTCGCCCCAAGTATATAATCAGGCTGAAGTGACGTTGTCACTGAACTAAATCTTCAGAAAGAACTTTCCTCGCCCTTTGGAAATATGTCCTAGTGTATTTATGTGGGATTTTTCAAAAACCTAGTTTTGAGGGAAATGAAAAATTCAATGTTCGTACAAGGGGTTTATAACCTTTAGGACACAGTATTTTCGATGAAAACACCCGTCGAAAACAGAGAAAGATCCATTCACGTGGAAATTATTAGAGCACAGCTGCAGGCTTGGAGATATAAAAATTATCATGGTGCTTCTAGAAAGTATAACTCAAACTTAAGTACTCCCAATGAGAATCAGGTCCTGGCTTTATGTAACATTTTACTATACAATATTCACAAAAGTGATATGACACTTGCCATTATAATTCACCTTTCTAAGATTATGAAAAGAAGGCAGTGGATCCCTACCAGAGGTGGCTACTAGCCCGAGATTGTACCCTTAAAAACAGCTCCTGGCTGTCTAGCACATACCTCCCAGAATAAAACCATCATCCCTTCATTGTGCCTCAGATGATTCTTGAGGAACAGACCACTACTTTAAAAATCAAGGGCCCAGGATCTGGGAATATGGCAATACACTGGCCTTTATATTGTGTTAGTGACTCACTTTAGTTATGTACGTTGGACCTCCCCATGAATTTATGTCAACAATTATAAGTAACAATGACAACTAGGAAGTATTGAGAATTCCATGCTAAGAGCTTGACATGTGTTATCTTACTTATACTTCATAATTATCCTAGCACGTAAGTTTTGTCATTATCCCTGTTTTGTGGATTGCTTTAAGCAACTTTTCTAAAACCAAACTCTCAGTAGGTGGTGGAATTGAAACTCCAGACAACCTCATTACTTCCCACTGTACCATATTGTCTCCTGCTGACCCATCCATACTTTTCTTACTTAGTGATCTTTGAGACTAGAGGCATGTATTTTGAATAACTGCCTCAGATCCCGGGACAACATCACTGGACATGGAATAATAAAAACATTCTTGGCCTATGCAGGAGTAGAACCCATGACTTTTTTGGAGCATGCTCCAACCAGCTTTACTAGTATAATAATAGTAGTATTATATTAGTATACTAATAGTATACTATTTGTTTATAATAGCATAATACCTGGTATACTAAACTAGGTCCTTGACCTAGAGTACTACATCCTTCCAGGAGTCAGACACTCATTTTACGACTTATTAAACATGCCATGTCGCCAAGTGCATCTCTTTCCTGATATACTTTTAGTACCTAAAATTCATTTCTCCAAATTCCCTTGTTCAAATGGCCTCTCCCCACTGTGGGCACTACCTGCCTCTAAATTATTCCTTATCACTAGGCCATGGGTGATTTGGGATATGCACTACAATTATATGGATTCCATCTCTTCTCTTAACTCTATAAGCTTCAAGGGTAAAGGTCAGGATACCAGCTTGAGTTAATGCTTATTATCACAAGTCAACTTACAGCTTTGATGTAAGCAAGGTGATTTTGTACAGACTTTTGACCCCCAAGGGCTTATAATAAAAACCTGATTTGTGTGTTTTCATCTCAGTACAAATACAAAGATGGTTACCGAAAGCAACTTGGCCACCACATTGGAGCCCGAAATGTTGAGGATGACCCCAAGATAATGTGGTCCATGCATGTGGCCAAGATCCAGAGTGACAGGGAGTACAAGAAGGACTTTGAGAAGTGGAAGACCAAGTTCAGCAGCCCAGTGGACATGCTAGGAGTGGTCCTGGCTAAGCAGTGCCAGACCTTAGTCAGTGACGTGGACTATAAGAACTTCCTGCATGAGTGGACATGCCTGCCTGACCAGAATGACGTCATCCATGCTCGGCAGGCCTATGACCTCCAGAGCGATGTGAGTACAGCATCTATAAAAGAGCTGAGTTCAGAAATAATTTAAACTATATAAAAGTTATCCTTCATATGCAATCCATTGGCCCACTTAAGCTATTTATTGATTTATTGATCAGTGAGTGAGATCTCAATGAGAATATACTTTTTATTGCTTTATTATGAAGATGTTTAATAGGCTTTATAAAGAAATGAAGTTTACAAACTGGATTTGGTCCTATAAAAACAAAACCAGAATTAAGCAATGTTAGAATTCAGAGTCCACCAGATGGAGACATTTTCTTTTATTCTTTCAGAGGGGTAGAAACAACACATTTAAAAAAAAAAATTACTCTGAAATTTGTTTTTAGCTTCTTTACCAACCAAATGAGGTTATCATTAGAATTCTGATGCTTGCTAATTTTTATTCTTATGCTAATTGTTATTATGAAATAAGAGAAGTTACTGTGTAAACTGTTGGGTCAGTTCACTGACATTTTCTTCTCCTGGCACGGCTCTCTGTAGAGGGGTCACATGGTAATGCCAAACCCTAGTACTTGGTGCAGCTGCTTTCAGTATCATATCTGGGTGTGAGAAACACAGTTCCTACAGCACGTAGTTCATAACTGTTTGAAGGGATTATTAAGTGTTAGAGGATTTGGGAGAATAAAACAAATGAATAATAATTATACATTAATTAGCCATTACTGGAAACTGTACAAGCCCACCTGTGAAACCACTCACATTTGTTCTGTAGTTTTTGACACACACACCCTGTGTTTTGCAATTGTGTCCAAAAAGAAAGGTTTTGCCTGCGCATGAAAGAGAATTAAAATGGCTCATGTCACCCCTGGAGTGACAGCGTTGACAGACTGCCTGCATCTGTCTATTTGTTGAGTGCCTGTCCAAGATCTCCTCCCCCACCCTGTGATATACAGCCTTAATGGTTATTTGAAAGTTAACAGTTGGCATTGAAGATGGATCTCCAACCCTTCACTTTCAGTCTAGATGTATCTTTAGGTTCAAAATGAGTCTCTTGTAGACAGCATATGGATGGGTCCTGTCTTTTCATCCAGTCTGCAACCCTGTGCCGTTTTATGGGAGCATTTAGGCCATTCACGTTGAGAATGATTATTGAAAGATAAGAATTAATTGTCATCATGTTGCCTGTGTTCATCATCATTAGCCATCAGGGAAATTCAAATCAAAACCACACTGAGATACCACCTTACACCAGTTAGAATGGCAAAAATTGACAAGCAAGAAACAACAAATGTTGGAGAGGTTGTGGAGAAAGGGGAACCCTCTTACACTGTTGGTGGGAATGCAAGTTGGTACAGTCACTTTGGAAAACAGTGTGGAGGTGCCTCAGAAAATTAAAAATAGAGCTACCCTATGACCCAGCAATTGCACTCCTGGGTATTTACCCCAAAGACACAGTGAAAAGAAGGGCCATATGCACCCCAATGTTCATAGCAGCAATGTCTGCAATAGCCAAACTGTGGAAAGAGCCGAGATGCCCTTCAACAGATGAATGGATAAAGAAGATGTGGTCCATATATACAATGGAATATTACTCAGCCATCAGAAAGGATGACTACCCAACTTCTACATCAACATGGATGGGACTGGAGGAGATTATGCTAAGTGAAATAAGTCAAGCAGAGAAAGTCAATTATTCATATGGTTTCACTTATTTGTGGAACATAAGGAATAGCATGGAGGACATTAGGAGAAGCAAGGGAAAAATGAAGGGGGGAGGAAATCGGAGGGAGAGATGAACCATAGACTGTGGACTCTGAGAAACAAACTGAGGGTTTTAGAGGGGAGGGGTGAGGGATGGGTTAGCCCAATGATGGGTATTAAGGAGGGCACACACTGCATGGAGCACTGGGTGTTATACGAAAACAATGAATTGTGGATCACTACATCAAAAACTAATGATGTACTGTATGGTAACTAACATAACATAATAAAATTTTTAAAAAAGAAAGTTAACAGTCGTTTGAAAGTTAAAAAGCACTCCAGAGGTATGAAAAGTTATTGTTTTCATTCTTGTTGTTGTTATTTTGGGGGCAATTAGTAGTGAGTGTAGGGCAATTACAACAGGCTTTTTGTCTAGACTGCAAAATATCAGTCTCTATTTTCTACTTAATTGCTGTTAATGGTAAAATCCTTCAAATGAGCTGGGCAAAGGTCCAATTCCCTTGCTGTGAAGTAGTTATGAATACTTAATGGGTTCCCAAAAATCCTTAGCAGAAAAATGATTTTAAATCACAAGAGAAAGGTATGGAAAGACAGTTCTGGAAAGGAGTCCATCTTCTTGTCCTGAGCACTTGGTGGGAAGAGACCAGGGCCCTGGACCAGTGACATGGTTGTTTACTGCCCTGAGCCTTGGGCAGTGCTAAGGCCGGGAAAGTTCTGCTCAGTGCTTCGGCAGCTCTGTGTCATTACTATATCTTCACTTCTTTCTGTGTTTATTCTTAAAGAGCATTACAGATATTTTGAAAGATAAGGAAAAATATAGAAACCAATAAAACCCAATGTAATCTAACCACTGAAAAAACCCACTCCTACTCATGTAGTTTATCCACATACAGTGTGTTTTATGTTTTCTCTTCGTGTAATGTTATATTAATGACATTTCTACAAGTAACCAACATTCTTTACAGTAGAGCTTTTAATAGCTACAGAGGATTTCATTTGACTAGGCCTAACACGTATTTACTGGTAGCCTGCTGTGGGATGTATCTGTGGTTTCTCCCACTCTGGGATGCCATTGTTTTCCTATACACGTGGACATTATAATAATATTCACTGAACTGACTAACAGAAGATATTAGTTTAGATTATTCCTCTCCTTACAACGGGAAACTTATGGTCCTTTTTTGTTATGGCTAGGAGACGTCTCTAGGTCATTTTTGAACGTAGTTGCTCTTTCAGTTTGCCTAACACAGCTTATTTTATATTAAAAAATAACAACCATACAACAACTTACCAGTATTGTAAGTTATTACTGATTGCATTGGCTTCTGCACCCTAAATCTTTTAGTCTTGCTGAAGAGTTTCTGCCATTTTTCCTCTTTACAGAACATTTACAAATCAGATCTCCAGTGGCTGAGAGGCATCGGCTGGGTTCCCATTGGGTCTGTGGATGTGGTCAAGTGCAAGAGAGCTGCAGAGATACTGAGTGACAACATCTACCGCCAGCCTCCGGACAAGCTGAAGTTCACCAGTGTGCCTGATTCCCTGGAACAGGTGCTGGCCAAGAGCAATGCCCTCAACATGAACAAGGTGAGCCCCAGCTGCCTCGAGCTTCTCTAAGATGCCAAAAGTTGCTCTCATACTCTAACGACCAGTGCACTTAAAATTATCCATTGAAGTGTAGGGTCACATTTAGCTCCTAAATTGCATACTTGAAATCCTCCAAATAATTTCTATTATTTCCAGTTTTAACCTCGATAAGACTCAAACCTCAAATGGAATACCTTATACCAAAGTTTGGTTTATTTTTCCTAATTAGATTAATAATAATCATGCTTTATTGGACTTTTTGTAATTTCTATTTCAAATGGTTTTTAAAATTTTTTATTTAAATTCAATTTAATTAACATATACTGTATTATTAGTTTCAGAGGTAGAATTTAGTGATTCATCAGTCTTATGTAATACCCAGTACTCCTCACATCTCATGCCTTCCTTAATGCCCATTACCCAATTACCCCATCCTCCCACCCAGCTCCCTTCCAGCAGCCCTCAGTTTGTTTCCTAGAGTTAAGAGTCTCTTAAGATTTGCCTCTTTCTCTGTTTTCATCTTACTTTATTTTTCCTTCCCTTCCCCTATGTTCATCTGTTCTGTTTCTTAAATTCTGCATATGAGTGAAATCATACGGTATTTGTCTTTCTCTGACTGACTTATTTTGCTTAGTGTATAATACCCTTTAGTTCCATCCACGTTATTGCAAATGGCTAGATTTCTTTCTCTTTGATGGCTGAGTTATATTCCATTGCGTATATATACACCAACCTTCAAATGGTTTTCTGTCATCTTCTTTGATAGCATTTATACACAGAGGCTTGGGACAAAGACAAGACTCAAGTTCATATAATGCCTGATACCCCGGAGATCATGTTGGCAAGGCAGAACAAGCTCAACTACAGTGAGGTAAGTACAAAATTCTGTGGTGCTGCACTGATTTTGTTATCAGCGTTACTGTTTGTTTTCCTGTACTTACTTTTGTGGAGATTCTCAGGCCTCAGCTATCTTTCATTTCTGGGTTGAATATTATAGCTATAGGATTCTCTGGGCAAACTGAAGTCACGTTACCTTTTTAGTTTATGGCCATTGCCGATGTGGGTCATTGGGGCTGAGGAGTATTTTTAGCATTTTCCAAGGGGTAAGATGGCCAGACAAAACAGTGGCTCAATATTTATACTGAAACACTACTTGTTGGTTACCTAATATTCAAGTCCAACTGGGCATGCTGTCTTCTTCTTTTCTAAATCTGGCAGTCTTACCAGGGGGAACTCTGATAATACGTACCTTTTCCCTACCTGGATCCTGAATAAAATTGAGAGGTAAAACAAAGGAAGTCTAGATAGAAGTTGAAATCTCACATTTTTTACCACTAAAGTTAGGTTCAAGGATACATTTGTATGAGAACTAAATGAGCCTAACCGAACCCCAGAATTAGGTTCCCATTTGTCCAGAGGAGGCCACACTGGAGCAGGGAGGTCAGCTCCACTCCCCTCAGGGCTAAGGTCTTGCTTAGAGCCCAGAGAAACAGAGAAGAACACTGGACTTATTCCTAGAGGGAACAGGTTAAAGCTGAGCAGGAGTGCCCAGTTATCCCTACCAGTTAAATAAATCAGTAAGTCAGTGCACTTCTTCCCAGGCAGAGAGTAAAGGGGCAGAGAAAGGAGAAAGGTCAGAGAAAAATAACTGAGCTCCTTCTATAGAAAGAAAGCTTCAGGCATGGGAAAGAAGTGTTCTCTATGAACAGCACCGATTTTTTTTAATGTAAAATGCAATGTATAGGCACATGTTTTACTAATAGGATACAGCCAAAATTTAGAATCTTAAAGTTGTGATTATAGTCCAGTTAGCTATGTTTTAAATTGTACTTCAGTCTTTTTCTCATTTGTTTTTTAAACATTATAAAGTATTACCTGTCTGTGAAAGATGTTTTAATAAAGAAATGGATAAAAGTATATAAGTGTATATATTTTATATATAAATGAATAATACTAAATATGGTTCTACAATTTTTTCACTTAGAAATATGTAGAAATTGATGCTTTGTCAATTGATCTATATTATTAAATTATAATATGTTGATATGCATACTATATCAAACCACATGATATATATTAATCTACAATATATATAATGGATTAATATATCAATCTATGTTAATACCAATCGATCTCATTTATTTCTAAAGCTAGGTATATGTTTTTGTTTTTGTTTTGGTAAGATGTAATTTATTTACTTTCAACATTGCTAGAAATTTAGGTTATTTCCAGAGCCTATCCTTTTTAAAATTATTCAGTATGTCACTTAGTAATCTCTCAATTGTTGCTGTCAAACTTTTCACTTTAACTCTGACACTCTTTCTGTAGATTCTGTATAAACTCGCCAACGAAGAAGCAAAGAAGAAAGGCTACGACCTGCGAATCGATGCCATCCCCATCGTGGTGGCCAAGGCCTCCCGGGACATTGCTAGTGATGTGAGTAGCAACACTTCATGTATGCACAAGGCTGGATGGAGTTGGGGGGAATGATCATCATTACAGCAGGGAGATGCATCTGGGTGCCAGTTAAAGCACATTTATTGTGCTTTAAGTGGAAAAAAAAAAGTCTTTCATTGGAGAAAGCTCTTTTATATTTTTAACTCCAAACAACTTTAATATTCATGTCCCACAGGTGGAGAGGGTATCCTAAACTTCAGTATAAAATTGAATTTGAATCTATAGTTGCTCATATCTACAATTATGAGACATTCATCTCCATATTTTGAGCATATAGCTTATAGAGAAATGAGAAAATGCCAGAAGGGTTAAAAAAAAATAACTTGCTTACATGTGTTGGCTCAACATCAGAAAAAGACCTGGTTCAGCCAGGTCTAGGAAAATGTACCTTTCCCTGAACCTGATCTGGATTTTTGCCAACTCTTTCTTTGGAAAATTACCTTAAGTGTTTCCTTCTGAGTTCTTTTTAAATAAAAACAGAGAAACGAAGACAACCAAAATTGATAAGATGGTGATCCTGATTTGTCTTTCTGCCGTCTCTGAAAGAAGTGGGTCCTTTGGTGAAGAATTCAGGCTTCCATAAACATACATTAGGATTTGTGTGATGTTGTTGCCTAAAGTGAAGAGAAAATATCCAGTCAGCCCTTACCACCACCACCACCACCAAAATGCTTTCTTGTAGTTATATGATCTGTTTCCTCGCTCAGAGAATCCTAAGAAACCCCAGCCAAATTTGATCTCCAACAGAGCAGGGTATGCAGGATAGAAAACGCAAGTCAGTCGATTTTAGGGAGTCAGGTGACCCAGTGAAGGTCAACAGAGCTAGAATTGGGAGGCCTGAGGGATGGGTCAGGGAGGTAATATGGTACCTGTGGACTGGGGAGTAGCATTCTCAAAATCATATATAAAATTTCTGGGTTAGTGATTTCACTGGCCCAAGATGAAGAAAAGGCCGTATTGTACTTTTGTGTACAGTACTATTGTGACTGATTTTCTGGAAGTGTTGCTGCCTTTATTTCCGGGGTCTTAATGTCTGCAAACCATAGAACTATCCAGTTTGGCCTGTTTTCCCATTAGAGTACTGCTGTGAAGTCATATCAGAATTTAGGATGAGGAGATAAGTTGATATTCAGATGATTCCAAATTTAAAATAATGATGTTTTAAACTAAAGGACTTTTAGCCCTTCCTATTCGTGTTTGTTTTTAAATGACTACTTTTATTTCAGTACAAATACAAAGATGGTTACCGAAAGCAACTTGGCCACCACATTGGAGCCCGAAATGTTGAGGATGACCCCAAGATAATGTGGTCCATGCATGTGGCCAAGATCCAGAGTGACAGGGAGTACAAGAAGGACTTTGAGAAGTGGAAGACCAAATTCAGCAGCCCAGTGGACATGTTGGGGGTGGTCTTGGCCAAGAAGTGCCAGACCTTAGTCAGTGACGTGGACTATAAGAACTTCCTGCATGAGTGGACGTGCCTTCCTGACCAGAATGATGTCATCCATGCTCGCAAGGCCTATGACCTCCAGAGTGACGTGAGTACCAGGACCCATTATATACCACTGGTGACCATGCTTATGATAGTTAATACACGGTGATACATAAATAATGGTCTAGGATTTAGTTCGAACCCTCAGAAGTAATAACACTTTTTCTCTTTGCCTCTCATTGACTGAGCCTTACTTTTCTTTTAGCGAGAACATGATACCACCAAGCTATATCTAATTGGGCTTCATATTTGAAAAGACATAGACATGAAGTTTGGCTATTAAAGTTTTTCAGTCTTTTTCTTTCATTTTTTTAAATCAAGTGTCATAACAGCTTAAGTAAGGCTTGCTTTTGTGTTTGATCTCACCAGAACATTTACAAATCAGATCTCCAGTGGCTGAGAGGCATCGGCTGGGTTCCCATTGGGTCTGTGGATGTGGTCAAGTGCAAGAGAGCTGCAGAGATACTGAGTGACAACATCTACCGCCAGCCTCCGGACAAGCTGAAGTTCACCAGTGTGCCTGATTCCCTGGAACAGGTGCTGGCCAAGAGCAATGCCCTCAACATGAACAAGGTGAGCCCCAGCTGCCTCGAGCGTCTCTAAGATGCCAAAAGTTGCTCTCATACTCTAACGACCAGTGCACTTAAAATTATCCATTGAAGTGTAGGGTCACATTTAGCTCCTAAATTGCATACTTGAAATCCTCTAAATAATTTCTATTATTTCCAGTTTTAACCTCGATAAGACTCAAACCTCAAATGGAATACCTTATACCAAAGTTTGGTTTATTTTTCCTAATTAGATTAATAATAATCATGCTTTATTGGACTTTTTGTAATTTCTATTTCAAATGGTTTTTTAAATTTTTTATTTAAATTCAATTTAATTAACATATACTGTATTATTAGTTTCAGAGGTAGAATTTAGTGATTCATCAGTCTTATGTAATACCCAGTACTCCTCACATCTCATGCCTTCCTTAATGCCCATTACCCAATTACCCCATCCTCCCACCCAGCTCCCTTCCAGCAGCCCTCAGTTTGTTTCCTAGAGTTAAGAGTCTCTTAAGATTTGCCTCTTTCTCTGTTTTCATCTTACTTTATTTTTCCTTCCCTTCCCCTATGTTCATCTGTTCTGTTTCTTAAATTCTGCGTATGAGTGAAATCATACGGTATTTGTCTTTCTCTGACTGACTTATTTTGCTTAGTGTATAATACCCTTTAGTTCCATCCACGTTATTGCAAATGGCTAGATTTCTTTCTCTTTGATGGCTGAGTTATATTCCATTGCGTATATATACACCAACCTTCAAATGGTTTTCTGTCATCTTCTTTGATAGCATTTATACACAGAGGCTTGGGACAAAGACAAGACTCAAGTTCATATAATGCCTGATACCCCGGAGATCATGTTGGCAAGGCAGAACAAGCTCAACTACAGTGAGGTAAGTACAAAATTCTGTGGTGCTGCACTGATTTTGTTATCAGCGTTACTGTTTGTTTTCCTGTACTTACTTTTGTGGAGATTCTCAGGCCTCAGCTATCTTTCATTTCTGGGTTGAATATTATATGCTATAGGATTCTCTGGGCAAACTGAAGTCACGTTACCTTTTTAGTTTATGGCCATTGCCGATGTGGGTCATTGGGGCTGAGGAATACTTTTAGCATTTTCCAAGGGGTAAGATGGCCAGACAAAACAGTGGCTCAATATTTATACTGAAACACTACTTGTTGGTTACCTAATATTCAAGTCCAACTGGGCATGCTGTCTTCTTCTTTTCTAAATCTGGCAGTCTTACCAGGGGGAACTCTGATAATACTTACCTTTTCCCTACCTGGATCCTGAATAAAATTGAGAGGTAAAACAAAGGAAGTCTAAATAGAAGTTGAAATCTCACATTTTTTACCACTAAAGTTAGGTTCAAGGATACATTTGTATGAGAACTAAATGAGCCTAACCGAACCCCAGAATTAGGTTCCCATTTGTCCAGAGGAGGCCACACTGGAGCAGGGAGGTCAGCTCCACTCCCCTCAGGGCTAAGGTCTTGCTTAGAGCCCAGAGAAACAGAGAAGAACACTGGACTTATTCCTAGAGGGAACAGGTTAAAGCTGAGCAGGAGTGCCCAGTTATCCCTACCAGTTAAATAAATCAGTAAGTCAGTGCACTTCTTCCCAGGCAGAGAGTAAAGGGGTAGAGAAAGGAGAAAGGTCAGAGAAAAATAACTGAGCTCCTTCTATAGAAAGAAGCTTCAGGCATGGGAAAGAAGTGTTCTCTATGAACAGCACTGATTTTTTTTAATGTAAAATGCAATATATAGGCACATGTTTTATTAATATGATACAGCCAAAATTTAGAATCTTAAAGTTGTGATTATAGTCCAGTTAGCTATGTTTTAAATTGTACTTCAGTCTTTTTCTCATTTGTTTTTTAAACATTATAAAGTATTACCTGTCTGTGAAAGATGTTTTAATAAAGAAATGGATAAAAGTATATAAGTGGCTTTTTTCTGCCCATGGACACCGCCGAGTAAGCATCGTTAGTCTCCCCTCCCACCACCGTCATGTCTAAGTCAGGGTCTCCCATAGAGCCTGAACAACTGTGGAAGCTCTTCATCGGAGGTTTGAGCTTTGAAACAACCGATGAGAGTCTGAGGAGCCATTTTGAGCAATGGGGAACGCTTACGGACTGTGTGGTAATGAGAGATCCAAACACCAAGCGCTCCAGAGGCTTTGGGTTTGTCATATATGCCACTGTGGAGGAGGTGGATGCAGCCATGAATGCAAGGCCACACAAGGTGGATGGAAGAGTTGTGGAACCAAAGAGGGCTGTCTCAAGAGAAGATTCTCAAAGACCTGGTGCCCACTTAACTGTGAAAAAGATTTTTGTTGGTGGCATTAAAGAAGACACTGAAGAACATCATCTAAGAGATTATTTTGAACAGTATGGGAAAATTGAAGTGATTGAGAACATGACTGACCGGGGCAGTGGCAAAAAGAGAGGTTTTGCTTTTGTAACATTTGATGACCATGACGCGCTGTAGACAAGATTGTCATTCAAAAATACCATACTGTGAATGGCCACAACTGTGAAGTAAGGAAAGCCCTATCTAAGCAAGAGATGGCTAGTGCTTCATCCAGCCAAAGAGGTCGAAGTGGTTCTGGAAACTTTGGTGGTTGTCGTGGAGGTGGTTTTGGTGGGAATGACAACTTTGGTAGTGGAGGGAACTTCAGTGGTCGAGGTGGCTTTGGTGGCAGTCGAGGTGGTGGTGGATATGGTGGCACTGGGGATGGCTATAACGGATTTGGTAATGATGGAAGCAACTTTGGAGGTGGCGGAAGCTATAATGATTTTGGCAATTACAACAATCAATCCTCAAATTTTGGACCCATGAAAGGAGGAAATTTTGGAGGCAAAAGCTCTGGCCCCTATGGCGATGGAGGCCAATACTTCACCAAACCATGAAACCAAGGTGGCTGTGGTGGTTCCAGCGGCAGCAGTAGCTACGGCAGTGGCAGAAGGTTCTAATTACTGCCAGGAAACAAAGCTTAGCAGGAGAGGAGAGCCAGAGAAGTGACAGGGAAGCTACAGGTTACAACAGATTTGTGAACTCAGCCAAGCACAGTGGTGGCAGGGCCTAGCTGCTACAAAGAAGACATGTTTTAGACAATACTCATGTGTATGGGCAAAAAACTCGGGGACTGTATTTGTGACTAATTGTATAACAGGTTATTTTAGTTTCTGTTCTGTGGAAAGTGTAAAGCATTCCAAGAAAGGATTTTAATGTAGATTTTTTTTTTTTTGCACCCATGCTGTTGATTGCTAAATGTAATAGTCTGATCATGACGCTGAATAAATGTGTCTTTAAAAAATATATATATATATATAAGTGTATATATTTTATATATAAATGAATAATACTAAACATTGTTCTACAATTTTTTCACTTAGAAATATGTAGAAATTGATGCTTTGTCAATTGATCTATATTATTATAATATGTTGATATGCATAATGTATCAAAACACATGATATATATTAATCTACAATATATATAATGGATTAATATATCAATCTATGTTAATACCAATCAATCTCATTTATTTCTAAAGCTAGGTATATGTTTTTGTTTTGGTAAGATGTAATTTATTTACTTTCAACATTGCTAGAAATTTAGTTATTTCCAGAGCCTATCCTTTTTAAAATTATGCAGTATGTCACTTAGTAATCTCCCAATTGTTGCTGTCAAACTTTTTAACTCTGACACTCTTTCTGTAGATTCTGTATAAACTCGCCAACGAAGAAGCAAAGAAGAAAGGCTACGACCTGCGAATCGATGCCATCCCCATCGTGGCGGCCAAGGCCTCCCGGGACATTGCTAGTGATGTGAGTAGCAACACTTCATGTATGCACAAGGCTGGATGGAGGTGGGGGGAATGATCATCATTACAGCAGGGAGATGCATCTGGGTGCCAGTTAAAGCACATTTATTGTGCTTTAAGTGGGAAAAAAAAAAAGTCTTTCATTGGAGAAAGCTCTTTTATATTTTTAACTCCAAACAACTTTAATATTCATGTCCCACAGGTGGAGAGGGTATCCTAAACTTCAGTATAAAATTGAATTTGAATCTATAGTTGCTCATATCTACAATTATGAGACATTCATCTCCATATTTTGAGCATATAGCTTAATAGAGAAATGAGAAAATGCCAGAAGGGTTAAAAAAAAAATAACTTGCTTACATGTGTTGGCTCAACATCAGAAAAAGACCTGGTTCAGCCAGGTCTAGGAAAATGTACCTTTCCCTGAACCTGATCTGGATTTTTGCCAACTCTTTCTTTGGAAAATTACCTTAAGTGTTTCCTTCTGAGTTCTTTTTAAATAAAAACAGAAAAACGAAGACAACCAAAATTGATAAGATGGTGATCCTGATTTGTCTTTCTGCCGTCTCTGAAAGAAGTGGGTCCTTTGGTGAAGAATTCAGGCTTCCATAAACATACATTAGGATTTGTGTGATGTTGTTGCCTAAAGTGAAGAGAAAATATCCAGTCAGCCCTTACCACCACCACCACCACCAAAATGCTTTCTTGTAGTTATATAATCTGTTTCCTCGCTCAGAGAATCCTAAGAAACCCCAGCCAAATTTGATCTCCAACAGAGCAGGGTATGCAGGATAGAAAACGCAAGTCAGTCGATTTTAGGGAGTCAGGTGACCCAGTGAAGGTCAACAGAGCTAGAATTGGGAGGCCTGAGGGATGGGTCAGGGAGGTAATATGGTACCTGTGGACTGGGGAGTAGCATTCTCAAAATCATATATAAAATTTCTGGGTTAGTGATTTCACTGGCCCAAGATGAAGAAAAGGCCGTATTGTACTTTTGTGTACAGTACTATTGTGACTGATTTTCTGGAAGTGTTGCTGCCTTTATTTCCAGGGACTTAATGTCTGCAAACCATAGAACTATCCAGTTTGGCCTGTTTTCCCATTAGAGTACTGCTGTGAAGTCATATCAGAATTTAGGATGAGGAGATAAGTTGATATTCAGATGATTCCAAATTTAAAATAATGATGTTTTAAACTAAAGGACTTCTAGCCCTTCCTATTCGTGTTTGCTTTTAAATGACTACTTTTATTTCAGTACAAATACAAAGATGGTTACCGAAAGCAACTTGGCCACCACATTGGAGCCCGAAATGTTGAGGATGACCCCAAGATAATGTGGTCCATGCATGTGGCCAAGATCCAGAGTGACAGGGAGTACAAGAAGGACTTTGAGAAGTGGAAGACCAAATTCAGCAGCCCAGTGGACATGTTGGGGGTGGTCTTGGCCAAGAAGTGCCAGACCTTAGTCAGTGACGTGGACTATAAGAACTTCCTGCATGAGTGGACGTGCCTTCCTGACCAGAATGATGTCATCCATGCTCGCAAGGCCTATGACCTCCAGAGTGACGTGAGTACCAGGACCCATTATATACCACTGGTGACCATGCTTATGATAGTTAATACACGGTGATACATAAATAATGGTCTAGGATTTAGTTCGAACCCTCAGAAGTAATAACACTTTTTCTCTTTGCCTCTCATTGACTGAGCCTTACTTTTCTTTTAGCGAGAACATGATACCACCAAGCTATATCTAATTGGGCTTCATATTTGAAAAGACATAGACATGAAGTTTGGCTATTAAAGTTTTTCAGTCTTTTTCTTTCATTTTTTTAAATCAAGTGTCATAACAGCTTAAGTAAGGCTTGCTTTTGTGTTTGATCTCACCAGAACATTTACAAATCAGATCTCCAGTGGCTGAGAGGCATCGGCTGGGTTCCCATTGGGTCTGTGGATGTGGTCAAGTGCAAGAGAGCTGCAGAGATACTGAGTGACAACATCTACCGCCAGCCTCCGGACAAGCTGAAGTTCACCAGTGTGCCTGATTCCCTGGAACAGGTGCTGGCCAAGAGCAATGCCCTCAACATGAACAAGGTGAGCCCCAGCTGCCTCGAGCGTCTCTAAGATGCCAAAAGTTGCTCTCATACTCTAACGACCAGTGCACTTAAAATTATCCATTGAAGTGTAGGGTCACATTTAGCTCCTAAATTGCATACTTGAAATCCTCTAAATAATTTCTATTATTTCCAGTTTTAACCTCGATAAGACTCAAACCTCAAATGGAATACCTTATACCAAAGTTTGGTTTATTTTTCCTAATTAGATTAATAATAATCATGCTTTATTGGACTTTTTGTAATTTCTATTTCAAATGGTTTTTTAAATTTTTTATTTAAATTCAATTTAATTAACATATACTGTATTATTAGTTTCAGAGGTAGAATTTAGTGATTCATCAGTCTTATGTAATACCCAGTACTCCTCACATCTCATGCCTTCCTTAATGCCCATTACCCAATTACCCCATCCTCCCACCCAGCTCCCTTCCAGCAGCCCTCAGTTTGTTTCCTAGAGTTAAGAGTCTCTTAAGATTTGCCTCTTTCTGTTTTCATCTTACTTTATTTTTCCTTCCCTTCCCCTATGTTCATCTGTTCTGTTTCTTAAATTCTGCATATGAGTGAAATCATACGGTATTTGTCTTTCTCTGACTGACTTATTTTGCTTAGTGTATAATACCCTTTAGTTCCATCCACGTTATTGCAAATGGCTAGATTTCTTTCTCTTTGATGGCTGAGTTATATTCCATTGCGTATATATACACCAACCTTCAAATGGTTTTCTGTCATCTTCTTTGATAGCATTTATACACAGAGGCTTGGGACAAAGACAAGACTCAAGTTCATATAATGCCTGATACCCCGGAGATCATGTTGGCAAGGCAGAACAAGCTCAACTACAGTGAGGTAAGTACAAAATTCTGTGGTGCTGCACTGATTTTGTTATCAGCGTTACTGTTTGTTTTCCTGTACTTACTTTTGTGGAGATTCTCAGGCCTCAGCTATCATGGTACATGTGGCGCTGTGATATGAACACTCAGCTTATCCAGTCTTTCATTTCTGGGTTGAATATTATAGCTATAGGATTCTCTGGGCAAACTGAAGTCACGTTACCTTTTTAGTTTATGGCCATTGCCGATGTGGGTCATTGGGGCTGAGGAGTATTTTTAGCATTTTCCAAGGGGTAAGATGGCCAGACAAAACAGTGGCTCAATATTTATACTGAAACACTACTTGTTGGTTACCTAATATTCAAGTCCAACTGGGCATGCTGTCTTCTTCTTTTCTAAATCTGGCAGTCTTACCAGGGGGAACTCTGATAATATGTAACTTTTCCCTACCTGGATCCTGAATAAAATTGAGAGGTAAAACAAAGGAAGTCTAGATAAAAGTTGAAATCTCACATTTTTTACCACTAAAGTTAGGTTCAAGGATACATTTGTATGAGAACTAAATGAGCCTAACCGAACCCCAGAATTAGGTTCCCATTTGTCCAGAGGAGGCCACACTGGAGCAGGGGGGTCAGCTCCACTCCCCTCAGGGCTAAGGTCTTGCTTAGAGCCCAGAGAAACAGAGAAGAACACTGGACTTATTCCTAGAGGGAACAGGTTAAAGCTGAGCAGGAGTGCCCAGTTATCCCTACCAGTTAAATAAATCAGTAAGTCAGTGCACTTCTTCCCAGGCAGAGAGTAAAGGGGCAGAGAAAGGAGAAAGGTCAGAGAAAAATAACTGAGCTCCTTCTATAGAAAGAAAGCTTCAGGCATGGGAAAGAAGTGTTCCCTATGAACAGCACCGATTTTTTTTAATGTAAAATGCAATGTATAGGCACATGTTTTATTAATATGATACAGCCAAAATTTAGAATCTTAAAGTTGTGATTATAGTCCAGTTAGCTATGTTTTAAATTGTACTTCAGTCTTTTTCTCATTTGTTTTTTAAACATTATAAAGTATTACCTGTCTGTGAAAGATGTTTTAATAAAGAAATGGATAAAAGTATATAAGTGTATATATTTTATATATAAATGAATAATACTAAATATTCTACAATTTTTTCACTTAGAAATATGTAGAAATTGATGCTTTGTCAATTGATCTATATTATTAAATTATAATATGTTGATATGCATACTATATCAAACCACATGATATATATTAATCTACTATATATAATGGATTAATATATCAATCTATGTTAATACCAATCGATCTCATTTATTTCTAAAGCTAGGTATATGTTTTTGTTTTTGTTTTGGTAAGATGTAATTTATTTACTTTCAACATTGCTAGAAATTTAGGTTATTTCCAGAGCCTATCCTTTTTAAAATTATTCAGTATGTCACTTAGTAATCTCTCAATTGTTGCTGTCAAACTTTTCACTTTAACTCTGACACTCTTTCTGTAGATTCTGTATAAACTCGCCAACGAAGAAGCAAAGAAGAAAGGCTACGACCTGCGAATCGATGCCATCCCCATCGTGGTGGCCAAGGCCTCCCGGGACATTGCTAGTGATGTGAGTAGCAACACTTCATGTATGCACAAGGCTGGATGGAGGTGGGGGAATGATCATCATTACAGCAGGGAGATGCATCTGGGTGCCAGTTAAAGCACATTTATTGTGCTTTAAGTGGAAAAAAAAAAGTCTTTCATTGGAGAAAGCTCTTTTATATTTTTAACTCCAAACAACTTTAATATTCATGTCCCACAGGTGGAGAGGGTATCCTAAACTTCAGTATAAAATTGAATTTGAATCTATAGTTGTTCATATCTACAATTATGAGACATTCATCTCCATATTTTGAGCATATAGCTTATAGAGAAATGAGAAAATGCCAGAAGGGTTAAAAAAAAATAACTTGCTTACATGTGTTGGCTCAACATCAGAAAAAGACCTGGTTCAGCCAGGTCTAGGAAAATGTACCTTTCCCTGAACCTGATCTGGATTTTTGCCAACTCTTTCTTTGGAAAATTACCTTAAGTGTTTCCTTCTGAGTTCTTTTTAAATAAAAACAGAAAAACGAAGACAACCAAAATTGATAAGATGGTGATCCTGATTTGTCTTTCTGCCGTCTCTGAAAGAAGTGGGTCCTTTGGTGAAGAATTCAGGCTTCCATAAACATACATTAGGATTTGTGTGATGTTGTTGCCTAAAGTGAAGAGAAAATATCCAGTCAGCCCTTACCACCACCACCACCACCAGAATGCTTTCTTGTAGTTATATAATCTGTTTCCTCACTCAGAGAATCCTAAGAAACCCCAGCCAAATTTGATCTCCAACAGAGCAGGGTATGCAGGATAGAAAACGCAAGTCAGTCGATTTTAGGGAGTCAGGTGACCCAGTGAAGGTCAACAGAGCTAGAATTGGGAGGCCTGAGGGATGGGTCAGGGAGGTAAAATGGTACCTGTGGACTGGGGAGTAGCATTCTCAAAATCATATATAAAATTTCTGGGTTAGTGATTTCACTGGCCCAAGATGAAGAAAGGCCGTATTGTACTTTTGTATACAGTACTATTGTGACTGATTTTCTGGAAGTGTTGCTGCCTTTATTTCCGGGGTCTTAATGTCTGCAAACCATAGAACTATCCAGTTTGGCCTGTTTTCCCATTAGAGTACTGCTGTGAAGTCATATCAGAATTTAGGATGAGGAGATAAGTTGATATTCAGATGATTCCAAATTTAAAATAATGATGTTTTAAACTAAAGGACTTTTAGCCCTTCCTATTCGTGTTTGTTTTTAAATGACTACTTTTATTTCAGTACAAATACAAAGATGGTTACCGAAAGCAACTTGGCCACCACATTGGAGCCCGAAATGTTGAGGATGACCCCAAGATAATGTGGTCCATGCATGTGGCCAAGATCCAGAGTGACAGGGAGTACAAGAAGGACTTTGAGAAGTGGAAGACCAAATTCAGCAGCCCAGTGGACATGTTGGGGGTGGTCTTGGCCAAGAAGTGCCAGACCTTAGTCAGTGACGTGGACTATAAGAACTTCCTGCATGAATGGACGTGCCTTCCTGACCAGAATGATGTCATCCATGCTCGCAAGGCCTATGACCTCCAGAGTGACGTGAGTACCAGGACCCATTATATACCACTGGTGACCATACTTATGATAGTTAATACACGGTGATACATAAATAATGGTCTAGGATTTAGATCGAACCCTCAGAAGTAATAACACTTTTTCTCTTTGCCTCTCATTGACTGAGCCTTACTTTTCTTTTAGCGAGAACATGATACCACCAAGCTATATCTAATTGGGCTTCATATTTGAAAAGACATAGACATGAAGTTTGGCTATTAAAGTTTTTCAGTCTTTTTCTTTCATTTTTTTAAATCAAGTGTCATAACAGCTTAAGTAAGGCTTGCTTTTGTGTTTGATCTCACCAGAACATTTACAAATCAGATCTCCAGTGGCTGAGAGGCATCGGCTGGGTTCCCATTGGGTCTGTGGATGTGGTCAAGTGCAAGAGAGCTGCAGAGATACTGAGTGACAACATCTACCGCCAGCCTCCGGACAAGCTGAAGTTCACCAGTGTGCCTGATACCCTGGAACAGGTGCTGGCCAAGAGCAATGCCCTCAATATGAGCAAGGTGAGCCCCCAATTGGGGGGAAACTAAAATGGGACCATACGTCCTTGAGAATATCTATGGTTAATTTAGTGTTTTTCATTTTATCCAATTGCCATATTGTGTTTAGTGATTTGATTGCTTTCTCTATTCAGTTACATCAGGATTCCAAAAATGTATGTGGGAATTTCTGCTTTGACATCTCTTATGAAATAGCCAAAGAATAGGATAGTTGTTTGGTGGTCAACTTGTTTGAATCAAAGAGAGTAATATATGGTTTGATATCAAGGTTTATTTCTTGTTGGGTACTTATCTAGGTGAGTATAAAACAAACAAGTCAAATGCAAATCTCCATAATTTATCAAAAAGAAATCTGGAGATGGCATATCCAGTTACATTTGCAGTTCATAAACAAACAAAACCATGGGAAGAATTTAATGTAGCCACAGCACATAGGGATATGTGTATATGCTTGGAAAATACTTGCTTGTAATTTAATTGGAGGTGATCATGTAACAAAAAACACACGGTTTCTTTTCATATATTAGTCTATGTTTATATTTAGTGACAATAAGTATCTTGTAATTTCAAAGAGATCGAAGAGTATTGGCATATAGCACACAACATAGATAGGAGGCTAGCTTTCAACTTTGTCATGATCTCTAAACTAGAGACTCCTATTTACAACAAACATTGTTTTTCTCATTCATTACCCTTTTTATCATTCACAGCACTTATATACAGAAGCCTGGGACAAAGACAAGACCCAAGTCCACATCATGCCTGATACACCTGAAATTATGTTAGCAAGACAAAATAAAATAAATTATAGTGAGGTAAGACCATTTGTTTTGGTTTCTTGATCTGAACACATTGATTTTTTGCTGATATAGTAAATTTAGAATTCTGGATTTAATTCTCATGTACACCAATTAGCTTAGTTTTGTTTTTTTATGCCCATCACCCTACCCTGAATATATGTGCCATCTATCAAGAGGTAGATAGATAAAAAAGATACAGAAATAGAGAAATACAAAAATGTTTCTATGTCAGGAGAAAAAAACCTCTCAACTATTAATGATTGAAACTTATAATTTTAATTTTAAAATAATTGCTGTTTATCAGATTAGTACTTCAGTATTCTGTGATTCTTCAGTTATCTCACCTGTGAAATGGGATAAAAATACATATCTTGAAAAATTTTTGTGGTGACTAAGTAAGGTTGTATATAATATGCCCAGCTTAGAGCCTGGCACAAAATAGATGCTTAATAAACTTTAATTTCTTCCCTTTACACTCAAGTTACCATGCATTATTAGATCTATGTAATGTGCTCAAAATAACTTGAAGTTTATTTACAAGAACTGAAATGAGAATTCTCAAATCCATCCATTTCAAAATTGAGGACAATAAAATATACTTTTTATATGTTATCTCCCGCCTCACCAAACTTATCATCACATATTTGGCAACCCAGAAATACTGCTGCAGAAACAGCTTATTGCCCAATTATACTTCCCAAAGTCAACAATTATCTGGTTTATTCAAGAAGTGAATGATTTCTTACATGTTTGTGTTCTTCATTTAAAAAAAAAAAAAAGGGACTTTTCAGTTTGAGAACATTGGAAAATTAAGTATTCATTTTCAAGACTTGACCATATTCATTCTTCTATCTGTATTAACTACTTCTTATTATAATAATGTGTCCCTAAAGAAGAGGCATGCTGTATCAAGTAACCATCACAAGTGAAATGAAGAGGATACAATTTCCCTTCCTCCAGCATTATTAAATAGACCAGAGGACAAGCCTGATCATAAGTATTTGATTGCCCTTGGCAATTTGAGTGAGCAGTTTTTCTCTTGGCCACAGAGCTTCTCTGTTGGTTTAGCTTTTCCCAAGAGGTCTGTCTTACCCCACACAGATGAAATTAGTTTCTATCCCAAACTGTTATGATCTTTTAAGCTTTCCCTTTTGTTAAAATTAGGTCAGATGAGATAGGTGTTTTTTTTGTTTGTTTGGTCAAGGTTTTTTTTTTTTTTTTTTTTTTTCCAGACTAAAAGGAAATTGGGCTTTTATTTCTACAATTTTCAGCTGGATTTATTCTCTTTAAAATTACATGAGCATGTTAATTTCCTAAAGACTGTCTCCTGAAGATTAGATTTCAGAATAGCTCTCCTGAGTTTTTCTCAACCCAACTGGTACCTTCATTCCATACTTAGCTCAATAAATATAAACCAAAAAAAAAAAAAAAAAAATCACATTTTACTTTTTTTCTCTTAAATGCTCATTTACCTGTTCTAGTTCTCTTGGGTAAATAACTTATCAAACAAGCTTTAAAACGTCTTGATGGTAACCAGAAGTATTCTCTTTTTTGAAACCCTGCATCTTTTTCAAATATTGAAAGAATGAAATAAATCTGTCTGGCCTGAAGACATGAGATGATTTAGACACATTTTTTCCACTTATGCATAAGGACAGCATCCTCCGAGGAAAAATCCATTAGAGGAGCTATTTGACTCTCCAGTTATAAAATAAACATTTCCAGGAATTTTTAAGAAGTCCAAATGCCCTTGGGATTTTATCTCAAATGTATCAAATTTATTCTTATTTTCACCTTAGCTTTTCCTTGTAAAATCTTATCTTGGGAAGAATGTAATTTGTCACATATTAATAATCTACATTAAAAACATAGAGTAGCTTCCTTATGGGATGCTTAAGTCATTTAAAAATTAAGCACCTCTGCATCATATTTAAAATTCAGATACTGTTCCAGCATTTTTAATTCAATATAACATGAGAATGGTGCATAATAATGAAGCAAATTAGTTTTCATTATTTCTGCCACACTATTTAAAGCTTTTCCTTACATTTAAAATTTTGTCTTCATACAGCCTTATACAATGACAAAATACAGAACATTGTAAAGTAGGAAGAAAGATAAAGCCCTAAAGAATCAAGGTCATTGTTTGCCCTTAAAACCATAAGTGATTTCCAGATCCTTTTTCTAGAACTGTCTATGGGTTCTGTGACTGCATTCTTTGACTCAGTAACTCTCTTAATAGACGAAAGGGGGGAAACTGAAATTAAGGATTAAGTTACTCCATCATAGACCAGTTTAAGAACTATGTCTCTGGAGGCATAAAGATGAGCTACCTTCAAACTTTAGGTGTCCTTGAGGTGTAACACAAAGTCTTTCCAATGGATATGCTGGCTTGCATTGGTTTAAGCAGATCACTTAGCATAGCTTCCACTTCCCTAGGACCCTTCTAAGTTATCCGCCTGGAAGGGCCCCTGCGTTAAAGTGGTGTCCACTTCTTTCTTAGTCACGCTTCTTTTACTTTAAAACAAAAAGCACAGATTAAAGGCCTAGAAATAGATGAGACAGCCAAATGCCACTCATGCGCCTGAATTGGATTCTAGGTAGAAAAGCAATATTGCTATAAAGGACATTACTGGGACAGTTGGTGACATTTGAGTATTCACTATCTCTTAGATAGCAGTATTGTGTCAATATTAAACTTCCCAAATTTAATAAAAGTCATGATGTCTACAACTTACTCCCAATTGGTTATTATTGAAAATAAGAAATATACATACCACACATACACACAAGAGAAAGACAAAGTAAATATGGCAAAAGCGTTAATAAATGGGTAGCTGGCTGTTCATTGTACTATTCTTAAAACTTTTCTATAGGTTTGAAATTTTTCAAAATAAGGAAAATACACATTTTTAAATATTAAGACATACATTAAGATATTTAACTAGGTAAGATTTTATAAAGATTTTATTTCTAAAAAGAGAAGAAAGGAAGGCATACCTGTGCATTAATGTGATGCATGCCTGAGAGTATTAAAAAAAAAAAAACTGCCTGACAATTTAATTCATTAATGTCCACCAAAACCTTTTCAATCAAGGTACCATGAGTTCCTATAAATCACAAAAATAGCATTAAGAGATGCAATAATTTTTACTTTTTATGTTTAAAAATTATCAAAATGTATATTTTTACTTATATTTTGATTAAAAAACAATATTAGCAATTATTTAAAATTTTATTTTAACATGATACAGGATTGGTCAAAATTCCTATAGGTGGCTCGCAAGTAAAAAAGGCTGACCACCTCCAGTATAGATGATTTGTGTAATGCACTGGTTCTCAAACTGTGTTCCCATGGAACAGCTGTGTTCCACTTTCTGTGTGTATCTGTCCTGCCACAGAAACTGAACAGGGTGGGGTGGTTTTTCCAATTTGCAAAAAAAAAAAAGATCAAATATAATTTTATCAATTTTGTACCTGCTATTCCCGTGTCTGCTAGCAGTTTCTAGCAGTTGACAAATGAATAGGGAGCAAATCAATATTAACAAAAACACTCACAAACAGCAGATTACCCTTAGTTCAGCACTGCTCGATTTTGCATATGTACGCATAGTGGTAGGTATTGTGCATTATTCTGTGCTAATAAAATTGTTTCTGATTCAAATTTGGAGTTAAATAAATCAACATTTCTTGGTTGTTTCATGAGAAGAGCAGGTGCTAAACAATCCAACCCATTTGAAAGCTATTGACGTGGTGTCTAAAATCTATAAGGATTTGTGTAAGAGAACTTGCAATGTTAAAACCTGCTGAATGTAAAATTTCACCTTAAATGGCTTGCATAAATAGAAAGTAAAAGAAAGAGATTTTTAAAAAAGATTTAACATATTAGTGCAGTTAGTTCTGCATCCAAAGTAGTCTTCTTTTGACAAAAATACATTTTTAGAGTACAAGTGAGTACTATATCTAAAAACCATTACTTCTTTCCTCAGAACTTCTATCGCCAGGCCATGGAAGAAGCCAAGAAAGAAGGCTATGACTTGAGAAGCGATGCCATTCCTATCGTGGCTGCCAAGGCCTCCCGGGACATTGCCAGTGACGTAAGAGCTGATCACATCCTTCCCTTTGCTACCGACATGCCAAGGCCCTGTTACAGGGGATCATAGCTGGAAGTCTCTGTAGTCATCATCCATGGATCTGTAGTCTCCCATCTTACCTGCTTCATTGTGTAGGCAAATAAATTGAGGATTTGACAGTAGGTAACCTGCCCAAGATCACAAGCATCATAGAGACAAAGCCTTGCCTGGAATGTGGTTCTATTGACTCTTGTCCTTTGGTCTTTGCTTAATAAGATTGAGTACCTTGATTAAAGCTAGATAGACATCTGTTGAGCTTCTCATAAAACCTTATAAGCTCTTCTCAGGATACACTCAAGATAAAGATGCCAGGAAAGAAGCAGGCTTTTACAGAGTTCTCCCCCCATGACTTGAGGAAGGACAGAGGATAGCAGAAAAGCTATGTGTCCTTGCTGAGGGGCCCATAAAATCAATTTTCCTTTACCCTGAAAATGAAGACCTCAGATTCCTGGACAACTTCAATTTTAATCCAAATAGTAGCAAATTGTCCATTTTTGTAGGTTTTTCTTTTTAATCATGATTAAAAAAACATAAAATTTACTGTCTTAACCATGTTCAAGTGTATAGTTCAGCAGTGTTAAGTGTATTCTCACTATTGTACAACAGACTCCCAGAACTTTTTCATTTTGCAAAATTGAAACTTTGTACCTATTAAAACAACAAAAATTGCCTATTTTTAAACTACCTCTTCCAGATTATTTGTTCAGAGGAACTTGTTTCTCAGAATGCCCTAGAAAAAAAGATTAATAAACCTCTCAGTTGAGTCCACCCACATAACCGACTTCTGAGACACTGTTTATCACTGTAATTCAACTCACTTTTTCAAAGTTCACTTTTTAATCACTTTTTATCAACATAAATTTTTTTACCATAATATAAAGGGATCGTTGTGGTATGATTCTATGGAAATGTGCAAATGAGTACAACATCCTCTTTGTTGGGAGTAAGCATTTTCCAGTGTGTGGCATCTCAGCAGCACGTGATAAAACTCCCCTAATATCTTTTATTTATTTGAAAGAGAGTGAGCATGAGTGAGGGTGCGGGGAGAGGCAGAGGTAGAAGCAGACTCCCTACTGAGCAAGGAGCCCGATGACGGGGGCCTTGATCCCAGGACCCATGAGATTATGACCTGAGCTGAAGGCAGCTACTTAACCGACTGAGTCACCCAGGCGCCCTGAAACCCCCCTAATGTCTTAAGGATTTCAGAGAAAAGCCTCATCACAAAAACAATGACAGGAAATAGCCCTTGGTGCTCCCTCCTTATTCACTGGTTTCTCTCTTTCAGTACAAATATAAAGAAGCTTATCGTAAGCAGTTGGGTCACCACATTGGTGCCCGAGCAGTACATGACGACCCCAAGATAATGTGGTCTCTGCACATTGCCAAAGTGCAGAGTGACCGTGAGTACAAGAAAGAATTTGAGAAATACAAGACCAGGTACAGCAGCCCGGTGGACATGCTTGGTATCGTTCTGGCCAAGCAGTGTCAGACCTTGGTCAGTGATGTGGACTATAGACATCCTTTGCATGAGTGGACCTGCCTGCCCGACCAGAATGACATCATCCAGGCTCGGAAAGCTTATGACCTCCAGAGCAACGTGAGTACCCCTGAGGCTGGTTCTGCACGTTAAAAGCAGATCTAAGACGTGTCCCTGGCTTTTTACTAATACCAGTGGACTGGAATGTATTTGTATATTTTAAACAACATATGATTAAATGTTTAAAAAGAGTTTCCCACGGAAAGCACTACAGTTTATTTCAGTTTTTCTTCCCCAAAAGTCATATGTAAAAGAGGAAATAAAATATATATTGGTGATTATATACAGGTATATTTCTTTCTGGTGATTCAGGCTTCCTTTGCATGAATTAGATGAAACTGAGTTCCCAAAAATATATGGCTGTACATTTTTGGCTGAAGAGGTAGAAACATGTGGGTGTGGAGGGAGGAAGAAGTAGGAACAGAAGTATATTATGCTGTTATTTTAATAAACATATTTTATACCTACTGACAGGAAAATACTAAGATATTCCTGTCTTTTTCAAAACTGGTCATCTAATTCTTAAAAGCAGTTAGCATGCACTATTGAGAGTAAAATAAAATGAATAATTAGGGTAATATCTAATATATTATCTTTACAACACCACGTTACACACTTGACATTTCGTGATTTTGAAGGTGGATATAAAGATGTTTTTAAAGTTCTTATCACACACACAAAATGTAGCTATGTGTGGTGATGGATGTTAACTAGACTTCTTGTGGTGATCATTTTACAATATATACATATACTGAATCATCATGTGGTGCACTTGAAACTATATGTTGTTACATGTTAATTATATCACAGTTTAAAAAATGCAAGTCAAGAGTGTGATTTACGAAGGTTAGCATTACTGCAGGTTGAAACTCATTACTATAATTGAATTTCACCTCTTTTGCCTTAAAAAAAAAAAAGGCAAGAGGTTTTGTGACTGCAGCACTCACAGCATTGGTCTGAGTGTGGGGTCTTCCTGGAAGCTATTAGAGTGCACTTTCCAAAGCTAAAGAAGCTCTGCTTTTGTGTTAAAATCCTGTAATACCCTCAAGCATGGGTGCCTTCTACTTTTTACAAAACTTCTTTCATCATTCTTGGTATAATCCTCTGTACCAAAAAATGCTCAGGGAAAAAAATTATTCTCAGGATTCAGTAATGCTTGTGAATGAGTGATCAGCTAGGCTGGGAGCTTTATCTGTTCCTCCGTACTTTGGTATTTCTTTAGCCATTTTGTAACTACGAATCTGAAGTTTGAATTAGTAAATATGTTTCTTATCTGCTGATTTGCAGAATTTATATAAGTCAGACCTTGAATGGTTGAGAGGCATTGGCTGGGTTCCGATTGGTTCCGTGGAAGTTGTTAAAGCCAAGAGGGCGATGGAGATACTGAGTGATAATATCTACCGTCAGCGTCCAGAGACACTGAAATTTACCAGCATAACTGACACTCCAGAGCAGGTTCTGGCAAAGAGCAATGCTATGAATATGAGTAAGGTGAGTTTTTACTCCTCACTGTTAGATTGAAGAATTCACCATAGAAAAAGGTAAAAAAAAAAAAAATCTGACATGTTATTGCATTCCTAAAATTCCTTTAGGATTTAGGATACCTTTCAAAATGATTTTTCCATTATAATACCATAGTCACTTAATAATACTTCAAGATACTAAACTATTAAAAGTACTATGTGCTGTAATTATTTCGTAATTGCAGAGTTTAAATACCGCAACCCAATTATACTTTCCAGAATTGCTAAAGAATTTTAATAAAGGAATGGTAATAACGGAGTCAGTGAAATAGTAAACTAGTAAGCTACATACTCTTGGAAATAGTGATTTATCTACATGAAAAGTAGGAATTTATGCAACTTCAGTAATTTTTCTTCTACTTTGTTTAGAGGAGAGGTGAGTGGCACATAGTCGAAAGAAAAATGTCTGAATGCCAAAATAATTTTTTTTTTCCCCACAGCACTTATATACCGAAGCCTGGGACAATGATAAGAAAACGATCCACGTCATGCCAGATACACCAGAAATCATGCTCGCCAAACTCAACCGCATAAACTACAGTGATGTGAGTGAACTGTTGATCACATAATGAACAGTAAGGCAAAAATGAGCTGTTGTAACTATTTCCTTAGTAAAATGTTTCAACTAACTTATAAATCGGTAGAAAAGAGTTCTCTCTTGATTCAATTTTGGCCTGTGTGGTAGGTCTACAGTATAAACCAGCCTTTTAGCAACAGGATATCAGGGAATGGAACGCTTATGGAGAAATACTTCAATGGGAATCATATTCCTACTGCCTTCCCCTACAGGTCAGTGTGGGTATCAAGTCATTACTTGATTGAACAGTTATTTAGCAGGCAGGTGAGGTATTGGAACCCAGTGGTTATCATGTGCTGTATTATTTTGCTGCTTCAGTAATGTTCTGGTTACCATTTAATGTTCTTTGCAAGCATTTTTCTAGGCATCTCTTTCAGGACCAGCACTTTCATCAGGGCAATTATTCTGAAAGCCTACTCTACAGATTGATCATGTCTGTGATGATACTCCATAGCAAAATGAGAAAAAATAAATACAATACATTGAGTTTTTCTTAAATCCAAATATATTCAATTGGAAAATAATGTCCTTATTCTTTCTCCTTTTAAGATGGCCTTTCTTTTATATTATGGTGAAAGTAAATATTTTTTTTACATGTGCTTATTTGGTAAAACAGAATTTTGGCAACCACATGCTGACCTTCCTCCCCTCCCCCCGATTTTTTTTCTTGAAATTGAGCAATGAGTAGAATCCCAAAGTTTAGAACATGTGCCTTAAAGTCCTTAGGCACCTGTGAAGCAGTTTTGTAGAAGCCCGCCCTCGTACTTGATTTTGTGGATTTCTTTCTATAGTTTAAATGAGGACGGGGAAAATCTAATAGTAAACAGCTTTATTTTTTATGAAAGGAGTAATGATTAATGATTCTCTTTTCTACAGAAACTCTATAAACTTGCTTTGGAAGAGTCTAGGAAGGAAGGCTATGACTTGCGTTTGGATGCCATCCCAATCCAGGCAGCCAAGGCTTCAAGAGATATTGCTAGTGATGTAAGTTGATGTTTTTGGAAGAGGCATTTCTTACTCAAAGATGTTCCCAAATGGCAGCTTTTATAATTTTTCTTGCCAGAATTTTGGTTGTCTCTACAAGTCTCAATTTCATGTAATGATTGCCCCCATGTACAAAGTTGCAAATAAAAAAACAAAACCACGAGATACTGTGTCCATTATACCTGTTAATCAGTCAGGGATAGAAGGATAGTCTTTAAGAATGAGTGTTTTATAGACATTAAAAATGGGTTCATATTTTTGAGCCTCAGAAGTTGAGCAGCAATTGATGCAGATGTTTGTAGAAACACTGACAGCACATGTAAGTCAGCCAGTAAAAATGTGAATTCTTTCCTACTACTTCTGTCCATTTATTCTGGCATTAAAGGAAGACCAGATGATGGATGCGTTTTAGAGTTTTGTTTCATTCTTTGTAACTTTTAGTGAGGTTCTCCTATCAAGATGCCCCTGACTGGTTGTAAGGAGAAATTGGAAATAAGCAAAGCTTTTTCTCAGCATCCACTTGTCCCTTCTCTGGAGTCCTTCCCTTCTCATGAGAAACATCTCTTGAGGGTATCTAGTGCCCTCATTTTGTACCAGGGCTCCTTAGGACCCAAATCCAGGCTTTCCTTCTTCTGGAGGGACCCCATGCCTTAGATTTACACTTCATTCCTTCTATTATCAAAACGTTTTCTAGAAGAGCCCACACTATGATCATCTCATGGTAAAACAGACCATACATATTATTCTTGAATTTTAAAAGTATAGAATGTTAACCCAAGGCATGACTCTCTCATGGTGAAAGTTCAAAGATATAACAGGCTAATAAGGAAGATATTTTCTGGTGAGATTATCTAAATGTAGCCCATTCTCTCAATCAGGGCATTCAGTATTAATTCTAATTATAAGAGATATATTCTAAAATGTCCTTAACAACACATTTTTAGGAAAAAAATAGCCACATCTTTAAGTAGATGTTCTTTTAGATTGTACAAGATGTTTTATCTTTACTTGTTAAGCAATCAAATGTAAAGTAGGTAGTGCAGTTTAATAGAAGGGAAGAATATTAAGAACTAGTAGCTCTCACCTACTTTGTGATGTCATCTTGAACAAATCACCTAAAACCCTTCTAGGCTTTAGGTTTCTACTTTATAAAATGGGGTTGATGATATTAACCTTTCTCTTTCACACTAGGAAAGGAAAAATCCAAAGAAATAATGTGTGTATGAAATTATAAAATGTTATATAAATGAGATGTTCTTATCATTAGACTCATATCCCTTTACTTTTTTCAGTACAAGTACAAGGAAGGCTACCGCAAACAGCTTGGCCACCACATTGGGGCCCGGAATGTTGAAGATGACCCCAAGATAATGTGGTCGATCCATGTGGCCAAGATCCAGAGTGACAGGGAGTACAAGAAAGACTTTGAGAAATGGAAGACCAAGTTCAGCAGCCCAGTGGACATGCTGGGGTTGGTGCTGGCCAAGAAGTGTCAGACCTTAGTCAGTGACATAGACTACAAACATCCCCTACATGAATGGATGTGTCTGCCTGATCAGAATGACATCATTCAGGCCCGGAAGGCATATGACCTTCAGAGTGATGTGAGTGGGTCTAATATTCATCGGCATGTGTTTATTTCTATTATGTTAATTTGAAGATTTAAATGGCTTTATTAAGCAGTTCATGAATGGGGCAGCAATCCATACAGCAAGTAGAAGGTAACTCCAAAGAGTTGTAAAAAAAAATGGAAGGTTTTTATAGGAAGGAGGGTAGGACAAGGAAGTTATTAGCAAAAGAAAAGAAAGGATTGTTTCAGACAAGATCACCTTCCCTTAGGAGGAGGAGATGAGGGTTTTATTAGGTGTTTTTTTTCCCTTTCAGGGATAGAACAGGTCCATGTGACAGATTACTTCATTGGTGCTGACCAAATCAGCACATGTTTAAAAGATTTATTTAAAGGGGTTCTAACTTTTTTTGTGCCATGGAATCTTTTGGCAGTCCTGTGAGACTAGGGACAGCTTCTCGAGACAATGCCGTGAAATGCATAAAATGCAGGATATATGTTTCAGAAGAAATTGATCACATCGAAATATGGTTATGAAAATACTAAAGTGAATCTATGATGTAGTAATATGTATACTTTTTTAACACATTAAATAAAAGATCTAGCACTGGGTGTAATAACTAGTTTAATTTTAAAAAAGTAATGAGCATAAATATTTCAGGATGACTGCAACAACTGTAATAGGATATGAAAATATTTGTGATCTTTATTGCTGACAAAGTCTCATATAGTGCTAATGCTGCTATGATCTGTAGCCTATACTTATAATCGAAAGAAATGCTGTATTTCAATTAGAGGTTAATAAAAATAAAGATATAATATTTTTCCATTCAAGTTCGTTGATGCCAGGTTCAGGATTGCTGGTTTAACACAACCTAATTTTCCAAATGAATTGATTGCATTATCATTTTTCTGACTGCTTAACTTAAAAAGAAATACCTATTACTTGTGCAAGGGAGTTTAAGAATGAACTGTACATATTGAGACAATTTTTCTAAGAAGCTGAAAACAATAGCTCTGTTGTCAGCCAGTAGATTGTCCTTAGGACTCAAATGCTACCTCATTGGCATAGTAGCTCCTTGTTTTTTTGATCAGTTTCTGACAAGGAGTGACTTTTGGAGGAATGATAAACACAATGGCATTGTAAAAAAGAGTCTTCCCCCAAAGCCATACAAGTAAAAAGAACTGTTACCTTTACTTATCAGAAAAGTTCTCCGTTAGCCAATTTAAATTCAAAGAAGAAAAATGAGGAAGAGATAAAATATCGTTTTTTACTTAAATTATAACACAAGGAAGGGGATTGAGGATAAGATAAATAAGTAAAAATACATGTACTCTTTGGTTTAGAAGCATGTATATAGAATCACATGAAGAAAGATGCCCTTTTTGCTATCCCCAGAAAACACATTAATTCAACATGTGATCAGCTAGTAGTGTTCACCTTTATGATATGTGGCTGGCTGTGAAGGCCACTGCCCCATGGGATGGGAACAAGCTGTATTCTGATAGAGTATTATTCCCACACAAGGAGGAACAGGCAATCAAATCAGAGAATAAATACTTCCAGTCAGGTGGCAATCACTGGTTTCCTTAAAATGGGTTTGCATCAATGAAATTGCATATTATTAGATTTTACGAGTCTTTAGTATATGTGTTGCCAAAGTGAGCACAGATTTTAGGAGTCTTTAAACCAGCAAACATTGGCTCCCTTCAGGGACAAAGTGTTTGGCTAGCCACTGCACCAAAGTCAGTCAGTTTTATGGGTCTTCCCAGAAATTCACACAAGTCAGATTCAGCATTATACATTGTTTCTCTGCTCAATTAAGATCAGACACCAGGCTGTCGAGGTAATGCTTGACATTATTTCATTTTCAGGCTATTTACAAGGCTGATCTCGAGTGGCTGAGAGGCATTGGATGGGTGCCCATTGGCTCTGTAGAGGTGGAGAAGGTGAAGAGAGCTGGAGAAATCCTGAGTGAAAGGAAGTACCGCCAGCCCGCAGACCAGCTCCAATTCACATGCATTACAGACACCCCAGAGATTGTCCTCGCCAAGAGTAATGCCCTGACGATGAGCAAGGTGAGTATCCAACGGTTTCCATTTCCTGAGTCATACCTTCCATGGACTTGGCTCATAAAGTGAGAAATGCCCTCAAGGGTTTCCAGAGAAAGGAGATATAATGGGCCCGATTTTCACGCAGGCCTTCAACAGAGCCTCTATTTGATTTCTAGTTGGGCTTGCATGTGCTTCTTCACACTGTATCCCCTCATTCTCTGTGCATGAGGAAGCATAGGACAATTTCTCTAGAGTAATGCACATACTCTTCTGAGCAGTGACGTGGAAACATCCATCGATCCGTTAACTTTTCCCTGTACATTCTCCTAGGCAGAGCAGACTCACACCATTGACTTCTCTTTCTGCATCCTGTAAGGAATATACAGCCATTTAGCATTTTGTTCTGAAGTCTGGGAAACATGGTGTTTATAGCAGTGCCAGTGAGCAACTCAAATTAGTTGCTTGGTTTGCTCTTCCTTATTCAGTTGTGGAAATCTACTCCAGAAAGTGAGCTGCTACTATAGCTTTCAGTACCCTTACACAAGACAGATAATCACTTCTTTTTTCCGGAGTTCTAGCAATCTGTGTATTGATACTGGGCTCAGTCTTTATCCAACAGATAGGTCCTTAATATGCACACTTTAGATTGAATTGAACTCACCTGACTTCTTCCACACCTGCTTGGACATCTGCCAAACATTCAGGTAGTGAGATTGGGTGCTCAGTGCAGAATAGGAAGTCGACTCTCAGATAGCAAACTCCAAAGCTTGAAGTATTAAAACTCTCTAGAAATTCTATTTTATACCATACCTAGCACAGCAGTGATAATAAGAATAGGAAACACCATAAAATCTGTTGAGTGCTTACTGTGACTCAGGCATTTTACATATATTATGGTGAATCTTCAAAAAGCACTCAGCAAAAATATGATTATTCCCCTCTTAGAAATGAGGAATATAAGGCATTATGTACCCTTCTCAAGATTATACAGCTTGGGCATAGTGGAGTTGGGTTTGAATTTGGGATTAACTCTGAAGTCTAGGATTTCTACTATATCATAATTCTATAGCCAGGTTCCATCCTTGGAGTTCCTATGAGTAGGCTTTGAGATTCACTGGAAGAAAGGAGTTAATAATTGAGGCCATTATATCACTTCATATTAGCAATGAAGCTATCATATGGCAGTTTAAATATTTAAATATTGTCATGTTTCAATATCCCCAGTACCCTTTTGCTTCCCTCACCTCTGAATAGTTTACTTAAAAGGGCTTTTTTTTTTTTAACCGCAAAATGTGTTAAATTTGAAAATAACTGTAATGTATGGGCTTTAACAAAGGGTTTTATCTCACTTCCCCCATAGTATTTATACACAGAAGCTTGGAATGCTGACAAAGCCTCCATCCACGTGATGCCGGACACCCCAGAAATCCTACTGGCCAAGAGCAATTCTGCCAATATCAGCCAAGTAAGAGGTTTCCTGATTGTCTCTTAAGCCTTCCTAGGATTCATTAAAATACTTTTTCCACCTTACACTTTCCTGTCTGGAATTGGCCTATTAACTTTTCCAAAACATTTTTATCTTTCTGTTGTGTATTATCCTCTGCCTAGAAACTTTACACCAAGGGATGGGATGAATCAAAGATGAAGGACTATGATCTGAGGGCTGATGCTATTTCCATCAAAAGTGCCAAAGCCTCAAGGGACATTGCCAGTGATGTAAGTCTCCTCCATCCAACCCCCTTTGGTGTCACATTGCTGAATGGCCACTGTGAAGCTGGTGGGCCACATTTCACAATTGTTTCCACATGTATCCCCCACTCTTGCTTCCTACTTTCTAAGACTTTGTCCCTTGTTGTCACAGAGAAGAATAGCACAGTTTGGAATTGTAGCTAGAAGGGCTGCACCAGTGAAGATATATGAATATGCTACAGTTATGAGAGTGTAAAAGAGTTTTAAAATTATTAGGAGATGCCAAAATGTTTGCCATATGAAATTCTTACCCATTTGCTTGTGAGTGTTCACGTTTTCCATAGTTGTCAGCATGCATGTGGTCTTAAAACTGGTTTTCTAAGGCTCTATTTCTCTCCTTTTAGTACAAATACAAAGAAGCGTACGAGAGACAGAAAGGCCACCACATTGGAGCCCGGAGCATTGAAGATGACCCCAAGATTATGTGTGCCATACATGCAGGGAAGATTCAAAGTGAAAGGGAGTACAAGAAGGAATTCCAGAAGTGGAAGACCAAATTCAGTAGCCCGGTGGACATGTTAGGCATCGTGATGGCCAAACAATGTCAGACTTTGGTCAGTGACATTGATTATCGAAATCATCTGCATCACTGGACATGCTTACCTGATCAAAATGACATTATCCAAGCAAAGAAGGCCTATGAACTGCAGAGCGATGTACGTAACACAAACTTGGGGAGAGATGGAATGAGAGGACATAGATTTATTTATTGTCTAGGCAGTGCCTCGATGGACACCTCTGTGGATAGACTCGTGGATTATGCACTGCATACCTCCAAGAGGGCACCACTCACATTGTCTAATATATAATCCATAGTCAGGAGTTATGTCCTAGGAATCAAAGAATATAGATGAAGAACCCAACTTAGGCCATGTACTTTATTCCCTGGCCTAGATAGCAGACTTTTTTCGTCATGTCATCTGTACTTTCTGGCAGTGAAAATATATTGCAGGCAAACATAAATTATCTGAATATTTTTAAACTGCCACTATTATACTATATCCAATACACTAAACAGAGTTTTCTACAGTCAGTTATTGTAGGATTAAAATGGAATGAGCTTCAACAAAATTTCCTTTAAAAGTGTTGTTAGTTCTGTAGTTTTTTGGAAGTATCAAATGATTATCATGAAATTCAGCATTATTATGACTTTATCACTCTTCACAGCTAGTATATGTAAGTATGTTTTTACAGATGACTCTGCCATTGATATTAAAACCCCTGAGTCCCATAAAATCTCAGGTCCTACTTTTTCGGAAGCCCCATCTCCTGTGCTTATCAACCCCTCACTCCCACGGACTTTACTTTGCAATTAAGAGATGGTGTGTCTAACCATGGACATAATTTCTGTCTCACATCTTTGTAGAGTGTGTATAAGGCAGACCTGGAGTGGCTGCGTGGCATTGGCTGGATGCCAGAAGACTCCGTAGAAATGAACAGGGTGAAGAATGCTCAAGGCCTGGTGAATGAAAGACTTTATAGAACGCCGCCAGAAGCCTTGAAGTTCACTTCCATTGTTGACACACCAGACGTTGTCCTGGCAAAAGCCAATTCTCTGCAAATAAGTGAGGTGAGAACCATCCTGTTACCAAGCATGCCTTTTGCGGGACTCTGTTCTCACATGATGCCACCCAAACTGAGCATGTGGGCTGTTCCTCTTGGAGGACTTGGAGTGACGGGAGCAACTCTAACAATCTGTTGGCCAGTTTGGTAAAGGCCAAAGTAGAACAAATATTTCTTTAACTCCTATTAAATGCTAAAACCTGTAGCATAATGCTGCATTTTAAATGGTATGATGTTGTATTGGTCAGGGTTCTCCAGAGAAATAGAGCCAGTAGGGGATATAAATATGTATAGATATAGATATATGTATGTACATGTATATATGTGTGCTTATATATGCATATGAGAGAGATGTAGGTAGATCTGTAGACTGCATCTATCTGTGCATACACACACACAAAGAGATTTAATTTTATGGAATTGGGCCATATGATTATGGAGGCTGGCAAGTCTATAAACTCAGAGTAGCCTGGAGACCTACAGGAGAGTCGCAGTTCAAGTCCAAAGATGGTCTGCTGACAAAGTTCCTTCTTGCTCTGCGGAGGTCAGTCTTTTTTCTATTAAGGCCTTTAGCTCATTGGACAAGACCCAGCCACATTACAGAGTGTAGTCTGCTTTACCAAAGTCTACTGATAAAAATGTTAATCTCATCTAAAACCTACCTTCACAGAAACATGTATAATGATGTCTGACTAAATATCTGGGTACTGTGGCCTAGCCAAGTTAACACATATAATGAACCATCACAAACATTAAAAAAAAAAATTTCCAGGTTAATTTCTAAGGCTTAATGTTTCAGATATCCACTATTAATATTTCCCTTCTCTCCACAGAAACTATATCATGATGCGTGGAATAAAGATAAAACCAACATCAGCATTCCTTCTGACACGCCAGTCATGCTGCAGGCCCATATAAATGCCTTGCAAATCAGCAATGTAAGTAGCATAAATATGAAGTGTAAAAGCCTTTATAGGACAATATATGTCAGCTTGTGGGGTGTGGTATAATGGACAAATTACCTAACTTAGAGATATATACAGCTTTTGGTGCTAGACATTTTCTCTTTAGCTTCCATTCCCAATGCAGTATGAATGGAAATTCTCTTTTAAACGTGAGTTTAGAGCCATGGATATCCAACAAAGAGTTGGGATATCTGAATCCTATTGGGGTCCTCCTTTCAATCTTGAAAGCATTGTTCTATATCCAATGTCCACAGCTCAGTTTCATCATATATTAGTTGAGAATAATGAAATCCCTAGTTAAATTTCTCTTACTAGAGGGAGTATGAGGTAACAGTCTCTTTTATCTTTATAGGTTTTTGATTGATCCAGAACTGTCTTGCTTGACATTTCAAAGCCATTAGAAAAGCGAAAAGACAATTTTTAATCCTATTCAAAGAGTAAGATATATATAAATACCTATGTCACATCCCTTTAGCAGGGACCTCTGAAAAGTCAAAAGGCAACATTAGAAAAAAAAATCTGACTGGACCTTACATGATACCTTGATGAAGATTTTCTAGCTTCATAGTTGATTCTTAGTTTCCACATATTGCATGGTGGGGTATTTTCAGATGTGTACCATATTGTGATGAAGATAAATATTCAAACATTGAGTAGATCTAGATGTTTAGCTTTAAAATTTTAGTCAGAAGTATCCTGTACTCCATAAAGGAAATAGCCAACAATCAGAAGAAAAACTCAGAAATGACTGTTTTTCCTTATGCTGTCTTCATTTACATTATGTCATATGATTCATATTTTGGGTACTTTGAGTATATTGACTTATTTTCAATTTTTGTAAACAAACCTGTGTTTTTCCTCAATAGAAACTTTACCAGAAAGACTGGAATGAGACCAAGCAGAAAGGCTATGACTTAAGAGCAGATGCCATTGAAATCAAACAAGCCAAAGCCTCCAGAGAAATCGCCAGTGAGGTACAGCCTCTATTTCCTTGTGGTTTTTCTCTTCTTACAACAGATAGGGAGGGTATTTTGTAAAAATTGGGTTTTTAAAAAAAAAACTATGTAAACAATTTCATTTTGTTTTTCACTGAAGACTTTCTCTATTTAAAAACATTAAAATGGAATGAAACACATTAAGGTTAGCATAGATGAGGTATTTGTATAAATAATTCTAAGTTGTTTCTAAGTAGAAGTTAAAAAAGCATGAAGAATCTATGCAGAATTCTTGGGAAAAATTCAGGAATCAATATATTTGATTGTTGACCAGTGTCATTTAATCCCCCAAATATTTATGACATTCTCCATAAGTACAGACCACAGTTGAAAATTTCATAAAAGACTTAGGACTGAAAACACATTATATATATATAAGATTTTTTACTGGAGGCTTATGTGTAATGCTCTTAGTAACCTTTTGAAATTCATTTAATAGTAATTTAAAAACTTAGTTAAAATAATTATCCTACCAAGCTCCCTACCTCCCACCCCCAGCTCCAAATCTTTAAGCAACCCTGTTCCCTTTCTCTGGGTTTTTCTCTGTTTTTTATCTCCTGTATCCACCTGTTTCTTCCCTCTTACTTCTCACTTTTATCTCTAAAAACAATAGCCAGTCTGTAGTATCTGCCTTACTCCCAGTTCTCTCTCCCTCCCTTTTGTCCAAATTTTTCTATGCTATCCAAATATCGAAAAGAAACAGACACTATCTTACTCTAGTCCTAAGACACTTAGGTGTGGGCAAGATGGAAACTCTTGTCCCCAGGCCTTTTGTTGTCATCTGATTCAAGCCAATGACCTTGCTTTCCATTCCTGTGAAATATACACCTTTTTTTTTTTTTTTATCTGTCTCCCAAACCACACAAATCACTTTTTCCTACCTGAGGTATTGTTAGTATTCTTGGGGGACCATCTGACTTAATGTTCCACTTTCCAGGCAACCTTCGAGACCAGGATTACACCCACTGTGTCTTATTTTCCACATCTGAAATATGTGATAATAATATTATGCACTTCACAGAGATGTGAAGATTAAATGAGATTGTAGTTGCTATTACTCAACTATTTTTAACTAAAAAATTCAGTAATTTCACATGAATCAACCCAATATATTTGAAGCACTTGTAATAGTGTCTGGCATATAGTAATTGCTCAGTAAATGTCAGCTATAATTTTTTGTAATTACTCTTATTCGCCATACTACTACCCTCCTGATTTCCTCATGTTCTCTATCAAAGTACCTAAAATAGCCCTATCCATTTTCCTTAAAGTGAACTGAAATCTGTAAGGACTGCCAGTGTTAAGCTAAATTTCTATTAAGGTGAGGAAAATATTCTGGAAACATTTAATGAAAAATCCTCTTACTACAGTATTTTCATATGTCTTTTTCTCTTATTTTTCACAACTTTAGTACAAATACAAAGAAGGTTACCGTAAGCAACTGGGCCACCACGTGGGTTTCCGCACCCTACAAGATGACCCCAAATTGGTATGGTCTATACATGCTGCCAAGATCCAGAGTGACAGAGAGTACAAGAAAGCTTATGAGAAGTCTAAAGGAATTCACAATACACCGTCGGACATGATGTCAATTGTTCAGGCCAAGAAATGCCAGGTCCTGGTTAGCGATATTGATTATCGCAATTATCTGCACCAGTGGATATGTTTGCCAGATCAGAATGATGTGATCCAGGCTAAGAAGGCCTACGAACTGCAGAGCAATGTGCGTATTTTATCACCAGACTCTTGGGGAGACGTGTGTCTCTGTATATCATCATGGTGTATTCCCTAGGGACGTAACTTAAGTGGTAATCTTAATAGAACTTAACATAATCTGTACATTTTATGGTGGCAGAGTTATTGTGAACATTTTCTGTCTTATAGAGGATTCCTTCTCATGTGGCAAGGCCTTAAGCATTAAGACAAAAAAAATCACTCTCTTATTCTGTAATTAGATATAAAATTTCAGTCCCAGTTTTAACCCATTACATGTGCATGATCAGATATCTAAATTTCAGAAATAAATGTGAACGTAAGGAAATGTTGCATTTTAAGTTTATCCCGCACATGTAGGGAAAATGTATGTGTATATATTTATATATAGATAGAGAAGTGTATACAAATAAAAGTATATATCTTTTCCTCATTATATATGCATCTAAAGACCTTAGTCTCGCAAATTCTTACAGATGTTATTCTCAGCAAAAAAGGCAGATTTCAAGTGGCGAGCACAGAAGCTCAACCTTGTATAAAAACAAAATTATGTGACATTGCTCTCTGTCATCCACAAGTGGCCCTTGTCAGCCCTGCTCCAGTTCCTGTAGGATACTGTGAACTTCTCCCAGCGATGCATGCCAGGGATGTAGCACCCAAATATTAATATTTAATGTTGATCCTTCTATTTCATGGGATTGGCCACCCAGCTGATTTAGATAGAGGGAGTGCGTGGCCTGCTGGCGTCATGCTCTCATGGGCAGATTTGACTCCTATGCACTCTGTGGTCCTTTTCTTCATGCAGAACGTGTACAAATCAGACCTGGAATGGTTGAAGGGTATAGGATGGTTGCCAGAGGGTTCTGTGGAAGTGATGAGAGTGAAGAATGCCCAGAATCTCCTGAATGAGAGGTTGTATCGTATAAAACCTGAGGACTTCAAATTCACCAGCATTGTTGATACCCCTGAAGTCATCCAGGCAAAGATCAATGCTGTACAGATCAGTGAGGTAAGCTGGGTTGATGATACATTCGGACATATTGAAGAAGTCTCAATGAGAATTCTGACTGTGAACTTTAAATTGCTAACACTAGCATTAGAACCTTGAACATTCATGTATCCAGATAGAATTTCATATAGTCAATCAAGTAACGGTATCCATATTTCACTTACTTAGATGACTCTTTGGTTGACATAAGTGTGGTAAGCATCTTTATATTCCACAGACTCTGATACACACTTTGAATACATTTTGAGTTCTTGCTTGTAATACAAGTCCACCAGTTAATACTATGATCACAAAACTGCCACCTTTTTATTGCTTTTCAAGCATGAGGTAAGTTGAAAAGTCCAGGGGTGGCCTCAATATTAGATATTATGATAGTTACTTGGGCCAAGAAAGCCAGGAATTGATTAGTGATATGGATTATCATAGTTACCTGAAATGTAAATACCTGCCAGATAATTACATGTGAATTAATGAAAAAGATCATTTTACTACCATATTTCTGACTCATTTTCTATTTATATTATATCACACATCAATATATTCTTCTCGTTAAAGTCACTATTGGCACCTTTTAAGTAAAAACACAAACGAAGGGGTTCCTGGGTGGCTCAGTCAGTTAAGCATCTGACTCTTGATCTCAGCTCAGATCTTGATCTTGGGGTCGTGAGTTCAAGCCCCGTGTTGGGCTCCACACTGGACATGGAGCCAACTTAACAAAAAAAACAAAAAAGATCTGCACAAATGAAAACAAAATGTGATCTACATTTATATCTGAGAATATCCAAAGAGAACCTTTAATTGTACCTGTAATTTTATTCATGTAGCAATTGACTTATTTACTTATCAGCCATCCTTTGTTTTTCCTTTTTACCAGCCATTGTATCGTGATGCCTGGGAGAGAGAGAAGGCGAATGTGAATGTACCAGCTGACACTCCAGGGATGCTGCAGTCCAAGATCAATGCCATACAGATCAGTGATGTAGGGGACTACACATCCACTTACTTTACACATTATTTTCTGCCTAACTGGAACTTAACTTGATACGCTCCAGAGGGAGTTTAGCAAAAGGCATTTCCCTATCATTCCTTCTATTTCTAGTCTTTATTTTTTTTAATTTTATTTTATTATGTTGTTAGTCACCATACAATGCATCATTAGTTTTTGATGTAGTGATCCACAATTCATTGTTTTCGTATAACACCCAGTGCTCCATCAATACGTGCCCTCCTTAATACCCATCATCGGGCTAACCCATCCCCCCACCCCCCTCCCCTCTAGAACCCTCAGTTTGTTTCTCAGAGTCCATAGTCTCTCATGGTTCGTCTCCCCCTCATTTTTCCCTTCCTGCTCTCTTCTACTTTTTTTTTTTCTAACATATAATGTATTATTTGTTTCAGAGGTGCAGGTCTGTGATTCAACAGTCTTACACAATTCACAGCGCCAGCCTATTTTACAAATCTTAAGGGGAGACTAATTTTCAATGTAACTTAACAGGTTTTCTTAAACACGTCAGTAATGCTGACTCAGTGGCTCCCTCTTCAGATTAACTGTGGCATTGCAATCTCCCTTTGCAGAAACAATATAAGCAAGCGTGGGAAGATGTCAAGATGACGGGTTATGACCTGCGGGAAGATGCCATCCCAATTCAGCATGCCAGAGCTTCCAGGGATATCGCCAGCGATGTGAGAGCTCCTCCTTTCCCAGCCTTCACCAACACTAACTAATAGACGACACACGGGAGTTAATACTTTTCTAATCTTTTACTTAATTCCCCTGTAATACACTTAAGTAGAATGGAGATCATCGGGATTAGTGTCTTGTTTTGAAATCTCACATTCAAGGATAACTTTTACAACAGTTTGGTGATCCTTTTGCATCAGCGCTTGGTTCTGCTCTTCTTATGTTTAAGCCAGATTTTTATTTTCAGTATCTTCTCATTATCATTTAATTTACAAGCACTTATAAAAATTCAATGGGTACAAAAATTCAATGAAGTACAGCGTACATAAGTTGTTCCTGACATAATTTTATATAGTTGATGGACAAGCATTTTTAAAAACTGATGTTTGTTTTAATGTGTGCTAGAAAAATAGTTTTTTTCCATTTAAATGGGATTATAAATTTTAGAATAAAAATCTTTCGAAGTTTACACTTTAAATCTATTTAAACAAAGAATCTAGTTGATAAACTAAAACGTGAAGGTGGTAGACAGTGACTGAAGTTTGGGAAACACGAGATAAGCCTGTACTGGGGATAATCTAGAAGCATAGTTCTTGCCTCAGAGGTGCTCACTATGTTTTTGTGCATGTGGACATAGAAACCAATGCGTTAAGAATCATAAAACTTATAATATGGACTTAAAGAAAAACACTGCCCAGTCTAAGGGAGATGGAGTTATTTGGAGCAGACTGTTGAGACAAAGTGAGTTTGGAAAAATGACTCTTCTTTCTTCTGTTCACATATACCAGTATCTATACAAAACCGCTTACGAGAAACAAAAAGGCCATTATATTGGATGTCGCAATGCCAAGGAAGACCCTAAACTGGTTTGGGCGGCAAATGTATTAAAAATGCAGAATGACAGGCTGTACAAAAAGGCCTACAATGACCACAAGGCCAAGATCTCCATCCCAGGGGACATGGTGTCCATCAACGCTGCCAAAGAAGGCCAGGCATTAGTAAGTGATGTGGATTATCGCCAGTACCTGCACCACTGGTCTTGCTTTCCCGACCAGAATGATGTGATCCAAGCCAGGAAAGCCTACGACCTGCAGAGTGATGTAAGTTGTTGCTTGTGCAGAGAGTACCAACTGAGGGGCCTGGATAGTGAGCTGTTCTCCAGGAAGAAAGCCTCCACAGCTTTGCCTGGTCATCCCTCGGAGGACTTGGGAAAATACAACTCTCCCTACATAAGCACTTCCCTTTCGCATTTTTACCAAGTTTACTGATTGCCTCTCTTACTGCTGGGCTTATTGGGAGTTTTCTTTTTTACTCTTTGTGGTGCCACCAGAATTCTTCTATAGATTCCTAAATGTGTGCAGTGTTTGTAATGTCCTAAACATGAGAATTTGCATGGTCCCTCAACTGAAGAATGACAGGGCTACTTCTTTGAAATTAATGTCAAAGGTCAGCAGCATGCTCCAAACTCACTAGTTTCCCTTAACATGGTATTCTTCACAACACGGTGTTTCATTAGTTTACCTGAAGTATTTTTAGATTTACTCATATTTTCTGCCCATTCAATTTTTTGGAAATCATGGATTCCATCGGGATATTTATTTCTTGTGTAGAATGAATGCCTTCTTTTAATTATTTATTACTGCTTTAAAAGTCCACCTGAGCTAGAATGATGTTACTTAAATATTATTCGAGATCTTCCATGCATCCCACAGAGAGAGAGCTCCTTCTGTATCGTTCTGCTTTTTAGAGTATGTATTGGTGCCCCCGCCACAGAAAACAAAGCAGAATAGAACACTGCTGTGCATAGGATGAATTGTGTTTGTCAGGCCAATGCTCAATTTTAGTTATTGTTTGTGGGAGGTAAAATAGAACATAAAACTGCTTTCTTGGGTGCCTGGGTGGCTTAGTCGTTAAGCGTCTGCCTTCCGCTCGGGTCATGATCCCAGGGTCCTGGGATCAAGCCCCGCGTCGGGCTCTCTGCTCGGTGGGAGGCCTGCTTCTCCTTCTCCCTCTCCCCCTGCTTATGTTCCCTCTCTCGCTGTCTCTCTCTCTCTGTCAAATAAATACTCTTAAACAACAACAAAAAACTGCTTTCTGACTTTGCCACAATTAAAAAAAAAACCCTGCTTCTACCTACCTTTGTTTTCTTTCCCAGGCCATCTATAAGGCTGACTTGGAGTGGCTCCGTGGCATTGGCTGGATGCCTGAAGGGTCTCCTGAAGTGTTGAGGGTCAAGAATGCCCAGAAGATCCTACAAGACAGTGTCTATCGGACCCCCGTAGTGAGCCTCAAGTACACAAGTGTTGTTGACACACCTGAAGTTGTCCTTGCTAAGTCGAATGCTGAAAATATTAGTATTGTAAGTCACCTTTCCCTCGTATGTTAAAATTAAGTCATGCTTGTAAGTGACTGATAAATAATTAACCTGGCAATCTATTTGTAAGATAAGAACGTTGATGATAGCAAAGGTTTTAATATGTAATGTTGGTAAGATTGTGTTCTTGTTATTCATAAATTTTAAATGAAAAATATTAATACCAATTTAATATTAAATTTGAGTAACTTATGTGAAAAACTTTTAGATGTTTCTTCCTTAATATGAAAAAATTGGGGATCAGAAAAGTTGAAAGTTGTACACTGGAACTAGCAGAATTACAAATTGCAAAATAATTTTGTGGGTTTTTTCCCATAGCCGAAGTACAGAGAAGTTTGGGACAAGGATAAAACTTCAGTCCACATAATGCCAGATACGCCAGAAATTAACCTCGCCAGAGCCAATGCTCTTAATATGAGCAATGTAAGTACCTCAACAGACTCCTTTTTGGTTTGGAAAGTCACCCAGTGGGTGCTATGATATCCCTAGGGAACTCTTCATAGGCAAGAGAAAAGATTGCCTGAAGACTCTTTACCATCAGCCCTTTGACCAGGAGTGAGGAAAGGAGCAGATCCCTTGCTCTGAGTCACCCAGCAAGGCCAGTTACTGGTGAGCGCATGTCAACATGACAAAAGGGAGAAGGGGATAAGGATGAGAAACCTGAAAGAGGACTGGATGAAGAGACACATGAACAAGAAAGGGACATTAGTGACAGACGAACACAAAATAATGATGAGAATTCTTTGCAAAACTCTATATGAATTTGAAAACCTAGATCTAGAGGGGATTTTCTAGGAAATCATAAATTACCAAAATGACCCAAGGAAAAGAATAAAAACATATAGCAAGAAATTAAGAGGATTATTAAAGATGCTCCTTCCTCCTCTCAGATATCAGGGTCATCCAGATGATTTCATAGGAGAATTCCTTCAGAACTTCAAGAAATAATCAAACAATCATAGAGCCTAATGAAAGAAGGAAAGCCATCACAATTACCAAAACTTGTCAAAAATAATTCCACAAAGGAAAACTGTAGACCAATAATGAGGAAAATCTTAAATAAAAGGTTAACAAATAAAATTCAGTAGTACATGAATATGATAGGAGACAAACAATTAGAGTTCATCCAGGAATGCCAAGAGGGTTCCATATTCAGAAACCTAATAATGTAATAGCACAAAAGAGAAAAATCACACATTCACCTTATTAGATTTGAAAAAAGGCATGTGACCAAATCCAATATCCATTCTTATTTTTAAAAATAAAATCCTAGTAAAATAAGAATAAATGAATATCATAATGTGACTAAAAGAGTAAATCTCAAATCAAAGGCCAGGCTCATCCTTAGTAAGCTAATCTTCTCATTCAAGCTAGGAATAAAACAAGGATGCCCACTGACGTCACCATTATTATTTAACATTTGCTGGAACTACCAGCTAAGTGAGTAAGTTCCTCACTCAAGCCAAAATAATTACATAAGAGTAAGAATAAAGATAAATGTTGGGTTTAAAAGGCAAAATTATCTTTACTTGCAGGATAAATCCTTATGTCTGGAAAAAGGAAGAGAATGAACTTAAAAATCTATTAGATAAAATGAGAGAATTCGATGGTTAGCCACACAATTTAAGAAAGCTCAAGAAAGGTATTGTCTTCATGGATCACAGAGATTTCTTATGTGTAGAATAAATATCACCCTAGAAGAAGGATACTACTTTAGTGCAGTTCACCATGGTTTGGAACTTCACATCTTCCAGAAAATAACACATCTTTATGAGAGAAGGAAACTGCCCAGCAAAGATTCCTCACCATGTGCCAAACTATACGCATTAGCTCTGTTGTAATGAGCTAATTTTTTCCAAGAGATGGGAAGAAAATAAAATTTGGGGCACTGATACATTTTTTTTTCATACAAGAATAGTATGGTGCAGTGCCCTCTCATCACCAAGTGACTGGTTGGAGAGGCAGTCCATTCTTCACCTCAGCCTCTTCTTTTCAATCCAGAGGCATCTTTGGCCGGACAATCAGGGAAGGTCTCATGTGCTCTCTTTTGCATGATGCATTTCTCAGCTGAAAATACCAGAACCCTACTGTTGATATCTTGATGTAAGCAAGACTAGTATTTGAAACTATGCCAAAAGTAAAGTTGTGAACTTTAGATATTAGATATGAAGACATTAATGAGAATGGCTTGTGCTTTGGAAGAAATCAAACATCGTATTTGAATGCTAACCAAAATGTAATTTTTTTTTTTTTAACGCATGGGGTCACCATGACTATAATCTTGATAAAATCCACTATTTAAAACTGTTTCTATCATTTGGGAAACACAACTTTTCAGGATATTTGTATACGATTTTCTAGTTAACCAAGCAAATTCATGTAAAATTGACTCATTTAATCTTCAAACTAATCATATGAGTAAAATAGTGTTACTTTGTTTTTATCAGATGGGAAGGTTGAGACTTAAAGTGATTGAGGAATTAACCCATGATCTTAAAGTTAGTAGGTGAAGTTTGGCCTCAAACTCAGATTTTTTTTTTAATAAAAAATATACTTGACTACATAAACAAAAATTTATTACATAAATAAAAATAGTGTAACAATATATGTAATAAAACTAAAAACAAAAGATTTTAAATAACGTAATAAGTTTGCATTAAATATTCCCAATACGTTGAAATTGGAGAATACTATTTCTTTTGTACAAAAAAAAGAGTCTATTGTTAAATAGGACCACCCAAAATTCATACAAAAACTTGAATGAAAATTCATACAAAACTTATCTGTACTTACAAGGACAAAATTTGTATGAGCACTTCATATTTCAGATATGTAAAGCCCATGAAACTATTAATTGAAACTCATCTCTCCTTTCTGGACTGTTAAAGCTCCTATATTGTTTGGTATGATTTCTGAATTATACATTTGAATTACTGTTATTTCTGAGAATCTCTGACATTGTCAACACAGAATGTGTCCATTTAAATATGAACATATATTTAAAAAGCTATCTGTAAATCAGTCACTACCCTACTTCTCTGTACAAATAAAAACACGCTGTATTTTTTAAAAAAAAAAAAGGCTACTGTGGTGGCGCCTGGGTGGCTCAGTCGGTTAAGCATCCAGCTCTTGAGCTCAGCTCAGGTGTTGATCTCAGGATCATGAGTTCAAGCCCCACACTGGGCTCCACTTTGGTGGTGGAGCCTACTTAAAAAAAAAAAAAAAAAAAAAAAGCTGTTAACCTCCAACTGTCCTTCAGAAGGAACATCTAACATTCCCAAACAATATTCATCACCAACCACATAAGAAGATCTAAGAAACCATCCTGGGGAAAACCTCCCCACAAATATAAAAAGTTTATAATTCTGAAGATTATAAAATTGACTTGAATTCTAAAATTAAATAAATTGAATTATTGAATTAAATCCAGTAAGGGGCTCCTGGCTGGCTCAGTCGTTAAGCATCTGCCTTCAGCTCAGGTCATGGTCCTAGGGTCCTGGGATCGAGTCCCACATTGGGCTCCCTGCTCGGCGGGAAGCCTGCTTCTCCCTCTGCTACTCCCCCTGCTTGTGTTCCCTCTCTCACTGTGTCTCTCTGTGTCAAATAAAATCTTTAAAAAAAAAAAACAAAAGTAATCCAGTTGTCCTCATTAATGTCTTATCCCAATGCTACCAATACGCCAGGACAAAAAGCCACTAAGCCCTGTCATATAAACCATGAGGTATTACAGAGAAGCCATTATTTAAATTAGAAAGAACTCTCATCAAGCCCAGGTCTCTGAACTCCAGACACCATTTCATCTTCCAATAGCATGGTAGAGAATTATTCTTTTACTTATTCCCTTCTTAACAGATTCTGGGACTTTAAAACTGGACTACTTTGATTATTAATTCTACTTGAACCCTTGAAATTATCAGTACATCTGAATCCGAAATGATACCCTATTTTTTTGTCCTCTTCAGAAAATTTACCGTGAAGATTGGGATGAAACAAAGATGAGCTGTGATGTACGGCTGGATGCCATCCCTATCCAGGCTGCCAAGGCCTCCAGGGAAATCGCCAGTGACGTACGTGTGGCCTTGTTTGACTTGTCAGTTTCTAAGCAAACATCCTAGGTGCATCAGGAGTACATACTGTGATCCATCTGCTTTGTTTTTCCATCTCCAGTATAAATACAAGCTTGACCATGAGAAGCAGAAGGGACACTATGTGGGGACCCGCACCGCCAGGGATGACAACAAGATCCGCTGGGCCCTCATAGCTGGCAAGATTCAGAATGAAAGAGAGTACCGGCTGCACTGGGCCAAATGGAAGACCAAGTTCCAGAGCCCTGTGGATATGCTTTCCATCGTGCATTCTAAAAATTGCCAGACCCTAGTCAGCGACATTGATTATCGCAATTACTTACACCAGTGGACATGCATGCCTGACCAGAACGATGTGATTCAGGCCAAGAAAGCCTATCAACTGCAAAGCAATGTGAGTGGGCTACATTTTAGGATGAGCTCGTCTATCATTTTGCCATGACTCCCAGAAAGTTTATATTCTTAAATTTTTGTATCATCACTTCCTGTCTTTATACAGCCAAGGGTTTGGTTTTAGTTAGACCTTCTAGTACAGTGTCAAAAATCCGCAAAGCTGTGGAAGCTCTAGATTCTGTATCAAGGAATAAAGGGTTGTGTGAATACAAATCTTAATTGTAACAATATAAAGACAACGGCTGTGAAGATACTATTTATGGAATTTAAGGAGTAACAGGTTGATATCATAAGTAAAACATTGGCAGTCCATGGAAAGGATGTAGGCACAGATAAGCTTTTATAGTTAATACAGTGTTTAAAAATCTTGAGTTAATTTGCCAAGGTTTTTTTAAATCAGGAAATTTGGGGTACAAATCTAAGATTTCTTAGTTCTTTAGGAAAAAATCAGAGAATGAAGCTCGGGACATGCATTACACCCCTGGCAACAATAGGTGGAGCTGAATTGAGGCTAACCCCCTTTAAATAGAAAATAGATCCCCCAGTTTTTCATATCACCTGATCTCCTAATGAATTTACTTACGTTACCTGCCTGGCTGCTTGAGTATGTCATTCTTATGTGTATTTCTCCATCAAACCAAGGGATAGAATAAATAGGACCCGGTTATGACCAGAGTTGCTGAAATCACTCGGCCTTGTTTCCACAGGCTGTCTACAAGGCGGACTTGGAATGGTTACGTGGGATTGGGTGGATGCCGAATGATTCCGTCCCTGTCAATCACGCTAAACATGCTGCGGATATCTTCAGTGAGGTATTCCAAGATTTCACCTGCCATTCAGTGCGTTTCCTGGGAGACTGAACAAAAATATACAAGCCAAAGCTCAATCATTCCCCATCAGCAATTTTAACAATGGCAATTGCTGTCATTTAAGCCAGACATACCTTTTCCCAAAACAATCCTCTACTGTCCCTATCACATCAGGGGACCACATCCATAATACAATATACAGTATAATCAGCTGATGCTTGGAATTATATAAAGGGAAAACGTCTTTTGTCAGAAATGGCAATACACTTGGGAGAAGTTTGTTCAGTTGAAAAAAAAGTATTGAGTAACGTGATACACAGAATGATACAGTACATGATCTTGGTAGGTAAGCAAATCTGCTACTTTAAAATCCGTGGGAGGGCGCCTGGGTGGCTCAGATGGTTAAGCGTCTGCCTTCGGCTCAGGTCATGATCCCGGGGTCCTGGGATCGAGTCCCACATCGGGCTCCCTGCTTCTTGGGAGCCTGCTTCTCTCTCTCTCTCTCTGTCTCTCATGAATAAATAAATAAAATCTTAAAAAAAAAAAAATCCGTGGGAGATATAAGAAGCCAACCCAGTTGTTAAAAAATAAAATGCTAAGAAAAAGGCCGAATTGCCAAGAAGGTGCCATTCAAATACGGCACTCTACACTTCTGGTAGAGACAGGCCCTTAAATCTAGTGTCTCTTTCTCAGCTCAGACAGGACCAGAAACTGCAACTGTCTGAAAGATATTTTCTTTCCTATAGAAAAAATATCGCACAAAAATAGAAACCCTCAACTTTACTCCTGTGGATGACAGAGTTGATTATGTGACTGCAAAACAAAGTGGCGAGATCCTCAATGATGTAAGTACATGTCTCTCATTCTAAAATTGCCCAATCATGAAATGTCATTTTCAAAGCCTTCCACCTACGTTAGCTCAGCATGCAATCATTGTCTGCGATATGGATTGTAATCATTGAGACGATGCTAGCATTTGCTTGGACAACATTATGCTTTCTTAACATCAAGTAACTTACACCTCTTGCCTCTCCTTTCCAGATTAAATACCGGAAAGATTGGAATGATACCAAATCGAAATACACCCTCACAGAAACCCCTTTGCTGCACACTGCCCAGGAGGCAGCCCGGATACTGGACCAGGTATGGGTTTTAGCCACATGCCTGGTACTCTGTGTGGGGACAGAGGACCATAGTGTAACTGTGGGACATGGATGCACACGATCAATACCTCCGTTCTAACTCCTTCGTGTAAGCCTCTATTGTGGCTCTCTGTCTTTTAGTATCTCTACAAGGAAGGCTGGGAGAAGCAAAAAGCTACGGGTTACATTTTGCCTCCAGATGCGGTACCATTTGTTCACGCCCATCACTCTAGTGACGTTCAGAGCGAGGTAATTTATCTGTAGATGAGTGCACGCTGCAGTGTGCCTGGGGCTAGCAGGCCTGGCCAGGCTTGGGGGATGGTTGAAGTACCTACTCCTTTCTGGTCCTCCCTGTGGGCTTTGGGGGTTTTGTCTTGTTTTGTGGGCTTCTTTAAAAGCTATTGTTTGAGTGCTTTACTTTTTCTTCTATTCCCTCACTTCCTTAAGATTGCTAAGCTTTCAAATAAAATATAGGCAGAATTAGAAAGCAAATCTATTTTTTCTATTTTTAAATTGATATTTCTTTATATTTATTTATTTCAGTGCTTTTTGTTATTTATTCTGAGGGAGGCAGAGGTAACAAGAAGCTGAAGGACTGCATTTGCTGATGTTTCAAGCCCCCCTTTTCCTTGAGTGCTTGTCAAAACTGATGCAATCTCTATTTTCTCCTACCAGCTGAGATACAAAGCTGAACACGTAAAACAAAGAGGTCATTATGTTGGTGTTCCGACGATGAGAGATGATCCCAAACTGGTTTGGTTTGAGCATGCAGGCCAGATTCAGAATGAGAGACTATACAAAGAGGACTATCATAAAACAAAGGCCAAGATCAATATACCTGCTGATACAGTGTCGGTGTTGGCCGCCAAGCATGGGCAGGAGCTTGTCAGTGATATTGATTACCGTAATTACCTGCACCAATGGATATGTCATCCTGACCAAAATGATGTGATCCAGGCAAGGAAGGCCTATGACCTACAGAGTGATGTAAGTGACTTTGTTTCTTAATTATCTAGAAATGTTTGGTATACTTTGAGAATTATAAGCAGCATTCTGGAAGCACCAAGCTTTGAGACTTCAAGCCATAAATATTAAGTTTGTTCCCAGAAGGGAATTAAGGTTGGATATGATGTAGAGAAAGACCAGGAGCAGTGATTGGCTGACAGCTTTGCCTACTAGTATATCTGAATAACTTTCAAAGTCATTTTTTTTTTTTTAATTTTTGTTTGCATCATCTTTGCCATCAGCAACATCTCACATCTCCCTGGAAAATTATCAGCTGATTTAAAATAATAATTGGCTTGGGGTGAGAATGGAGAGTGGGTGGGATTTTAACAATATTGGATGATAGTGTAGTCAAGGACCTGGGAATGCCCTGTTCTTGCTTTGCCAGGCATTTTACTCCTGCAGGCATTTATGAAGGACTTGCTTGCGAGGAATCAAAGCAAAAGGGAAACAAAGTACTGATGAGCCACGTGGGGGCCCAGAGTCCCTCACACAGAGCTTTGGTAAAGGTAGGGTAGAGAGTACATGACATAGGCCGTCTTGCAGCGAAGCTTGAGTCAAGACCTGCAGCTGCCACCAGCAGTCTGCAAGCCACAGAAACACAGTGCATCAACGTGATACTCAGATGCCCCCAGGAGCTAACCCTACCTGGTCTTCTCATAACCAAAGTGGAAAAACAGGAGATCAAAGACTGCCTGCAGCACAGGGGCTGAGCTTGAACATCCCACCTCACTCTTGCCGCAGAAGAACAATTGTTGCGGACCTTAACCAGATTAGCAACTCCACCGCAGTTGGTGAGGGGTGGCCTGAGAGAACCCAGGCCCTAGGCGGGGGAGGGGAAAGCTAGGCTTGGCCTGAGGGATGTATCCCCCTGCTCTTTAATACATGACCATTTAGTCATGTCACTTTCTTCAGATAGTCTGAATGTCCCACATATTTCTAAGTAATTAAATATAAGTCCGTCTAAAATTATACCCTCCTTGGGCGCCTGGGTGGCTCATTTGGTTAAGCGACTGCCTTCGGCTCAGGTCATGATCCTGGAGTCCCGGGATCAAGTCCCGCATCGGGCTCCCTGCTCAGCGGGGAGTCTGCTTCTCCCTCTGACCCTCCCCCCTCTCATGTGCTCTCTCTCATTCTCTCTCTCTCAAATAAATAAATAAAATCTTTAAAAAAAAAAAATTATACCGTCCTTAGTAAAACCTTTTCTTAGGCTCACTGCTGAAAACAGTAGCTCCCTGCCCCTAACTCCCACAGCACTTGAGTGTTCTCGCTCTTATACTCTCCCCTTGTAAATGACTTCTCTTTATACTTAGCCCTCAAAGCACCTAGCACAGTACCTCACTCATAATAACAAGCTCAAGAAATATTTCTCAGGCAAACAGTTGAAATCATAACTGAATCAATGAAGCAACAGTCGCTGGAGAGAAATCCTTAAAAAGCTCCTGAATAAGTTGCTTCTGATCTACTGTCTGTAGTCCTGTGTGAGTCACTTATACCTGCATTGTATCTTTCTTCCTGCTCTCAGAATGTCTACAAAGCTGACCTGGAGTGGCTCCGAGGCATCGGCTGGATACCCCTGGATTCTGTGGACTACGTGAGGGTTACGAAGAACCAGGAAATGCTGAATCAGGTACACGAAGCCTGTTCTCACCTAATGCCTGGCCGCCTCGCCTGCCATGTGGGGGCAGGGACCCAATGGAAGGAGACCAGTCTTAATCATCTCTGTTTCCTTGCAGATAAACTATAAGAAAGATGCTCTTGACAACTATCCTAACTTTTCAAGTGTGGTGGATCCTCCAGAGATTGTTTTGGCTAAGATTAACTCAATCAATCAAAGTGATGTAAGTTTGCTTTATGTATAATGATGTGCATGGACTGGGGAGTTAGGTGTCTGTCATTGACTGCATTTGCTTACCTCCAGATAACTGCTTGTAAGAAAATGGACAATGGGGTGGGAAACTATGAGATCATCGTTCCTGGGAATGTCTTAAAAGTCACTAGTAGGAGATATACTGTACTCACTTACAGAAAATATCTATATTCTTGTCCAAATTATCCTATTAGATAAAATGAACTTAAATTCAACCCATTCATTTAAATCTCTAAATGTAGACTATTATCTTGCTAGGTAGAAACTATAAAACTTTATACGTTTATATTAACCAAAGGTTTTGTTTGGTTTTGTCTTGTTTTCTCTCCTTAGGTAAAATATAAAGAAACATTTAATAAAAGAATAAAGGGCAAGTATACATTTTCTCCAGATACGCCATATATCACCCACTCCAAAGACATGGGAAAACTCTATAGTACTGTAAGTCTTATTTTATGTCATTTACAGCTCAGTTCTTAATTTTAAGCTCTCGGCAGTATTCATGTCCTTGGCTGATTTTGTGAATAACTGAACTTATAAGATTATTTTTATTGTATTTAGTCTTATTTATTAGAAATAACTTGTCTTTATTAGAAATAGCACTTATTCAGCTGGTATTTTTTTGAGCTCCTGTGATGTGCCAGGCACTGCAGGAAGTACTAAGGGGCTGAAGCTCAATAAGACAAGCCCATCGGGAGCTCATGCAAATGAGAGGGACAGACATACAAGAAAATAGATAATAACGTATCAGGTGCTGAGCAGCTCTAGGCACACATAGGACTAAGCACCTGCCAAAGGGAAAAGAGAAGAAAGACTGGTTCTTCTTTAGCAGTCATGTTTAACATCTCCAGCCAACAAATGGAAGATTTGCCCTCCAAATTTTAATTCATCTAAGTCAAAGGATGATGTGTGTGTGTGTGCAGTGTGTATGTGCGTATGCCCAATGGGAAGCAATCTTTGGTGATTCTCTCCCTATGTGAAAATTTATTTTCGCTTTTATTAGAACTGTAAACATAGTTAAACTCGGTTATAAAATGCCTCACTGTCTGTAGATTTAATTTGCAGTAAACCAAAAAACTCAGCCCTATTCGTAGGTAGACAAAATAATGGCTCTAAGTAAAGATGTAAGCTTTGCCTTTCAACGTAAATATTTTACCGTGGTTTTACCATTTTCTTTTTAGCAATATCTGAAGGAAGTTGACCACAAACTTTTGTTGACACACATTTCTTTGTTCCAGATACTGTATAAAGGGGCATGGGAAGGAACCAAGGCCTACGGCTATACCTTGGATGAACGCTACATTCCCATTGTTGGAGCTAAGCATGCCGACTACGTGAACAGTGAGGTCAGTAGTACTTTCTCTTCTCATGGGTTTAAGAGTCTTCACTGGGGAGCTGGTTAGAAAATCCCAGTGATTCTCAATGTTGTACCTACTTCACAGCTTAAATACAAAGAGACCTATGAGAAGCAGAAGGGCCACTACCTGGCTGGAAAAGAAATCAGTGAGTTCCCTGGTGTGGTTCACAGTCTGGATTTCCAAAAGATGAGGAGTGTGGTAAGCAAAGCTCACTTTCATAGAGGATCTGTACTGTTAGTCTGCCTGTTTGTAACATGTTCTTTAGTTGAGAGGGGCATGGAGTCCTTGAGATTTATCCCCACCCCTGCCAGTTAGCCTTGTGTTCCTTTGATAGCTATGGGCTTCCTCCCTTTCCCTCCCTCCTCCACTAACCCACAGTGAAGTATCTATGTATGGAAAAAGGAGAATGCAACAAGGTAACTATTTACCCCCTGTGTTATGAAAGGATAGGAAATTGAAAAAGAAGAAATATATTAAAGTATGAGATCATCATTCTTAGGCTTTGTTTATTCTAAAGGCACTGATGTATACTAGAAATAAGACTCGAAGAGAGATCAGTCTGAATAATTAACACTTGAATCCCTTTCTTCTTTTTGTCTTTAAAAAAATACGATTCTTTAGTTGAACTACAGAAGACATTATGAGGATACCAAAGCAAATGTTCACATCCCCATTGATATGATGAATCACGTGCTGGCTAAACACTGCCAATACATCCTCAGTGACTTGGAATACCAACACTTCTTCCATCAGTGGACGTCTCTCCCGGAAGAACCCAACGTTATACGGGCCCGAAATGCACAGGAGATCTTGAGTGATGTATGATGTCCTTTCTGCAGCTTGACTTAGCTACAGGCTTCACTCAACCGTGCCTTGGCCCTCCATGCTCCATTTGTCCCTGTATTCATAAATGTTGTCCTTTTTAAAACACAGTGATATGAGTAACCCCTTTTTGGTGTAAGAATCCCCTCTGGGCCATGTGACACCACCTATTTTCATACCAGACTAAACTTAGCCATTCCTCTCCTCCTAAGCTTCTTTAGGTCAGGGCATTAAAGACCTCCAGCTGTTGAGAGGCCCACCCTATGACCGCAAAGCACTGAGCACAGCCAACGGCTGATAGGAAATTATCCAAATGCCCGATTATAAATTCAGTTAGTGCCTGTCACCTTTCATCATTCCTTCCTTCTTGCAGAATGTGTATAAGGATGACTTGAATTGGCTGAAAGGCATTGGATGCTACGTTTGGGATACACCTCAGATCCTCCATGCCAAGAAAGCATATGCCCTCCAGAGTCAGGTGAGATCTTCCTAGAAGGACTGGCTCACTGTGGATCAGTGGAATCCGTGGTGCTCTCCGTGGGGTGACAGCCAGGCCAGCCCTGGCTTTAACAGTGCAGGATCCAGGGCAACCGAAGGCCCCCTGCCCAATAAAACCTCTCCTGGTGACCTGGTGTGGTGTTGGACCTTCTCAGTTTTAGTCTCTCCTGTGGTTTAAGCATTTGATGTTTATAACAGAAAGTTTCCTGAGAGGTGTTTTCATAGTGAACCACTCTCAAGCATCTATGCTGAAGTTGGTAAGGTTAACTTGCAGAGTGTAAAATGCAAATGCATGCTTTGACCTTGGGTAGATAAGTTCTGAAGTAAAAAATAGATATTTGGAAAGTTTCCCAGCATACGGCTGGGCTCTGACAGGGCAGGTTAACAGAATGTTGAGCCTGAGGGACTGCAGTCAGGGATGGGGCGCGTGCACAGAGAAGACATGGAGAATGGAGAAGCAGACCTGACAAAGAGCCAGACCCCACTGTTGGTTGAGACAAACTATTCATTTTGACAACCATACAAAGTCAGCAGGAATATAGAATGATAGCCTCTCTGTTAGTATTAAAGCAGAAACCCAGAAATAAAGGCTCATCTAAGTTGGCATAAACTGCCCTGTCTGATGGCAGACCTGTATTTTCCCATTTCCGGTGTCTTGTTTTTCTTTACAGCTACAATATACAGCAGGAGGTAAAGAAAACCTACAAAATTATAACCTGGTCACAGACACCCCACTTTACGTGACTGCTCTTCAAAGCGGCATTAATGCCAGTGAGGTACGTCTTCCTTGTACTTCTCTTCCAGGACGAGCCGTGATTGTCTTTGTGTATTTTTGAACAGCAGAAAAGGATAACCCATCTTTTGTGTGTGTAGGTGAAATATAAAGAAAATTATCATCAGATTAAGGACAAATATACGACAGTTCTAGAAACAGTGGATTACGACAGAACCAAGAACCTGAAGAATCTTTATAGCAGCGTGAGTTCTTTTTCTCATCTTTGTCTTTATTCTCCTTTAGAGACAATAAAGGAATAGTTGGGATAGGCACCTTACACCAAAGGTTTTTCCAGTTTTTTCAGGGACCTTCAGATTCTTGCTTTATCCCATCAGTAGTCCTAGTTACAGTTCAGTGAGCCCCAGGTGGAATATGGCACCATCTCATACAATTGACACAAACTCGGGAGCTGCTTCCTTATTGCAGGCAGGTACGGTTGAAGCTACGCTACATTGACCCTGAGCTTGTCCTTCCCTGGCTTCTCCAGGGGCCAGCGGCTTACAGCCTACAAAGACACTCTTTTTTTTCTTTCCTCCTCTGAATTGGTTAATTCAACAAACATTTTTTTGAACTTCATTTTGAAATCATTTTAGATTTACAGAAAAGTTGTAAAAATTGTACAGGGAATTCTAGCATACTGTTCTCTGTAATACAATGATCAAAACTAAGAAAAGCCCCTATAGCTTTTTGTTGTTGTTGTTAAGATTTTATTTAGGGGCGCCTGTGTGGCTCAGTCGGTTAAGCATCTGCCTTCGGCTCAGGTCATGATCCCAGGGTCCTGGGATCGAGCCCCGTATCGGGCTTCCTGTTCAGCGGGGAGCCTGCTTCTCCCTCTCCCTCTGCCTGCTGCTCCCCCTGCTTGTGCACGTTCTCGTGTGTGTGTGTGTGTGTGTGTGTGTCAAATAAAATATTTTTAAAAAGGTTTTATTTGAGAGAGAGAGCGCGCATGTGTGGGAGGAGGAGGGGCAGAGGAAGAGGGAGAAGCAGAGTTCCTGCTGAGCAGGAAGCCCCACTCAAGGCTCCCTGCACGCATAGTATTATGGCTTTTAATAAATGCAAAGAGTCATGTATTCACCATCACAATGAAGATGCAGAAAACCTCTCTATCACCTCAAAATTTCCCTCTTGCTTCCCTTCTCTCCCTGGACATCCACAGAGGTATTTTCTGCACCAGTTAAAAACAACAACAACAACAAAAAAAACTTTTAGAAACCTTTTCCAGAATGTCATGTAATTGGAATTATCAAGTATGTAGCCATCCGGTCTGGCTTCTTTCTCTTAGCAAAGTGCATGTATGTACTACACACATTGCTGTATAAACCAGTATTGTTTTTATTGTAGGGTGGTATTCCACTGCATGAATGTACCACAATTGGTTTATCCATTCACAGTCGAAGGAGATGAGTCGTTTCTAGTTTTTAACAATTATGAATAGAGCTGCTATATACATTTGAGTATAGGTTTTTGTGTATATGCAAGTTTTTGTTTCTCTTGAGTAAATAAATACCTAGGAGAGGAGATATTTTTTGAGCTCCCACTAGCTACAAAAAAGTAGGAAAGGATAAATAGATTTTTAGTTAGTGGTTTTCATCCTCCAGGAATTCCTAGACCTATGGGGAATGAACACAGCATCAAAAACTTTGCTCTAACTTACATACCGTAAATGTCACTCTTTGTGGTGTATGGTACTATATGGCTTTACAAATGCATGGTCATGTAGTCAGCATAGTAGTCAAAATAGAGCGAAGTTCTGTATCACCCCATGATAACTGCCAAACTGTGATAAGTACTATGGTAGAGAACAAAATAATGGACTGTGAAATTATGGTCATGGCATTAAACCTATTATTCACTGAGGGGTGCTTGGATCCTACCAAGTATGAAGAGCAGGGGTTATTAAGGAGTGTCTGAAAAAGGCAGATACAGGAAAGATCCCCTCCTCGAGAGCCAACCAGAATGCATTTTTCCATATTCACAAGATGGTTTTTAACCCCTACAGAACCTGTACAAGGAGGCTTGGGATAGAGTGAAAGCCACCAGCTACATCCTGCCTACCAGCACCATGTCCCTGACACATGCCAAGAACCAGAAGCATCTGGCCAGCAATGTAAGTCAAGTGCAAACGTGATAGCCTCCCACCCACACTCTGCCTTCCCCAGGTCTCTGCTCCTAGAACTTTTCTGGCTGATTCACATGTTATATATATTATATGTTTATGTATATTGTAAAAGAAAATATTAAATTACATGAGCTATTTAGATACAGTATTAAGTCTTATGAACTTTAACCCTTCATGCCTACGATGTTCTTAAGTAAAGCCTTTTATTGTAAAATTCCTTATAACCTTCATTTCAGTCCTAATAAGCCAGTTCCTTTCAGAAAGATAACCTCTTTTAGAGACTTTTACCTCTTAATTGTGAACATTTTACATAGCATTTTAGATCAGTATTACTCAAATCTTTTTTTTTTTGCCCATGACCCACAGTGAGAAATTTATTTTATGATGCAAGTCCACACACACACACACAGCTGAGTGTATTATGGGAGTTCCTTCCAGCAATGTTTTACAGAAGACTACATACTGCTACGCTAAAGGCAATATAGCCTGATCATTTCAATTCTGTTCTATTCATTTAAACGCTAGTGATCCAGTAAATTGATTTCACTACCCTCTAATGGGTCTAATGATACATAGTTAGGAAAAAAGTTTGTTAGACAATATATGGAGTTAATTTCATTTTTACCTGGAGGAAAAACTAATATATGTGATTTTGCCCAGACCCAAGCCTGTTTGGAGGACTGCAGACAGACTAGCCCAAAGGAGCAAACTTCATTTGGGAAGAGAAGTTTTGTATATAGAATTTAGAAAGCTCAGCAGAGGTTTTTTCCTTTAGTTATGAAAAAAGTTATAGAAGCAGGATTTTCAGCAACTTGTTTTTGGAACAAGATGGGGCACAGAGAAATTCTTTAAAAGAAGAATTTCAACAGTAGTTAAAAAAAAGAAAAAGGTGCCTTTGAATACTATCTTCTTTATAACTGAGGAATGGCTTAGATGTAAGGAGCATGTGAGCTAATATTCTAGAAAATTCTGTTGGGAATTTTGGTGGGTTTCCAGTAAACAAAGGGCTTCACTGCAATTCTGACACACATATTCCCATCTTCCTTTTTTTTTTCTCTTGAACTAAGATGTGGGCCTCTGAGTAATGAGAATTGTTATTTTATCATGTGCTAGGAGTTTGGATCTTACTCTCTGTAAGGGTCTTCCCTCCTAGTTCATGAAATCATGGAGCATTAATTCATAGGCAATATGGATTAAGAAGCAAAAGTTGGTTTCCCCATAGACATTGGTTACAGTGTATTTTTGGAAAACCTTGTGAAAACTGAAATTCAAGGACTGTGTGTCTCTTAAGCATCAGGCTTGTCAGTTATGAAAAACAAAGAAACTCCTGAGCACATTTTTCATCTTTCACTCATGGTTAAGAAAAGCAAAGTCATTATCACAGAAGAGATTACTTAAAAATTACATAATCTGTAAAATGAGTTAGGTGTAATAGCAGTAGAAGTACTAGTATGGGTATAGACATTTTTACAACAGTAACTAAAATTACTGTTACACAGCAGTTTAAGTTAGCTCTCTACAGTTAGTACTATCAGGTAGAGTGTAATTCTCAGGCTAACCCTGTGGTCCTTGCACTACACCTGTTCCTCTGTGCACAGAGCCCACAGAAGTGCTGATCCCAAGTTGGTTGGATCTCAGAGCTGGGCCCTTCCTATTAAGTCTTTAACAGTTAGAGATCCGTTGCTCTCCAGAACTTTTTCTTCCTCCTTTGTACTTTCTCTCTGTAGGTCAAATATCGAGAAGAATATGAAAAGTTCAAAGCTCTTTATACTTTACCAAGAAGCGTTGAGGATGATCCAAATACTGCACGGTGCCTCAGAGTCGGCAAGTTTAACATCGATGTAAGTAATCCCAAAGGCCTTACTTCAGATCAAGGCTCAGTGGTATGGCCACCCGTCATAAGTCAGAACATTTTCTAGTAATGCACGAGGCACTGACAGTGCATATGTGAAGAAGCAAAGTGTTATTTCAGCCATGCTGCTTACCCCACCCCCATGAATCTGTAGAAAGTGTCAGAAAATTCCAGATCCCACCCGATGGCTGTACAGGCATTCCCCTGACTTCTCTGGTGCGTAAGAAAGGCATTTATTGCCATGATACCTTGCACAGTTCCCTGTATAACTGGCATGTTATTTTATCTTCATAGCGCCTCTACAAATCAGTGTATGAAAAGAACAAGATGAAAATCCACATTGTGCCTGACATGGTAGAGATGGTTACCGCTAAGGATTCTCAGAAGAAAGTCAGTGAGATTGATTACCGCCTCCACTTCCATGAGTGGATTTGCCACCCTGACTTGCAAGTCAACAGCCATGTCCGGAAAGTCACGGATCAGATCAGCGACGTAAGCCCACTGAGCATGAAGGTCCCCCTCCCTGGCCCCGCACAGCCATCCTGAATGGAAGCAGACTCAGCTGTGTCTTCACCTCAGCCTTCTTCCAGTATCACTTTCCTCTGCTCCCATGGGTCCGTCCCTGGAAGCAGGGCTCTGTGGACCGCTGTTTTCATGGCACCCTCAGCCTGATTGCATGATGCCTTTTGATGTTCATTCCATGAAGTCATCCTGGGTCCAGAAGGTGTCCATGTCTTTGGTGTTTAAGTTACTGTCAATTTTTTTTTTTTTTTCTGATTCTATCTATCTGCTGCAATCCTTTAGATTATATACAAGGATGACCTCAACTGGCTAAAAGGCATTGGTTGCTACATCTGGGACACTCCTGAAATTCTTCATGCCAAACATGCTTATGATCTACGGAATGATGTGAGTTTGCCTGGTATTTTAGTTTAGTTTAGTTTTTTGTTTTTTTTTTAAGTATATTTCCTTTTATATGTAGTCTAAGTCAAAGGAAGAGTTATGGACATTGTCACAGACCAGCTATGTCTTAAGTGGTGTTGAGGATGGCTGAGCTAGAGAAAGATGCTAAGGAGCAGAGAACAATCCTTTCTCAGTAATGCATGTAGTTTTCCTGTTAAGCAATGCAGTCAAGCTGTCCTGTTGTCCTCTTGTGGAGAAGGGACCCGTGGCTCCTCTCTCTACATTTGGACTATTTCAGATATATTGAGCACATAATTCTCATATTAAGAAAATCTGCTAATTGGGACGCCTGGGTGGCTCAGTCAGTTAAGTGTCTGCCAGGTCATGAATCTAGGGTCCTGGGATCGAGTCCTATGTCAGGCTCCTTGCTCATCGGGGAGCCTGCTTTTCCCTCTGCCTGTCGCTCCCCCTGCTTGTGCTCTCTCTCCCTCCCTCCCTCCCCTCTCTCTCTCTTGCTGACAAATAAGTAAAATCTTAAAAAAAAAAAAAAAAAACTTTTTTAAAAACTTAAAAAAAAATCTCCTAATTTGTGAGGTGCTTGTGATGTTATAGACAGGATCTATTTATAAAGAGAGTTTGCCAAGCAAATTAACACTGTAATCAAGATTTCAGTAAAAAAGCTTAAATGAGGGCGCCTGGGTGGCTCAGTTGGTTAAGCGACTGCCTTCGGCTCAGGTCATGATCCCAGGGTCCTGGGATCGAGTCCCACATCGGGCTCCCGGCTCAGCGGGAAGCCTGCTTCTCCCTCTCCCACTCCCCCTGCTTGTGTTCCTGCTCTCGCTGTCTCTATCTCTGTCAAATAAATAAATAAAATCTTAAAAAAAAAAAAAAAAAAAAGCTTAAATGTTCCCAGCCTGCTAGAAGGCTCTGGAAGCTCCGTACGACTATAAGCATTAATTATGCAGATTATCATAAAATTCAAATGCCTCCCTGTCGATTGAATAAGTGCTAATGAAAATAAATGTCATGAGTTAAAAGCAACCAAACCCACTGTGAAAGCAGCAATTTCTCATACAGTGAACCATCTAACACAGGCTTATTTTATTCCTCTCGGCAGATCAAGTACAAATCTCATGCACAGAAGACAAGGAATGACTACAAGTTGGTCACTGATACCCCAGTCTATGTGCAGGCTGTCAAAAGTGGGAAACAACTAAGTGATGTAAGTAATGCGGACAGTAATAAAGACGGGGCCGCCGCTCAAGCAGAAGTGGCCTTTTCTAACTGTGAGACCAGAGTCAGCACCTTAGAAAGTACTTAACGATTCTGCTCTTGTTTCCTAACAACCTGGTGCGTTCAGTCACTTCCCAGGGTGGAGGTATCGGTGGTCTCACTCTATGAAATACTCGGTGTTTTAGAGCTTTTTGCTTTGAAGTTGTGTTTTGTATCCTTGTGTCAAGAGCAACCGTTCTGTCTCGCTGGGGTAGCCTTCGAATAACTTAGAGCTAACTGCGCTAGAAGGAGGGGCGGGCAGGCTCTGAAGGGAGAGATGTGGGTGGAGTCGGGCCTCTACCGCACACCCTCCACGAGGCTCGGGCAGAGCCCCGTCCGTCCTACCCACCGTCAGGTCTGACGCGGAGCGGGCAGAACCCGCGCAAAGGTGCTCTCCCCCCCCCCCCCCAACCCCGCAGGTTAATAAGTAAACGGTAAATCCTACAGGTGGGTTAGGGTGTTAAAACCTATTGTGAGTTCTCTGGGCAAAGGGAAGCAGGCTACTTTTTTTTTTTTAAAGCGAGGCTTGGGTTTCCATTTACTTTGCTGCTTTCCAACAATGCTGCTGCAGTCGAAACCAACCGACTCCTCTCTGCACGCAGGCTGTTTACCACCATGACTACGTCCACAGTGTCCGAGGCAAAGTAGCTCCAACGAGGACAACTGTGGACGTGGAGCGGGCCCTTCATGCATACAAGCTCCAGAGTGAGGTGAGCAGTGCGAACCCAACACAGTGCCCAGCAGAACTCCAAGAGGCAGCCTACAAGGGCCAGGCCAGCGGCTTCTGGGGAGAGCACCTTGGCCTGCGCATTATCTCAGCCTGACCTTGTCCATCGTGAATGCTATTCCGTTCACATGAGTTAAAAAAACAAAGAACCCAAACCGTACATAGTCCGTCTTCCCTCTTGGCTCGCAGGATCATTATACCAAGCAAGCAATGGGCATTTTTATTTTTTTTATTTTTTTATTTTTCTAAAGATTTATTTATTTATTTATTTATTTGAGAGAGAGAGAGAGAGCAGGAGAGGGGGGAGGGTCAGAGGGAGAAACAGACTCCCTGCTGAGCAGGGAGCCCGATGCGGGACTCGATCCCGGGACTCCAGGATCATGATCTGAGCCGAAGGCAGTCGCTTAACCGACTGAGCCATCCAGGCGCCCGCAATGGGCATTTTTAGAGCAGTGTTTACACGATACAATGAAGGAAACCACCCTACTATCGTCTGCCTCAAAAAACTTAAAAACCAAGATGACAAAGACAAGGCATATAATCACAAAAGACTACTAATAATAAGAGAGAGAGCTAGAAATTACTGTTGGAATTCAGAAGAGAATGAAACTGGATTCCACTCACATATTTCAGATTCCTATTCTGTGTTACCTGGTCATTCTACTTTGGTCTCAACCTTTAATGTTAGTCTCCTGTATTGGATGTTAAAAATAATTTGGTTTTAATTTGGTTTTTAATATTTCAAATACTATTCCTACTCCTGGAACTCCTCCAAAAGACAGACTATTTAAAGATTTTATTTATTTATTTGACAGAGGGAGACACAGTGAGAGAGGGAACACAAGCAGGGGGAGTGGGAGAGGGAGAAGCAGGCTTCCTGCTGAGCAGGGAGCCCGATGTGGGGCTCGATCCCAGGACCCTGGGATCATGACCTGAGTTGAAGGCAGACGGCCAACTGACTGAGCCACCCAGGTGCCCCTAGACAGACTATTGAAGGTCACAGTCAGAAACTCCTTTCCCGCCTTGTGCCAGGGATAGGAGTATCCTGACCTCTTCCCAGTGTGACATCAAGACACTGTGTTTATGGGGAGGATGGGATTCCAAAGATGTGTCTTATAATTATGACTCTCTTAGGGATTGGTGATGACATGAATATCATCAGGGGTGGAGTTAATGGCAGAAGTGGCCCTGACTACCTGTTTTCTCTATTTTTCCCATTTTCTTGCTAGATACCATGCAGCTAATTGGGCATATGTTAAAAACATAGAAGAATTATTTCCTATGAGCCCCTTCACTCATCGCTCTCTTTTTCGAAAACAATAGGTTAAGAGTAATCTAATTCATTGCCTGACTCTTAGAACTTACTTAATTTCTTCCTGAAATCAGTTTAGTGAACATAAAAACATGAAGTATCTAATTGAAAACCTAACGTGGGCTGCATGTGACTGGTTTAGCTTAGATCAGTTATTTGACGTAGATGTGATTTACCCACTGTTCCTCATTCCGGCAGGGCCTGTACCGAGGAGCTGGCCGGCGCTCTCTGCCTACTGGATATAGGCTTCCAGGAGACACCCCTCACTTCAAACATGCCAAAGACACCCGATACATGAGCAGTTATGTGAGTGGTCTCCTCCTAAGATGGGGTCTGAAGGGGGGGGGCACTAATATTCATTAATAGCCTCTCTGATGCCCTAGTCACACCCTGAAGGTTCAATGTGATAATGACGGGACTACAGAAGGGGAAACTGTTTCCTGGGGGTGCCGTGGGTTTGCAGTTTGGCAGTGTGCCTGTGTAGCCCAGTGGGTTAGCATAGGACTTTTGTGGGATTGCATCTGCATGAACCTTGGCTCACGGTTCATGGCTGTCATGGTGCCTCTACTTCTGTTGGCATTAGCACTGATGCATCCTGAACTATTCCAAGCCATATACCAGAAATGGAGTTTCATACACGCACTGCTGATGTGTGGCCATAGTATTATCTTTAAGATATAACATCACTGTGTATTCCTTTGGAAAAGAAAGGACTTCTGGCCTAACTGCTGGCCAGGCAGGGGCCAAGACCAGGGGCCCAAAAATATGGTTTCCAAAGCAGAGAGTTGCAGGTTTAATCATCTCACGTGCCATTTTTTTAAATCAGTCTAAAAAGCCATTCATCAGTCTCAAAAGTAGTCTCTCATTTCTTCTTTGCATTTCCTAATTTCCTAGCTCTACTGAGACTAAAAATATAGGTTTTTTCTTGTATTTTTTCATACCTGCCTACAAACAGATTTATCTAGGCAACACTGAATTTTTTCCTTTCTGGACCTGGCTTTATTAGCCAAGAAAATAATTTTCAAGGTTCAGATTATTATTGAAATTTTGTCAGTGACTTTTCCTTATACTTAATCCTGGAGAGTGATTTTTGAATGAAAGCAACAGCTCCTTTCTATTTGAGAAATGTAAAGCTACTCTCTGCTTATCCATCAGTGAACTTATTCTGATTTGGTTTTCCAGTTCAAATACAAAGAAGTTTATGAGCACATCAAGGCAAATGGATACACACTTGGCCCCAAAGACGTTCCATTTGTCCATGTCCGGAGGGTCAACGATGTTACCAGTGAGGTACTGTGAATGTTGATTCTGTGGGGGAAATATTGAGTTTCAAAAGACCATGGCTTTGAAATAAGTCAATCAGATAAAGACAATATGATCATATGTGGAATTTAAGAAGCAAAACAGAGGATCATAGGGGAAGAGAGGAAAAAATAAAACAAGACAAAATCATACAGGGAGACAAACCGTAAGAGACTCTTAATCATAGGAAACAAACAGGGTTGCTGGAGGGGAGGGAGGTTGGCGGATGGGGTAACTGAGTAATGGGCATTAGGGAGGGCATGTGATTTAATGAACACTGGGTATTATATAAGATTGATGAATCACTGAACTCTACCTCTGAAACCAATAATACATTATGTTAATTAGTTGAATTTAAATTAAAAAAATAAAAATTAAAAAGGCCATGGCTTTGTTTGAAATGCATTAAGAGTCTACTGTATCTTAGTTATAAATTTATACATCAGCAAGGAGTAAGAGGGTCCTTTTAGTTACCATTTTGATACTTGTATCGATTGGCAACGTTTTTCTATATTTGGTAATGCCATTGTAGAGTCCTAATTCATAGATTATAATGAAATTAATTCCCTTTTTGACACTTGTATTTAAAAAATCTTTAATAAATTTGCATTTTAGTCTGACTCATGACCCTAGTTTTCTATATAAATGATTGGTTTGTATATCTGATCCGATCCAGTCATCTGATAGAATGTGGAAGTCTTTGTGCTCAAAATTCTTCACCTAAATAAAATAAGCACCATTTTCTCTTTTTTCCTAATCTCAGCCACTTTCTTTAACCTTAATTGCCCCTCTTATGACTCTTTATGTGGAATATTTGATTGTTGATTAGTCAACAGATGCCCTCTTCTTTCTACACTAAATACCTGGAATGGTTTTTCTTCCAATGTAGAGATTGTATCGACAACTGTACCACAAACTGAAAGATAAAATTCACACAACTCCTGACACACCTGAAATCCGCCAAGTCAAGAAGACACAAGAGGCTGTCAGCGAGGTGGGCATTTTCTTAGGAGAGAGGGCAGGCTGTGGAACCCAGGGAGGAATGTCAACCATTTGGTCTCTGATGTGTGTGTTTCTGGGCATTTTTTTAGTTGATCTACAAATCAGACTTCTTCAAGATGCAAGGCCACATGATCTCAATGCCATACACACCCCAAGTGATCCATTGCCGCCACGTGGGAGACATCACCAGTGACGTAAGCATCTCATAGGGGTCTTTCTGAAGGGCTCTTACCAAGAGGCTGTCTGCATTTAAGCCAACCAGGGTCTTCGAACAGTCTTCTGCGCTGAGTACTTCTAAACTGAGTATATAACTTGGAGGGGAAATTGTGTGGAAGCAGGACCCCACATTTCTCCAACTATGGAAATAGTAGTAAGAGGACCACTTGGGAATATAAGATTTGCTGGCCACTATTCTGCATTCAACACTGAATCATTAGCAGCTCTGCCCTCTACACGGCCTCTGTCCTGGGTCCTGTTCATTATCTTCCTCCTGCTCATCCCCACTCCCAGCCCCTTTAACAACTTCCTCCTGCCATTTTTTTTTTTCTCCTTAAATGTTTCTTTATCCTAAAAGACCATTCCATTCAATCTAAGCTTTTCTCCCATCAATACAATAATAACAAAGAGCAGTGTTCTCCTCAGGTCCGGATTGGAGATTAAATTTTAAAACCTCTGATTCATTTGGATGCAAGCAAACTAAGAATAGAGGGTGGGTGTGTTCAACCAAAAAGAAAAGTATTTCAGTATCAAAGTGTCACTGCTCTTATTTGTTCCTGGTTTATATTTACTCATGGCCAGCTGTATTTCTGTTTCTGCCACACAGATTAAATACAAAGCGGACTTGCAGGTCCTCAGGGGAGTGGGCTGCTTCCTGTATGACACTCCCGACATGGTCCGCTCCCGGCATCTGCGCACACTCTGGGTGAGTGCACACCTTCACGACACGTAGCTACGCCCGCACAGCTCCCATACATCCCGTCACCAGCCGCAAGGTGCTGGACAGAAGGAATCTTCGCCTGCCCCTACTTTTAATGGGAAACTTACCACTAACCAACTTGAACCAGTTGTGACCCACTTAAGCTGATCCATGCCTCTGTGAAAGGTGATGAACTCAGTGAAATGATGGTCATCTTTGTTGGGATGGGAAGACATCCAGGGTACATGAAAGGCCTGCTCAAGTCTCAAATGCCAGCACGTGAAAGATAGTGTGTGACCATGGCATGCAACTGCTTAAATGATCAACTAACTTCTACTTCCATTGTGTTTTTAAGTCTAACTACCTGTACACTGATAAGGCAAGGAAGATGCGCGACAAGTACAAAGTGGTGCTTGACACTCCAGAATACAGAAAAGTGCAGGAACTGAAGACACATCTGAGCGAGGTAAGGATGCTGAACCTGTCACTATAAAGTGACTTGTTCCTCCGGTGACTGCATTGAGCAAAAAATCCCCTCTGCCTTCAATTACGGAATGGCTTCCATATCTAAGCAAGTCAGTTTACCTCATTTTGCCTCAGTTTACTTATTTTGTTCCCTTTTGATAAGATGAGGATATTGATACTTGACTACGAAACCGAATTTACTTCAAAACTCCCTCTTCAATCCCTGCTATCAGAAACCCTAATCATAGCAGTGCCATTGGAAAATTCTTTAATGGCTCCCTGCTCTGCTGCCCACTCAACAAAACCTAGACTACTTTGTTTTATTTTCAGTTGGCTCTGAGGCTTTTGATCTATCACAGCTAATTGTGCATAGATCTCATGCTCTCACCTACACTCTTGGTTCCTTTTGACCCCATCTTGTTTAAATGTGTATCCCGTAGTGCCTTGGCTGTAGTAAATGGCCATGTTTGCCAGTGACTCAATGTGCTTTGTACAGGTAAGGGCATTCCACAAATGTAAATGGTCTTTCTTATTATAGGTGAGTTGGCCGTTCTCATTCAACTTCCATTTTGTCTTATGGCCTCATCAGGCTTCACCGAGCTAAGCCACACATTGGCTGTCAGGCCACTTCATTGACTCCCCATTTTCAGTGGTTCTGATGGCTGCTAATTAAGAATCACTTACGCTCTTAGACTTAGAGATGTCCTGGCAAACCAAATATTGCCCTCACTGGGGGATGTGCAGCTTCCTAAACTCCTAGTGAGCTAGAGGCAGAGGATGATTAATTCTTTAGCTTTTACAAATGCTCCATTGAGCCCCTTTGCTTTGCTGAAAGCTTACGTATATTGCTTCAGCCAACACTAGCCCTTAGCCAGGAATACTTATGTTCTTTTGTCTCAGCAAAGTTGTGCTTCTCCACACTGGCTGTGTATCAGAATCACCTGGGAAATATTTCTAGACTACCCATGAGTGGACTCCGACTCCCCAACCTCCCACCAGACTTTCTGATTCTCTGTGTCTGGGCATCTGCATGCTTTTAGCTGCTCCATAATAATTCTAACAGCCAGTGCTGGAAAGCACTGCTTTAAGTATCACATCTGTCCTCCAGCTGCCACATAATAAAACATCAAATGGCAACTTAACATGCTTATTGGTATCTCTAAAATATCTCTATTTCTCTTGGCTGTTTGGATTCAGAATTATCTAAAACTTTAATTTCTCCTTTTCCCAATTCCTATTGGGATTCTGTGTGTCTTGTGCATCAACATTGAGGAAGAAGAATAGCTGCTCTCCAGTAATTCATTTTCTCCCACACTTGCCTCACTGGTAGAATGATGTGAGCTTGATAAAATATTGATCCACTTCTTCTATTTTTTTGAAAGATTTTGAGGAAGATTGGCATTAATTCTTTGAATGTTTGGTAGAATTCACCAGTGAAGTCTTCTGACCTTTTATTTGTTGGGAGGTTTTTAATTATTGATTCAATCTCCTTACTAGTAATTGGTCTGTTCAGATTTTCTGTTTCATCATGATTCAGGGTTGGCATGTTGTATGCTTCCAGGAATTTATCTGTTTCTTCCAGATTGTCCAATTTGTTTAGCACATAATTGTTTATAGTAGTCTCCTTGATACTTTGTATTTCTGTGGTGTCAGTTATAACATCTCTTTTATTCCTGATTTTGAATTCTCTTTTTTTCTTGGTGAGTCTAGCTAAAGGTTTGTCAATTTTGTTTATCTTTTCAAAGGACCAGCTCTTTCATCGACCTTTTATATTTTTAGTTTGTATTTTACTTATTTCGTCCCTGATATTTTTTTCCTTCTTTCCACTAAGTTCCTTGAGTAAAGTTAGGTGGTTTATTTGAGACTTTTCTTGTTTCTTGAGGTAGGCATTGTTACGAACTTTCCCCTTAGAACTGTATCCCATAAGTTTTAGTATGTTACATTGCCATTTGTCTCAAGATTTTTTTTATTTCTCTTTTGATTTCTTCTTTGACCCATTGTTGTTCAGTATCCACATATTTGTGAATTTCCCAATTTTCTTCATGTAATTAATTTCTAGTTTCATCCCATTGTGGTTTGAAAATACGCATGATATGATTTCAATCCTCTTAAATTTACTGAGGTTTGTTTTATGGCCTAACATGCAATCTATCTTGGAAAATGTTCTATGCACTTGAAAAGAATATGTATTCTGTTGCTTTTGGATGGATGTTCTGTAAATATCTGGTCTACTCTATCGTTTAAGGCCAATGTTTCCATATTGATTTCCTGTCTGGATAATCTATACATTGATGTAAGTGGGGTATTAAAGCCCCCGACTATTGTTGTATTGCTATTCTCTGTTTAGGTCTGCTTATATTTGCTTAATATATCTAAATGCTCTTATGTTGGGTGCATAGTTACAAATATTATATCTTTTTGTTAGATTGGACTCTTTATCATTATGTAATGCCCATCTTTGTCTCTTATTAGTCTGTTTTATCTCATAGAAGTATAGCTACTCCACCTTTCTTTTGGTTTCCATTTGCATGGAATATCTTTTTTTATCCTTTCACTTTCAGTCTCTGTGTGTCCTTATATATAACATGAGTCTCTTGTAAGCAGTATATAGATAGGTCTTGTTTTTTTATTTTTTTTTTTTTAAGATTTATTCACCTATTTTAGAGAGAGCAAGCATGAGTGGGAGGGGCAGAGGGAGAAGGAGAAGCTCAAGCAGACTCCATGCCAAGCACAAAGCCTGACAGGGCTTGATACCACCACCCCAAGATCATGACCTGAACTGAAACCAAGAGTCAGACATTTAACCAACTGTGCCACCCAGGTGCCCAGTAGATTTGTTTTTTTAATCCATTCAGCCACTCTGTGTCTTTTGATTGGAGAATTTAGTCCATTTACATTTAGATTAATTATTAATATGTATGTGTTTATTGCCATTTTATTAATTGTTTTCTGGCTGTTATTATAGTCCCTCTCTCTTCCTTTCTTTTGCTCTCTTCCTTTGTGGTTTGATGATTTCTTTTAGTGGTATGCTTATATTTCTTTCTTTTCATCTTTTGTGTATTTCCTGTCAGTTTTTGCTTTATGGTTACCATGAAACAACTTGTAACAACTTGTATTTATAACAGTCTATTTTAAGTTGATAACTTAAGTTTGATCCCATTGTAAAGCTCAACATTACTCCCCCTGCCATGTTTTATGTTTTTAATGTCACATTTTACACGTTTTTTGTCTTGTATATCATAGTGATTTTTACTTCTTTTGTCTTTTAACCTTCATACTGGTGATTAATTCACTACCTTTACCGTATATTTACCTTTCCAGTGAGATTTATTTTTCATATGTATTATTATCACTAATTAGCACCCTTTCTTTTTAGCTTAAAAAAATCTCAACATCTCTTGTAAGGCTGCTTTAATGATGATGAACTCCTTTAGCTTTTGCTTGTCTAGAAAACTCTCTCTCTCCTTCACTTCTGAATGATAATTTGCCAAGTAGAATATTCTTGGTCAGAAGTTTTTTCTTGGGGCACCTGGGTGGCTCAGTCGTTGAGCGTCTGCCTTCAGCTCAGGTCGTGATCCCGGGATCTGGGATCAAGCCCCGCATCGGGCTCTCTGTTCGGCGGGGAGCCTGCTTCTCCCTCTCCTACTCTGCCTTCTTGTGTTCCCTCTCTCACTGTCTCTGTCAAATAAATAAATAAAATCTTTAAAAAAAAAAGAGTTTTTTCTTTCAGCACTTGGAATATGTTTTGCCACTCCCTCTGGTCTGCAGTTGAAAAATCTGCTGATACTCTTATTGGGGGAGGGTGCGGCATTCCAGTGTATGTAACAAGTTGTTTTTCTCTTGCTGCTTTTAATAGTTTCTTCTTTAACTTTTGACATTTTAATTATTATGTGTCTTGATGTGGGTTTCTCTGGGTTCCTCTAATTTGGAACTTTCTGGGCTTCCTGGATCTGGATGTCTGTTTTCTTCCCCAACTGAGGGAAATTAATATTTCAGCCATTATTCTTTCAAATAAGATTTCTGTTCCTTTCTCTCTTTTCCTTCTGGAAGCACTGTGATACAAATGTTAGTCTATCTGATGCTGTCCCACAAGTCCCTAAGGCTATTTTCACTTCTTTTTCATTCTTTTCTCTTTTTGCTGCTCTGGTTAGGTGAGCTCCACTGCCTTGTCTTCAAGTTGACTGATCCTTTCTTCTGCTTTAGCTAGTCTGCTATTGAACCCCTCGAGTGTATTTTTCAGTTCAGTTACTGTATTATTCAGTGACTTCCATTTGATACTCTCTTATATTTCTCACTGTGTGTGACATTCTCACTGTGTTCATTCTTCTTTGCATTGGTGAGCATCTTTATGACTGTTAACTTAAACTCTTTATCAAGTAAATGAACTCCATTTTATTAAGGTTTTTTCCTGAGTTTTATCTTGTTCTTTCATTTGGAACATATTCCTGTTTCTTCATTTTGCTTGACTCTCTGTGTTCATTTCTATACAATAAGTGAAACAACCACCCTTCCCAGTCTTGAAGGAATGGCCTCATGTAGGAAGTGAAACTTGTTGTTGAACCCTGTCTCATCTCTTGGTTGTCTCTCAAACCTTTACGCTTGTGCAAGTAGCCCATTCTATTTTTATTAGTGCTCAGTAGTTGAGGATGTGCCAAGACCATGCAGTGTCCCAAAGGGGAGGGTCTCAGCACCTAGATATAGGCTGACTGGAAGCCAAACCCTCAGGCATCAGCTTTTAAATGTATGCAAATACCTATAATCCTAAGAAACTGCAAACATAAACCCTGCTGGCCACCAGAGCCTGGCAATCTGGAGGTGTCCCCTGGCTGGTAGTCATAGAAATCAGGACTCCAGACCATGTATAATTTCTTTTCTGGGTGAAACCAGCAAGCTGGAGCAAGGCAAAGGTAGAGCACCAAACATAGCATCTACAACCTTTGTTCCTTGTTAGCAGCTCTATAGGCCACTAAATATGTGTCATACCTAAAGTCTGTCCCTCATGCCAAAGATCCAGGACAAGCAAAGAGGCCTCCTTCATAGAAAGACTGGAGTATGCTCCAGTCTGCTGTCTGTGCAGTGCCCTTGGGGTGGTAGCTTACCAAGAACTGTCTTTCCAATTTCCATAGTCCTGGGGACCCAGAAATGCAAGCCCCCCCAGGCTACCAGCGCCAGGCAATCAAGGGGTATCCCCAAGTTGGCAGCTGCAAAAATCAGGGACCACATGTGTAAAAAGCTTCCCCCTAGGAGATATTAGCACTCCAAAGCATAGCAGAGGGTAAGAATGAAGATAGTAGATGCCCTCTAAGTTCTCTGAAAAGGATTTTGGTCAGCCCCAAGATGCGTCTTTAATTAGAAGCCTACCCCTCAAGCTGCAGTCATGATGATGAGCTAACAAGCCTCCTTTCCAGAAAGACTAAGCTCCTGGGTCTGTTGTCTCTTGCCGTGCCCTGGGGGTGGTAGCTATTTAAGAACTCTTTCTTCATTGGTTACAGTCCTGTGGGACCCACAAGTGTAAGCCCTATCAGCCACCAGAGCTAGATGATGTAGAGGTGTCTCCTGGCTGCAGTTGCAAAAATCAGACTCCCAGACAAGACTGTGAGCTCCTTTCTGGGTGACCTTTGTTGTAACAGTCGCACGGCACCAGGAACACAAGCTCCCCTGACCTTCAGAGCCAAGTGACCAAGAGGCGTCCTGGAGGTGGCAGCCACAAATATCAGAATGGATGAAATCTTGCCACTTGTGACAACTTGAATGGACCTCAAGGGCATTATGCTAAATGAAATAAGTCAGAGAAAGATAAATATCATATGACCTTTCTTATACGTGGAATCTAAAATACATATATATGGTGGTTGCCAGAGATGGGAAGTAGTGGGTGGGAGAAATTTAGCTTAAATAAACTGAATTTTAAAAAATACTGATCGAAATTACTCTTCTGGATTCAGAAGGTCTTTGGTAGAACCTCTAAATCTGTTTTAATAAGGACTTGGGGTTTTTACAGATCAGGAAAGTTTGGAAAACACTGTTTTAGTAAAAAGTTTGATGGCAAAAGGAAAGTAGAGTTCTTGACTTTTGAATTGTCTTTGAGTTGTGTAGATTCTTGACTTTTATACCTCATAGTACTAGCAAGCAGGGGTGTTGTCCCAGGAAGTATAAACAGGGAGGTGTGGGGGGGATGGGCTAGATGGGTGATGGGTAGTAAAGAGGGCACTTGATGTGATGAGTGCTGGGTGTTTTACGTAAGTGATGAATCACTGGCTTCTACTCCAGAAACCTATATTGCACTCCATGTCAACTAAGATTTAAATTTAAAAAAAATGAAGAAGCATCAACAATGCATACCTAAGTATGGGGGAAATATGATACAAAGAAAATTATAGAAATGTCATGGGAGAGTTGGGTTTTAGTTCCAGATTTGCTTCCAGTTTGCTGTGTGACCTTGTATAATTCACATGTTCAATACCCCAATTTCCTGGGCTAGAGAATTGGAGTAGATGATTCAGGGTCCTTTTGACCGTAAGATCCTATGAGTTTGTTGACTTGCTTTATTTGAAATTTAGCCTGGAAGAAATAGTAAATTTTTATTTAGTTTATCTCTTTTCTTTCAGAAGTAATACAAAAAACAACCCCAAGTAGATGAGCTACATTTTGTTTCAACTCATGCTTGTATATAATTTGTAGTTAAAGAAATAGACATGCTTACAGTTGTGACAGTTGCCTACATATGTATATACATATTATTTCCTATATTTTATCTGTTCAACTGGTATTTATATCTATGATTAGAATTTATTTGCTATCCATTTGTACTTCCTAGTTTGCTTCATTATATTAAGCTCCCTCAACATTTATCAGAGGACTACTGCTTTTCAGATCTTTTATCCAAATACAAGATGATAAAAGAATGATAGAGCTGAGCCCCTGCATTCCATGGGCCCATAATCTGTGAGGAGAAACAAACACCAATATGATGAATGATATCCTATAGGAATAAACAAGACAGTGTGGTCTCTATGAACTTTCCAGGCAGATAAGAGGAGGAAGAACATTCTAAGCAGAAAGGGCAGTATATGAAAATGGCCATGATGAGTTCTTAAAATTGGAAATAGTTTCAAATATTACAGAAGGAGTGTGGGAGAATGTTGGGAAATGAGACTAGAATCATAGGATAAAAGCCAGCTCATGAAGATTCTGGGGTGCTGTCTTAATATTAGACTTGATGAAAAGTCATTGAAGAATTACTTCTGAGCATTAAGATATGATTAGATCTGAGCTTTAAGAAAATCTCCTTCTCAGACTTGTGAAAGATGAAAGGGCCATGTGGAGTGGTCCAATGGAGGACCTAGGAAGGTGTTTTAGGAGCCTTTTGAGGATGTGTAGAGAAGAAATTCTACAAGAGGTCAAACTAGGGCAGCGTCTCTGAGAAAGAAGAAGGTGGATCAGACTTAGACTATTGAAGTCCTCAATCTCAAATAGATGATTGAGTCCTACAAACAGATGAGGTTACCCAAGGAGAATGTATAAGGTGAAAGAAGTCAACTCTGACTCCAGCCAGTGGCAGCCTTTGGGGAAGGGCAGAACCATAGAAGGAAGCTGAGGAATGCCTAGAAAGATAAGCCACTTAGGGGAGAGTGCCAGAATGGGAGGCAGAGAAGAATGTTTTCAGGAATGAAAATGCTAAGCGGTTTCAGTTGCTACAGAGAACCATTCTTGTATTTGGCAGTTGTAAAGTTTTTGGTAGTCTTCGTGAGAGTGACTTCATTGGTGTGGTTGGGTGGAAGCCCAACTGTTGCCTTGAGAAATTAATCAAAAGAGAGAAAAAGAAGAAATACATAGACTGCTTGGCTGTGAAAGGTAGAAACAAGGTCATTGGTAGAGATTGGAAAAGGCTTAGTGACGGAAGGGACTAGACTTTATTTGCAGATGCAGGGAGAAGGCTGGAGAAATGGGAAGGCTGAAGATGTAGAGGGCGAGGGTAGGGAAAGCCTCTGGAAAGGGACAGGTGAGAATAGGACCGAGAACGCAGTAGGAGGCTGGAATCTTGGGCAGGCTACAGAATGTCTGTTATTTTGTTACAAGGGAAAAGGAAAGAGAGAGCTAGGGAGGTAAATAAATTATTGGTTTACTGGGTGGAAACGGAGCCTGTTGCAGCGGGACAGGCCCCGGTTTCTTTATGGAGTAAGCACTAAAGGCACCTCTCAGCAGAGAACATAATGTGTCGATGAAGCGGAAATAATGGTAATGACTGTTTTATGTCCAGCTGGTTTACAGAGCTGCAGGCAAAAAGCAGAAGTCAATCTTCACCTCAGTTCCTGATACTCCTGATCTTTTAAGAGCCAAGAGAGGGCAGAAGCTTCAGAGCCAGGTGAGATTCATAAACAGAGACTCCTAAACCCGCAGCGCTGGCGTCACGGGGGCTGGTAGCGTGTGGCTGCCCACTCCGGCTCCGTAACAGACTCACACTTGGTTGTCCTTGACGCAGCCTCATGGCCCTTAACCTCTAGCCGTTTTCTTTGGGGCCATCATAACTGTGGTTGTGTGGTACATAAACAAGCAATATCATGCCTATTTTTCTAAGTCGTGTGTACAATTTTCGTCATTGGATGAATGGTCTGTGGACCAAACTGCTTGATTCATTCTGTAGGACTTATCTATTGTTCATGACAAATGAAACCACATTTTATGCATTTAGACAAAAATGGGGGGGGGAGGGAATGTGTCGAGGGCTTTGTCAGAATCCTCTCATTCTTCCATCAGCATTCTTTATCACCTGGTTTTAGGTCGGGCCATACTCAACAGTAAGGGTATTAGGTAACTAGTGTATGTATGCATGTTTCCAAATGTGGAACACAGAAACAAATGAGCAGAAATACATATGATAAATGAAAAACCAGGACAACAACAAGTAGACACCATCCTCCCATTGAAGGGTTAGACATGAATGAAAATGACTGAATACTAAATAATAAATGTTTTATCTCTATAACATCTGATCCCTATTTTCTAATCATTTAGTATCTGTATGTTGAACTTGCCACCAAAGAGAGACCCCATCATCACGCTGGAAGCCAGACCAAAGCCTTGAAGCATGCTAAAGACGTAAAGGACCTGGTCAGTGAGGTAAGTCGGGAATTTGGCACCAAGGTGCACTGGGTTAAAGAAAAAAATCTTGGGGTGCCTGAGTGTCTCAGTTGGTTAAGTGGCCAGCTCTTGATTTCAGCTCAGGTCATGATCTCAGGGTCGTGGGATCGAGGCGCGCATCAGGCTCCATACCCTGCGGGGAATGTGCTTAAGATTCTCTCTGTCCCTCTCCCTCTGCCCCTTCCTGCTCACACTCTCTCTCTCGGCATATATATATTATTTAAAAAAAAAAATCTTTCTGGGGCGCCTGGGTGGCTCAGTTGTTAAGCGTCTGCCTTCGGCTCGGGTCATGATCCCAGGGTCCTGGCATCGAGCCCCACGTCGGGCTCCCTGCTCTGCGGGAAGCCTGCTTCTCCCTCTCCCACTCCCCCTGCTTATGTTCCCTCTCTCGCTGTGTCTCTCTCTGTCAAATAAATAAATAAAATCTTTCCTTAGGGGCACCTGGGTGGCTCAGTCGTTAGGCGTCTGCCTTTGGCTCAGGTCATGATCCCAGGGTCCTGGGATCGAGCCCCACGTCGGGATCCCTGCTCATCAGGAAGCCTGTTTCTCCCTCTCCCACTCCCCCTGCTTGTGTTCCCTCTCTCGCTGTGTCTCTCTCTGTCAAATATATAAATAAAATCTTGAAAAAAAAAAATCTTAAAACCTTCCCTTGCTGCCTCTGATCAGAGAGCTCATTTCTGTAATTATGCTCAGCAGCATCCAAACACAAAAGGTAAAGCTATTCTCTTATCAAGCCTGATACATCATGTCCCTAGGCTGGATCTGTGACATGGTTGTGAATTCGGAAGGATGGAAACATTTGAACTTAAGTTTGTCTCTTTTTTCCTATCTTTATTTCTTAGAAAAAGTACAAGATTCAATATGAAAAAATGAAGGACAAGTACACCCCCGTTCCGGACACGCCAATCCTCCTCAGAGCCAAGAAGGCTTACTGGAATGCCAGTGATGTATGCATCCTTTTCTTCTTTCTTCTGTTGTGATGCGACAGCTGAGGTTGTGGTAACTAAGACACAGAAGATAGTACAGTGCTCTATAGTTCAAAGCCCTGGTCCACAACGTGGATCACGGGCAAAACAACCCTGAAACAACAGACGGCACAAACGGTATCAGGCACAGTAACTAAGAACAACGCTGGCAGATGCTGAACGCCTGTGGTTTTCCTCGTTGTTGTTCTTCACAAAACTATGACCCTTTCTTATAATTCTTTGGCAGCATTTGCTAGGGATACTTGACAACTAGTTGTCACTTATCCATAAAGTCATGGTCTTGGAGTCAGCCAAACATGGTTCCAAATCCTGTTGCTGTCACTTGCCTGCTATATGACTCTATATAATTTCTTTAATTTCTCTAAGACTCTGTTTTCTGGTATGTAGAATAAGGATAAGAATTGTGATAATGAAGTTAGACAAAATGAGATAATATATATAACATTCCTGGCACGGTGCTGGGCTCTTAGTTAACATGCAGAAAATGTTTTTTCCCTTTCTTCTCTTGACCATCTCAATCATGAGAATGACACATTTGTTAGAATTAGGAGGGACAGTCTTTCATTTCTCATACCACTTGATCAAGGACACAACTGGCTTTTAGTGGTAATGAGATTACCTGTTAATAAAGATATGAAATTAACTCAGGGTAGATAACCAGTTCTTACCGGGTTCATTTCTCAGAGCCCACCTGCAGGTGCATTGCACCCATTACCAGAACCAGAATCCCTGGAGGACTGGGCATACTGGGACTTAAACTCAGCCCAAAGCTGCAGCAACCCCATGACCCCTCAATTTAAGAATATTGCTCTAGGATTTCAGGGCATCATAAAGTCATTACGGTGATCTCTAAACAGAAATGTGAAAGGGCACAACAAAACTGAAACAGTATCTTAGTTCCATAAGTTTGTCAGCAATTTTCATTTGGAGCTGAAAGGAGTCTGCTACTTGGATGAGGACCTTGTCCCCTGATCCTATGAGATATCATAGGACCCACACCTGGTGTATAGAGATCCAATGGTCTGCCAAAAGTGGGCTGAGCACAGAGAGCCAGCATCTCCTGAAACATTCAAGGTAGTTGGCATGCTCTTCACTAAATGTAAAATGCCCATGAGTGCTGCTCAGCGCTACAGCGTACCGACATACCAGGCACTGGTTCTACGCTCTCAGGGTCCAGGGCCAGGCCATTTTGCTTAAAATACAAGCTGAGGGGCGCCTGGGTGGCTCAGTTGTTTAAGCGACTGCCTTCGGCTCAGGTCATGATCCTGGAGTCCCTGGATCGAGTCCCGCATCGAGCTCCCTGCTCGGCAGGGGATCTGCTTCTCCCTCTGACCCTCCCCCCTCTCATGTGCTCTCTCTCATTCTCTCTCTCTCAAATAAATAAATAAAATCTTTAAAAAAAAAAATACAAGCTGAGAAAGTTGTATACTACCCTCAAAATCTATCCCCTAGGATATTTTTAGTCTTCTAAACAAACTTCTTATTTTAAGTAGTTTTAGATTTACAGAAAAGTTACAAAGCTAGGACAGAGATACATATGCATATGTATACATACATATACATACATATACATACATATGCATATGTATACATACATATACAAACATATACATAACACCCTACATCCTTTTCCCCCTATTGTTAGTGCCTTACATTACCACGGTACATTTGTCACAATGAGTGAATCCATATTGATGCATCATTATTAAACTCTATTCAGATTTCATTAGTTTTCTCCCAGTGTCATTCTCTTCCTGGATGTGAAAATGAGCTTTTTAATCTCTCATAAATTTATTCATGGGAAAACCTAAGAGAGAAGACTCAAGAGAGTTCGAGCTTAAAAGAACTCAATCATTTAACTTGGTGGTTTTTCACAATCTATGTGCTTTTTCTCTTTCTAGCTACGTTACAAAGAAACATTTCAAAAGACCAAAGGAAAATACCACACTGTGAAAGATGCTCTGGACATTGTTTATCATCGTAAAGTCACAGATGACATTAGTAAAGTATGTCCCTAGATATTTCTACTTTGTTGGGCTTAATAACCTACCATCTTTTTTTTTTTTTTTTTTAAGTATTTTCCCTTTCTTAAAACTCTCTAGAGAAATGTAGACTTTTTTACATTAAAGTTGGGTAAGACTTATAGCTGTCTTTGTGTTTTTACCACAGGTGAAATACAAGGAGAACTACATGAGTCAGTTGGGAATCTGGTTGTCCATTCCTGATCGCCCAGAGCATTTCCACCATCGGGCAGTTACTGATGCAGTCAGTGATGTGAGTCTCGAAACTTTCTGTTTTTACATATGAATTCATATTCCCATGTGACTTATGAAATCAAACACTGCATAAAAACTGATGAAACAGTCAGATTTTAGATCTTCTGTATGGATGTTTAAATCCTAGAACTCACTGCTACATAACTGAGCTTTAACTTGAGAAAGAGAAAGATATATTCAAATTTATAAACTTAATTTTTCTTCTAAATGTATGATATCATATTACAGGACTGGAAGTAATATACTTCATCTAGGAAATAGACTTGTTTTGATCATTTGAAGAGACAACTTCATGAAGCAATGAAGACACATAATAATGCTCATTTTAGAAATTTCAGCTCTCTGTATGAAAATATAGCTGCTGAGCTCATATGCTTTCTAGGAAAATATGCCTGTTAAATTTGAATTGCTTTAATTAGTATTAAAAATTAAAATTTCCATATATAATAAAACAATACACCATAAAATGAGCAGAAATCAGTATTACTGGAAACTTAAATAATTGTTTTAATACTTTAGTATTCTTTATACTTCAGCAGTCAGAGCTTCTATTTGTTCTACTTGTATTGATCCTAGCCTACTACTATTTGGAGATAGGTTCTTAAAATTCTTTGATGATATTCTTCTCCCAGGTAAAATATAAAGAAGATTTGACCTCGCTTAAGGGCATTGGTTGCTATGCCTATGATACCCCTGACTTCACTCTGGCTGAAAAGAACAAGACTCTCTACAGCAAGGTATGTCTACTCAAGGATAAGAACCACCTGCATTTAACATATTCCAGTGCACACAGAGAGAATCAGTACTGAAGAAATAGCTTTTCATATGTCTCTCTCTATCCTTGCTTCTAGTCCCTGTAGTTGGAGTACATACTGAATGGTTCACTCTACTTAGAAAGTTTCTTAGTATTGGCCTCACTGACTATAGTCATCATTGATTTATATCATTTATTTGAATTTGATGAAAAGTCATTTTAGTATAACTCCTCATGGTTCTTCCCGAATTTCCTTCCTATTACTATGTCTCTGGGTGACTAACTTTGTTAGAGTTGATATGGTAGCAAATACAAAGTGGGATTAATCCACAAACTTGATGTGTGGTAAATAACTTTGTTTTTATGGCCTCGTTTTCCTATTTTCAAAATAAAGTAGTTGGGTTAGCTTCCTTTGAGTTCCAAAATAGGAGTCAACAAATTTTTCTGAAAAGTGCCAGATAGTAAATATTTTAGACTTTGTGGACCACATTCATTCTGTCACATAGTCTTTTTATACTCCCCTAAAATTGTTAAAAAACATTCTTAGTTCATGGGGTCATTTCAAAACAGCTGGTGGTTTAGATGTGAGCTCACCTCTGCATTAAAATATTATGATTATCTAATTATTGGAAAATTATTTCAAAGTAATGGGTTAAAAATGCCTTCAAGTTCATATAAAATAAAATAAAATAATAACTCTTAACATATAGAAACAAAGAAGGAACTGATTTGTGTTTTCGCCTAATATGGAAGATAGATCGAGTTGATATCTGTTCAATAAAGTATGAGTTGTGGGGCTAGTTTTCAGGTATCCATGTGGGTATACACTTCATTGCCTTAGGAGGCAAAGTGTTCAATAATTACTTGTTAACTTCCATGAATAAATTAGCTCAATTGTGTGAAAGGATAAATGACATGTCTCATTCTTAAGGTAATCACAGCCTGCTATCAAGTAACCGTGTTCTCTTTTCTCTAGTATAAGTATAAAGAGGTATTTGAAAGGACGAAGTCAGATTTCAAGTATGTTGCAGATTGTCCAATCAATAAGCATTTCAAGTACGCAACTCAGTTGATGAATGAGGTACGTATGACTTGATCCAGTTAAGCCTATTCAGTTCCCTTAAGAAGTCTATAGAGTTATTTGATTAAAACCCAATACATAAAATGACAGGAAGGTCAGTTTAAATGTTGATTCAAGATAAAGATTTGGAAAGACTCTTATAAGGTCACCATCTGATGGGCTCTCCCAAAAGCAGAGTGAAGAGACTGTCCAGTGAATAACGAAGTGAAGGGACTGTCCAGAGTGGTGTGAGGGCCTCACCACCATCATTGCCTCTGTTTGCACGAGCATAGGGCAGCACAGCCTTTTGGGTGACAAGAGTAAGGAGATCAAGGATTTTGTTGACTATCAGCTGAACTCCCTTAAACATGATATTGTGTAGGGTTGGGAGACCCAGAAGCTCAAGGTTAATTTGGCATCCCTTACCAGGGCACAGAAATGGCGGTGGTTGAAAGAGCCACCCCTAAGGGGATAGTTGTGATTCATGCATTCAGATGTATTGCCACTGTTACTCATACATTGGTGCAGAGAAGTATCCATTTGCACCCAAAATATTCCTTTATAGTCTACCCAGTCTTTCCTGGAACTGCTGTTGCAATAATTTAAATTCAGCTTAAAATGGCCGAAATGAGCAAGCTGTGAATTAACTTACATTTGGATGGTTTTATATTTAATTTTCCATCTTTGGATTTTCCATGGATTTATGTAAATCAAAAAACAATGTTAGAAAATTAGTAAAATGTATCTAAAAATGAAAATGTGGCCAATGGTATGTTTTTTTCAATATATGATTTTTTTTGTTTTTGTTTTGTTATTTTTAAATTTGATTTAGTTCATTTTCAGTAGATTTCCATGCAGGATGACTGAAGAATTACAGTCAGAAGCTTCCTAGGAAGACAGTCTTGATAAATTTTGTTACTGTTTTTATAATTTGGAAAGGATTTTCAGGGTCTCTTTTATAATCAAATTTACTACCATGAGAAGACTGGTAGAATTTGCCCATGAATATACTTTTTGATTCTCACAGCCTTAGACAGTAAACCTGTAGCTCATCAGTACCTTATTTACAATGCCATAAAATCTAACATTGCTAATGGCATCGTATTTAAAGATGGAAGATGTTTAAGCACAAGGTAGTCCAATTTTGGTGTCATCAGTCAGATCTATCCCAAGCCCTAGCCTTCTCCAGGTGATCTTCAATTGACTCTCTTTACCTCCATGTTTTTACTATTCTGGATGCTTTGGAAGCCCACCTTTAGAAATGACCTATTTCTGGCTCTTTGGGGTGTTTATCTTGGGACATTTCTGTGTAGCCTTGAAGTTGTACTCTTGCTATAATTTGATATGATGTTTGAGCAGAAAAAATACAGAGCTGATTATGAGCAGCGGAAAGATAAATATCACCTGGTAGTCGATGAGCCTAGACATCTGCTGGCTAAGATCGCAGGCGACCAGATCAGTCAGGTACTGTGATGGGGCTGGCTGGACAGCCCAGGCAGGACTGTGCTCCAGATTTCTCATGAGATGTTGTTCCGTCTGCTGCAAGGATGTCATAGGTTCTGCCTATGATATTGGGATGTTCTGTTTCAAAGTATCTGTCTAGCCACCCAAAGAGCCCATGAGCTCTTTGAGTGTGCCAGTCCATGCTCTGTGTCCTCACATGCGCTGTGGTGAAGATAAAAAGAAAAGTTGCTCCTCCCACCCTTTGATTCTTCTGGAGGATCTAACTGTGAACTGCAAATTGAGTCACAAAAGTGAAAACAAAGACACAAATTAATGGAAGGAAAGAAGACAGAACTCCTTAGTGTATTTTTCTACTCCAATGATGTCTTCTTTCCTGTAAGGCGGTGTTGGTGGACTAGCTCTATGATTCCCCATTCACAAGGATTATAGATGCTCAACTGCAAGTATTGCAGTCATTCTGCTTTGCACTATAATGTATTTAGTGTCTTCACCCACATGTATATTTGAGTACATAAAGTGTGTGTGCCTACATCTCTTCACTCAGAAGTGATTGGGATATAGAGCCGTGTTCTCTTCTGTCTTCCTAAGTCTCTTCTGTGCTTCACTGCTCTTTGCATGAACAGAGAAAATATAAATCTAGTGCCAAGATGCTTCTGAAACAAGGATGTAATGAAATTCTGCGTCCAGATATGTTGACTGCCCTCTACAACACACACATGTGGAGCCAGGTAATGTCTGATTCGATGTGAAGAAGAGATTGAGAAGGTTTGAGGGCATTCACTTTTATGCTTTCCTTGATTTCCTTCCCCTGCTCCCTGCCCAGACTGGTTTCATGTGATAAAGCTGCATAAGTATTCATTCCTTATAAATGACCTCTGCCTGTGGCCATGTGTGACCGTGCAACAGCCATCATCCATACGTCATCTAGTATCTCCTAGTAAGAGTAACTGAGTAGAGTTACTTATCTAGTAGAGTAACTGAGACTTTATTTCCAAACTGGTATAACATTGATTTCAATTTTTTTTAATATTTGCCCCAAAGAAATGGATTCCTTAGGGATTGAGGATATTAAGTAGATTCAGTGGCATCTAAGATATCTGAATAATGTTTTCATCTACTATCTGTTGCTCAATGATCACTACAAGTGTACCATTTGGGAGAGATGAGAGTCACGGTGCAGCTCCTTGAATATTGTACATATTTATGGCCCCTCTTGAGTTTGATGCTAATTTCCTAGGTTATTTCCAGCATATCTGTCCTCATACACACTGTTGGCAATGTTGCTGGTGACATTGTCCTTCTACAAGGTCAATTGAAGTTCATGCCACCACTTTTGCATCACATGCTGGAAGGTACATTTGAAGCAGCAAAAAAAAAACAAAACCAAAAAACCCAGTGATAATTTCTTTTTTTTTTTAATGCCGTTGTTCCCGCATGAAAAAAGTTTTTAATCAATATTTTATATTAGAAACTCATTTCATCACTTTAGCTTGACACCAAATCAACACGTGAAATGAGGGGGATGAGGTCTCCATAAGAACATCTTGTTTGGGCGCCTGGGTGGCTCAGTTGGTTAAGCGACTGCCTTCGGCTCAGGTCATGATCCTGGAGTCCCGGGATCGAGTTCCGCATCGAGTCCCGCATCGGGCTCCCTGCTCGGCAGGGAGTCTGCTTCTCCCTCTGGCCCTCCCCCCTCTCATGCTCTCTCTATCTCATTCTCTCTCTCAAATAAATAAATAAAATCTTTAAAAAAAAAAAAAAAAGAACATCTTGTTTGCCTGAACTTGTTCCTTTGTCCTAATATGATCATCAAATAATCATGCATGGAATTTTGTTGTGCTCTCTGTATCTGTACCACTTTAAACAGCTTGTATGCATGAAAAAAACTCATGACTTGGAAATTACAAAAGTGAATATCTTTTTAAAAATGATAAGTTCTTTAAACTGTGTATACTCATTTTTTATTGTGTATCTGTTTCATCTTTGACATGGATACATACCTTAAGACATTATACATATTTGATGCATCATATTTTAAGTGAATCATTACCTGTCAGAGTCCAGAGAACAAGGATCCAGTCCTGACTCTGGGATTCATTCTATATGTGTCCCTTAGTTCAATTTTTTAAACCTCTCTGGGCCTGAGCTTCTAATGTCTAAAAATACGGAAAATATCATTTATTATTATTATTTGCCCACTCCATTACACTATTGCTATCAAATACAGTTTTATATTAAACATTTGTTAGGATTAAAAGAGAAAGTATGACACCATGTCCCACATTCCCCACATGTGTGGCTTATCTATGAATCCTGCTATTTGCTGTGGGACTCTTTTGAGGAAAACTAGCTTCCTTAAAGCCCTCTATTCTACTTCAAGTTAACTTGTTCGTCTCTTCTACAATTTAGATCAAGTACAGGAAAAATTATGAAAAATCAAAGGACAAATTTACCTCAATCGTGGATACTCCAGAACACCTGCGTACTACGAAAGTCAACAAACAAATTAGTGATGTAAGTGCAAGAAACACTGAATGGATTCTCAGACTCGGGGAGCATTTGCAAATGTGGAGGGACATTTTTGATTGTCACAATGTCTGGAAGATTCTGCTGTTTTGTGGGAGGGAGGCAGGGATGTCAGATGTCCTGCTATGCTCACAATTCTTCTTTTACGATAAAGAATTATTCCAACTAAACTGGCAATTTAGAGGCAATGGAGTTTTAGCAGAAAGCATGAAAGTGCCTGTTGATTTTATAGAATTCTCTTTCCTTTATATACACTCAAAAACACAAAAAACTTTGCATTTATATTATTTCCACTACATTATATTGTAAACTGAGATGCACAATATTGTTTCCTTCTGCTTTTACTTCTCCTTCAGATACTTTATAAGTTGGAATACAACAAGGCCAAGCCCAGAGGCTACACGACAATCCATGACACACCCATGTTGCTGCATGTCCAAAAGGTCAAAGATGAAGTCAGTGATGTAAGTACCAGAATGTTTGCAGCCCCTCTCATCTTGGGTTCTTTCTAACATGATATAATGAACCCTGGTCCAGTTATCTATTCCTGTGTAGCAATCACCCTAAAACTTAGTGGCTTGAAAACAAAATCACCTTTTTTTTTGCTGGTGATTCTGCAAACTGACTGGGCACAGCTGAGCAGATCCTCTCTGCTATGTGCCATGAAAAATGTTAAATACATCCAGTGCACTGTTTATGAAGGCAGGAATGTATAAAACATTTTAAAAATATTTTTTCATATTTTTTATGTTAAAATAAGTTTCGGCACTTCAAACATGAACATTACTTGTTCATAAACCTCTATCAGATAGATCTTTTCTCTAAAGCAGCCCATTCCCTCTCACTGTAGAAAAATGAAGCATTTCTGTATCCATTCCTCCAAACTTTCTGATTATAACAATAACCAGAGATATTGATGAAAAATATGGACTTCTAGGCCTTTTCCCTAAAAACACTGATTTACTAGGTCCATGGCAAAGTGCAGACAACTGTGATTTGTATGATGAGACTATGGGGCTTCCTTAGAACAGTTTTACTTTCAGACTTAACCACATTAAAACCTAAAATCCTCAGGGCGCCTGGGTGGCTCAGTCGTTTGAGTGTCCGATTCTTGGTTTCAGCCAGGTCATGATCTCATGGGACAAGGGATTGAGCCCCTCAGAGGGCTCCACGTTCAGCGGGAAGTCTGCTTGAAGATTCTCTCCTTCTGCCCCTCCTTCTACTTTCTCCCTCCCTCTCTCTGTCAAATAAATAAATAAATCTTAAAAACAAAAAAACGAATATACTCTGCAATAAGTAGTAAGAAGGCCCCGACGATGTCCCAGGGCCTGTATTTAAGAGTAGCAGAAGTGGGTGGAGCTAGAATTGCCAGGCCCAGGATGGGTTGGGTTGAGCCCACAGAAGCTAAGCCTTCCCCATCCCTCTCCCTCCCATCCAAACCCACACATGCCCCAACTTGCTAGATTTGGCTCTAGCAATGAGGGTAATGGATGGCATCCATCAATTCTTTCATTTGTCACATACTTATTGGTACACAACCTTCGCTCTCAAGGGGTTCATCTTAATGGAAGAATAGATAAGCACATAATTACAACATGATATGAGAACAGCCAGAACTGTGGGGGCACAGACGAAAGGCAAGACCAACACCATCGGGGTGAGCTAGTGAGGGAAAGTTTCTCTTCCATCAGCAGTTTTCAAGATGTTCTGAACTCAGTATTTTCTGAGTTGGGGAAGGAAAAAGACACATGGCCCTTTCAGCCAAGCTCAGGGGACATAAATCCTATGGTGCTACTGGTGACCATACTCAGTTCCGGGGAGCTAGTTTTAAGATCTGAGATTTTTTCTTCACAACGGGTTTATTCTGTCTTAAGAAGCATTATGTACTATAGTCATGGTTTTAATTTCTTGCTTTTTTAATGCTTGGTAGGCCACTATAAAAATTAACCTTGTCTCACTGTGTTTCCTCCCATAGCTGAAATACAAAGAAGTTTACCAAAGAAATAAGTCCAACTGCACCATTGTGCCAGACTCTGTTCATATCAAAGCAGCCAAGGATGCCTACAAAGTCAACACCAACGTAAGTTCCAGAAACTTTCCCAAGGCTAATGGGGGATTTAGCTTCTGCAGGACACGTGATCTCCTTTTACATCTCTTCAGGTGATTGAGCGCTCATGAGTCTGGATCAAGAGCCCCAGCAGCATGACTGCTGATGCTGGAATCTAAATTCTGTCTTTGGTTCTCACAGAGGAGAGTGGGGAAGAGCCAGGGTGACAAACCACATGACACCGGTGTTGTACCCACTCAGGCTCCCTGCCAGGTGGCTGAGAAACAGGAGATTTAGTTCTGGAATGAAGGTTGCATGTTGGAAAGTGTCTCAGCATCTTTCATTCCCTCTACCCTCTATATCTTCCTCTTGCCCGGCTCTAGAACCTGCTTCTTCTGGAAAACACACACACGCACGCACGCACGCAAGCACATTTTAGTCACTTGAGGCTGTCAGAAGTTAGCCCATGTCTTTGTCCTGCTCAGATCTCCCTGCGGACTCTTTTAGTGTGTGTGTGTGTGTGTGTGTGTGTGTGTGGTGGGACATCTTAAAGCCTCAACCACAGAAATATTTTTGTGCATTTTGATGAGTATTAACTTCTAAAAAATATATAAATGGTTACATAACGAAACCATTATAATCCAATGAATGCCCACTAGTGCCAGAGAGAACATATATTACTCAGGGTCAGCAAATACCCTTCGGGGCAGGCAGGCAGCTTACAGGTGTCCCGAGGATGGATTGAGGGCTGGGTAGGTAGCAGGATGGGTGTGTGAAAAAGCAAATGCAGTAAAATGTACAATGTAGAGTCTAGGCAGTGGATGTACGGGTATTCTCTAGGATTCTTGCAGCTCTGTTGTATGTTTGAAAAATTTAACAATAATGGGTAGAAACCCATGGCATCAAAAGCAAACCTCATGAAAAACTCCTCAAAAGTATGCAGAGTTGATTATGTGCAAATTATACCTTGACAAAACAGAGAATAAGAGTGAGGAAAGAAAAGTGCCTGCTACTGAGGGCTCTTCCAAGGACACACATTAAGCTATGTGTGGTCCTGTGCCTCAGATTTGGCCCCAGGCAGCCAAATGGCCAGCTCTGGGGAAGGTCTAGCAAGTGTGCGAGCCTCTCTGGAGCCATTCTCTTCCGGTTTGAGTCCCAGCTCCGTCATTTCCGTCATTTCTGTCATTTCCATCATTTACGAGCTGCCTCCCCTTGGGCAGTTTGTTTAACCCTCTGGTTGGTTCCTCAGTTGTCAATTTCATGCAGCTGTTGCAAAGATTAAATGAGGTAGTAGTTACAAAGCACGAAGAAAAGTGTCTGGCATGAAATAAATACTGTAAGTTTAATCATTTAAGAAAGATTAAGCCTGAGGTTAGCTAGAAATTAAAAGCCCTTGACTGCGAAGATGATAAAGCTGCACTGACAGAGTTAAAGGGACTGTAGAATTATTTCACCTGGAGGCCTATACAATTTTTAGCCCCTATTTTGAGACCAAACGGTCCCACGAGATGACCTCTTCAGTGGCTGACTAGTGGCATAAATTGTACAGAAATGTTAACTGGGGCTCTCACTTGCATCAAGAACCATGATTTGTTGTATGTTGAGGAGCATGATGGGTCCCTCTGTGCCACGCGTGGTTATGAATTCAGCCCACTGAACGAATTGACCTATTTTCGTCTTCTTACAAACAGCTGGACTACAAGAAGCAGTATGAAGCCAACAAAGCCCACTGGAGGTGGACCCCCGACCGACCGGACTTCATCCAGGCGGCCAAGTCATCCCTGCAGCAGAGCGATGTAAGAGGGGACAGTCGGGCTCTCTGACATGCCTGAGAAGCATGAATAATTACTCATAATAACCGCTGTCGTGGGTGTCAGCCTAGCTCACTCGAGATCCCAGAAGGATGGGGGGTGGTGTGAGGGGTGGGAGGCAAGCGCAGGAAGCAGACCTGCCTTGGAGCCTGGTCTCCCACAGCTGGGCACCAGCACTAGGGTGCAGAGTCCTGGGTGAGGCTGGGGAGGAACTGGGGGTGAGCAGGCAGGGAGGGCTTGGTCCTGGCCGCGGGGCTAGAGAGGGGGAGCCTAGCAGGCAGTGAGGGGCCAGGAAGCCTCTGCCTCCATTTTGGTGGCAAGTCCTCATAGTACCCTTAAAAGGAGGATTCCTTACAGATTATAGTAAATGCCGGCTTCTTCCTCTGCCCTTCTTCTGTTTCAGTTTGAGTATAAGCTGGACCGAGAGTTCCTCAGAGGTTGCAAGCTTTCTGTCACTGATGATAAAGACATGGTGCTGGCCCTGAGGAATTCTTTAATAGAAAGTGACGTAAGTATCTAGTGCCTTCTGTGACACCTAACCTGGCTCAGGGCCGTTCTCTGGGGCACAGTCCCCAGCGACACCAGGGAAGGACGGAGGAGGCTGCTGGGTCCTGAAACATGACCCTGTCCCCAGTGAATGCCAGTGACGTGGCAGAGCAGGGCGACAGGCAGGGGAAGCTATAAAATCCAGGTGACCATTCTTGATATATACTGCACCGCAAGATCATTCACGCAGCGAGAATTGGGAACTGAAGTTCTGGCTGGATTCTATGAGGAAATATGCATTTTTGTGTGATCATATTCTTCCTATGTTTCCTCATCTGTAAAGGAGAAATAATAATGCCTCCCAGGATTCAGGAGTGGGTCAAATGACATGTTTGAAAGTCCTTTGAACTAAGGCTAGGTGTATAAAGATTCATCATGAGATCCATTTTGATCATTAGTAAAGCCTCAACTTGCAAGAGAGAAAGAAAATCTCTTTCGGCTATTTCCCAAGATTTCCCAACATCAGACCTTTTATTGAGTTTAATGTTACTGTGTCAGTGATTCTGTTTTCCCAGCTCCATCTAGTGATTCGGGGACTGCATAAATAATACCGGCTACCCAGAGGAGCTAAAGAAATATTTTTTTCACCCCTGCAGCTGAAATACAAAGAGAAACACGTCAAGGAAAGAGGAACCTGCCATGCTGTGCCTGACACTCCGCAGATCCTCCTGGCAAAGACAGTCAGCCAGCTGGTGTCTGAGGTAATCCTCCAGCGACATATGCTCTGCTCCCGTCTTGGACTAATGCCCCAGGCAGACACTCTTAACAAGCTCTCTGTGGCTTCCCGCAGAACAAGTACAAGGACTACGTCAAGAAGCACTTGGCCCAGGGCTCGTACACAACACTGCCAGAGACCAGGGACACCATCCATGTCAAGGAAGTGACCAAGAATGTCAGTGATGTAAGTGACCAGCCCCAGGACTCTTGGTGGCAGCACCACCACTCGACCTTAGGATCCCGGGCAATCCGGGGCGAGCTGCCTTTTTGCTTATAACTGCTTTCCTGTACGTCGCTTCACCCTTAACCATCATCAGTGCCTGTGTGTGAATTTTCAATTCTGCTTTAAGGGAGGACTCCATATTTAGTAGGTTTCCTATTATGGCAACTATGGTAAATGGGCATTTTGCCACAGGACATGTTATCTGCGCTATAAGATGTCAGGAACCTAGCGTTAATAAAAGGGGGAAGCATTGCTGATTAAGAATGGCCTCTCCTATCATTAAACTGCTGAACAATTTTAGAGAAGTAAAATCTCTACTTTTTTTCTCAGTAATCCCTGCCCGCTTTGTCCTTATCAATAATGCTTTAATAATCTCGCTATTGTATTTTTATGAGCCCTATATGGTTCCATATGTTTTTAAAAGCTAGAGTTTAATTTGCTTGTAGTCAGTTCTCCCAGGATTGCCATGTGTTACAAGTGTTGGGTTCCAGGACGGAAAGGACAAGGAAGAGCTAGACTATGGATCAGAGATCCAGGTTCCAGCCTGATGCCAGAATGGGGAGCCATGGATTTTCCTGGAGATCTCCTAGTTCTTCAAGTAAATCAGTTCTTTTCCCTGATTCCTCTGCTCACATAAGTAATTCTGGCTCTATTTAGACAAATTACAAAAAGAAGTTCGTCAAGGAGAAAGGGAAATCCAACTATTCCATCATGCTGGAGCCCCCGGAGGTGAAGCATGCTATGGAAGTGGCCAAGAAGCAGAGTAATGTAAGTTCCCCCTGTTCACACTCTCAGGGGGCCCGCTGAGCCAGTGGATCCCAAATTGGTGCATATTGGTGCAAATTGGGCTGGTTTCATTGAGTGGTATTCCTAATTTCCCTATCTGGTAGTTTAAAAAATAGGGTAATTTAAAAAATCAGTTTGGTTTTAATAAAACGGTTGCTTGTGCTTGATGAGGACTTTTTCAAAGACAGCATATCTCCCACGTGAGTAAACATTTTTTTCTCTCCAAATAAAGGTCGCATATAAAAAAGATGCCAAAGAAAACCTGCATTACACCACGGTGGCTGATCGGCCAGACATCAAGAAGGCCACGCAGGCGGCCAAACAGGCCAGTGAGGTAAGAATGTGGTGAAAATGTATCTGCTCCCCAGAGGTCACAGCCACCAAGTAGTACAAGGCACCCACCTCTTAGAATGTATTGTCCATTTTGGTTTTCTTTGATTCAGGTGGAGTACAGAGCCAAACACCGCAAGGAAGGCAGTCATGGGTTAAGCATGCTTGGTCGCCCAGACATTGAAATGGCCAAGAAGGCAGCCAGGCTGAGCAGCCAGGTAATACAGATGGGCGAGTGGCATCTCTCATGTGAAAAACCTTGCAGGAAGACGTGATTCCCAGCACGGAAATGCAGGAGTAGCAACAAAAGAGATCCTGGGTCTTTGATAGCGCTGCTGAGCTTTGAAAAGTTAGATCGTAAAAGTCTGCCAAGGACCTTGTCTCTTGTTTCTCTCTAATATCTCCAGGCCTTTCTCATTCTCTACTTTTCCATTTATGGGTGTATGTCTAGATGTTTGTGTGCTTAACAGTCTTCATGGAACAAAAACATCAGCCTGTGAGGTCCTCCAGGCACCTCTTCTCAGGTAGTGGGATTATATCCCAAGGGTGGCATTCATACTTGAGTCACCTGTGGGAATTTAACAGGCAAGAGTCATGAAATTCGAACTTCTAGAACCCAACCAGATGCAGTCACCTTTATTCTTCCGTTCAGCATCTGCACATTGCATGACTGGGCTGAGAACTGGGGGGGTGAACAGATGTCCTCAGTCTTTATGTCCATAGATAAATAATTACAGTTTGGGGTGATACATAATCAAGGTATATCCAGGGTTCTGAGGGGAAATGCCTCATTCTGTTGAATTTTCCTGTAAATCATCTTCTTCAGCTATTTTACCTAGGCATGACAACTCTCTTCCTTTCATTCAATTAAATCACATTTATTGAGCAAGTCTACTCTATCTTCCTACTCCAAGTGGCGTGTTCCAGAGGGAGGGCATGGTCGTGCACAGAAGTAAATCCTTCAACAAAGTTCTATAGCATTCTACACATTCCAACACAGAATCAACAGAAAAGAGTGTAACTTGGTCAGTGCCCTGACCGAGGTTAAGAAAATAGCTGAGAAAAAGGGAAAGATGTCAGTTTGCTGGTGTCAGTCCTACATCCCTGATGAGTACATTAGTTTTCTTCAAATGCCCCATCATGGAGGCGTCGTAAGATGCAGCCCTGTGCCTTTGCCCTCTCCTTTGGCCTTTGAGGTATTCTACCCAAGTATCAGTCAGACAGCAAAGTCAGGATGGGGCAGGCCCCCACATCGGTAAGACCCTGTGGGCCTGGGGCCACACTGAGAGCTATAAACCCTGAGGCGAGCCTTCCACAGGGAGTAAACCCTTGTCCACATCTGAGGTTTCACTCAGGATTAGAAATGCGAGCCTCTCAATTTTCAAAAACAGCAAAGTCTTCAAAATTTCAACATCGAAATCATTTCTTTGTTTTTACCTTGATGGTGGCACGACCTTGGAAATATAAAAAATGTATTAAAATTTGGAACAGCTATTAGTAGAGTAAGCTGGTATTTATGCTTATTCTTTAAATTGAAGTTAGCCCTTTGCATTTTTTTTACTTTTAAGTATCCTAAAAGTATACTTAATCTTATTTTTGTCGTTATTGTAAAATATCTCACTTCTTTCTTCTAGCCTAAAATCATATTGAGGGTCTTGCCCCCCCACACTCTGTTCTTTTTTTTACTCAGGCCATTTTTTGCCAAGTTTGAAAAAATCAAAATGATCTAGCCAAAGTACTATTTTAAAATTACAATAAATTCTCCTAATTAACAGATTCCTATGTCTCACTCTTCTGGACCATTTACAACCCCTCTTTGAACTCCTTACAGTAGACCTAAAATGCTTTTGGTTTTGGTGGTTCCTAGGGTCAGAAGGCTCCACTAGATCACTGAATGGAGCCTGAAGCCTTTAGCCTTTTTCCACTTACTTTTGTTTTGCATTAAAAAGAGGTGATTATCTTTCCTACCTCTGGATAATATAAAAACGAGTGAGGCAATACTATAATACTCAGTCTTACCCTTGACTGCCTGTTGCCCCAACATAACATTGGTTGTGCTCTTCTTTACTCTTAAAAGCATCCTAGTGCGGATAGTAAGTTATATGATCACTTTATATGTAACCTATTCTTTTGTATTTATATTTCCTCCATTTCTTAGTTTTCAAATTAATTCATGTTCAGAAATAATTTGGAATTTTGCATTTGCTCTTAGGTTAAATACCGAGAAAATTTCGACAAAGAGAAGGGCAAAACACCAAAATTCAATCCAAAAGACAGCCAGCTCTACAAAGTCATGAAAGATGCAAACAATCTCGCAAGTGAGGTACGTTTTTTTTTTAATTGTGGCAAAATATATAACTTGAAATTTGCCGTTTTAGCTATTTTTAAATGTACAAATGAGGGGCACCTGGTTGGCTCAGAAGAGCATACGACTCTTGATCTCAGCACTGTAAGTTCGAGCCCCATGGGTGTAGAGATTGCTTAAATAAATAAGTAAATAAATGAAACGTACAGTTGAGTGGCATTGATTACGTTCACAATATTGTCCAGCTACCACTATTATTTCCATTGCCCCAAACAGAAATTGTACAACCATTAAGCCATAACTCCATTCCTCTCTCCCCCTAGCCTCTGGTAACCTCTATAATCTATTTTCTGTCCCTGTGAATTTGCCTACTAGAAAATCTTATATAAATGGTATCATACAATATTTGTCCCTTTTTTGGTCTGGCTTGCTTCACTTAGCATCATGTTTTCAAGGTTCATCCATGTTGTAGCATTTGTCAGAATTGCATTTCTTCTTATGACTAAATCATATCCCATTGTGTGTATACACCACATTTTACTTCTCCATTCATCTGTTGGTGAACACTTGAGTTGTTTCCACTTTTTAGCCACTGCGAATGAGGTGTGTGGATTTTCATCACCACCTCCAGTATTTGTTTCCGGGTGGGATATCTTACCATGGCTTCCATTAGTATGTCTTCCAGTTCCTGTTTATGTGATTTCGTTCTTCCCCCTTCACATGCAGGTTAAATATAAAGCTGACCTGAAGAAACTTCACAAGCCTGTGACTGATATGAAGGAATCTCTGATAATGAATCATGTGCTGAATACAAGCCACCTTGCCAGTTCTGTAAGCTCAGTCATTTGCTGTAGAAACAGCACGTTTCACCCGTTTGCAGCGGAATTCCTCTGCTGAGCTCACATACATCTCCTTCTCTGCTTCCGGGATGCTAGATTTATTAGAAAGCTCTTTTGTGTGAATGCATCCTTCCAAATTACAGCATTAGTCTGTCAACTCTCTACGGATTGTGACACCTCTCAGAATGTAAAAAAGCTTTTATTCTTAGAATATTTAAACTTTGTATTTTCCAATTAACTAAGTCCTTCCCTGCTTCTAAGGACAGGGAATCATGGTTTGGAGTAATTTCTTTCACTTTTCACTTTTCCAACCTCCTTTGAATACGCCATATAACCTAAGTGTTGGCCATCCTGTATCAACTGGGCAGTACTGGATGTGGATCTTCCTCCTTTGACACATTTGCGTAACCCCCCACTTAGTGTTTGCTGCTCTTAGTTTGGTCTTGACGATGCTGCTGTGTAAATATCTAACCTAAAAGGGAAAAACAGAAATGCTGAGCAGCTTTTCCATCCATGTGCCTTTTTGCCATCTTCCCCTCAGTACCAGTACAAGAAGAACTATGAGAAGAGTAAAGGCCACTACCACACAATACCTGATAATCTGGAGCAGCTTCATCTAAAGGAGGCCACAGAGTTACAGAGCATAGTAAGTCAATCAAGACTTTTTTCCCTGAAGCACGTTCAGCTACAGTGTCAAGAACGTTCATGAATTCCCCCTCAGAATGGTAGTGATAGTTTTAGTAACCATTGCTGGAGGAAAATGTCCAAAGATATAGGGGAGCTTGGAATTTAGCAGCATTTTGAAACAAAATTTTATGCTATGCATCACAGCATCAACACGTATTGGAGAAGTAGTGTCTATACATGCAATGTGTGTTACTCAGATCACTGACGGGCTGGAAGCATAAAGATTATGTTACAAGGGGGACAGTCCCAATACGATAACCCCAGTGTGCCCTCATGAGTCTGCACCCCCACTTAGGAAACGTTGCAATGATGACAGAGAGCCTTTGGAGGATTTTGAGCAGAAAAGTAACATGATTAAATCTACCATTGAAGTATCTGTGGGTATTTAAGGAATTGAAAATTTGTAAAATAATTAAGATTCTCCAAAGAAAGGACTCAGAGAAGGAGTTTGCTATCACATGACTTCCTACGTCACAAATCCAGAATTATTTAGGTCCCCTGTTGGGCATTAACCGAGAGGGCTAAATTACTAGAAGTGTCTTCGTGTCATCTGTGAAGCAGCCCGTGCCCCCAGGTTTCTATTTTCAGCAAGATTGCTAAGATTGAGCATTGCTATGAAGATGCTGTATGAACAGGGCCTCTGTCTCTCTGACTTTCCATTTCTGAGTATCTGTGGGCTGCCCCCACTCGTAATCACATGTCCACATCCTCCATTGGATTGGAACATTGTATTTGTAATGATGACGACATTGTATTTGTAAAATAGCACTAGGGCTCTTTTGAGAACGTCAGATTTCTTAGTAAGTCAGTCCACATGTAAACTCTTTCTCATTTTTATATGAATTTATATTGGCTTCATTGAATATGTGACGGATTATGACCTAGATCCAGTTCATGACATATAAAGAAAGTTGTGTGTGTTATCTCTTGAATCGAGACCCCAGGTCTCTGATAAAATTCTTCATAAAAGAAAAACTGGAGATATTTCTCAGAAACATTGACAGATACTGTGGTTACAGTGTTCACCTCTAGGCCTATCTGATCTTGGCCGACCTTCTCTGACGGGGGACGTTCCCCATGCATTTCCTTGCCTCGGCCTTTCTCTCAGCTGATTCTTCTGCAGTGATTCTTTTGTCTTCTTGAATTGAACACAAATCCTAATTCTGCCTTGCCGACAGTAAGGGTGTTTTCTCTCAGGCAACAACAAAAAGGTGCTAGATCTGAAACATAAGAACCTGTTTTGAGTGGCAATGAGATGCCATCCATGTGGACTGATGTATCAGTTAAAAAATACTATCCCTACACTGGTCTCTGTCTGGGAATTGACCAGAGGAGATCTATCTAATAAGGCTTTTCATCACTAGGTGAAATACAAAGAAAATTATGAAAAGGAACGAGGAAAGCCCATGTTGGACTTTGAAACACCAACATATATTACTGCCAAAGAGTCTCAGCAGATGCAAAGTGGGGTAAGTCCTACAAAACACACCACAAACGTGCCATCAAGCTGTTAAAGACAAGCTCTGCCCACACATGTACCCAGCCTTCTGTTATCCAAAAGTTGTAGGTAATGGAACTTTTTCACATGTGGTCGCTAAAATGTTTCTGTCTCTGAAATGTTATGGTTCAGTTACACTAAATGCTCCAAATAGTAAATACTTGATCATATATGTTTCATTTCAACTCTTTTGTAGCATTAGAACATAGCAAACTATTCTTAACTTTAACTGAAACAAATTATATTGAATGTTATATGAATTTTTCTTTGATGAATGGAAAGTTCCCTCTGCACAGAACCACCATTGGCTTTGGAATGCTCCTAATAGGAAGCCCCAGGCCAAACAAAAGAGTAATGATCAAGATGTTTATCAAAACATCAGATGTCAAGATGCCCTATTTCCTATTTAGAAATTTAGAAATGTAAGCACAAGCATCTAAAAAAATTTGGTTTTTTCCTTTTTAACCAACAGCAGAGAAGAATGGAATCTTATTTTGAATTTTAGGAAGTTTTCACTGGGAAACAGACTTATTTTGGGTTGCTTTTTACCTCTCCCCCATGGGGCATATCTCCAACCATAAAGATAAATGGTTGTTAATATGAGACTGACGTGCTACCTACTGCACTAACGAGGCACCTAAATGGTTGTTAATAAAGTAGCACTCTGTGGAGCTTTCTGGTGTAAAGAAGGCCAAATAATCAAACGTTTAACCTAACTTCATACAATTGGTGAATTTGGGTAAAGGGGCTATGGAAGTTCCTTGTACTAGTCTTACAACTTTTCTGTAAATTTAAAATTCTATCAAAATTAAAAATTATAAAAATGGAGTTCCAGCATTTATTCCAAGTCTCCCAATGAGACAGCTTAGTCCAGGGATTAGAGAGGAGATGAGGGAGCTTGTGACTCAGTGGAGAACAAAATCTTAGGATTTCTCTGTGTCTCATTGTCTACCTTATCTATTCGGAGATTAAAAATAATAAGTCATGATTATGAAAAAGGCCAAATTTGCATTTTGTGCCCTCAGGCTCTTCTTCCTCTGTGTTGTTATTTTGCCCTTACTTTTAATTCAGAAGCAAAATCTTGTTGCCTCAGGAGAGATGACAGTGGATTCAGAGTCTTGGTGGCGCACGTGTCCTTCCCCTTCTGCTGTCCTTCCCTGCTGTGAGGCAGATGGTGGGGCAGCCTCAGTTACAGTGCTGGACATATGAACGAGGAGCCCAACAGGCTTCTCAAATTCTGAGTCTCCTTGAGGCCATTTGTTGTAGACAAAATATTTCCAGAACAACCAGATACCTTTCAAATGTGTGACCATTAGCTAAACTATGATCCAGTTAAGGGGTCATACATGGAAGGACAGTGTTGTGATTTTTTTTTCTTCCTAGGTGTGAGAAATAAGTTGTAATAAAGATCCTTTTTTTAATTTCTGTTTCCTTCCTACTCACATTAGAAAGAATATAAGAGAGATTATGAAGAGTCCATTAAAGGCAGAAATCTGACGGGCCTGGAGGTCACGCCAGCTTTATTACATGTCAAATATGCAACCAAAATAGCCAGCGAGGTAGTGTCCACTTGGTCTTTGCTTTCGCTCTTGATCCCAATAATTGCACTAATGACACTCATCAATGTGTTCCTTCTACCATTTTCATCACCATCTAACTTTAGCGGATTTCAAGTTGGGTTCACATGTGTTTGGTATTACCACCTAATCTCTTACCCACGTTAATTCTTCTCATTTTTTACTTGAATACCTAATGAAATGTGTTAGTTTCTTATCTGATATTTAATATTAACTATGAAGCTTATACCCTGCCTTTATCATATCTTTAATCACTAAGCTGTAACTACTTAAAATTGGAGGTTTGGTTTTTTTTTTTTGGTCTTTGTTTGCTTGTTTGGTTTGGCTCTTCACCTAAGAGGAACGATCCAGGCTTTCTTGTCAGTGGTGTTGCTTTTATTTTGTGATATAGAAAGAATACAGGAAAGATCTAGAGGAAAGCATCCGTGGGAAGGGTCTCAGTGAAATGGAAGACACGCCTGACATGCTAAGAGCAAAGAACGCCACTCAAATTCTCAACGAGGTAGGCCCACAGCGTCTTCTCCTCCCTAACCAAGTTACAACAAAAAAAAAAAGAGAAGAAAGAGAGAGGTTTGAATTTCAAATTCCATATCCAACATGGTTATTAACTGTTAAATAAAATATATCTCGGTGTGCCTGGGTGGCTCAGTCGTTAAGCGTCTGCCTTCAGCTCAGGTCGTAATCCCAGGATCCTGGGATCGAGCCTCGCATCAGGTTCCCTGCTCCACGGGAAGCCTGCTTCTCCCTCTCCCACTCCCCCTGCTTGTGTTCCCTCTCGCTGTGTCTCTCTCTGTCAAATAAATAAATAAAATCTTTAAAAAATTATATATATATGTATACATATATATATATATATATCTCTCAATTTCCGATGAGTCGATACTATGGTTTGCATCCAGTGGCTTTCGTAATCTGCTATTTATCTAATAGTATTTGATTTAACCATGATCCATTTGGTATGCTCATTTAAATTAAAACATCACATTGGAGTGTTATGCACCTAAGTTCAGTACTAGTTATGTAGCAAACCAGATTTAAAATGCCCTTTTTACTTCGATTTTCTAAGTAGGGAATGCTAAAAGTGGTCAAAAGGAAGCCTCACATGTGGACACAAGTAGAACAGTTTCCTAAAACAGGTTTCTGTGGCCACCACTGCATCTGACCACAGGGAATAGCAAAGGTGAACACTAGCAACCGAATAGTGGTATAGTATGTGGATTTACCGTCCCTCTGTATGTACATTGACTGCCTCGTCACGGAAGTTAGGTAACTCTTGTTTTAATGCTACTACAGAAAGAATATAAGAGAGACTTGGAGTTGGAAGTCAAAGGAAGAGGCCTGAATGCCATGGCCAATGAAACCCCCGACTTCATGAGGGCCAAGAATGCTACTGATATTGCCAGTCAGGTCAGTGCTACTATTCCATGTCAACCTAATTTGGTCGCGATTACAAGGACACAGTGTTGTCCTTCTGTTGTCTTACTTGGTTGATTAACAGTCCTATGTCTATAGTGGCATTTTTAAACATCTGCCTGGTGGAAGCCGTTCTGATAGAAAGAGCACAGACACTTCATCCGGCCGCCTTTTCATTGGTCTTTCTGAGTCTATAGCCACAGAGGACATTCAGAGCAAAGGGGAGAAGTTGGAGAGCTTGAAGCTAGGACAGATTCGGACATCCTGGTCTTGTTTCTTAGTCAATACCCACCCCCACCCCCATTCGGCACCAAGAATTCCTTGCTTAGAACAGTTTGGGAGTTCTTTCTTTCCCTTCTTCCAAGACCTAAATTTAAAAGGTAGTTTTTAACATCTCGCATTATCTTTTGCTTATTTGTTCTGCCTCCAGCTCTTAATATGTGAACAATCCATACCTTAATAGGTGTTGATTATCTTGCTCCTTTCCCACTACTTCTCCCCTTCCCAGCCCCTGTACCCAACTAGATAGTAAGTCTTTCAACAACTAGGACTCAACCTTTCCAAATCTCACTCTTTAGTATAAAGCTATAAACACAAAAGGAAAAAATATATGTTGAGTCTCAAATGAATGAATCCTTTTGGGAAAGAAATATTGACCACCTCGTAATCAAATGAAATCAACAAATATGTACATTATAAACATTTACCCAAGTGTTGGGTGTTCTTTTGCAGATTAAGTATAAGCAATTAGCAGAAATGGAAAAAGCCAATTTCACTTCTGTGGTTGATACTCCGGAGATCATTCATGCCCAGCAAGTCAAGAACCTTTCAAGCCAGGTAAGGACATTCATCGCAATATCACACATAGACCCCAATCATGAAGTCTTTCCATTAATACCTACGTAGGCTCTTTCAAATCACAGTTTTGCCCAGTAACGGAGAAGGGATTCATCTGTGATGCAAGTTTGGGTCAGAGGTGAGATTTCTGTATCAGAATTAAGATAGATTATATGAGGGAACTTTAAGGTACTGAAGAACTCTTACATGGTAGCATCCGTATTAATGAATCAGTATTTTAACCTGTAAAATCTCCTATAATGTGGATGTAAATTGTATGTACAAATCAGGAAGGAACAAAGTAGACAGTCCATAATCTTCTTAACTAGATTGACCTATGTCATCCACAGCAACCACGCGATCTAACCCTGCTTCCTCTGTGAGGGATAACGCTGAGAAATGAAAGAAAGTATGATGTCCTTTATACAGCAGGATGTACCCCTGTTTGTTTTAATCTTCAGTGATATCAGAGATCTGCAATTTATTTAAGTAGCTCCAAATTGTCTTCTGAGCAATGAGTTATAAAGCCATAGTGACCTGACCAGGCTGTGCTTTATAAACACCTGGGAGTGTAGGTTTCCTGGCCCCACCCTGGAATTTTGAAGCTAGTAAGCCTGATGTAGTCCCTGGAAATCTGTTTTTATTTGTTTGTTTGCTTCTTTGTTTTTGTTTTTTTAATATTCACAGGCGATCTCTCAATGGCCAGTTGGGTCAGGGGAATCATGGATTTAAGTCCTTCATTAGCAATATATAATTTTATATCCTAAAATTAGACATGAAAAAAATAGTTATCACTGGAGAATGGTTTATTTAAGAAACAGATATATTCAAATGGGAGAAATGAACCTTTTTCGGGGGGGGGAATGGGGAAGCATTTTATTACCAAAATTATCTGGGCCCCAGACTACCATGTTGTGTTCATTGAAGGACGCCAACATTCTTGAGGCTGTGAGGGCTTGTCGGCCATAGAACTTTGAGCCTTTCCCATTGCTAATCTTTAAGGAAAACCTCAGAGCGCAGGCTTGTTCAAGGGAAGAATTAAGCCACTTTCTCTGTCCCCTTGGAGGTTTCCTCAGCCTAGTTCCTCAAGGCCTAAGATATGGCCAGGCAGATTTCTTCCTTCCCAATTTAGATTAGTATTTACCTTTGAGTGGTGTAGTGGTGCTGATGCTTTCTACAAAATTGCTTCTCGGTTGCCAGTGAAAAGTATGTATTTTATAACTTCTGAGTCTCATACTGGGGGTTAATGCAAGCAGTGTGAATGGACCTACAAATTCAGGGTAATATACTACATACTTCCTAATGCCAGGGGTCTGGGACTCTTCACTCTCAGAACACCCCCAAGTTCCAAGTACAGACTAACCACTGCTCTTAGTGACTAGCACTAGCTCAGCAAACCAGTTACGGCAGCGGCTTTTGCTTAACCTTAAGAAAACAAAAGGAAAAGAAAAAAGAAAAAAAAGGAGGACGGGTCTTACCGCTTTCCCAGGACCATGGAACTGTTTGCCTTACATTTGCATAACGAAGAGGAGTCATTCAGGTGACTTTTTCCTGAACTAGGAAGGTGGTGAACTGCTCTTTCCTTCCAGAAATCTTTGTTTTAACTGGCTTCCTGTTCAAAGTCTGGGCTGAAAATCTCTTACTGGTTAAAACGGCTTCTTTGTTGCCTTTGAGGAGATTAAATCTTTCAACACATAAATGTAATTCGTAATTTGTGTGTAATACAGTTTAGATGAAAGAGATGTAGAAAGAATAGTTTTATCCCCTTGCAAAAGTAGCTAGCCTTTCCTCAGCCCTCCACACCCAAACTTCCCTAAAAAGTGGGAGAAACTGGAGCTAAAGAAAGCTGGAGAGAGGGGCGCCTGGGTGGCTCAGTCGTTAAGCGTCTACCTTCGGCTCAGGTCATGATCCCAGGGTCCTGGAATCGAGCCCCGCGTCGGGCTCCCCACTCTGCGGGAAGCCTGCTTCTCCCTCTCCCACTCCCCCTGCTTGTGTTCTCTCTCTCGCTGTCTCTCTCTGTCAAATAAATAAATAAAATCTTAAAAAAAAAAAGAAAAGAAAGCTGGAGAGAAAAGTGAAAGGACTCGGTGACGAGCAATAAAAAAAAAAAAATCTGGGGCGCCTGGGTGGCTCAGTCGTTAAGCGTCTGCCTTCGGCTCAGGTCATGATCCCAGGGTCCTGGGTTCAAGCCCCACATCGGGCTCCCCGCTCTGCGGGATGCCTGCTTCTCCCTCTCCCACTCCCCCTGCTTGCGTTCCTGCTCTCGCTATGTCTCTCTCTGTCAAATAAATAAATAAATAAATAATCAATCAATCAATCAATCAATCTGGCCCAAAGGTGGAGGAAGTGTTGTGCTGCAAAGGTTAAGGGAAGTGAACAGCTCAGTCTCGGGACCAGTGGCACAGGTGTTGGGAGGAAGAGCAGACCTCTGTGCACAGTCTTCAGCCAGAGGCTAGGCAGAGTGGTGCCTAAGTGGGGTGTCTCTCAATTGGATGGGGGACCACGATCCGGTGGAAGCTGGTGGCGCTGGCAGTGAAAAAACTCACCTGAGGCAGAACAAAGGAGGGAGAAGTTTTGGGCCCACAGCGCCGGGGGCGGAGGGCAGGACGGCAGAGAGGCAGTCTGCAAGGAGGTAGTGGCCGGGGACTGCTTTTAAAGGGGGGAGATGGGAAGGGATGGCAACGTACGGAATCCTCCCTGTTTGGTAACTGCGCCTCATTGTAAGCCATCCATTGGTCACTTAGGGCTTACGGATATTTTGAGGTGGGCCGCTTCATGGGCTTTTCTACATTCCATCGCTCAAGCCTGTTTACCTGCAGGCGGCCTCTGCCGGCAGGGGCGGGAAAGCCCGAGAACGGGGACGGCTGGCTCGGAGCCATGGCTGGTCAGTCGGGCATAATGGCGGCCCCAGGTCTGTTTAGAGGGGCCTCCGGAGCTGCGGCACCTCCCTGCCGGGCCTGTAGCAGGAACCCCCAACCTGTTCAGAGCTCAGTGAAAATCGCCTCGTCACCGGTGAAGGCCAGCTTTACACAGGCCTGCTGATGGCTCTTCACCCCCCTGCTTTTCTCTCCCTGCCTGTTGGTCGTCTGGCTCCTGGCTAAATGGCCCCATCCCATTCACAGGAGACACCCCATCGCCAGGAGCCTGGTTGTCTGTCACCTTCCTCTGTGTGGACCAGCCAGCAGGGGCCTCCTTCTGCTCTCTTTGCCATGACAGTGGGTTTTATTAAATGCCCATGCTCAGGTCTCCCAGAAAGAAAAGACATGGAGCTCATTGACCAAGAGAGGGCTCTGCTTTACAACCCCCTAACGTCCATGAACAGTCTGAAAACTACAAAGGACTTTCCTTCTGCTGAGCAGGAACGGCCGTGGTAGGTCCCACTGGCCCATTTCCCTGTGGTGTTCACCGTCCTTATTTCTTGGAATCTATTCTCAGAAAAAGTACAAGGAAGATGCAGAGAAATGCATGTCCTATTATGAGACTGTTTTGGACACCCCAGAGATACAGAGAGTCCGGGAGAACCAAAAGAACTTCAGCCTTGTAAGTTTTCATTGACTCTAAGACACAGCCCACTGATCCCTGGGATAAGGTGGGCATGGTGGCTGCCTCTGGGCATACACACTGGGCCTCCCTTCTGCATGGGGGCGGTGGGACAGCCCTCCCCAACTCCCACCCGTGGCCCAGGAAACATGTGCTCCGTTCTTCTCCAAGATCACCTTGTATTCCCCAAATCATAGCCTAGAAGACCCACTGCTACTTTGTCAGTGGCTTCTTGTCACCGTATGTGAACTATCTCCATCTTCCATTAGTGGTGACATCTGTCATTTTCAAAATTAATTCAGGAAGGGATGCATTTTTTTAAAAAAAATCTAACTTGACACGTTACCATTTTTAGGGTTTTAAAAAAATTTTTTTTTTTTTTTTACAAAATTCTTATTAAAGAGTTTCCCTTCAGCTATCAGACGATGATTGTTGTGGCACAGACATTTGGTTTTTATCTTAATTTGGACTTTTACTTCCCTTGCACAATAGAGACAATTTAAAATATATTTTAAAATGTTGAAATCTTAACAAGATGTTTACTCTTTCTTCATAGCTTCAATACCAGTGTGACCTTAAAAACAGTAAAGGAAAAATTACAGTTGTTCAAGACACGCCAGACATACTACGTGTTAAAGAAAATCAAAAGAATTTCAGCTCGGTATATTTACTATTTATTTTCCATTGAACGCTAACCTAATAATTCCTTTCTCCTCTTTAAAAATATGCTAGCCTCATCTTGATTCAGACAATTAACATCTAACCTCCCCAGTTAATACTTGTGGTTATTTGTTAAAATTTCCCATGCTTTGCTCTAAAAACATCACTCCAGACGCCATTTGAAATAACACCTTAAATCTGCTAACAAAGTAACTTTTCTTTTTAATTTTTTAAATCCCAGAGCAGTAACATGTGTTGTCTTGCTCCGTGAAGATGGATTTCTTTTTGACATTGTGATTTCTTTTACTATCCTTCCCCAGAATAACTGACTTCACATTTCTTTAATGGATTTTGTTTTCATATGGGAGAGGTCTTTTCAAATCAGCATCGTCCCGGTTTTTCTCATTCTGTATTAATACATTATGATAATATTAAATCTCAAGATCTGGAGAGTTGTCCGTGTTGTACATATGGTTGGACTTAATGATGCTGACGTGGAAGACGTCAGATCCTCCGGCACACGGCTAAGAACATTCTCTAGTGTCTTGTTTTCACAGAAGCCATGTTTCCTAGTCTTCCTCCAGGAATTGCTGGGCTTTCCTTTCTTCTGTGTAACGTTGTCCTGATTCTGAATGCCCCAGGTTTTATATAAAGAGGATGTCTCGCCGGGAACGGCAATCGGAAAGACCCCTGAGATGCTGAGAGTGAAGCAAACACAGGACCACATTAGCTCGGTAAAGACCCCCCTCGCCCCCCTACCAGAGACTCATCCGCTGCGTTTTCTGCCTTCCTTGGATAATTTACTTTGAGGGCTGAGCTGCACTCAAAACTGTTGTCTCCAGAAGCAGCTAAAGCTGCTGAAGCAGGTGCCTGTGGTGAGGGCCATCCCCCAATCAGTGCAGCCAGAGCAGGTGGCAGGAGGGGAGGTTACCTGTGGGAAACCGAGGCCGATGTCAGAGCAAACCAGAGCTGGACCGTGGTTCAAGCGGTCAAAACAGATTATTTTTTTTTAAGATTTTATTTATTTATTTGAGAGAGAGAGAGCATGAGAGGGGGGAGGGTCAGAGGGAGAAGCAGACTCCCTGCTGAGCAGGGAGCCCGATGCAGGACTCGATTCCGGGACTCCAGGATCATGACCTGAGCCGAAGGCAGTCGCTTAACCAACTGAGCCACCCAGGCGCCCGGTCAAAACAGATTTTATGCAGGACTGTTGCAATAGGGGAAAGAGATCTCAGTATGAAACTGGGCTCAATTCCAAAGGAATTGCAAGGAAAAGTAAGGATTTATAATCGGGGCGGGGGCGGGGTGGATAAAGAGGCAGGCGGAGGATAGAAAATTTGAGAAACTGTCAGGGGTAAGGGAGGTTCTGGCTGAACCTACCTAACATGATTTTTGCTGGTGGCAGGCCAGGGTGACCAGATGTTGCCTGGTGGGGCTGGTGGGGTAGGGAATTTGGTCAGATATCAAGGGTGAAGACATGCCAAGGGTAGGGGGATTCTCGCTAAACTGACTTAGCAGGATCCTTGCTACAATCAGGCGATACAAAGATAGACTCAGAAATCCAAAAGTTGAGGCCTATTTGGGAAGAAGATTCAGAGGACCCTGACTGAAGTTTAGTCAAGGAGAGACTCCTTGTCACTTGTAAGAAAGTAAAATATGTTAAAGTCGAAAATTCAACCTTCCTGGGTATATGTTGTGAATGTATTGGTCCTAGCCAAACGAACTGTTGGGTATAACAACATCTGAGTGCACAGGAAAGGTAAGGGGCTACAGTCTGAGTATGGACCCCCCTCTGCTCCACCCCGAACGGACAGGAGAGAGACCAAGCATTGTCCTCTGACCTAGTGTTAGAATGGAGCCCCGTGCACACTAAGTATAGAGTTTGTATTATTTAAATTGTGACTTTACAAACTGCAGAGCTCCTAACCAAACACATGCACATGTTCCCATTTTTATACCTGCAGGTGAAGTATAAGGAAGCCATTGGACAAGGAATCCCAATTCCTGACCTGCCTGAAGTAAAACGTGTCAAGGAGACACAGAAGCACATTAGCTCGGTAATGGCCCATGTGCTCAGCACACATTTGTGCAACCAGCCACCTCCCAATTGCTCCCTAGCTCTCTGTCATCCCTTCTTCCCAGGCCTTAGGAATGGTGTAAACCTCTCTCCATCCTAGATAAGAAACCTCTGTCTTCACACCATCAAGGAGCAGAAGGGACTTGACTTCTTGACTAATGATCATGCCTGCAGTTCCTAGAGTAAAAAGTGCCAATGGTAGTAATAAGGTTATCAGAATGATCTTGAGTTAAAAGATATAATCATAAAAATAACACAAAATATTATATATTTTATGTAATTATATATTAGATAATTGGCATATAAATTTTAATTTTATATAATGTACACAATTATAGATATAACATACATATATATTACATAATATCATATGTAATATTTTGTGTTACTCCAGTGTATATATTTGCATGTACGTATATCTCAGGACAATTCTCCCCTGTCCAGGAAAACTCTAGGTTGACTTGTGAAGTCTCTGCAGCCTTCTCCTCTCCCTTTCAAGATCTCTTGCCCAATTTCCTCTACTGTCTTGCAAAGGTGGTGTATGTTTAAGGTGCTCACTGTCCCACAATCTACCCACAATGACATACTCTATATTAAGCATGTTCTCTATGAGGAATTCCAGGCACCTGTGCATAGTGGATGTGTGTGTGGGGGGGGTGTCCCTCACACCTTAAATAATCAGGTTAAGCATATGTTTCTCCTGACCTCTATCAGGTTAGCCCAGCCTCTGCTCCCCACCTCCCAAAACACACACACACACACACACACACACTCACTCTCAGCTTTCCCATCCATAAGCACATTCTAAGAAATAGCTGGCTACTAGCAAGAGACCCTGTGGAGTTTGGGAAATAGTTTATGGCCAATAAAAGGTGAGGACCTTGGTCTTAGAGATTCTGTTGGTCACTGGAGGCCTCAAGTCTCATTTTGTTGTCATTAGGAGACACGTGGTATTTCTCTTGAACGTTACTCATATTATTTAGATCTCTTTCTTGTTTCATTCTTTGCTTATACTCTGGCTTCCTTGTGGTACAAATTTCATTTAGGGTTTTGTGTCCACAAATCAAGAAAACTCTTTTAGTCACTTTTGATTGCAACTTCCTGTCTTTCTCTGATTATGTTTTGTTCTGTTATCCATGATCTCGGTTCTGCTGCCTTGCTGGGTAAAGAAACACAAATTTGTACTAAAACAGTAGATTTTTAAAGATCCCTCAAAGTTTCCCAGCAAAACAAAGATATCACCACTAGTTTGTCAGTGTTTAGGGGAGTTAATCTGTGACCTAAACCCCCTGCGTTGTTCATGTTGCTCCCCACCCCATGCTCAAGTACACCATTGACCAATTTATTTAAAAAGAATTCATTCATTCCTTTAAGCTGACAAGTCTTAACATTAAAGGGAAAGAAGGAAAAGAAGGGGGCCAGAGGTTCAGGAAGTTCCTTATTCTTTTCATTAAAATTTATTGGCCTTTGATACGACCCTAAAAAATAGGGACTTCCCTCAGTTTGAAAAACACCAGTTTACATGATCCAACAACCATCAGTAGAAATATCAAGGAAAGATGCTCTTTCTGAAAAATATACTTTTAGGTCTCCTTATATTAAGAGTACCTACAGACTACGGGGCCCCTAGGAATTTTCAGTAGAAAATATAAAACAAAATTCCCAACCTTGAAGGAATAGAGTATCCCATGAATAGAAAATTTTAAGCCAAATAACCTATTTAATTAAGTACAAATCTACTGTGGACCTACTAATACTAAATGTTATGAAGTGGTTCGATTTTTCTCACTGTTGAATTTATTACTTTTTAATGCATTTTAGAAATGTTCTAAGTGTTGACAACAGAAAATACATAATTTAGTACCAAGTGTTCAAGGGTAGTAAAGTTATTTTTGAGGGGGGAACATAAATATTTGTGGAGTTTCTTTTCTGTCTTCCTTGAGTTTCATACTTGAAAGCTAGATTGTTTTTAAGAGTTTCCACCACGTAGCCCACAGATGTAGCCATAATCCAAAGGATTCATGGTCATTTCACCTTTTTGGCTTAGATTCTAATTATCTTCTACAGGTTATGTACAAAGAAAACTTGGGAACAGGCATTCCAACCCCTGTCACTCCAGAGATTGAGAGAGTCAAACGCAATCAAGAGAACTTTAGCTCGGTATTTACAAATATATCAAATTAGAAACTCAATTTCCCTACTTTTAAAAGTTTACCAGAATAACTCATTATCCTTTTTTAAAAAGTAACATCTTAACAATCCTGTGTATGTGTGTGGGCGGGGGGAGGGAGGGAGGGGTGTGTATTATTACCTGACCAAACCATCTGAACTTACAGAAGTGACTCGCTTTTCTGGTGGTACTTTAACATTTTTAGCGACTGACAAGTGTGAAAACTTAGATCTGAAATACTGTAAGTAGAATTAACACAAGATTCCTCATTATTATACTCATTTCCTATAACTCAGTGCTTTGTGTTGTACTTTTTTATCCCCAGAATTAGCATGGTAGAGTTCATCATTAAAATTGTGAAGAAAAAGTAAAAGCATTATCCTTACTAAATATTACTCACTAAAAGACTCCCTCTTCACACAAACTACCTGCCCCTAATTTTCTCCCTTCCTTAATCTTTGTGCCTGTTTTGAATGTCTTCTGGGTACTTTCTTGTATCTCACAGGTTTTGTACAAAGAAAATTTGGGGAAAGGAACCCCAACACCTATCACTCCAGAGATGGAGAGAGTCAAACGCAATCAAGAGAACTTTAGCTCGGTATTTCTTAGGGGGCAAAAAATAAAATCCCTTAATTCTTATTTAAAATAATATTTTTAACACATTACAAACATATTTTTTTCCTGTAAAATTACTAAATTCATATAATGAAAATAATGATACCAAATATTACCTCAGTTTTCAACCCAAATCTAATTTAGTATTTACTTGAGTTCTGGTGTGAAATTTTAACTGCGTTTTCCCTAAAACATAATGATAGATCACTTTCCTTAAAAACCCATAATATTCAGTGTTTGGTTTTTTTCCCCCTCAAACCCTCCTTTAATAACAACAGGTGTTTCTAACTGGTGTGACACATGTCAAAAGTAAAAATCTAACATCCCTTCAAAAGGTCAATGTTAACTAGAATTTTATTTGTGCTTATTCTGGCTCTGTTTGATGTATTTTTTGTGTTTGTAACTTCTTGTAAAAGAATGTGATTCTTAAATATTTTCATTCAAGAGATGGCAGAGCAATTTACAGTTAAGTCAGAAATGTGGCTCAGCTATTTTTTGTATACCATGTAAGAGAAATGAGCTTTCCTTTGGAATAGTTTAAGGATCATTGAAAGCTAATGTTTATTTAGCTTTTAGTGTCTATTAATATTTATTTTATTCCCCCAAACCTCTCTCTCTTTCTCTCTCTCTCTGGTTCCTTAGAGTTACCAACAACTCATTATGGATATTAATTTCAATTAACTTGAACACTCTTTGATAAGGCCTCATCCTTCTGTCTTTGAGAGAGGACCTCTATTACTAAGTGACTCCTGCCTGTGGCCTGGCAACTGCGTCTTTATCACTGCCACTCAGAGACAGACATCGCCCTGTGTGTGACTAAACGTCACAGTTGTTCTATTACTTGAGGTTGTTTAGGCCTATTTTATGCCATTATGAAAACGAAAATACTTTTAGGGACTGTTTTGAAGATCAGGTTACCTAAAAGATGGGTCCAAGCTGATGTGACTGTTGGTTTTGTGCACACAGATTTTGTACAAAGAGAACTTGAGCAAGGGGACCCCCATTCCTGTCACTCCTGAGATGGAGCGAGTCAAACGCAATCAAGAAAACTTTAGCTCGGTATTCAGGAGAAAGCTCCTTTAATTCCATATTTAAAAAAATAATAATTTTCTAAAAAACAAACTTCTATTAGTCCCTTTAAAATAATCAATTTAACATTTTTAAAATTTCGTCAACTGAATTCTGTTTTCCACGTCGTTTACTTATCATTTGATTCTAACATTTTATATCTTCCATAATAGTCCCTTAAAACTTTTAATTGGTTCCTTTCCTTCTCTTTTCAACTTTTATGTTGCTGCTGGGACTTTTGAAGTTCACTGATGTCCAAAAAACCCAAACACTGTAGCTATTATTTACTTCATCTCTAAGATGTTTCTGGGTTAGTGTAGCTCGAAGACAGTACTCGAGGCCACATGTAGAAATAGTGGCTCTTGATTGGGAATGGTGGTTGCTTTAACCTAGATCTTGTCTGGATAAACACAGGACAGAAAAAGAAAGTAGCTCAGTGTTGGAACCCAAAGCAGCCTTGTCTTGATATTTGTGCTAAACAAGCCATTCCATGAATAGAAATCCAGACCTTCTGATTTCTTTTAAATACACAAATCAGATCATAAATTTATACTTAATGTTACTTTTTATTTTATTAATATTGTTGAAAAATTTGTAATAGTCTGTGAAACTTCTGTATAAGGATCTTAAGAGTTACTTATACCTGAGATAGAAAATCAAATGTCAATAGTAAAATTTAGCTGGATTTTTTTGGGCGGGGGGCGGAGCAGGTTTGATCCAAAGTGGTTTTTAATTGTGAGTTCAAATAGTTTCAGGAAGTTTGATTCTTCCACAGTAACTTTCTTCGGTCCCACTGTCTTTTGGTTTTGTTTTGTTTTGTTTTCCTTTGTTTTTAATTACTATTCACTAACAACCTTTCAACTTTGTTAAATTGTCAATATAAACATCACTTGTTGGAATGTTCACTGTTTTCCCTGTGGGATGATGATGATGATGGTGGTGGTGGTGGTGATTTTGATGATTATTTCTTCTTTTGGAAGAATTAAGGTTTGCATTAATTTTCAAAATTGTATGTTAATTATTTTCTTCTATATTAGAGTAAGTATTATTGATATTTATATCTGAGATCTTAATGATCCTGATGATCCTGGACAGTTTTTTTTCCCTAAGTAACCATTTGTATTCATTGTTACACAAATTGCATTTAGGCAAAATTGTCCGGGGGTGCATAGAGCTTTTAAGATTCCATGGGAAATAAATAGTACTATGTATTAAAACATTAACTTTCAGACTTGACCACCTCCACAACTTGAATATACTCCACAAAGACCAATTTTGCTATACTGCATAGATTTGGTGGGTTTTAAATATCTGTTATTCTGCAAAACAGATGTTCTATGTAGATAAGTATTTGCCAATCTAATTAAAAAATAATTTTTCTATTGTACACTAAGCACTTCAGTGCTCTTATGAAATTGTAGTTTTTTCCTTAATTCCCAACACAGGAAACAAACCTTCAATATAAATGAGTTAATAGTAAGGTGAATATCAAATACACTGGCACTTTAGCTAAGGAAATATGGAGCATATCGTCATCCCAATCTGTGTTTGAAGAGACAGTTTGACTTGGTGAATTTGTCTTTCCTGTTTGATGTCTGTAGTCTCATATTAGGATCCTTACAGGACAGGTGAAAGGGCTGTTTGGACTGCTCTTGTTTTTTTCTGGATGCTTTCTTGTGTTGTACAGGTGTTGTATAAAGAAAACCTCGGGAAAGGGATCCCAATTCCCATCACTCCAGAGATGGAGAGAGTCAAACACAATCAAGAGAACTTTAGTTCGGTATTTAAAAGAAAAAAAAAATCCCTTTAACTATTTTTAAACCAAAAATTAATGGCTATATTTTAAATCTAATCAGCTTATCCCAATAAAAACTCTGACATGTCTTGTTCACAACTTAATGCTGCCATCTCCTGTGAATCCATTTCCCCATTTTGGTTAAACATTAATACCATCATTTGACTTTTTTTTTTTTTAAAGTGTTCAGTATATATCCTAGCCTTTAAAAACATGACCTTCTTAGTGTGTAAGCACCCACATTTATCCTGCTTTGGCAAATTTGATCTGGATGTAAAGCTTACAAAAATGTATTTAGCAAAGATCGGACTCTTGGCTTACTTCCTGTTCTAACCTTCTCTGTCCCTACTGGTATTTGTACAGATACCGTGAAGTTTCTTTTTTTTTTTGCATCTTGTCATTGCTCTCCATTTGCTTTAAAAATAATTAATTCCACCCAATATGTTTGCCCAGACTAAAAATTAAATACTTGGACTTCTTTTGAAAGTCAACAAAAAAGGTTTGTGCACATGTATCTTTATGTATACAATGTTTATAAAAACCCAAATATCCTTATATGGTTTATTAATAACATTTCCAAATCGAAAATAACTTCCTTGGTTCTCCTTTTGTCTCTTACCCTTTTTAATTCTTTCTCTTCCTCATAACTGGGGGAGGGGGGTACTAATTGTTCCCTTTCATGGTGCACTACTGCTCAGCGCTGCAGAGGTTAATTCAAACAAAAGTAACAAAACTTTCCTATCTCAGTTTTTTGCTGCTCTTTCCTGCATTCCCTTACTTATAAGTATGTCTTTAGGCTCCTACAGGTTGGATCTAGAAGCTTCTGGTATTTCCCTTCCTCCTACCTATTCTCTTCCTCTTTGCCCTTCTTCTCCCCACTTCTCCACAAAAGGGGAAAGTGGTTGATTGCTCTTTTTGTTCTGGATGCTTTCTTATCATACAGGTGCTATACAAGGAAAACCTGGGGACAGGAATTCCAATCTCCATCACTCCTGAGATGCAGAGAGTCAAACACAATCAAGAAAACCTTAGCTCGGTATTTTGGAAAGAAAGGGAAAAAGAAGATGCCACTTAACCTCATAATTATATAATACTTAACATTTATTCTTTTTTAAAACCCACTACCCTTCCTTTGTTTCTAATATACCTCACTTAGCAAAAGGACAATACTCTTTGCATTTTTATGTTACTGCTATGGATTCAACTTTTTAAAAACATTTTAGTTAATTCTGATAGCGATTACATCTGGTATTTTAAAATATATATATTTTTAATTTGCTTGGATAACAACAAAACTGAGTTCTAACAATCTCAAACCCCCATGTGATTGTTGGGAGGCACTGTACTCCTAGAAATGACAAAATAACATGAATAACTGTCAGCAGTTCCCCAGCAGCTGAGGTCCTTGCTGCCTAGAGACTCTGCTTCCCAGCCCAACCATGGCCGCCATTAAAGTAGTTTGTGGCAGCTTGCCAACCTGTAACTCCTGGCTCCCTGGACTACTGTGTCATTTGGTAACAAGGAAGTTGAACTCACACTTAAAATCTTACAACAAATTAAATGTTACCTAACTTTTTTTTTTTTCTGGATGCTTTCTCATCACACAGGTGTTGTATAAAGAAAATATGGGCAAGGGAACCCCTATACCTGTCACTCCAGAGATGGAGAGAGTCAAACACAATCAAGAAAATATTAGCTCGGTACTTTGGCAAGAAAAGAAAAAGCTACTTCTTTAATGATTTAAAATAATACTTATTAATCCTACTTTTAAAAAACATTTTGTGAATTTTGTTGATCTCATTTATCCTTCTCTCCTAGAAGGCTACTCTTAGCTTTAACCCCGTAATAACAAGAATGCTTTAATCTATAAAGTTCTAATATCAGGAAGTAACAGATTTTCCAATAAAATGTCCTTCCGCTCCTCTGCCCCTGAACTTACTCTCTATCTGCTATCCTCAAGGTCTCTGTTTTACGTACTCCTGAAATTTGGGGGGTGGCATGATAGGTATGAGAGCTCTTTCTGGAAAATTGGGAGTTGTGATCAGTTTTTGCACCCATGACTTGAGGTTCTAATTTACCCTGTTAGATTTAGACAAAGAGACCTTGGGGGAAAAATAACCCCTGATCCTCTCCTCCAAGGACAATGACATTTCTGTTCCATTTGGTATTTATTTTAGTTTGCTTGGATAACAACAAAATCGAGTTCTAACAATCTCAAATTCCTCATGTGATTGTTTGGAGGTACTGTGCTCAGAGAAATGAAAACATTAAGATCCACTAGTTTCAGAAGATGATTTATCAATTTACTTAAAAATGAAGTGTCACTTGAACTGTTTTTGCTTTACCAACTTTAGTTTTTTGTTTTGTCTTCATCGTGGTCTCTGCTAACTTTACAGACCACTTCCTGTAAGCCTGTGCTCTGTGACATGATACATGTTTATAATTTACCAGGGGGTTGGGATTTGTATGGGGAAGATGTTAGCTCCCGTTAGGAAGAACCTGGTGGCCCTCCACATCAGCGCTGTCTGCAGCTTTCTCCAATACTAGAGAGCACTGCATCAGAATCACCCGGAGCATTTGTTAGTCAGACTGCTGGTGCTGTCCCCACAGTTTCTCATTCTGTAGGTCTGGTGCGGGGCCAGATTTGCAATTCTAGGAAGTGCTCAGGTGATGCTGACCTTGCTGTTCAGGGACCCCACTCTAAGAACCACTACTTTAACAGAATTCTTTCTCTTGAATGCCATTTCCCAAACCTCCCGTGTCCCCATGAATGACACTGAAGGGAGACACTGAGGTAATGATGCTAGTGATATAATGGCTGAAAACGTTTTTCTTTACTGATAAGTTTGGTGAACTAAAGCAGGAGGCAGAGCACAGATAATGGCAGGGGAAAAAAAGAGTAGAAGGAATCTTTGGTTTTGGGCCCACAATTTTATGGATGTGTCTATATGAGTTTAAGTGCTGCAAGACAGGCCAGTCACCTGCTGCCGTATAGGGAGCACCTCCACCTTCTTGGTGTCAGTCAAGCACATTCCCCTAAGTCCTGTTACAAGATGATCTGTCTGGTGCTTGAAATGCATAGACGTAAAATAAAGCCCTTCTCTCATCCCTTTTGGGCACCCTGCAAGTTCTGTCTTGCAGTCTGCCAGGATTTCAGGGCACAGTCCTACCCTGGAAATGTGTGTCTTGCTATAACTACACTCAACTTCGTTTGGAAACATACTCCTTTCCACCTAACCTTCTTGCCCAAATGGTCTGGCACCCTGAGCCTCATAACAAATGATCTCTTCCGTTTAATCTTTTGGTAACTGTAATTTTTTTTTCTTTTTGCCTTTTTGGATCCATTGAACCCACGTAGGTTTTGTACAAAGAAAATGTGGGGAAAGCCACCCCAACCCCTGTCACGCCAGAGATGCAGAGAGTCAAACGCAATCAAGAGAACATTAGCTCGGTATTGTCTTGAGAAACGAAAGTGCTTTTAATTTTGCAAAGTAACCCCTGCAGTTTGGCCTGCTCCTAACTCCATCCCAGGTTAAAAACAAGCAAAATGCTGGTTTTTTAGAATCCCCTGTAAATGATATACTACACTTACTATTGCCATTAACTTTTTAAGCTTTCTTCTTGAGAGCTGTTCTCACTCATGTAACAGATTAAACATGGAGTTTTCTCCCCCAAATTGCATTATGTTTAATAGTCTGAATATTGCCTCTTCATGATTTTCGGGTCCAACTTTGTATCTCACAGGTGTTATACAAAGAAAACTTGGGGAAAGCGACCCCTACACCCTTTACTCCTGAGATGGAAAGAGTCAAACGCAATCAAGAAAACTTTAGCTCGGTATTTTGGAGAGGAAAAGAGAAATTGTTACACTTTCAATAACCCTGGCAAATATGGTTATATCACTAATTTATCTCACAGTTTTCCCAAAGCTTTCGTTTATTTTTTAAAAATTCTTCTTTACCCACTTAAAAACGATAAACCAACCCCACCAGTTCAACCTGATTTAATTCTTTCTTCATCTTGTGCTTTATGTAATAACATTTTAATGGCTTTATCTTCCTGACATGTTTCTTATAGAGTGTGATACAATTGAGCCATAACACCAGCTAGATGATGGTTTTTAGAACTGGTTTTCTGCTATCTGATGTCTGGATGCTCTCTTGGCTCCTCTAGGTATTATACAAAGAGAATATGAGAAAAGCAACTCCGACACCTGTTACTCCAGAGATGGAGCGAGCTAAGCGCAACCAAGAAAACATTAGTTCGGTATTGTCTAGGATTAAACACAGGAGTAGTGCAATGACTTGGAAAATAACATTTTAACATCATATAAACACGCCTTTCTCATTCAACTGGGAAGCACACTAAAATGAAAAAACGAAATGCAACATCTTAAAAAATAACATTTTAACACCATAAAAATGTGCACCTCATTCAACTGAAAATTTACATTAACACAACTGTGCTTTTAAATTCCAAATGATCATACTAAGATATAACAATTGCCAATGTTTTCTCTTCCTTTTATTTTACTGGGCGGGCGGGCGGGGGGGGGTAGTCTTACATAACCAACTGTAACAAATTGACTTCCTAACATCCTCAATCTGCTCTCCTTTATTTTTAAGGTACTCTATGAAACAGGTAATATTCTGATATGGATGCCTTCTTTGGCTTTGATATTTTGGGTTTTTCATGTCTGGCGGACTTTGATTTCTGTATTAACATTGGTTTATGAAATCTGGGCATAAACCTATGAAAATGATCACTTGTTGAAAAGGATAGTTTGGGAGCATCTGGCTGGCTCAGAGCATGTGACTCTTGACCTCAGGGTCGTGAGCTGGAGCACCATGCTGGGTGTAGAGATTACTTAATTAATTGAACTTTAAAAAATTTAAAAGGATAGTTGTTTTGAATGTCAGAATCCCATCTAGTGCCAAATACCATCCAGTCTGCAATTCCTAGCAAATGCCAGAGACCATTTTCTTCCTATCCTCTCTGAAATTCTCTGCCTTGTCTCCTTTGAAAATGGAAGTTACATTTTCAAAGTCAAAAACATGTCCCTTTTCTCCTGATGAGAGCCCTGCCCATTAGTCCTCATGCTTATCTGTTCTGCTATTAGTCAAGGGTATCACTGGGTCCTTTCAGATGACTCAAGCTTCCCTCCCCGGCTACTTTTATCTCCCTGTGTTGGAAAAGTTTTTGAGGCTTCAGAATTAGAACAGTACCGTGACCTGTACTTAATTCATGGTCTCTCCTCTATCAGGTTCTTTATTCTGATAGCTTCCGGAAACAAATACAAGGCAAAGCTGCCTACGTCTTGGACACTCCAGAGATGAGACGGGTGCGGGAGACCCAACGCCACATCTCAACGGTGAGTCAGAAATTCTTAAGGATCAACTGGCCAGTCTGCTGGATTATGTGGAAAAGGAAATGATCACACCATCATATTTTCATAAAATCAACTCATGAAATTTCAGGTGAAATATCATGAAGACTTTGAGAAACACAAGGGTTGCTTCACACCAGTGGTGACGGACCCTATCACCGAACGAGTAAAGAAGAACACACAGGACTTCAGTGACATTAACTACCGAGGTATTCAGAGAAAAGTAGTAGAGATGGAACAAAAACGGAATGACCAGGATCAGGAGACCATTACAGGTATATGAGCCCTGGGGGGCGGGGGCAAAGGGGGTAGAAGAACAAGAGTGGCATTACCCATAGGAAGCTAAAGGATAAAGTACTTCAGCCTGTGTTTTCATCAGCTGTAAAAGCAAACTGTTCTTTCACAGCTTGCAAAGCTGGTACCTTTCCTACCTTATGCTTTGTTCTCGGAGAAGTCATGACCAGAAATAAGCTAAATTAGTGTTAGTCCTCCTGTGGTTAAGTTCATGCCTTGCTTTCCAAGTTATTAGGAGTCCTCCAGAAACATCTGTTCTGATCCTTGATCTTACTTGCAGGTTTCCGTGTCTGGCGTACTAATCCTGGCTCGGTGTTTGACTATGATCCAGCAGAAGACAACATTCAGTCACGAAGCTTACACATGATTAATGGTATGTTATAGCTAACAGCATGAAGGTCACCATTTAATGGGCTCAGGTCAATGACCTCTAGGAAACTACAGTTTTCAGTGTTCTGAGTTGTCCTTCTTGCTGACTAGTGGGACAGTATCATTTCTAGGCAAATTTAAGTCAGGGAAAGATTGTCTCACTGCCTCTGTGTAAATCTTCAGGCCCCATTTATTACCTTTGTTTCTAAAGAAGAAAAAGTAGTACATCTTTCTATTGGAGAAATAATGAAAAGGAAAAAATATAAGGAAAGGGAAGAGAATGAATGTGACCTTTGGCAACTTTCTGAAAACTCTGTCTTCAAGGAAGGCTGTTAATTCAACAAAACAAGCCACATATCTTTATGCCTTCTTTTCCTGTTAAATTGTAGTGCTTGTCCTTAAAGGATTTATACTCTAGTCTGCTGATGGAGAGAAGTAAATCAGTGGTTACACTCTGACATGTGCAGTTTTAAAGGTCTGCACACACATTGTGGGAACTCAAGTAAAGGGCATCTAAATTAATCTGGAAGTGAGGGAGGACTTTCTAGAGAAGTTGAAGGTGGAGTTTGAATGTGAATTTTTGTGAGCCGGGAAAATGGGCAGGGTGGAGGGAAGGAGTTGTGGTCCAAGACAGACTGGGATTTGAAGCCTGGCTGTTACTATTTAGCAGTTACGTGACCTTTGGTAAGGTACTTCAGCTGTCACGTGTAAATGAGGATGGCAACCGTACACACAGGGTTTCGAGGCTTTAATTCATGGGAGCCTACTGAAAACCTATGCCTAGCAATCAGCGCACTCCCACCAAGCACCGCAGAGACGGACTCATGCATGCGCCCCCCCCGCCCCGCCCCCCAGCGCAAGCACAGCGCCGGAGCCGGGAGCATTCGCGCTCGGCCAGCGCGCTGAGCGTCAGCGGCGGGGAGGACAAGTCCGAGCACTCAGAAGCCGCCGACCAGCGCCTCTCCACCTACAGCGACGGCGGAGTCGTCTTCTCGGCAACCTCCTCAGGTACAAGTGGGCTGCCCCCCAGCTTGCTGGGTTACAGGTGCAGATGCTTTGAGTTGAAAACAGCAACAACAGTAACAAAAATCTGGATCATTTCTCCTGATGAGAAGAGACTAGAAAGAATTGTGAAGAGGTGCATGAAACCAGATGTTTCATTTTCATTAATTTAATTAGAGCCTCCTTTCTTGCAAACCATTCTTAAGTTAGGGGACAAGAGAGCACTGCTCAGCTGTTTAACACAGATGAAATGAGGTCTAGTCATTTTTCTTCGTACAAACTACTTCCCCCCACCTTTTAGCTTACAAACACGCAAAGACCACGGAGCTCCCACAGCAGCGATCATCTTCAGTTGCCACGCAGCAGACAACGGTGTCCTCTATCCCATCGCACCCGTCTACTGCCGGGGTAAGCAAACGTACTCTAAGGCTATTATCATTGAATATGGATTTAGCAGGGGAATAGATATGAAAATAGATGAGGCCCAGAAATGGATCCTAAACGAATTACAGATCAACAGGGGAAAAAAAAAATCAAAACTGTAAAATACCACAGAAAAGTAGAGACTAATTTTATAATATTGGGGACAGGAAAGGCCTTCCTCAGCAAGTTCTAGAACCTAGGAACGTGAAAGACTGCATATTTGACCATAAAATTTTAAATGGTTTTATAACAAAAAGAAACATGTCAAACTGGGAGAAAATATTTGCAGCATTCATAACACAAAGATTTATATCTAAAAAACCTAACACTCAAAAATTCATTGGCAAATTATTCCCCTTCTGGTCAAAATAACAAAGACCTGGAAGCAAACGAATAGACAACTTACAGCAAGAGAAATAGAAACAGCCAGCAAAAAAGATGTCCACCATAACTGCAAACCAGGAATATGCAAATTAAAACAATAAGTATTAGAACATTATTATGGTAGTGAATTTTTTAAAAAATTAAAATGCACATACCATTTGACCTACTCCTTTCACCTTTAAAAGCTCTTTCTCTGAAATACCTGCCTAAAGACAAACATTAGGGGATTAGTGTAAGAAAAAATGGTTAACAATTAAATGTCCAGAAGTATAGAAATGGCTAATTTGTGATCTTACTAAAATACAGAATTCTCTGTAGCAGTAAAAAAAAGTATGAGATCTACATAAATCTGTATATATAAATCTATATCTAGAGCTCTATAAATCTATATTCATATGGAATTATATGGAAAAGCCCTGAAGCTATATTAAATGGAAAGAATGGGTCAGAGTATTAATCACAGTAATTGTTTCACATATGCAGGGAGGAAGGGGAAACCTATCCTCAAATACGAATATATGTATGTGTCTTTCAGAATGCTAGGAAAAAATTATGCAGGTTACATTCCAAATTACTAACCAGTGCCTGCTCCTCTGAAGGAAATTTGGGCACTTTGTTTTATTTTTGTCTACAAATTGTTAACAATTTAAAAAATTTTATTTTGCTGTTGTAAAAACATTTTTAAGTGTTCAATACATTCTTGTGCACTATAGATTCAAGCTTGTGTACAGATCTCTATAAAGATCTCCAGGACAGCAGATCTCTAGAGCTTATTCATATTGCTTAACTGAAACTTCAGGCTTATTCATTAGTAACTCCCCATTTTCCCTTTCTACCATGTTATATTTTGTTTTTGTTTTGTTTAACATGTGGAGGATAGCTTTTAGAAACTTTACTAGTATGCTCCCAAATTCCCAGGGTGAAAGATACATGCAATACCGCTTTCTCAGAAGTGAAGAAAAGGCCATATACAAAAACATTCCTTTTTCATATAGTTTTATGAATATATTATTAACATACCATTAAAGTCATCATTTGAAGTGTACAGGTCCACTGATTTTACTTCATTTAGTTATTCAACCACTACTACAATCTAATAACATTTCATCACCCTGAAAAAACCCCTTGTACTCATCAAGTCAATCCCCTTCCTGAGCTTTTCCCCTCCCCCACCATCCAATCCAAGGGATCCACTAATATGCTCTCTTTGCCTATGCAAGACATTTCATATAAATGAAATGTGGTCTTTTGTGACTGACCTCTTTTACTTAATGCTCTGAGGTTCATCTAATTGTATCATACAGCAGCACTGATTCCTTTTTATTACTAAATATTCCATTGTAGGGAAATTCCACCCTTTTTTCCTTCATTCATCAGTTGGTAGGCATTGGGGTTGTTTCCATTTTTTGGCTGCTATAAATGATACTGCTGTGAATGTGGATGTACAAGTTATTGTGCAAACCTGTTTTCATTCTTCTTGGGTATATACACAGGACCGCAATATTATAACTCTGTATTTAACGTGGGAGGAACTTGCAAAAACTCTTCCAAGTGGCTGCACCATTTTACATTCCCATCAGCAGTTTATAAAATTTCTCCACATCCTCCCCAATACCTGCTATTGTTTCTTTTTATCACCATTCTAGTGTGTCATGTGATATTTCATTGTGGCTTTCTCTGACAACTAGTAATGCCAAGTATTTTTTTCATGAGCCTATGGGCTATTTGTACATCTCCTTTGGAGAACTGAGATCCTTTGCCTCCTCTCCCACCTTTTTCCAGTACTGAACGGTAGGAGTTCCTTATATTTTCTGGATGGTAATCCCTTACCAGATATACGATTTGCAAATATTTTCTATTTTGTGAGTAGTCTTTTTATTTTCCTGGTGGTGTTTGCACATTCTCTTTTGTGCAACTTACTCCACAAATTTAAGTCATAAGAGATCTTAAAATTAGGCATTTGGGGACATATCACATAAAGGGCTAGTATCCAAAATCTTTAAAGAACTTATCAAACTCAACACCCAAAGAACAAATAATCCAATCAAGAAATGGGCAGAAGACATGAACAGACATTTCTACAAAGAAGACATCCAAATAGCCAACAGAAAAAGTGCTCAACATCACTCGGCATCAGGGAAATCCAAATCAAAACCTCAACAAGATACCACCTCACACCAGTCAGAATGGCTAAAATTAAGTCAGGAAATGACAGATGTTGGCAAGGATGCGGAGAAAAGGGGAACCCTCCTACACTGTTGGTGGGAATGCAAGCTGGTGCAGCCACCCTGGAAAACAGTATGGAGGTTCCTCAAAAAGTTGAAAATAGAGCTACCCTATGACCCAGCAATTGCACTACTGGTTATTTACCCCAAAGATAACAAATGTAGTGATCCGAAGGGGTATGTGCACCCCGATGTTTATAGCAGCAGTGTCCACAATAGCCAAACTATGGAAAGAGCCAAGATGTCCATTGACAGGTGAATGGATAAAGATGTGGTGTGTATACACACACACACAATGAAATATTACGCAGCCATCAAACTGAAATCTTGCCATTTGCAACAACGTGGATAGAACTAGAGGGTATTATGCTAAGCAAAATAAGTCAATCAATCAGAGAAAGACAATTATCATATAATCTCACTGATATGAGGAATTTGAGAAACGAGACAGAGGATCATAAGGGAAGGGAGGTAAAAATGAAACAAGATGAAACCAGAGGTAAACAAACCCTAAGAGACTCTTAATCTCAGGAAACAAACTGAGGGTTGCTGGAGTGGAGTGGAGTGGGAAGGATGGGGTGGCTGGGTGATGGACACTGGGGAGGTTATGTGCTATGGTGAGTGCTGTAAATTGTGTAAGACTGATGAATCACAGACTTGGACCTCTGAAACAAATAATACATTATATGTTAAAAAAAAAAAAGTAGGAAAGGAAAAATGAAAGGGGGGAATCGGAGGGGGAGACAAACCACACGAGATTACGGACCCTGAGAAACAAACTGAGGGTTCTAGAGGGGAGGGGGTGGGGGGATGGGTTAGCCTGGTGATGGGTATTAAAGAGGGCACGTTCTGCATGGAGTACTGGGTGTTATACGCAAACAATGAATCATGGAACACTACATCAAAAACTAATGATGTAATGTATGGTGACTAACATATAATAAAATTTAAAAAGGCATTTGGGTTGATTGTTGCAAATCTAATACATACTATTTTTTTTTTTTTTTTTTTACCTTTTTTCATCTTCACAAATAGAAAATCTTCCGTGCCATGTACGACTATCTGGCTGCTGATGCAGATGAGGTGTCCTTCAGAGATGGAGATGCTATTGTTAACGTCCAAGCGATTGATGAAGGTTGGATGTACGGCACTGTGCAGAGGACAGGCAGGACCGGCATGCTGCCGGCTAACTACGTGGAGGCTATTTAATAAGCATGTCAGAGTATCGCACCTGTTTGCAGGACCTGCACATCCTGCAGTCAGTATTTCAGTTCAGACTCTCCACTATTACCTAAGTCCTCAAGCTGCCTAATGGTTTTTCTGTGTCAGTATGATTAATAGCTGTACCATCCCTTAATTTGTTTCTATATGAACCTCAGTAATTCTCCAGTAAAACGTATGTTAATCATATTTACTACATTATTTTCTGGATTTGGACATAAAACTTAAGAGACAACATTAAACCCATAGGTTCATTATTTTTAAAATTGTCATTATTAAATTTTCCATAGTGTTTTAAAGGAAGTTTAATTATGGAATAGACATTTTAAAAGTTTATGCAGTGTTATTGCTGTATCAACCCAGAGTCTTTCTCCATTACGAAAATGTTGTTTAACATTTTTTTAAAACAAGGATTCTGAACATGTTAAACACATTAAAGAAAAAGGGCAGAAATACTCACCTTTTCCTGGCTTACTGAATGCTGATGCTTTTAATTGTTCCAGTTCTGAAGTTATAAAGGTGATAGTCAATATAAATGGTGCATAAGCTAGTAATAAAGTCTAATTCTGCAATAAACACCACTGATGTAATGACTGTTATTTATTTTTAATAGTTTTTTTTTTTTTTTTTAAAGATTTTATTTATTTGAGAGAGAGAATGAGAGCACATGAGAGGGGGGAGGGTCAGAGGGAGAAGCAGACTCCCTGCTCAGCAGGGAGCCCGATGCAGGACTTGATCCCTGGGCGCCAGGATCATGACCTGAGCCGAAGGCAGTTGCTTAACCAACTGAGCCACCCAGGCGCCCCTTATTTTTAATAGTTTTATGATCGACAAATTTCAGTAAAGCAAATCCATTACTTTAGACTTCTTCACTACAAAAAATTCTGAAAATGTACCATTAAAAATGCACAAGCGTAGGCTTTCTCAGAACTAAACTGTGTTCAGCAAGTTTCCCTTATGGCTCAGCTGATGTTTTAGAAACAACTGTGGGATCAGCAGTGGACAGCTGGGAAATGGATGACACTGCATGCTCCATCCCTACTATTTCCTACAGACCTGCCCCCTCCAATATGCCCTTGGCCAGAGCCCATCCAAAGTGGTGTCACAGGCCTGGCAGTGTGCAAGCAGCCCTGACAGGGGCCAGCACTCCTCCACAGTGACTCCTGCCAAGGAGAGTGGAAGACAACCACACACACCAGCCCAACTGCAGCTCCAGCAGTGGGCTGGGGGCAGACATCAGGCCTGACGGTAGACCCCACCTACCAATGAAAGCTTCTCAGAGGACAACACAGGAAAAGCAACAGGCAGTTCCATAATCACTGTCATCTCTAGCAAACACCTGGTCTGACTCACCTCAAGCCCAAGGTGGCCCCAGACCGGCCCACTAACACCATGGGGACAAAACCCTGTCCACAAGTGGCAAAGAGAGCCATTGCAGATGACTGGATTGAAGGCAAACATGACTCAACCACAAAGTAGGGTGCATGTAACACACATAGGAGACAGCCCTGAAGAGTCAGGTTGAACAGGGCATATTGTGCGGTAGGACACCCCAGGACCTGTTCTTCATATGGCCACTACTTGCAAGAGCAGAAGAAGTAGCTGACTTTCCTAACACACTGAAATAGACACAGACTTAGATAAAATGAAGAGTCAGAGGACTATGACGCAAATGAAAGACCAGGACAAATCACAGCCAAGAGACCTAAAAAAAAAACCAAAAAAAAAAACCCAAAAAAAAACAGAGCTAAGTAATGTCTGATAGAGAATTTAAAGAAATAGTCATAAAAGATACTCACTGGACTTGAGAAAAGGCCTGACCTTGATTAAGTATTTAACAAAGAGAAACATGACCCTATGGTCAAGAACAGAGATAAACTCAGTAATTGAAATTAAAAATATAATGGAATAAAAAATATATAATGGAATAAATAGTAGACTAGAGGAAGGAGAACAGAGGAATGGAAAGCAATCAAGCTGAATAGGAGGAAAAAATAATTAAAAAAATGAAAATAGACTAAGGAGACTAGGTGACACCTTAAGTATAATATTCGCATTACAGAGATCTCAGGAGGAGGAGAGAAAAGGGGGCAGGAAATTTATTTGAAGAAGTAACAGCTGAAAACTTCCCAAATCTAAGAAAGGAAACAAATTTCAGATCCAGGAGCCACAAGGAAGTCCCCCCAAAAACCCAAGGAACTCCATACCAAGACACACAATAATTAAGATTGCAAAAGTACTGAGAGAGAGTTTTAGAAGCAGCAAAAGAGTTACATACAAGGGCACCCGGGTGGCTCAGTCCATTAAGCGTCTGCCTTTGGCTCAGGTCATGAGACCTGAGTCGGGCTCCTTGCTTAGAGGGGAGTCTGCTGCTCCTTCTGCACCCGCCACCCCCCGACCCCCCACCCTGCTCATGTTCTGTCTCTGTCTCTCAAATAATCTTAAAAAAAGTCTTCTCAAACTATTCAAAAAAAAAGAGGAAAAAAAATTCCAAATTCACTCTATGAGGACAGCATTATCCTGATATCAAAACCAGATAAAGACACTACAAAAAAAGAGAACTACAGGTCACTATCTCTGATGAGTATAGATGCAAAAATCCTCAACAAAGTATTAGCAAATTGAATCCAACAATATATATAAAAAAAATCATTCACCACGATCAAGTGGGATTTATTCGTGGGATACAGGGTGGTTCAATATTCACAAATCAGTCAACATGACATATTACATCAACAAGAGAAAAGGATAAAAACCACATGATCATCTCAACAGATGCAGAAAAAGGATCTGACAAAGCACAACATCCATTCATGATAAAAATCCTCAACAAAGTAGGTTTAGAGGAAACATATCTCAACATACTAAGGGCTGTATCTGAAAAACCCACAGCGTACATCATACTCAATGGTGAAAAACTGACAGCTTTCCCCCTATGGTCAGGAACAAGACAAAGATGTTCACTCCAACCACCTTCACTATGTTGAATAATATTGGAAGTCCAGTAATCAGAGAAGAAAAAGAAATAAAAGGCATCCAAATTGGTAAGGAAGAACTAAAACTTTCACTATTTGTAGATGACATGATCTATACATAGAAACCCTAAAGACTCCACCAAAATACTAGAACTGATACATGAATTCACAGTAAGGTCACAGGATACAAAATCAATATACAGAAATCCATTGCATTTCTACACACTAACAATGAAGCAGCACAAAGAGAAATGAAAGATACAATCCCATTTACAATTGCACCAAATAATAAGACACCTAGGAATAAACTTCACCAAGGAGATAGAAGACCTGTTACCCAAAAAGTGTAAAATACTGATGAAAGAAACTGAAGGTGACACAAATCCAAAGAGATTTCATGCACATGGATTGGAAGAACAAATACTGTTAAAAAGTCCTTACTATCCAAAGCAATCTACAGATTTTTTCTTTTTAAATATTTTATTTATTTATTTGACAGAGAGAGACACAGCGAGAGAAGGAACACAAGCAGGGGGAGTGGCAGAGGGAAAAGCAGGCTTCCCGCTGAGCAGGGAGCCGGAGGCGGGGCTCGATCCCAGGACCCTGGGATCATGACCCGAGCTGAAGGCAGATGCTTAACGACTGAGCCACCCAGGCGCCCCAGCAATCTACAGATTTAATGCAACCCCTACCAAAATCCCAACAGCATTTTTCACACAAGTAGAATAATCTTAAAATTTGAATGGAACTATAGAAGACCCCAAATAGCCAAAGCATTTTTTTTTTTTTTTTTTGCAGAGAAAATGGTCAACACCTTTGTATTTGTGTATCTTGGGAAGAGGAGAGTTATTTAGACTTCATGGAAGCAGAAGGGAGTCTGGGGAGGAGAAGGAATGCGTTGAAAAGCACAGTTTGGGAGGTATATGCTAAGGGGTCTGAACATCTGGACCATTTGGCTGCTAATACCCAACCACACTGAGAACTACACGTCCCCAGCCCTATCAGGCAGTATGGAGAGAAGCTGCCATGATCTTTCCAGATTCTTCCTTCCTAATTCTTCCCAATGGCTGAGCCACTGGATCACCTTCCTGGAATATTTGGATTTGGGACGGAGAGAATCCATTCATCTTTAGTGGCTGAGGCTCATTAAGCAAAACAGGAAACAAACTCAAAACAGTACGGTACTGGCACAAAACCAGACACATAGATCAATGGAGCAGGACAGAAAGCCCAGAAACAAACCCATGATTATACAGTCAATTAATCTTTGACAAAAGAGGCAAGACTATGCAATGAGAAAAAGTCTTTTCAACAGACAATGTATGGAAAACTAGACGTTACATACAGAGGAATAAAAGTGGACTTTCTTACACCATACACAAAAATAACCCCAAAATGGATTAAGGACCTAAATGTGAGACCTGAAACCGTAACAATCCTCGAAGAAGAGTGCACACACAGTATCTCTGACACTGAATGTAGCAACTTTTCTCCACAGCAGCATTTCTCTAGATCTGTCTCCTGAGGCAAGGAAACAAAAGCAAAAATAAACTATTGGGACTACATAAAAATAAAAAGCTTCCACACCGCAAAGGAAACAATCAACAAAAGACAATCTACGGAATAGAAGATATTTGCAAATGACGGATCTTATAAAGGGTTCGTATCCAAAATATATAAAGGACTTATATAATTCAACACCAGAAAAACAATCTAAATAAAAATGGGCAGAAGACATGAACAGATATTTCTCCAAAGACATCCAGATGGCCAACAGACACATGAGAAAATGCTCAACATCACAGATCATTAGGAAATGCAAATCAAAAATACAATGAAATATCACCTCACACCGCACGCCTTTCAGAATGACTAAAATAAAAAACGCAAGAACAGCAAGCATTGTCAAGGATGTGGAGAAAAAGGAACCCTCACGCACTGTTGGTGGGAATACAAACTGGTGGTGCAGCCACTATAGAAAACAGTATGGAGGTTCCTCAAAAAATTAAAAATGGAACTAATCACACTACCATTTACCCAAATAGGAAAACACTAGTTTGAAAAGATATGTGCACCCCTATGTTAATGCAGCATTATTTACAACAGCTAAATTGTGGAAGCAGCCCAAGCACCCACCGATAGATAAAATGGATAAAGATGTGGTATACATATAATGGAACGTTACTTAGCCATAAAAAAAGAATGAAATCTTGCCATTAGCAACACGGATGGATCTACAGGATATAATGCTGAGTGAAGTAAGTCAGAGAAAAACAAATACCATATGATTTCACTCATATGTAGAATTAAGAAACAAAACAACCTAACAAAGATAAAAGGAGACCAAGAAAGACTTAACTATTGAGAAGTGATGGTTTTCAGAATGGAGGCTGTTTGGGGGGGGGGGGGGGGGGGAGGAATTGGTAAAGTGAAGGGGATTAAGGGTACCTTTATCATTATAAGCACAGAGTAACGAACAGAATTGTTGAATCACTGTATTATACACCTGAAACTAACACTGTATGCTAACTATACTGGAATTAAAAGAATAAAAGGAAAAAATTTACATACATCTTCAATACCAATTTATTATCTATCTGCTTAATAATGCAATTTGCTTCCTTTTTTGTAATGCATGGTGTTGGGGAAGCCCTATGGAAAATGAGAAAGCTTTAAAAATGAGTTGTCACTCTGGCTCCTCCACTCAGGGGAAATGTGGCCTGAGAGGGGCTAAGTACAATGGAAAGAAGTAGGTAATTGGCCTCCCCAAATATCCTTAAGTACTAATTTAAATTTAGAAATAGCTTATAAATTCACTATTGCAAAACTAAAAATTAAACTTACGATAAAAAAATAGCTATGGGATCGAATCCTAACCTCAGGGGATCTTTCTAATCTACAGCCAGTAGATTATAGAGCACAAGGCAAAGATGGTAAACTGTCCTCAAGCTTCTTAATGTCTCTCTCGAGACTGTGCACATGTGTAAATGCTCAGAGACCACATTTGTGTGCCAGGTACCACACTAGATGCTGGGGTTAGAGTGATGAGCCAAAGACTGTTGTGTCCTTATGAAACTTTATAGTCCCACGAAAAAGGCAGGCCATGCCAAAGCGTCTTCTTAATGGTAGGAGAGACAGCCACTCTCCCGTCTTCAATTGTCCTTTAAACTGGGTTAAAAATCCAGGTTAAATGTAGCAATACCATTGTGTGCTATTTTTCCAACCTTGGGAACAAAGTTTATGCTGTCTCAGTTACAATAAATGTTTTAGTTTTAAAATTTCCTATTCACTTTTTAAGGCTGCCAAAGCACTCTGCAGTTGCTGTTAGAGATACACAATTTTTATCTAATTCTAGGGCTTTTAGTTAAAAGCTTGGAAATTTTTCATACACAGTATAAATAGAGAATCCTACTATACCCACCTCCTGGTTTTCAATTTATGGCTAATCTTGTTCTATCTACCCTACCAATGCTCTCCTCCCATTACCTTAAAATGAATTCTTTTAATCACATCTTAAAACAATCACAATTGACACACCTTAAAACACTTGACAGTCCATATCCAGGGTTCAAATTTTCCTGCTCATCCAACTTTCAAGACTTCTGCTTGTACCCCCATTCTGTCAATACAGTGATACCAGGGAAGTCCTTTGTACAAATACCCACTACCACACATTTAGACGACCTACGGCTGCAAAGATCCTCAGTGACTAGCTGTTCATACCATCTGCAAAAGGTTATAAAAGAGATCAATTGGCAACTGAGTTATATTGGAGTCAGAGTCAGCACTACAACCCAATTCCCTTGATGACTAGTGTTCATGGTACTACCCAATGCTACTCTTGTGAAGTTCTTACTATGGGTTCTTCAGGTCCCCACAAGCCCTAACCACCTCACCCCCCACCCCCACAGGCCTCAGAATGTGACCTTATTTGTCAAAGGGTCATTGCAGAAGTTATTAGTTAAAACGAGGTCATTAGGATGAGCCCAAAGCCAATACAAATGGTGTTTATAAAAAGGAGAAGTCCAGACAAATACACAGAGAACACCATGTGAAGCTAAGAGGTTGGAGTGAAGCTTCTACATGTCAACAAAGTAAAAAATTGCTAGCAAAGCACCAGAAGCTAGGGGAGAAGCATGGAAGTCTTCCTCACAGCCCTTACAAAACACCAACCCTATCCACAACTGTCTCAGGCTTCCAGCCTCCAGAACTGTGAGACAATGTATTTCTGTTAAACAACTCTCAGTTTGTGGCTCTTTGTTGCAGTATTCATCAACATCATCAAGTCTATTTCATTTTTAATTTAGATGTATGGATCTACAAGTATGTCGAAACCATAAACTATGAATATGAGAGAACCTCTTCTATGGCTAAAACGGGTCTTAAAATAAGAATGGCTCATGTGTCTGTGGAGGGTCCCGGTGTTCATTAATGTTGGTATGTGAATTATACTAATCTTACTCAATTCAAAGCCAAACCAAACAAACAAAAACAGTGCCAGAATTGCTTAGTTTTTACAGTTTTATTTCAGATTAAAGTGCATTTCTTTAAAAATGTTTCAATATCCAGTTTCAATTGGCAAGTAATAACAGTTAACTCTCAATAGATCATGAAAAGTTTTACTGTGGGTAAGACAAATTCTCCCTCCCTCAATCCAATCATAATAAACCTGAAAATACACTTTTAGTATTGGTCTACCTGCTTCAAACATTGTATAAAGCATTACACAAATAACACTGACCACATCCTTATTTCCCAAATACTAGTGCAGTTAACTGAGTAATAAACAGGTACTTCCGTGAAATTTCAACTTAAATCATTCGACTTATCAAATATAAACACTTTGAATGTAAAACTAAGCTCTCAGAATTTATCAAGTGGTGGGAACAAAAATATCGTAGGGCAAATAAATGACTGATTTGGCTTCTCTCAGCCTGGCCTAAGTGCATTTAGTCAAGTCTATCCATAGGAGGTAGTGTTAAGATAGATTGAAGCAACGGATTCCCCACCAACACAGAAAGCAAACTCCCTCAACTCCCAATTTATTTCACAGGTAATGACAGAACCACTGAGTGCCAGATGCCTTTCCCTCATACATCAGTGTCCCTTAACATCCATGGTAAACACATTACTGTAATTTGAGTTTAAATAGGAGAAAAAAAGTGTACCTAAAAAGTACCAGTATCTCCTAGTATATGTGTATTTGAGCAATAAAGTTAAGATATAAATGCAATCAGGGGAACACATTTTTGTAAAAGTAAAATCTAAGTAACAGCAATAGAAATGAAGGACTTAAGGAAGGAAGATCCCTGTTTGCCATCTAGAAGCAAATGATCAACTGGATTTACATGCCATGTATGAACAAACCTACTCTTTGTAACAGGGAGCAGCAAACTTTACACAAAGGGGCCAAATAAATATGTGAATGTTAGGTGTTAACAGGCCATACAGTCTGTCACACTACTCCAATCTGCTACTGCAGCAGGAAAGCAGCCAAAGATTTTATGTAAATAAACATGGCTGTGTCCCAGTGAGACCTTATTACTGGCACTAAAATTTTAATTTCATCTTTCCATGTGTCACAAAATATTACTTTTGATTTTTTTCAACCCTTCAGAAAATGTAAAAACCATTCCTACCTCAAAGAATGTATAAAAAATAAGGGGCAGGCTGTAGTTTTTTGACCTGTTCATTAACAACTTACTAGGTTAAGACTGCCATATTTCAGTTTCTATACTCAAAATTCATTGTTCTTAATTTCATTTTCTAGAAAATTCCCATTCTACAAAAATAAAAACGTCTTTAGACACTTGCTAATTATTCAATTAAATATCAAAATAACTGTTATGCTATATTCCATTTTCCATTCCATGACTTTATCCTGAAGGTGAACCTTCTAGTTATATGCTATTTATTCATTTAAGAAATAATTCTGCCTATTACTGGGAGTTATTTACTCCTTTTTGTGGGGCAGGATATTAAATAATGTATACTTTATTTTTTAAAAAGATTTTATTTTTAAGCAATCTCTACCCCCAATGTAGGGCTTGAACTCACAATTCCAAAATCAAGAGTTGCATGCTCCACCACTGACCAAGCCGGACAGGTGACCTGTAAATAATGTCTATTTTAAACAATTATTCAGGGTATTTATGAGTATCAGTTCTGGTACTGTTTTATATATAGGATACCTGTCAGCTATTTTCAAAGTTTATATGACTGTCCCTATACTAAAAAGCTACATACTTTTTTTTTTAATTCCATGTGCTATCAATTTAAAATATTGCCTTCAATCTTATACTCTCAGGTAAAGGGAGAGATTATCTTTTCTTCTAAATGGTATACTTCAGAAGAGTAAGCATTTACAGCTTGGCACTTCATGTTTGGTTTTACTGTTCTTTGGCTTGGTATATAAAGGAAAAATGGTTAAGACCATGTTATAAAATTTACATTCTATTCCAAGAAATGGGTGAACATTCAATTCTGTTAGACTACTACTCTATTAAATAGCTATAGATTTCAAACCCTAATTACTCAGATTTTAATACTTTCAAAAAGCAATATACAAAGCCTGGCATATGATAAACATATCATATTAACTGGACCATCACAAACCGAAGCCCAGATTTGTTTTATAAATCAAGCAATCAACAAATTTTGATAAATCAATTAAAAAACACCATTATTTCACTTCTGGCTACATTTTCTTAAGTGCTCTGGATGAGTACAATTCTTATGGAAAGAGAATTTAAAACATGTGAGGGAAACATAACAGAATGCTGAGAAAAACTCATTTTTAGAGAATCAAATTATTCAACTGTCTTTTAAACACCATTTTAAGATGAAATAGAAAATTTCAACAATATAACAGCAAAGTAACCAGAGGTCTTTACTAAAATGACAAGTCAGATCTGTCAGACAGGGCTTATTTGGGTACTGCTAACTTAACCGCCAAGTTAATCTTAGGGTAGTCTGTTTTCAATGAAGCCCCATAACTTAGAAGACAAGATTTATTTAGAGACTAAATATATTTCTAATATCTGAAAATTTACTTTTGTATTAAAAAAAATGAGAACATAATCCACATACACTATTCATTAAAAAAGGCTCACATTGTCTCATCGTTTAGGAAGGTTCTTTATAACATAAGTAACTGTTTGCCTATTTAAAAACGTAAATCTTCCTCCCCAAACCATAATAAATTTTCCATGTCTAAAAAAGGCTCCAAATGAGACAAAATTCTACCTTTAATTCTTGAAAAACTTTTGAACTCTAATTTGAAGCCTTCAAGACCAGTCTGCAACCCCAATCATAAACCTGAAAAAGTTATTTAAAAAAACACTAAATTTTATCTTTTGTGGCAATAATTCCTGGGACTTAAACCTGCTTGTGTTATCACCTAATTCACAGCCTGAAGCCTCGTAGGCCTAACCACCACAAATGCAATCCACAGACATCACCATTTGTATGGGTCATGTGGGAGCTTTTAGAGATGAACTATCAGGCCCCATCCCAGACCTGCTGAATCAGAATCTGCATTTTCATACATACATACAAGTTTGAGAAGCACTGTGTTAAAGTCAAAACTTAAACTCTAACACTTGTATACAATGTATAAGACCCTTCTGATGGCTTAAGGATAAAACAGACATGGGTTGTGCTAATGTGCAAACAGCTCCCTCTCCCCCACCAAAATCTTAGCCTAATAATGTCAGTAACTGCTATTTTATGGCCTTCTAGCCCAGTTGCAAATCATCTCCCTGAAAATTAATAAAGAAGGATATGAGATGGAAACTATGCCCTTCCTATTGGATTATAAAGTCATTTGGAAAGAATGACATTAAGGTAAAATGTGAACCCTTTTAAGCTCATATTTTCTGTTAAATTCCAACAAAGGTTTTTAAAACAGCACTTATTTTTAATTACTATCATTCCTTTATCTTAGAAAAAATACTCTAATTGTATATTTTACACACCCCTCCAATTTTCCCAATTTTGTTTCTTGCCCTGCCACTTTTATTTTAGACAAAATATAATCCAATTTCCTTAACATTTTTTTGATTCTAAAATATATAACAGAATCCCTGACTACTTTCAAGCTGTAAAGAAAAGAATCCACGAGCAACGCCAGAAACTATCATGTTCAGATTTAAATCTTATTTTTGACTATATTATCCGATAACCTTATCACTAAACCTGATTCATCCTACACTATACGGAATTTGAGCAAAAGCTCCATACCATTTAACAATGGCTTTCAAACTTGTTCAAATATAACATCTTTGACAATGGGCTCAGGGCAACACTAAAAACTTAAATCCACCATATGAAGTCCATTTTGGAACATGAGAAATTATACTGTGCTTCTGCAAGCAAACAGATTCTTTTTATAAATGCATAAAATAAGAAATCACATTTGAGTGTTCTTATTAATATTTGCCATTTGTTTTATTAACCCTTAGAAAATATTGAAAAAAACTGATTTAATTTTAATAGTTAAACAACATACTGAAACTGATCAAGGAGAATTAATATTTTTTGCTATTTAGGAATCATTCAGGGAAAAATTTAAGGCAAGAATATTAAAAATAAGGTGCCTCAAATATACACTTAACAACTATATCAACAATGAAGATTTAGCAAACTGGCTTCTGCCTTCAAGTAACATTTTTAAACACATCCTTGTTCAACCACAGTATTTGAAAATTAAACTTGTGCTTGTATCAAATTCAGTGATTTAAGTAAATGCTAATCAATCACTTTAGTCACATTTTCTCCTATGCTGTTCTTGTTCTCAAGAACTTCATTTCACCAGTTAGTTCACACAAACATTAAGAGGATATAAGCATGAGATAAGCCAATTTTAACTCCATACAAACACATGTACATACTCCTTCTTACACCTGTTAACTAAAAATTTATGTGCCTCTTAACTGTAAAATATAATTTGGGAAATGGGAGGTAATATAAACCAGTTGTAATTCTGTTAACAAGTTTCCATTTTTAGTTATTTCTTCAAGCTACAATCCTCAGTTTATGGTCCCAGAATTTCCTTTAAACCCAACCTTGGGATAGGACTATGAAACTTATAACCCCCCCCAAATATTTGTGATGATGATGGATTTATAATTATGAAAAAGACACCAACTTTTCTGGCTGGTGGGTGGTCCCCTTCTGAATATAAGAACTAACTAAACACAAGAGTTAAACTTTCTGTAACTTGCTGAAGAATGTGTGCCTTTTCAAGCTGGTTAGTTCTGAATAAAGTATGAAACTGTGAAGGTCACTCACTCATTCTAATCAGAGAGCAAATGATATATTCTCACTGTAAAGAGATGAAACAAATATGGGAAGTCAGGCACTAATACTAGTCGGTAAAATTTACAAATGTTTTAATTATATACACCCTATTTTTAAAAACAGGCAAAACATACATATTTCAAAAGAACAGTTTCAAATTTCTTCCAAGTTTGCTTTAGGTGTAGGTGAAAAGAACAGGTAATTTCTAGATTTCATATAGTCCAAGTTGTAACAAAAATAGTCAAACTCTCCATTAAAAAGAAATGTAATGAAGCTTTCTAGTGGCTGATACCCTCCTTCCAAACCGCCCCCCACCCCAAAAGTAATGGGTATGAATAACAAAGTTCTCATGTAACACTTTCTCATTTCTAGAACTTTAACTCCTTCTGGTTACTTTAGAAAATAAACTCATGTTGTTACTAAGACTACTAAGTACAAAACTATTTGTATTTGTAGATGCAGAACCCTACAAATATCTGCAGCAAGCCCACAAAGCACTTCTACTGTCAATACTGATATCTCAGTATTTAATATATACAAAATAGGTTTCTATTAAACAAAGGTATTCACAAGTAGCTGCAGAAAAATTCATGCCATTAACAAAGGCTGAAATTTATAAATTAAAAACATTGTAATCTATACATAATATACAAACAGTCGTGCATTTTAAAATGAATTATGATGTGTCTCATACGACTAAATTTTCACAAGCAAATGCTGCTGCACAAATAAATGGAATTTTAGGTATGTTCTGCTTTAATATTTTAACCCCAAAAGTTGCAGCTTTTGGTATTTTTCTTGAAAGCTGTCCAAAGTTGACATCTGCGGAAAAAATGATCCAATTCTTTTGCGTCTCATTTAAGGTGAACAAATTTCTTAAACCTCAGGCACAACAAATATAAATTAAAAAAAAAAAAGTATAAACACCTTTATCAGTTCAGCAAAAAATTCAAATAGAAATGTTCAATTTTACTTACTTAAAATAAGGTATTTTTCACGAATGTTTCATCAGAATATGTAGGAGTTTAAAATGTGTGAATAAAATGCTTTTGTTTCTAGTTTTCGCTTCCACATTTCAGTAAGATATTTAAATTTTTGAAAAACTATGCATAGCGGCCAAGAAAATATTGTATGAACAAAAATATTACATAACAAACTTAAATTGAACTTACGTTAAGTCACAGCCCTTCAGGGTTTGAAATGTTATCAACTTTGTGAACATTCAGTCTGATATTGTGCTATATTTCAAAACTTATTTTATGATCAACAAATCCAGTGATGTTGGGGGAAAAAAAAAAAAAAACACAAACCTTCACTTTTCTCTTAAAATACTAAACAGAATTTTCATGGGTTGGTGACCTCCAACGTGACTGCAAATTTTTTATTATAGAGTTCGCCATGTTACCAAGTTTCTCATGCATTTCAAACAGCTGGCTTCCTGAATAATTATGGAGATCTTCAGAATCTAGTTGAAGAGCAAGTGCACTAATCTGTGCCACAAGATTTTTAGGTAATGGAGTTTCCAAAGCAACAGGATCAATTAAATCTAAAAGAAAAAGAAAAAAAGCACAATTTATCTATTCCAGATAAAACTTAAGTTGTATGTATCTCCTTTTAAGTTAATAAAAAATTTACGTGCCTAAGATTTAAGTTGAGTGTGCAGGCTGAGGTACTGCTGTTCCTCAAGAGAACAAGGCAACAGAAAAATCTACACCATAACTTATTCAGTGCCATTAAAGAAATAGCCAGGATACCTCATTTTTATTAACAGCGTAACTGGAACACACTGTTTAGTTTATATCCTTATTTGAGTAGCAGTTGACAATTCGAGAAAAACAACTAGATATACTTGGAGTCAATACCAGTTACTTTTTCATGCACTTTGCCACTAGCACCAAAAAAACCCCCCAAAAAACAAAAACCTTATCAAATTAACAGAGCATGGTCAAATTAAAACTAGAAGCATATATTCAAAGTCAGCTGATGCTGTAACTAAAATTGTCCCGCTTTGCTAAAACATACCTGAGGCAAGTCTTTCTTCATCAGAAGGGAGAGATTTAGTTTGTATTCCATTTACTGTTTTTTCAGAAATATCAAAAACTGGAATCTCCTCTAGTCCACGAGACTTCACCTTGATTATACACAGGCCAGTAAAACAAAAACAAAACCAACAAACTGAAAGTTGCTTTTAAAAGGACCAACATCACCAGCACTGGAAAAGAATCTGACATACGTTTCCCAGCCCATCACATGACTATTAGCTTAGTAAATCTTGTTAAGAAACTACGGTCTACTAACGACACACACAAAAAAGGGATTACAAAGTGTTTTCTGTTTTCTCAAAAAGCTGGTTAGGAGTTCATAATATTTTATAATGGGCTTCTCAAGAAATAGCCATGGTAGCCAAGAAAATTACACTATATTTCCCAAGTTTAGGAGCATAAGAAAATCCAAGGCAGAGATTTCCAAGCTTAAAAAACGTATGGACTTTCTAAAAAAAAGAATACAATTTTGAAAGGTGTTCCCAGGCTTACTGATTAGTGATTGAGAAAATATTAGCTTCAAAAGGTTAGAGTTACCATATTGATGGCTCCATCAATTCGACTCCTATGTAGACACCCAACAGAAAGAATAACATGTCCACACAAAAACTTGTATGAGTGTACATAAGAGCAAAAGGTAAAAACAATCTAAGTGTTAAGCAATTGATGGATGACCTAAATGTTGTATATTCATACAAGGGGTACTATTTAGCCATAAAGAGGAATGAAGTACTGATACACATGAACCTTGAAAACATCATGCTCAAAGAAGCCAGTCACAAAAGACCACAGCTTATATGATCCCACTTTTATGAAAGGTCCACAACAGGCAAGTCAATGAGACTGAAAATTACTAATATAATCTTTGGGTTTCTTAAAAGAGTTTTTAAAGATTACAAATATTTAATAATCTTTAAATCAAAGACTTTCAAGAAAACAGCAGAAGTCTTCAGTAGTTAGCAAACTCTAGTCTCGGAAATTCTAATATAAACATTGGTTTTCAAGCTTTAACGTACCCTGTTTTCATTTATTCACAATTTTGTGTAATTTCAATGGACACATAAAGGGTCTCTGCATAGGTTTCAATACAGTCTGAATCCTTCTGAAAGGAGTTGGGGGGTGGAGAATCTTGGCTTTTATCAGAATCTTGACAAATGGCTATGACCCAAAATATTTATGTACAAAAAGTTAGTAAGAACAAGAAAAATTAGTTCCAGCTGTGTTGGACATCAAAATTGAAATACTGTTAATTACACATTTGCAAGATTTTTGTTATAATGTTTAGATTTGAACATCCAGGTTTTAGGAATAGCAGCCATGGAACCAATCACCAATTTGGTGGAAATGAATGAGACAAGGGGGTAGAAGAGAACTCAAGGAACAAAGAGATGCATTATACAAAACGGTACAAAATCAAGAAGCAAACTTCTCTGGGGAATTATAAAGTGATCTTTTAAGTTAACCTTGCCTGTGGGGGAAGGGAAGAAAAGGTGGCATAAAATGAGTTTTTAAGCAAGACTACCAACTTCTATAATTGTTACTGTGAGATCATTTATCTATACATGATTTAGAACACCTAAGTTTACCTGCTGCTCATGATAGACCCTAAGAGCCTTTTTTACATTGGACACTTTTGGAGAACGGATAGGAAGAGTTTTTATTTCAGATGCTGTAAGAGTACTCAAATCACCAATCGTTTTTATATTCTTGGCTCTAATGAGCTGTCCCAGTCCTCTTGCCCTGAAGAGGTTAAGAAAAAAAAGGAAAAATGTCATCATATACTTTCACATTTCTTCTATTTGTGAGGGCCTACCCAGCTCAATTTCCTGAATTTATGCTGAATCATAACTGAATTTTACATAGGCTTACGTAGCCCACTCTGAGGATAGGCACATATACACTTAATTTAAAACAAAATTTGAATTTGATATGTTTGCCTGGCTTATGCAATAGTGCTGGGAAGAGACTAAGTGCAATGTGTGTCTGACTTCACTTACATTATGACTTAATGGTTGCATGACTTTGGTGGATTAACCTTTGTAAACTTCAACTTGTAAAGTGGAAATAGTAATTATACTCCTTATGGGATTTATAATTAGGATTAAATAAGAGAACATATGCCAAGAGTTCGGCACAGCATCTGGCAAATATTAAGCACACAATTATCTTAACCATTACTGTATTATGATAGATGCTTCTCTTATTGCCCAACCTGTCCCATCTTCCCATATTAATTTTTATTTCTAAAATAAAATGTGCGAGAGTGCATGTAAGTCAATTCTAAATATAAGAACCTCGATCATTTAAACATTCCTCTTAAACAAGTGGCATCTTTAAGTATAAACCAGCACAAGTAACTACTTACCACATGTTTGATGTAATCTGAGGTAAAATGATATCAACTGGAGCCACGCAGTTCACCAAAGCTGGGTAAACACTTTCTGTTGGACATGGCATAGATTCTTTAGCCATTTCTGTAATCTTAGAGTAAATTTCAAAACCGTTAAACAGAGGTCACCTGATTGAACGTGAAAATATAAAGTTTCATGAAAACTAAAGCACTTCTTACTAAACACTTCTTTGAGCTCTTAAACTTAGGGCTACGTGATCCTGGGGACAGAAATCCTTTGGTTGAAGTGGCATTATGCTAGATAGAAGAAAGGAGAGAAAAAAAAACTCAGAACCCTAGAAAACTATAATTTTACAACTTTCATTACTTAGAGTGCAGTAACTTCCTAAAATTTTGAGAAAATGTAAATGTAATAACCTATTACCTAATCAATTACTGGATTATCACTGCCTCTTCCCACCTCTTCATGTTTACCATGTTGCAGACAAAACAATGTATCCAAACCAAAGAAGTCTTATTCTTTATTAGTTTTAAGACAAACTACACAATGCAATTCTGTCCCTGCATACATATAAGCGTATTTTAAAGCCCACAGCTTACCTTAGATTGTGCAGTAGGTGAAGTTTTAACACTTTTTACTATGGGAGAATTATTTGAAGAATGGGACCTAACAATAGAGCATCGCCTATCAATGTCATCTGCCAATCCAGCCTGGTATATTGGATCTGCAAAGGAGACACGGCGAACCTGAAAACACAGGTCATGTTTTTATTTAACAAAATTAAAGTAAAAAAACAAAACAAAAAAACAAAAAAACAAACCACACCATAAATACTCATTATAAGGTCCCCCTAAAATAGAATGTAGGTTTAGAAGCTTAATTTACTTCACTAGAAGCCAAGTGCACATAGTTGTATTTCTTCCTAATGGCTGCTTTCACGGATACTGCTTAATACCACAGGTCATTCCAATTATCCATGTTCTAAATGGTCTCTACGTAATATACCAACAAAGACCGAAACAGGGACAGTGGCAGAAAAATGAAATTGCATGTAGCAGCTGAAATCATATCATCAAATTATACTAACCTTGTAGGCTTACTACAGTGACTTAAAAATACAAGGTAAAGAAGCAGAAATAGTACTAAGTGGCCTCTGGTCTATCATACTAACCCCTGTTCTAAATTCTTTAGAGGGTACCAGAGTCACAGCAACTGGGTGGCAATTTTTCACTTTCGCCTCTTCTAAACTCTTACAATGTGTTCATTCATTCAGCTATTTGATATAATATGCAATAAATAAATATGCAATAAGGCATAACTACTAACCATGTATATAAATGTCTCCTGGTCTTGATTCCCAAGAGTGGGCAGATTCTGTACATATCTGCTATAGAAAACTACAATGTCTTACTGTTGCCTAAATAAAAATTAAATTTGAGGTACTATCAAATAAAACATGACTAGTTAACTTTTCTTAACAATCTAAAACATAACGAAGAAAAATATACTGAAGACCTCAATCACAACTTATTCTATCTTCATACTTCTCAAAGACTTCCAACTTAAGATACTTTAAAAAAAGAACCTCAATAAAAAAGCAAAGCAAAACAAACCAAAAAACTAAATTCTCAGTGTAAGAACTTTTGGTACATCTTGAGGAAGTCTTCACAATGTGCTTGCTAGAGGCAATATTAAGTCTATCCTCTATCTATAGTGTATGTCTGTATATATAAACACATGTATCCTACAGTAAATGGCAGATGCAATTTCAAAGTTAAAGAATGCTCACATCATACCTTTTTAGAACATCTCCTTTACTAAGGAGAGAACAAGTTGAGCTATGTAAGCACAAGTAACTTTTACTTTTTTAATTTATTCATTCAACAAATTATCTGCAAGTTACAGGGTCAGGAGCTAAAGCAAAGAGAATCCATGTTTATAAACCAAAGGAGTCAGTTTAGTGAAGATGGGGAAATAAAATTATAAATGAAATCACATCCAGAAACTGATAAAGGCATAGCCTGAGACTTTTTTTTTCATTAGACAAGGTCTGGAAATAAGAGTTTATCTAAACACTTAAATGTGAAACAGACTGCATAATGTCCTAGCACACAGTGAGTGCTAACTAAAGCTGTTTTATCAGTTTCTAAATGTTTCCTCATATGTTATGAGCAAAACAAAATAAAACAAAACAAAACCAAAAAACCATGAGAGATCCTCATCAATTCTGCAAAAGGTGAACAATGTACATGGCTGAAGATCTTTAGTGTCCTAAAGTAAAGGAATATCTAAGGGCTTCAGTCCCCTTTTATCAACACTTTTTCTTCTACCTGCCCTTTTCCCTAGTCGCTGTAATTATTTAAAATGTGTTGGTTCTATTAATCTAAAATCTGTCATTCACCAGGAACCACTGTATGGCTAAAATACTCAAATATGGACTTATTAATATTCAGCCTCAATTCCCCTACCTTGTGAACAGGTGACGATACCTCATCTTCCTGAGGCCTTTTTAGTCCTCTCTTTAAAATGCTGGTCGATGGAGAAGCCAAAGGAGACCATACACAGCGTGTCTGCATGCCACTAGGACTGCCATTTGCTGATACAAGTAAAGGATCAAGTTCCCTTAATTTTTGAGGAGATGCATTATTGTCTTCTGTTATTAGTTCAGAGATGGCTGTTTCAGATGTCAGAGACTGTGATGTTTCCTCCACTTTCTCTGAAGTATGGTGAACTTGCTGTAAAATCTCATCATTTCCCCCCACCACTCGATTGTCATCTGATGTTGTTTCTTCAGACTTATTAAGTTCAGTATTTGTTTCAGTTTCATTAGAGTCAACTTTTCCTTCTTCAGTGCTCATCCCAAGTGTGCTGAGAACAAAACTGCCGATTTCCATAGTTGAAGTCTTTGTTTCGGCTTGTACAGGCTTAGTAGAGATTTTGGTAGTCGAGTCCCTGTCCTCTGTTTCATTGACTTGATCAGCTTCAGCACTCACCTCACCAATCACTGTCTCTTCACAATTTTCCATTTCAGCATTCATTTCTTCAGATGAGCCTGGACCAGATTCGTCACTTCTTTCATCTAATTCCCCAACTGCTGTTTGTTCAGGTATCTCTACCTGAGCACTCATTTCTGTGGTATTATCAGAATGACCAACACCAGAATTAAATTCTTCAGTTACTGCTTCTTCAGCCTTCAGTTTTTCAGCTGCCTCTGCTTCAGATTCATCACTTCTTTCACTATTTATCTCCATTACCTCTTCTTCACGAATACCAGTTTCGGTACTCTTTTGTTCAGAAAAGCTAGCTTCAGATTTATCACTTTCTACATCCAATTCAATAGCTTCTACTTCTTCTGGATTGAATTTTGCTTTAGCTTTACATGCATCTGTTTCAACATTGACAATGTTCTCTATACTTAATTCCTTTTCCAAGATAGCCTCTGACTTTTCTTCTTTGGTCTCCAAAGTAGAACATTCCAGTGAATTATCTTTGGAATCACCTAAACATGGGCTAACAGTTTTACATTTTTTATTGGATGGCTCTTGGCTTTCAAGAGGTGCTGCTTCTTCAGAAACCATATCACAAGTTTCTTCTTCAAAATTTACTACTTCAGAAGGAAGAGGGTTTTGAATAGTATTTTCTTTCAACTCACTTTCAGATATAATTAATGAATCATTAACAGTATCACTCTCCTCCTTGAGTCCCAAATGAAAATTCACACCATTATGTTCATCTGAAAGTTTTACCTCAGAGCACAAATTAGCTTTAGAAGTCTCTGATACATTTACAGGTGTTTGCATATCTGTCTTTTTTGTTTCATTGACTTTTACATCATAGTTTTCTGTATTCTTTAACCCAATGAATGACTTTTCCTGAGGCTGTGATTTTTCTCCACAGCAATCACAACCTTTAGATCTCCTTACCCTCCTACTTCTCTTATGCTGGCATTCAAGTGTTTGAAAAGTTTTTTCAGAAAGCAAAGAAATGTCTGATGTCCCTATTTTTGAGGATTCTCCCACGGTGTTATTTTCTATAGAATCTCGTTTTTGTAATCTCTTGCTGGCATTTCTAGTCCTTAGATTTGATTCTGGCACAGAAGGGTTTGAAAAGGAATATTCTGTACATTTGTTGGTTTTACTTTTTCCCTCGTAAGTAGTTGACACATCATCAGAAACCTGCAATAAATCTGAAGATACTGTAGAATCTTCAAGAGTTACATTATTACTCTCATCTTTTTGTTCACAAATCTGAGATTTTAGGTCTCTCTCTACTTCAGAATTTGCTTTGCAATCAAGTGTCTGGTTGTCAACATTTACACATTCCTGTTTTATCACTTTCTCCTCCTGATCTTGAATGTCAACACTATCACTGCTTTTGTTTTTCCATTTTCCAGATCTCTTCTTTTTAGAACCTTCTTCTTTTGCCTCAGAACTATCAGATTCTGAGTTTTCAATGCTGGAAAGTAAACCTTGGGATGCTCTTCTTGTTTGATACCGTGTTCGACCACTTACTGGTTTTTCAGAGGACTTATCTGCAAAGTCCTGGGCACCGTCTCCCTCAGATTTAATATTCTCAAGGTCTAGCTTTCTTTTACTTTCATCAATTTCAGCAGTAGTGCTGGTTTCCCCAAAAGTCTTCTCGTGTACATTATTTCCTTTCTCAATTAAATTTTCCTGTACAGTTTGTTCAGAAATCAGTTTTTGCTTAGGTAACACATCATCTTTTACATGCAACGGACTTTTCTGAAGGGTCTTTTCTTCTTCCTTACGTCTTTCTTTTTTTTGATGATTATTTTCTTTCTCTTGGCTGTCAGTGGTAGGCTCTGCTACTTCTGAACGTCGCCTTGAGGATCGTCTAAGCATTTTTTGATTTGGAGTTATCTGAACAGGACTATCCTCATCTACCATTTGATCTGCTGGTATTATAGCTGGGGGTGTATTTTCTTTGGATTCCAAACTGATTCCTAATGTTTTCTCTTCTACAGTATTGTTTTCTAATACTACATTTTCTATTGTTGGTTTAAGCATTGTATCCTCATATTCCATCACAGATTCAGAGAGATGAGCCTGATTATCTAACATACATTCTGTTTGATTAAGCAAACCAGGTGGGTTATTTTCTAAGACTACTGTGACATCAATAGATTCCTGAGTATTTTTCTCTTGATCGGATCTCATTAAGAGTTTAGACCTTTTGTTCCCTATTTGTTCAGCTTTACTTGACCTCCGGCTTGATCTCTTAATTCCATGTGCTATTTTTTCAGAATCACATTTTGCAAAAACCATTTCTCTTTTCTTTGCTTTTGGTGGAGTATCTGTTTTACCCATGACTTCCTGGTTATTTTTCACTGTTACAGTTGATGACATATTATTTAAGGGGGACGGACTAAAAGGTCTATTTTCTGAACCATCAAACTTCTCCAAAGTAATAAAGGTTTGCCTCCGACTTGTAGGCTGTGGGGGAGTTCCAGAAATAATGGTATTAGAAACTGAGCTACTGTTGAGACCAGAAGTATTTTCTGCATTAGATACACATTCAGTCATTTTCTTTGATGAAATTAAAGCTTTCTTTCTGGCATCATTATTACTGCTCGGTACTTCTGGACTCGTTTCCTCATTAGAACCACAGTCATTATTTGAAAGAGAAACCTTTTCAAGATGCTCATCCATACCACAGTTTTCCATGACATCTTGAGAAATAACAATGTCACTTTCCATTTGTTCCTCCTGCACAGAAACGTACACATGTATATAGATTAAACAACAAACAAGATTTCTGAGGGAAATCGTACTGTAAAACTTCAGGAATTCAAAAGGCAAATCACTGACTTTCAGTATTTTGCAAATATTCCAAAGGTGGTGACAGATGCCCATTAATTTGTTTCTAATTATAAATATTTTTAAAAGCCAAATATATTTACTTTAAACACGCATACACTCACACACATCCACAAACACAGTAACTACAATTCTGTGAAAGTCTATCAGTGAGAGTTATGAGATTATGCAATATATCTTAAAATTAATACAAGAGATTTCATAATGGAACGATTCTAAAAACCCCCAAACATGAAATACCAAATATACCTTAGGTATCACCTTGGAATCTTCCTTTGATTTTTCAGTTAAAGCAGGAATTTCCCTAAAGTAAAAATGTATGAATTAAAATACTGTTTTTAATTAAAAATTAGAAAACCAGTTACTTCAACAGCTTCCATACTTACATGGACTCTTCCTGGGTATACTGAGAAAACAAAGTGTCTTGTGAAACATCCAGATTATTATACATGACAGGAATATCGCATCTGAAAAAGATCTTACATAAATAACTTCAAAATGTGGTATTCCTATAATTAGAAATTAAACTTAGATTTGCACATCTAGTTATCTTTTAAGAACAATGTAAAATTAAGGCTTAGATGTTTATTTTCCATGAAATCATCTTCTCTACCTTCTCCAACACTACCTCCATTAATGATTCAGCTCTGAATGCATAAACCTTTGGTACATTACTAAGTAACTGTATATATTATGAAACGCAGCCACGTTTGGCATATCTTTTTGGCATTAAAATATAGCATATTATATGTAGTATTTTAGTTCTAAACACAAAGTTACAGTTACCGCATGAAATCTAAATATAGGTACAGAATACCCAATTCAAGATAAAAGGCTACAAACCTCTTTGTTTTGAATACTTCTTTCTGATGTTCAGTTAGTATTCTTTCCTTTGCTTCTTTTCCTTCTGGAGGTATAAACACAAAGTCAATAGACTTTTCCTCTTCCAAAGGCATTTCACTCTTTGTTTTGGCAGAAGACGATTCTAATTTCAACTGCAAATTTATAAAAGGCAAATGTACGTCTGAGTTTCCAAATGATTTTCCAACACTTCAATCAATCTCTATTCCAGCGCTCTAGTGAAGTTATTCAATAATGACTAGGAAGTTTGAAGTTCAAACCTATAGGATATCCTTGGTTAATAATTAGTACAATGTCCTTCCCTTTCATTCTGCTTTTAATAAACATTCAGAAAATAAAATTACACCTCTTTAAAAGTAGGCAACTTACTTACCAACAAAGCACAGACAAGTATGTTTTTCCGGCCAACATATGGAAATCAAGTGATGTGGCAAGAAGAGAATATATCAGCAGCTCTCAAGTTGAAGCATAAACTAAGTCAAATTAAGTAAAAGTCACCGAAATAATACACGCTCCATACCAGTAACATTGGTACTGTTATTTTTACACACTTTCAGTGTAATTGTTTTCATTCTACTTTAAAGTTGCTACAGTACACCCGTTCTTTAAAAATAGCATTTTTTCTTTCATTTTTGCCAGGGCCATGGTTTCAATATTCTAGAATACCCTTATTGAAAGTCACGGAGGAGAGAATTATTGTCTGAAAATCAGTTAACTGGCAATTAGTAAGATTAGGGGTATTAGATATGAGGCCAAAACAGATATCTTACCTAGGTGTTCTCTTTCTATTCAATAACAGAAGTTCTAAAATGTTCTCTTATGCTACCTATGCTATAACTAACATACGTAGAGTTCATTCCATCTCAAGGGGGCTACTGCCTGAATTAACTATACTTAATGGATGCTACACATTTTTTTTTAAAGGATTTTGTCAGAGAGAGAGAGAGTGCACACACGCGCACAAGCAGGAGGAGTGGCAGGCAGGGGAGAAGCAGGCTCCCCACTGAGCAAGAAGCCCAATGTGGGGCTTGATCCCAGGACCCCGGGATCATGACCTGAGCCAAAGGCAGGCACTGAACCAACGGAGCCACCCAGGCGCACCTGGATGCTACATAATAAGCAGACTTAACTTTAGTAAGAATGCATCATTTCACAAAGCTTCTAGATTTCCACACTATCTTAAGTCTTTTTAGACCAAGCTCTGTTATTCTCCTTTAACCCTATCTTTTATTTAGCCTTTAATCACTTTTTTTTCCCAATTAGAAGCTGTATATCCTCAAGCTACCATCTACTTTTATATTAAAAGTTCTATTTAAGTTTGGAAAAACATACTTTGACTGGTGGTTTCTTGTTTTCTTTTGCATCCTTTGTTTGTGCCAAAAAAGAATCTCTTTTTCCACTTGATTTTCTTTCCATGCCACTTATCTTCATATTTAACTGTGAATTTTCTGTCTGTTTTATTAAAAATAAAACAATTTTTAAGTGCAAATGTTCTATTTCTCCTTTTCATGCTTTGAAAATTCCAGTATAATACTCATTTCAAATATCAAATTCCTTCTCATTATTCACTTATTAAAATCATATCAAAGAAAAGAGCCATTAATTAACATCTCTAATTCATACAGTAGTTATTTTGCACCATTTTTATAAATTTTATGAATTCTGAATATTTTGAGAATTTTACAAATTCTAAAAAGAAGATACACCATATAAATACTAAAAATGAATCAAACTAATGAACTCAAAGACCCCTCCTATTACTGGGAATATTTCTAAGGAACAATCACAGCCATAAAACTTTAAACATCAAACAATAAGGCATGCATGATACAAAATATTACCTACCATGTCCCTTTTAGACTTTTTCAGGACAAATTATACCAAACAAGTCTCAACAAGTCTAATTATCTGATAAGAAAATTTTATTTTAGCCAAAAAACAAAAACTGGAGTGCTTAGGTAGCTAACTTTTTTTCTCTTACAGGTTCTAAACAATTAACAGCCAAGACTCCATTTGTTGTTGAATAGGAAAAAAGTTGTCTAATGATGTCCTACCTCATGGATATGTAATACTCATGCCTTTACTGCTTGATCCTCAGACAGTAATTATTATTAGCCAAAGTAACCTTGTTCCAAATGGGTTATATGATAGCAAAGATGTGTTTTTCTGACAGGAGGAATAAGATTTGACGTGAAGAACAGAGAAAATGAAGGACAGCTCGTGCTTAGACATAGACCAGTAACTATTATTCCTGGTTTACCTAAAGCAACACTTAACCATGTATTTTAATAATTACATTTGCAAAGGAATACACACTAAATGCCATAGTTCAAAAAGGATCATTAATGAACAAGAATCAGAGACTATTTACCTGAGAATCTATGGTGAAATTTCCTGCCCTTAAATCAGAAAATTATTTTAGGCCAAAGGGCAAAAAAACCCAGCTAAAATAAACAAATGAAATTGCATCAAATTAAAAACCTTTTGCACAGTGAAGGAAACCATAAACAAAATGAAAGGGCAATACACTGAATGGGAGAAAATATTCACAATACATCCTGATAAAGGGTTAACAGCCAAAATTTATAAAGAACTCATGGAACTTTATATTTAAAAAATATCCCAATTAAAAGATGGGTAGAGGACTTGAATAGATGTTTTACCAAAGATATAGAGGGCCAACAGGCACATGAGAATATGCTCAACATCACTATCATTACCAAGGAAATGCAAAGGAAAATTACAATGAGGTATCACGTCACACCATTAAGAGTGACTATTATGGAAAAGAAAGAACAGCAAGTGCTAGCAAACATATGGAGAAGAGGGAACCCTCGTACAACTGCTGGTGGGAATATAAACTGTGCGACCACTATGAAACACAGTATGGAGGTGCCTCAAAAAATTAAAAATAGAACTACAATTGAACCCAGTAGTTTCACTTCCGGGTATTCGTCCAAAGAAAACAAAAACACCAATTTGAAGAGATGTTCACCCTCATGTTCACTGCAGCATTACTTACAATAACCAATATAATAGAAACAATGTATCACCCGACCATAAAGAAGAATGAAATCTTGTCACTTGTGACAACATTGACTGACCTAGAGGGTATTATGTTAAGTGAATGTCAGACAAAGACAAATACTGTACGAATTCTCTTAACATGTGGAATCTAAAATATAAGATGAACGAACAAAACAGAAAACAGACTCAAAGACAGGAAACAAACTGTTGGTTACCAGAGGGGGATTGGTTGGGGACAGAAAAATTGGTGAAGGGGATTAAAAAGTACAAACTTCGTGTTATAAAATAAGTTAAGTCATGGGGATGTAATATACACTATATGAATACAGTCAGTAATATTGTCATAACTTTGTATAACAGATGGTAGCTAGACTTACGAAGATCATTTTATGATGTATAAAAATATCGAATCACTATGATGTATACCTGAAACAGGATACTCTATGTCGATTATACTTCAATTTTAAAAAAAAGTGTTTCAAGCCAGGCAACAGACTTTATAAAAAACCCTATATTATGATGCTCTTATGCTTAAGCTTTACTCGTTTATCACGTCAAAAAAAACATTCTAAGACTCTGTCTTTTAAAAAATTACACTGAAAGCCAATAAACAAACTACTCAAACATCATTCAAAAGTAAAAAACCTCAACTTACTGCATTTGAATATGGTCCACTGGATTCCTCCATAATTTCAACATTTTCCAAACCAGGTAAAAGCAACAGAAATTTCTCTTTGGCTTGTCTTAGTACTGGTCTTTAAAAAAGTACATAAACATATACACCTTGAGTCAAGCAGTACTGGTGAATACTGATAATATGTTAACAAGAACACTTCAATTATGATTTTAAAGTGGCAAAATATATCCACCTTAAAGACTGTTTCTCATTCTACACACACAAAACTGGGACAAATGTAAAACATTTAGTTTTTTGCTAACCTCTTTAGTTCCCAAATTTTCTTAAGAAGTTTCCCAATTTTTATCATGCAAAATTCCAAGCAAAAGTAGACTATTACATTAAATTCCCGTGTACACATCACCCAGATTTAATAACCACCAATTTCTTGCCTTTTATATTTCTTTTATTAAGGAAAATTTAACACTGCTTTTTATGTTCCTAAAACCACCGGTTACTCTAAGGACCAAAGTAAAAGGTCAAGTTATGTTTAATAGTTACCATGTATTACAAATTAACATTTGAACTGAGGAAAGTTCTGCAATGATTCCTCATAAGAAAAATTTATGTTAAGACCAAAATAGCAATTTACACAATCATAGTAACTATATAAAATAGTTTTGTGGTTAGCATACTTTAACTCTTCAGGATAAGTCAACGTTGACACTTTAGCAAATGTGGCGTTCCAGAACTGAGCACTTTGTTTTCTAATCTGTTTATTCCTGTGCAAAAATATTATGCATAATAACGGAGAGATGTGTTCAAGAAGTTCGCTGTCGTAAGTCCCAGTGTAGTTGAAGTGTAGACAAGCAATTATCTCTCCCAGTAGCTTTTCTAACTAGGAAAAAGGAAAATTTTATTAGGATAACCTATGGAAATGTTCTTTTAAAACAGGAAAAATAAAAGCCCGAAGCATACTAAACAACTCACAATATGTTACTATTTCAATTTTTTAAATTCAAACTTTTTTTTTAAAGCTCCCATATGGGGCACCTGGGTGGCTCAGCTGTTAAGCGTCTGCCTTCAGCTCAGGTCATGATCCCAGGGTCTTGGGATCGAGCCCCGCATCGGGCTCCCTGCTCAGCGGGAAGCCTGCTTCTTCCTCTCCCACTTCCCCTGCTTGTGTTCCCTCTCGCTGTCTCTGTCAAATAAATAAATAAAAATCTTAAAAACAAAAACAAAAACCTCCCATCTGTAGCCTTAAATATGATTATAACCTGACAAATTCTCAGGTGAATTTACTGTAATTATCGATATAAGACCTTGATTTCAAACTTATTTTCCATTAACGGAAAAAACTACGTTCTCTCATGAACAGAGATTAACAATTGACTACCCAAAAGTTTCACCTATACAATACTGGAACCAATTACCCTCATGTATAAAGAGGTAAGATAGGAGGTGGGGAGTATGAATTTTAAGCAACATTATTCAATCCTTCTTTAAAAACTATGTGCCCATGTCATGTTATCAAATGTCCATTAAAATGGAAGTATAATCCTTTTACAAATCAGAACTATATATAAGGAAGACAATTACCTAAACCCTAACATTTTTTTCACCATGAAAGTATGTTTTACAGACAACTGTCCATTTTTACCTTGTTGCTCATACAACTATACACTTTAGGAACTTCATCAAGCCTGGGAAGAAAAACACAAGAGTACCACTTACATTTTAGAAAGTTAAACCTAAAAATATGTAATGCAGCCATAAAAATGAGACATGTTGTAAGTGATATAAGAAGGTGCCCCAAGACTTAATTTTAAAAATGTCAAATTATCAAACATTAAAACATGAAATAAACCTATCTTTAAAAAATGAACCACAGAAAAACATCTAGAATAGACCTCAAATTACTAATACTTGTTTCTGTACCTCTTTTAAAAAGCATAAATTATTTTTATGCTTAAAGACTAAAAGATGTGCAAAAAGCTAATATATTTGGGGTACTACTTTGTACTTTTATAAAATTTGTTCCTAAAACTTTCTCCATGAATTTATAAAAGACAGACTATTGTGACTGAACCACATAAGCTTGCTAGAAAAAACATCGTTGAATCCTTTCAAATTGCTTTTTAACAAAGTTATGTCATTTGGGATTTTTCAGGGTTCAAGGCACTGCTTGCTTCAATTCAAATGTAAAGGATAATGTAAATTAAATTTTTACACGGTAATTCAGAAATTTAAATGTGTATACCTTTTGAACCAACAATGTGACATCTAGGTAGGACCTCTTTCTGCAGAAGTAGTGGCAAACGTGGACACTGACATGTGTACAAATATGTTCAACTGTAATACTGTTAAGTTAGGAGGGAAAAGCTTAGAAAAACATGTATGTCTCCTAACATGTATGTCATTTAAACTGCAAGTATAAAATTGGGTATAAAAGTCTTATGGAACCCTCTGCAGACATCAAAGAGAATGAGATTCTTAGATGAATGGTGCAAGATGCATACAATATTTTAAGGGTATACCATGTACTGAATTGCAAAATAGCATGTCAGGCATGGCTTCATATACATCATGTTTAACAGGTATGCTTGTTTGTATTATCAAATCTGAAAAGGTATGTACTAAATTGAAAAGGGGGGGTTGAACTAGCACACAAAATTTACAAACTCCCAATTTCTACCTCGTATTTTTGTGTGATTTGAACTATCTTTTTAACAAATGCAGGTTAATATATTATCCCCTTCACTAAATTTTAGCAATTACCATCCATAACAACAAGCGGATTAGGAAAATGACAAAAGTTTGCTACCTAGATCTAAAGACATGTAATTTAAAGTTATTAAGTAGAAATTCTAAATACTTACTTTAAGTTTTCATAAAATAATGCCAGAGGTCTTGTTAAAGTTGCAAATATTTTTCGGATCATAGAAGACAAAGAAATACGTCCAAGTACATTAGAAAGAATACTGGTGATTGAGTTGCCAACAGTGAGGAGAGTATCAGAATGTACTTCCTTGAAGCTCAGAGTGTGGAAAGAATAGATCACTCTCACAGTAAGTTTAAATAAAGAAGCCAATTTCCCTAGAGGTTCTTTCTTCTTTTTGGACCAATCTGAAGGTCTCTGTGGTGCTAAGATAAAATTGAATTTATTAAATACTCAAATACTTTGAAAAGTGTTACTGTACTTCTTTACAATTTATACCTCATTTAAGTGACAAATACACCTAAAAAAATGACAGATACTTCTAATATATGTATTTCTGTAGAGTGATACCTACAAACCTTAAAATGATATACCATTAGTGGATAAGTATCACAACATTGTCTTTACAACCGAAGCAGAGACAAAGAAAAACTATTTGGCAGATCAAGAAGTCTAGAAAAATGAGTATTTTCTCTAAGGAGTTATAAAATGCATTTCATATGTTTATATTCTCTGAATTTCAACAACTGATTTGTAAGAAAGTACTAAATCATAAGACAGGGTCCATGGGGTGCCTGACTGGCTCAGTCACTTAAGTGTCCAACTCTTGGTTTAAGCTCACGTCATGATCTCATTGGTGGTGGGATCAAGCCCTGAGACAAGCTCTGCACTCACTGGGGAGTATGCTTGAAGATTCTCTCCCCCTCCCCCCGCCCCACTCACATGCAAGCACTCTAATATTTAAAAAAAAAAAAAAAAAAAAAAAAAGTTCCAAAATTAAATTTTAAAAGTCAATTTTTAAAATAAGAAACAAAATTTCACTTAGAAATTATTGCTCCCTGGCTCATCTATAATACACTGAACCCTACAAATAACACTCAAGAAGTCACAGATCCAAATCCTCAGAAAGAATCCAAAAAAAGCAAGCCTAGATTTAAAGAAAAAGATGTATCTTAAAAGCACTGTCTGACTTTCCTGTGTATTGTTGTTTTTTTTAATTAAAGATTTTATTTATTTATTTGACAGAGACACAGCAAGAGAGGGAACACAAGCAGGGGGAGTGGGAGAGGGAGAAGCAGACCTCTGGCATAGCAGGGAGCCCGAGGCGGGGCTCGTTCCCGGACCCTGGGATCATGACCTGAGCCGAAGGCAGATGCTTAACTGCTTAACGAATGAGCCACCCAGGCGCCCCTCCTATGTACTGTTCTTAGATCCTGCAGATACCTACCTATAAGGATAAACTCACATCTGTCAAGGAAATCATACATATTCAAAAATTACCTTTCTTTCCTTCAAAGAATCCATTCTCTTAAGGTAAAATATCTCAGATTTAAGAGAAAACTAAATCAGTGCTTGTTTTTTTTTTTTAAAGATTTTATTTATTTATTCATGAGGACAGAGACAGAGAGAGAGAGGCAGAGGGAGAAGCAGGCTCCCAAGGAGCAGGAAGCCCGATGCGGGACTCGATCCCAGGACCCTGAAATCGTGACCTGAGCCGAAGGCAGACGCTTAACCATCTGAGCCACCCAGGGGCCCTAAATCAGTGCTTGTTGATGAAAAAATATGTGGTGAAATGACAAATAAGTGTTACTAACAAAAGGAAGTCAACCTTCTTCCCTAGAATCGGTTTCCCAGACATGAATGTAAATTGGAATGGCCACCCAAAAATTCCAGGCCAGGATGTTAAGGCTGAGAAGAGAGCCATGAATCACATGACACCTATCCAACACTTGTCTACTCAAGAGGATCCGGAGCAATGACATCTTAATAATAACGAATAGATCTCGGTTTCTAAATGCCATTCATCCTCAGCAAAAGGAACAATGTTCCTTGGAAATATGGCTGGTTCCAGGCTGAAGGACAAGAAGTGCAGGATGAGCCTGATTGTCTTATGCCAAAGGTCTCAAAAAATAATGGAAACAAATGAAATGGTTATACAGGCCAACATGAGCATAAGTATTAGTAATAATTATAAACCACTGAATAACAGAACACCACAGTGATAAAAATAAAATAAGGGAGGGGCACCTGGGTGGCTCAGTTGGTTAAGTGGCTGACTGGATTTTGGCTCAGGTCATTAACTCAGGATCTTGAGACTGAGCCTCGAGTCCAGCTCCCTGCTCAGCAGGGAGTCTGCTTGAGATTTTTCTCTACCTCTGCCCCTCCCTGCTTGCACTCACGCACAATCTCTCACTCTCTCTCTAAAATAAATAAATAAATCTTAAAAAAATATATATGGGGAAAAAACGAAGCTATAGCTTACATTAGGATGTCATTTGCACCTGGAAGTGACTGGTGCCCAGTAGTGCTCAACAATTGTAGAATTTTATATTTTTTAAGGCCCCAAAGTGGGGCCTGAACTCATGATCGTATAGTATAGAACGATTTACTATGAAAATATGAAATAAGTAACAGGGACAGCTTCTAGAATTAATGTAATTAAAGACAAAGGAGATAAGCATCTTGATACAATTCAATATAATCAAATGAAACAATGTGATCTATTCTGGTAATCATCTTAGAGCTTTAGGCAAGAAGCATTAATGGATGATAAATTCATGGGTGAAAGTTTGCTAAGAAAAAGGATATTTACATAGTCTTAAAGAATCTGCCACAAAATATTAATTTATTACTCATAGGTACTTACAATAGAAAACCTGGCAGATACTGTCTTAACCAACCAATAAAAGTTAACGTCACCAGTAATGGGACAAGAAAGAACATTTTGACAAACATCAAAGTTTCCTGCCCAGGTAATTCCTTGTTTAAGATGGAATAAGTAAAATCACTCATATTAGCAATCTCTAACTAGGATAATATTGATCTTTCTATTGTATACAAAGGAGGAAAGAGGTTTTTGTGTGTGTGTGATAGAGACAGGAGAGATCACAAGCGTGTGCAAGAACATGTGAGCTCCTAGCATACCAAGGTTATACAATATAGTTGTATGCCAACCACATATGACATGGTTATACAACATCTAAAGCAGGTAAAATGAGGTTGGAAAAGATACTAGGATTTGATCTTGACAACAGTTTAGACAATTGTGTTTATGAAATAGTGGGTGAACAAAGTAAAAAAAAGTACTTACATTTAACTTTGGGCTGATACTTAGTATTGTATGGTGAGAAGTCAATGCAATCCACCATTACAGTAATTATATGAACGATCCTATCCAAGAACAACAAATTCTAGGAAAGAACAATTAAGTATTATATTAGAAATTTCAACTACTGGCATAGTTTCCAAAAATAGTAAGCATCAACAAAAAATGTAATACTTTCACTCCCATATATAATGTATAAGGTACATAAACGAAGTACAGAGTTATAAATACTTCCTATAACTGCTGCGCACCAAGTACCATAATTTTTGTTTCTCGACATTTAGGGAAAATAATTCAATTATAAGATGCCCATAGATTCAGCATATAAACCAGTAAACTGAGAATGGAAGAGCAAGGTTCTTAATTAGATTCTTTATGGGGGGGGGAGCGCCTGGGTGGCTCAGTTGTTAAGCGTCTGCCTTTAGCTCAGGTCGTGATCCCAGGGTCCTGGGATCGAGCCCCATATCGGGCTCCATGCTCGGCGGGAGGCCTGCTTCTCCCTCTCCCTCTCCCCATGCTTGTGTTCCTGCTCTCGCTCTCTCTGTCAAATAAATAAATAAAATCTTTAAAAAAGATTCTTTATTGGATTCTTCATGAAAATTTTAAGTGTTCATTAAACCCAGTGATACAACAAAGAAATGAAAAAGATGCTAAGCTCCCTCATACCCTTTTCCTCCTCCTCCTGAAATCCAACTGAAATAAAAAAAACAAATTGATAGAAGCATCAGAGACTCCCTAGAAAAATTTTTTTTTTTTTTTTCTTTTTTTTTTTTTTAAAGATTTTATTTATTTATTTGACAGAGAGAGACACAGCGAGAGAGGGAACACAGCAGTGGGAGGGGGAGAGGGAGAAGCAGGCTTCCTGCAGAGGAGGGAGCCCGATGCGGGGCTCGATCCCAGGACCCCGGGACCATGACCTGAGCTGAAGGCAGACGCTTAACGACTGAGCCACCCAGGCGCCCCTCTAGAAAAATTTTTTTAAAGGCAGGGGGTAGGAAGACTAAGAAACAAAACAAAGGAAATCCCAGCACCGAGTCAAAAAACAATTCCAAAATAGTGGAATTTTTTTTCCTAGAAGTTTTCCTAGCAAAACTTCTGAGTAACAAGACATACTGAGAGTTCTGAGAAAAAAAGTTAATTAAAACAAATACTGAAATTAAAAATCTAGAAAACAGATGGCACTTTCTTCTCCCCTTATTCTCCATTACTATCCACTTTTCCACTTCACTGGACGAATTCACATGTCTGCCCCCCAAAGACAACCTCCCCAATGAGCTAATTAAGGGCCAGAAGGAGGAGAGCAGCAGTGCCCTAGTTAACCACGAAAACTATGTGGGAAAGTCAGTCCAGGTGACAATCTATATTTTCATGTAGAGAAGATATCAAAGTTCCAAGTGCTTCCTCCTTGCTCACAATTACAAAGTAAAGGACACTTCTAACTACAATTTGCTATCAAGACTGGCAAAGGGGCTCTCTCTTCAGTGAGGAAATGCATTCCAGCTACCGGTATCACCTTGATCAACAAACACGTACAATCCTGAGGTGTCCTAATACCAACAGAACTAATCCATGAGGAAAAATCTAGTAGCAAACAGAAGAAAACATTAATATGCTCAGAGGTAAGAGGAAATATTACCAACTTAAAAACTCTAATTGTAAAAACAAAAACCATTATAAAACATTTTCAGCATTGGGGCGCCTGGGTGGCTCAGTCGTTAAGCGTCTGCCTTCAGCTCAGGTCATGATCTCCAGGTCCTGGGATCGAGCCCCGCATCAGGCTCCCTGCTCAGCGGGGAGTCTGCTTCTCCCTCTCCCTCTGCCTCTCCCCACTGCTCCTACTCTCTCTCTCTCTATCTCTCTGTCTCAAATGAATAAAAAAAAAAAAAAAAAACTTAAAAAAAAATTTTCAGCATTTAAAACACAAATGAACAATTAGAGAAATACCAACTCCTAGAAAGCAGTACCAAAACAAAACACAAATAGGTGTAGTAAAAGAAAAGTAAGGAATACATAAAATGAACTCAAAACGTCTAAAACCATCTAAAATGGTACTCAGAAACAGAAGAGGAGCACCATTAAATAAAGCAAGGCAATTTTCCTGAGATTAAGGCACAGCTCTTTAGACCTAAAGGGTCTATATCAAGGACTGAAAAGAATAATTTAAACAGATGCCTCAAGAGACAAGCTGGTAAAATGTGTATATTCCAAAGACCAAAGAAAAATCCTACAATTTTACAGAAAACTTAAGAAAAAAAAATCACTATCAAACTATGCATTTGCAAAAATACAAGCTATAACAAATGAGTAACTTTAGTCAAAATTCTATAATATAAATTTGCTGGAACCTAAAAATAATAACTAATCAATTATGTGAACAAGGAGCTATCAATCATATATATGATTGTTGAAAAGTGTCTTTTTTTATTAAAGAATTAATAAATCACAGTGAAGCAAAACAAGGGAAAATAATAGGATACAGGAAACTAAGATGAGCAACCAAATACCCTCAAATTTTGAAAACCTATTTATTTTCCAAGTTTTATAGTACCTTGTATAATAGTGTAGTAAGTAAAATTCAGATTTTCAACAAAACTTGAAAGGTGTTAAAGTGTAAAAACCTGTGGGATAGTGATATCAATGTCTTTGCTTGCTGGGGTAAAATGGATATTAACTCTTCAAATTTGACAGATGAACAGAAGTTTCAAGAGTAGTATCTGAAAGAAGCTAAGGATTAAAATATACACTCCGTTTTTTATTCAATAGGAGATTAAATACACTTATTAAAGACTCCTATATTTACTTATATGCTACAAAAAGACACAGAAATGTTAAAACAAACTGAGAAATATATACAAAGAAAATCCTAAATCTATACAATGGAAAAATATATAATAATTACAATAAACGAACTTAGTTAAATACAACATGGATGAACCTTCCAACTAAAACACTGAGCCCAAAAGACATACAATATGACTTAACTATAAAATTTTAAAAGGAACACTGCTAAACAAATGTACATAATATATAAGTGTGGGTGTATAGTAAAAATATTTTTAATGAAACAAATTTTCAAAAAGTCAGGACAGTAATTCACTCTTCAGGGAGAGGAGGGTATGGTGATTCAAAATGCATAGGGGAGCATCTGAGGTGCTGACAATGCTCTATTAACGGACTTGGGTGATGCCTACAGAAATATTTCTGTATGATAATTTGTCAAACTGAACTGTTTCATGCATTTTTCTTTGTAAGTTTCTCAGCTTTTTTTTTTTTTTACAAAACAAAGATTACATAAATTCTCAAAAAGGTGTGAGTGTATTAATCAGTTAATATCAAGTTGGCAAAATTCAAAATAGGCAGTAAAGAGGAACTAATTACTGTGAAGACAAAGTCACAAATTAAGTATGATGGTATAGCATTAAAATACATAATAAACGTTTTCAAATACATCAAATTCACAATCAGGGAGATCCTTTATCAGAAACAGGTGGTAGGGACAGGTGGCAGACTAGGAGGATCCTAAACCACCTCATCCCCAAAATACACCTAAGATCACACCCACATCAGTACAAATAACCCAGAAAATGATACATAAACTGGCAGAACATACTCTCCATGGCTAAAGGTAGAGAAGTGGCTACATGGCAAGCAGAAGGAAGGGTGGAGATGAGCTTGGGGATCAAGCTGGCTCACGAAATAGTCCCTAGTAGGGAGGGCCATTGCAGGCACAGAGGAGAGAAGCAGACCCTATCCCAGGCACCAGAAAGATGAATCCCTGTAACATTTGGCTTTGTGTGGGGCTCAACACCTGGAACTTTAAAAAATCAGATGGCTGGGCCAGGACCGCCAGCAGAAACTGAGTCCCCACCCTTAAAAGTATAGTATAACAACCTCACTGAGGTATAGCACAGATACAGCAGTTTAAGAAATGCCTGGAGTACAAGGGAAAGACATTTGTAACTAATCTCCAAACAAGTGCTGGAGGGGCAGGGATCTTTAAGAAACTTATCCAAGAACAAAAGCAGGCAGGTGTAATTTCGCTCCCCAACGCCCAGGCTAGATACACGGACATGTACAGGGAACTAGCACAGCACGAATACTCTCCACCTAGCTTGCTAACAGTTTGCCCTGCCCCCATGTTCTCCTGTGGACTCACCCCTCCAACCTGCCCATGGCCTGGCAGTGTGCAAGCAGCCCCAACAGGGATCAGAACTCCAAAGTGACTCCTGTCCTGGGGAAAGGGGAACATAACCATATATACCATTCCATCTGTGGCCCCAGCAGTGGACTGGGAGCAGACATCAGGTCTGACTGCAGGCAATGAAAACTTCTCAGGGGCAACACAAGGAAAACAACATGCAGTTCCTTGCTACTGCATCTCTGGCAAATACCTGGTCTGACTCAACTCAAGCCCAAGGTGGTCCCGGACTGGCTCACTAACAACACAGGGATAAACCCTGCCAACAGGCAAAACCACTACAGATGACTGAAGGCAAAAGTGACTCAGGCACAACAGCAGGGCTCATAGGACAAATATATGAGACACCCTGAAGGGCCAGGTTCTGGTGAATAGGGGACATTGCACTGCAGGGCATTACAGGACCTCTTCTTCACACGGCCACTACTTACAAGAGCAGGAGATATAGCTGACATTCCTAACATGCAGAAACAGACACAGAGAGTTAGATAAAATGCAGAAATGTCCCAAATGAAAGAACAGGGTAAGTCCCAGCAAGAGACCTAAATGAAATGGAGAGAAGTAACACACCTGATAGGAAATTGAAAGTAATGGCCATAAAGATGATCAATGATTTGATGAAAAGGGGCCTCAATGAGACCCTGAACAAAGAGAAAACGTAAGGGGCACCTGGTGGTTCAGTCGGTTAAGTGTCCAACTCCTGATTTAGGCTTAGGTCATGATTGCAGGGTCCTGGGATTGAGACCCGCGTCAGGCTCCCAGCTCAGCTCCACGTCTGCTTGTCCTCCCTCTGCTCCTCACCGCCCCCCACTCTCTCTCTCCTCCCCTCTCAAATTAATAAAATCTTTTTTTAAAAAAGAGAAAACATAAAAACCCATCAGAGATGG